CGTCATCATCAGTGATGACGATGACGATGCGGATGCCGGTGACGTCATAAATGATGATGACGATGACGATGTGGATGCTGGTGACGTCATCAGTGATGATGACGATGACGATGTGGATGCCGGTGACGTCATCAGTGATGATGACATCAATGACGATGACGTCATCAGTGACGATGACGATGTGGATGCCGGTGACGTCATCAGTGATGATGACGATGTGGATGCCGGTGACGTCATCAGTGATGACGTCATCAGTGATGATGACGATGCGGATGCCGGTGACGTCATCAGTGATGATGACGATGTGGATGCCGGTGACGTCATCAGTGATGATGACGATGACGATGTGGATGCCGGTGACGTCATCGGTGATGATGACGATGTGGATGCCGGTGACGTTACCGACATCCGCATCGTCATCGTCATCATCACTGATGACGAAATCAGTGACGTCATTGATGTCGTCACCGGCATCCGCATCGTCATCATCACTGATGACGTCGTCAGCGACGTCACTGATGACGTCACCGACATTCGCATCGTCATCGTCACTGGTGAAGTCATCAGTGACGTCACTAATGACATTCGCATCGTCATCGTCACTGGTGAAGTCATCAGTGACGTCACTAATGACGTCATCAGTGACGTCAGTGATGACATCATCGGCATTGGGGGTCAGGTGACCCCCCAAGGTCACGTAACCCCCCCCCCTGGTTAGTCTAACCCCCCCCCCCCCCCAGCGCCCTTCCCTCCTCCTCAAGAGCTGCGCTCCAATTCGGCGTTACAGGGAGTTGTAAGCGGCTTTCACTTTTTTTCATCCAAATACACTTGAGCGAACGGTCGGCCGCCGCGAAGCGGCATTTACGGGTGGGCCAGCTGGGTTATTTTCGTAATGAGCCGCCGTAAACTGTTGCCGCGAAGCGGCGTGGACGCAGGGGTGCGGGTGGGTTAACTTATCACGCGTCCCAGTCATTCACTCAAATGTCGATTCGCTCAAATGACCGCTGTTCGCTAAAACGTCATTCGCTCATGCAATATGTACCCGGCTTGTTCGCGCGAACAGAGTCGCGGAGTGTAAATTGCACCGCTTACCACATTGTAAAAGAAATCAGCTAAGACAAAATGTGCATATTTAAAAAAAAAGAAATAATAATATCTAGAAATTAAAATGACCTTTTTCAGAGTTTGGCCACGATCGTGGCGCGCCCTCGCGGAAATCCCTTGAAATACTTTTGGTGACTCCGGGAACGTCTCTCCGTCGTCTGCGCCAGGCCTGGCTTGTCTCCCAGTCCATACGTTTGCGTGTGTTTTCTGGTGGCGTTGTTCCGACCTTCACCAATCTGAACGTGTCTTTCTGTCGTCGCTTCGCGTGCATATTTTTTTTTAAATGGCTGAGAACGACCTGGAGGATTAACAAAAGTCAATGTCTAGGATACAGAAGACCTCGTTGTTTTTATACCTTCAGGGATTGATAGACCGCCGACGCCGCATCGGTTCTTACCATCGACTCGGAGTCACTTCATCGTCACTTCGGTGTCGCGACTTGCAAGCAACTAAAACAGGGGTCTGCTTTCAAAGCAGAGTTCCAGAGTGTTATGTAACGAGAGTAATGGTGACCAGCTTGGATACCGACCCAACCATCCACCTTGTGCGGAGCTTGTGAGCACCGTTTATGAGGCCCGACCACTACAAACAGCTGATTTTACTCTCCTTGATCGCTTAAGTTATACGAGCTTATCGCGTTTGTCACTTCGCCGTCCACCGTACCGCGCGAGGGCACGGGACATCGCCGTATTCGGGAATGTGTACACAAACTCGGGCGGTGCAAAATCCGGGCCGTCTTGATATCGCGAAGGATAGCCTGCACCGTTAAAAAGTAAGGAACGATATGTTAGAAACAATCCATCTTTGAATTCGCTACGTTTAAGAACCTTCGACAATGTGGGCCCAGCAAACAGGGCAAACAGAAAACAGCCACAAGTTCACGGTTGGTTGCCAAAATATTTCATCAAGGTTTTGTCAGTATTTTTTTTTTTTTTAACGTGGGAAGACGCGAATGTGTGTACGCCTCGCGAGTGGGCTCATTTTCGTCTTCTGCGCATGAGAAAGGAAGTAGCGGTGACGTCAGAACGCCGAGCCCTGATTGGCTGATCGCGACCCCCTTTCTGAGCGTCGTCTGCACCTTTGCAACGTCGTCTGCTCGCAACGTCGTCTGCGTCTGTCTTACCTTTCCTGCGACTTTCGGCTCGACTTCGCCTTTCAGAGGGGTCAGACGAAATAACTCGAGCAGTACGTCGTTTTTGTCTAACAACTAGCAGACGCGCATCAAGGAGGGAAGTCAAATGACTCACTGGCGAGGAGTCCCGAGGCGCCGAGGTTTGTTTGCTAAGAGCCGAGAGGGGGTAAGCGTGTTAGTGTCCGCAAGTTCCCTCCCAAATACTTTTTCCCTCCTTTCGTGAGCGGCGAGACTCCTCATTCTTTAACGGCGTCGGCGGGTTGGCGCAGTTAACGTCGTCTCCTTTACGTCTGCTAGTCAAAGCGATCTTTACCTTTCCTGCGTCCGTCGGAGATTCACCGCTTTTTCACCGGCGAGAGTCACCGTTGCCTCGGGAAAGAAGGAGATAACAAGAGGAAGAAACTGACCTCTTAATCTAAAATTGAGGTCAGCGATCAAAGTATAATATGGGAAGGGTTCACAATGGTCGCGCGAACATATTCCATTCAGCACGCCAGCCGGTCGTGGGCAAACGGTCGCCAAGTCGCGGTGTGCCTACTAGGCCTAACTGCCGTGCTCTCTTGGTCGCCTTCGGTGGAATCGTGGCCGTCGGAGCTTTTCCCGGGTGTTTGTAGATCCAGCGTTCTTGTTCGTCGTGGTCGATTTCAAGTGCGTTTTACTTTTTTCTTGTTGCTTGAAATCGGGACGCGTGTGAAGCGCACGTAGAAAAATAAACGTCCGTGGGTCGTCGCGACCGCGACGCTGTCGGCCATGCTGATTTGATCGTAAGAAGTGCGCAAGACAGCTTCGGAGCTGTCGTAGGATTCGGTCGTAACCTGCGCAAAACTTACGATAATTTCGTTTCGTGAATACGAATTTGTTCTTACATTTTATCTTACGCACATTTCTGGCGTAAGATCGTTTCGTGAATCTGGCCTCTGCACTTTCGAAAGTCGCAGGAAAGGTGAGACATACGCAGACGACGTTGCGAGCAGACGACGTTGCAAAGGAGCAGACGCCGCTCGGATAGGGGGGTCGCGATCAGCCAATCAGGGCTCGGCGTTCTGACGTCAGCGCTACCCCCTGCGCAAGAAACAGACGAACTTGCCCTCCGCATAGCGCACGCCTGAAGAACGGAAAGCTTTATGCTGTTATTTTTAATTCAGTACCGGGTATGGCATGATTACGTCACACGACCTTGTTTGCACGTTTACTATTAACAACAAATGATCAGAGTGCAGGCGAGCTAGCGTAAGTTGAATACATGAAAGCTTGATGGAACATCGAGGACAGGGACGGAAAGAGTACCTCTTTCAAGAAGTCCGGTATCCGTCCCCGTCCTTGATATGTTATCCTTTCATGTATTCGTATATAAACAGCAACACGCTCATTTTCAATTATTAAAGAGTTTTAGTAGATCGCGTTTTCAGGCCACGCTAATCGTAGCGGGAGCTCGCGCTGCCACTTCGATGCATGCTCTGAAGCGCGCGCTCGTAGCGGTAGCGGGCCTTTGAAAACACTACTAAAACTTCCTATTAAAGACTGAGGTAGGAAAAGGAAAACGCAAAGGAAAAACGGGCAACGTCTCAGGAGACGTTGCCTGTCCTTTTTCTGTCTCCTTTTGCGTTTTCCTTTTCCTACCCCAATTTCAGGTATATCATCATGATCACATTTACTGTATTTTAGTTAAAAGCAGAATGTCCCGCCGTTACATTGATGTTCCAGCCACTTGACACGGGGGACTCTCGTCATAGGCTTTTGGAAGCAGGGCAAAAACGGCGGGGTGTTTGACATCGGGTGCTTTCGTGCACCACCCACCAAAGGCTACAAGAACTTTATAAAATTTGGCATTTTAACAATGTTTGCTTCTATTTGTGCAAGCTTCTGCTGCGCGGTGGTGAGGCATGACGACTATGAAGCCAAGCCGCAAGAATGCCGGAAGTAGGGTGCCTACATGTTTCCGCCGCTCCGCGGAAACATGTAGGCACCCTAGCCGGAAGTGTCAAGCATAACCAGCACTGTCTGAGCGACCGAGCTGGCGAGAGAGCCACCAAAAATGGCACCTTTCCCTTTCCTCTCCTCCCTCAGAGTCGGCGCATGCGCCCAGCGATCTCTAAAAAAGGTCAGTTTGCCATTGCTGGGTACTGACAGTTATTTCTACTTACTGGTTTCTTCGAACTACAACTTCTGTGGTGTCCAACTAACACCGCAAACGGAATGCTCGCGGCGTATAAAATGATGGCATGGCCGCGAATGACGTCACATATGGAAGGGTCCTACTAATTGGAAGGAGCAAAGAAGCCCGACAGGGAGCCATCCACCAACCCTGCCAACCAAAGGGGAACCAGGCGTGTTCTGCACAGAGCCGTTGTATGTGGTACGAGCAAGTTCGCCAAAAAGAAACACCTTTACATAGGCACTTGAAAGCTGTGCTGTAGCAAACCTTTTTCGTTGGTGGTGTTGTTTTCCCGACGTGTAGGACGGAAAAAGAACAAACAAGCATAGCATCTAAAACTGGAACATGTGCAAACATATAGAGAAAACAGAACGACTGACAGTCACAATTAGAACGCAAACACTTTCCAATGGCATAGTGAGAGCTTAGTTCAAGGAGCAGATCAGTCAATTTGCTCATTTACGGTAATGTTTTCTTTCTTTTACTACACAGGTCACTCACACGGAAAAGAATGTGTGTACATAAAACTGACTGACATGTTTGCAATCCTACTTTCCTTTGAATTGCCACGTTTCGAAATAGAAATGGTAAAAGAGTGACACATGCAGGTACTGCTTCCAAAAACTTTAGTACTTATCCCACTCCTGTGATTAACATTGGCACAGTCAGAGAGTCAGCAGCACACTGACAATAGTGAACAAAGCAACTGTAGACTTTCCAACAGAACCGCATAAAGACCTTCTTGACAATATCTCATGAGTTGCTACACCCACACCATGTCAGGCACTCAAACTTAAACCCAGAAATGCACACCACTTTTGCAGGCTTCATTTCTTCTCAGCAGTTCATCTATCAAGTAGTCATTCGATGTAAATAAACAAGTTGAAAAGAAAATAAATATTTCATGAAAAGATAAATGCTTACATTCAATTTTGCTCTCATGAAGTTTGCGATTGAGTATTAAAAAGAAAGCTATCCGAGTGCCGCCACAGCAAAAATGGTGAATATTTCCAACCACAACTCCATCTGTGTGCCATGTGGAGAAGCAGATATCAAATGGTCAAAACAGCAACATATAGACTTGTGTTTCAATGCCACTCGTAAAATCGAACCAACAATGCAACAATTCGTCAACACTCCGGAATACTTTCTCGCTCAGCCTAGAGCCAAATTGAACCTCAGCTTAGGACTGTTTAACAGAGAGTGGGGCAGCCATCTTCGAGCACTTCACAAAATCATCCGAGGCCAGGTGAAACGCCGTCCTGATGTGGCATGGGTTTCTGGAGAAGCAAAACCATGTCGCACCGCCCAAGATGCAGTGGTAGAGGTTTCAAACTCCGAGACTTTACGGTCGCAGCCCACGAATCGAAAGGCAGAGGGGGTCCTAGCTGCGAGCAATGCAAGACGCGGAGTCGTCCCGCACCAGCACGACGTTGCCCGTCACCCTGCTGATGATGGCGTGCCTCTGGTTTGTGTCCATTGCACCCCAGGCACGGTTGAGCGCATCCTCGGCGAGCTTGTCGTACTCCTTACGCTCCCTCTTGCCTGCCACTGCCTCGTGCTTTGCGAACACTGTCAGGATGTACGTTGCATTCTTGTACAGTGCGTTCTCCTGGTCGCACAAAGGGTGCAGCATCATGGCAGCGTCCGGCTTCCACTTCTCCAGGTGCGAGGCAAGCACCACGTGCCAGCGGTGCTTCTCGATGGTCTCCCGGCACCTGTTCTCTATCACGTGCGTCGCCACATCTTCGGAGATCTCCAAGTCGTCCGGTGCTATTGTGCCATACCGGCCGTCGTCTTCGAAGGTGAACGACAGGGCTGTCGCCACTTGTTCCGCAAGGCACTTGGCGAAGCGTTCATTCTTTTCGGACGCCAGGAGGAGGATGACGGCGGGGCCCGAGTAAACGTCCGTTCCGTTCAGCATGTCCACGACGGAGGTGCGGATGATCTGCCAGTTGTGTTCAGGCTGGTCACCGAACGTGTCCCTGAGGCTCCGGAGGTGCTCCCTGAGCGTGACCATCCGACGATCTCCTGGCGACAGTGTGGACGAAGGGGTGACTCCTCCTCCTCTGAGGAAGTTTTGCAGATACAGGGCAGCCAGGCAGACTAGAATGATGAGAGCGTAAAGCGGCCAATTTTCGAGGGGGTTTGGTGGCCGGGCTGCAGAGGGCTGCTGCTTGGCTGCTTCGATCTTCTTTTGGCCCGACGGTGATCTGGAGTTGCGACGATTTGGTTCGAGGCTGCGCTTTTTCAACTCCCGGAGCTCCCGTACTGGGTAGAGACTTTTGGGTTCGTCGGGGTGGCACGGCTGAGAGAAGTGCAATTTAGTCAATTTGCAATTGAGCATAGACGGTGAACTCAAGCAAGTGAAGTGCAACTCTGATTTCCTTGAATACGCTGACATTACACCTACTCCCTGGCTCAAAACGAAAGCAACACTAAAAATCTAGGAACATGCTTACAGCTATGTGAGGCCATTACAAAAGAGTTGCAAATGAAGAAAAAAAAAACACCGGCGGCTAAACCTGAAAATACAAAGACACCATGCACTCCAATATTTCGAGACAATGAAATATAAAATCCAATTATTATGTTTTCAGTTCTGTTGACTGTGTTGGAGTTATACGTATCAATTTCCCATTTACTGCGTTTGCCTTCCCGGTTCTTGCTTCCAAAAACTACCACCTGACGTAGCCGACACGACATGCAAAGGCCCAACCACACGGGACGTTTTTCGTGTGCCTCTGCCGAATCTTCCCGCGTCAGCACTCACCCGTCAAGGGGAAAGGCGGCCATCCTTGTGCAGGCATGCGCTACCCCATGCCAGTTGGCTTTACTTGCGCCACGCGCAACCCCAGTTTGTCTGGCTGGCAAGTGACTTCCAACGCCGATATATGGCCATCCCATGTGGTTGCGCCTTTCCCATCGCTCTGTTCCTTTTTTTACCTTTTTCCCTCCCTAAGCTGTGCTTCTTGTTTTCGCCCAGATTGGCACGACTTTGGACTATGCTTGAAAGGAATCTAAGCTTTTGCGATTGCTCATTTATTTTTATAACTTTATATGATGCTCGTGGGCACTTTTTTGTTTTTTCTCATTGAGTGTGGAGTTTGTAATCGTGCACCACACACTCAAGTGTTGAGCTTAATTGATTTGCATCGGTGCAGGCATTGTTTCAGTGATAAGCACCGGTGCATGCATTGAGTTTCATCGACTTTCACCGGCGCCCACGTCGAGTTTCATTGCTCCGCACCGGCACGCAGATCAAGCTTCACTGCTTGGCGTTGGTGCGCGCCACTGAGCTTCTCCACTACGTACCGGCGCATTCATTGGTGTGTCACACATTTCGTGCACAATGATTTTGCCAGGTTTGACCAAAGTACTGCTGTGAAGTTTGTTGATTTCACTCAGCAGTTTGTCACAACAAATAATTGCAAAAAGCATAGAGTTCGATCCTCACCCACCCCCTTATTACTACTTCCTAGTAATGTGGTGGAGCACCACGGGCTATGCATACTGAAAAAATACCTCAAATTCCCCGGGGTCAGCTTGATGCACTTCATCAACGCCGTCTTTGCCGTCAAGTCCAATGCCGGGACACCCGCCAGACCGTTCACCCCCGTAGTCGCCGACGATGGTCGGCTCCGTGTCGTTATAGGTGGTCTTGTGAATGCTCTCTCTGACCAAACTTTCAGAAACCAGGCCTTCGGTTTCCCTGCTCATACTTGATGCTGGCAGAGGCTGCAGTCGAGTGAAGCAGACGACAATGTGCGCAGTAGGCATTAGTGCAGAGACAAACGACCACGGTGTCTATTAGCGCCCTATGCCACCCATGCACCGAAAGTGAAACACAAGCGGCAATGAATGACGTCGTGTAAACCGGCGTGTCATGCTGTCAGATGTTGCGATCCTGGTAGTCGGTCATAAAAGTTTCAGGCAAAAAGTATGATTGAATGCGAGTGTCAGTCATTACGACGCCCCAACTCCTGGCTGCCGAAGTTTCCACGGACTGTCAAACTTAAGGGCTCCCTGCAACAGAACAGGCCTCTGCAGCATTCATCTCTGCTGCTGCACCACGACCAGGATCGCGGCAGGCAACAACACGACAGAGCCGCACAGTGGGAGAGTCTGACCAGGGGTTGTGGCGACGAAAGCGCTGGAGAGGAGAAAAATGAAGGAAAGGAAGGAGAGCGCCAAAGAAGCGAGAGAGGAAGAAGGGAGCAAAGAGGAGACGACCGCCATTTGGACGCAACATGCCCTAGGCGCAGAGCACTGTTAAGGCTACGCGTCGTCCGCTACGGGCTTACCTCTTTTTTGCCCGAATAAAAGTTTGCGTTCAAACATGGAGAAACATCATTCGTTAGATTTTTAAGCCACCGAGGAATAACATTATATAAGTTTCTTGTCAGAGCCTGCCAAATAAAAGGAAAGAACCGAAATTTGGATGTCGGTCCCATGCATTCCACCGGGCGAATGAATGAAAATGGCGGCCCTCCCCGCTCAGCTGGCAGAAGCCGGGAGTTCACGCGCATGCGCTCACGCCTCTCGCTCTGTGCTGCGGGCTGATTGGCTTACTCGGGAAGGGGACGTTACGGCGGCGAGATCATAGACTGGCCAAACTCTCCCCATTTACGGCTCTACAACAGGATAATTAGTTTTTATGACGTTATCAGGTGGAAAATGAGGAACCAGATTTGAAGACGCGATGAACACACCAATACGATACGCGTTTTCTGTGCATTTGATACATTCTGGTTGTAATAATAATAATAATAATAATAATTTTATTTGCACTTCCAAGGGCGCAGGTGGTGGTGTGCTGGGCTGAACAGATAGGTGAGAACCCTTACGCGGAGCGCCTGTCAGCCCACCACCACCTGCGGGAAAAAAAAAAACGAAAAAAAACAACAAGCCGTATTTAAAACCATGTGAATTTATAAGTTTAAGACGTGTAACAGGTTGAGGCTGGGAACCGCTGGTTGGCGATATGTAGGAACACGAAACGCAATTATTTCGTTGCGTCAAGCTCACTCATTCACCAGGTTTGCATTTTTGGCTCTACCCCAACCGCGACAACGCTGCCACCGCTGCGATCACGGGAGCCAAACGAAGGCATTCCTTGAGTACTGCGCACTATGGCGGGTCAATACATTTGCAAAGAGCTCGGAGAAAATATTCTGCATCTTGAGATTGCATCTGCTCGAAGGTAGTGGCGACTTTAAATGCCCTTCACAACGCAGGCGACGGAGTTGCATGCAAGCGTCGCCGTGCGATGCGGGCCACGCGCGTTAGCCCTGAAATCCGTCTTCCGAAGGTTCATTGCTTTGCGCGTGTTAGTACATTGCGCCATTTGAATCAAATATACGCTAACGAATAAAAAAATATATTACCAAAGTACCAGGTGGAACATCAAGCCATCAACCAAAACCAAGACCACTGGATGGTATCCACTGTTCGTTGACTAACATGAACTACACACGCCAAGTATGGGGCTTTCTTAGTGGTAAGCCAAAACTGGCAGAATAGTTTTTAGGTGTTTTTTTATATAACTCAGTGCTACAAAATTATCGATATTTTAAACGTAGAAATAAACTTCCCCAAAGTCAACTTCACGATTAGAACCGGCTTCTAATGAAGACACTTTGATCCAATCCATAGCCGCCACTGCCGTCTGTTTTCACGTGGTGATCATAGCGGTCGTAGTGTGTCAACAGCAATATTTCGTTTAATTGCCAGAATATAAGTAGAAACTCGGCAACGCCATGAAAATGGCCAAAGTAGAATCGACCGCGAATGCCGCATCCCAGAAACCGAAGAAAAAAAAGGTGAAGGTGCCCAAACAGAAGACCAATGAACCGTCCGAATCCGCAAAGTCTCCACTCGCATCTGCCGCAAAACACGAAGAAGTCATCAAAGGCAAGTACGCCAAGGGAAACAAAAGGCGATCTTTCCCGCCTTCCGGCGTAAAACCGAACAGACAGGGCAAAGTCGTCAAAGCACAGCGCAAGAAGCCGAATACCGTGGGCAAAGCGCTCCCGACACCTCCCAGCAAAAGCAAGGAGGCCCCCGACCAACCCAAAGAAGGCAAACCCAGACCAGGCGACGGCTCAGCACCGACCAAGCGCAAACACGAGAGCGAGTCGGCAGAAGGCGCCGACCAAACTAAAAAGGTCAAGTTGGAGGAGATGACCAAAAAGCAGCGAAAATTCGAGCGCAAGAAGAAGGAGTTCGAGCGCAAAAAGAAGGATGGCACGTTCTTCGAGACCTCCAAGGCCATCAAGCAGGTCTGGGAGGACCTGAGACGCAAGGCGTGCAGCAAGGAGAAGCGCGCCAAGCTGCTCACGCAGCTGACGGGACTGGTCAAGGGGCGCGTCAAAGAGCTCATCTTCGCGCATGACACCGCCAGGGTCATCGAGTGCATGGGCGACCTGGGCACTCCAGAACACCGCAACCTCATCTTCGAGGAGGTGAAGGACATGATTGTGCCCATGAGCAAGTCCAAGTACGCCAAGTTCATCGTGCGCAAGATGCTCAAGAACGGGACCCCGCAGCAGAAGGAACACATCGTGAAGGCCTTCAACATGCAGGTGGTTCAGTGCCTGCACCACGCCGAAGCGGCCTCAGTCTTGGAGACCATCTACAACGAGCACGCCAACGCGGTCCAGCGCTCGCAGCTGTTGCAGGAGTTCTATTGCAGGGACATGGCACTCTTCAAAGAGGACAAGGTATGCACAATCAGCTACCGGGAGGGTTCCTGGTGGCTATCGGAGCTACCGGGAATTGTCAGTAGAAAAATGTGAGTTAAATCAATAGGGAACAGTATGCAAAAACCGAGAACGGCTGTTTAGCCAGCTTTGAGATATTAGGGGCAAAATCAAATCAGCATTGCAAATAGCATGGGATGCATGACAACCCAATTGTGGTGTTTTCTGGGTGCGTCCAGGACCTGACATACTGCAGACAAACATATGCTGAGTAAAGTATAACCAGCAGACCAATGGTGTGTGGGGTTTTTTGAGAGAACAAGGCTGAGCATGTTAATAGTGTAATTAGGAGGTACTTTGACCAATGGTAAATAAGGGAGATAGAAAGGAAACAATATGGAAGTCATTGAAGGGAAGTTATTGGAAATGTCACTTATTTTCTCTCTGGCGACTTCTTGGGCAGTGTATGTTCACCGACATGTACCAGTGTATCACAGAATTGGCCTGCTTAACTATACAAAAATAAAATAGAATTTACGATAGGGAACCAATTGAGCTTAAAACTGCTGTAGAAAAGACTGGTCCAATGCCTTGTCCATCGTGTTATCTCGTCACACTTAATTTTCTGGCTTATTCGATTGAACGCCACTGTCTCTTACTAACTCATGCTTATCTTTGCATTTCATTGTTTGTTGCCAGTGCTCGCTGCAAAAGTTGACTCAACACTGTTGTGGATATAAATAATGTGCCACATGCTGCATGTACTGGCCACAAATAAGCGGGGAGGAGCCACCAAGAAAGGCCATGCTTTAATGGTGCAGTTTGAAAACAGACCGACTATGTGGCGCAAGGAGATGCCCAATTGCGAGCCGAGCCATTAATCGATCCACGCACGCAGGTGGTCACCTTCAAGGACGCCCTCGAGAAGTCGGCCCAGCCGGCCAAGACTCTCGAGGACCTCAAGGAGATCCTGATGAAGATTGTGGGCAAGCCTGTGCTGGGCCACAGCATCATCCACCACGTCTTCTTGGAGTTCTTCAAGAACGCCGATGAGAACTCTCGCTCTGAGATGATCCGCGCTCTGGGTGGATCGGTAATCGAGATGCTCCACACCAAGGATGGGTCCCGTGTCGCCATGCAGTGTCTCTGGCACGGTACGGCCAAGGACCGCAAGGCCATTGTCAAGAGCTTCAAGACGCACGTGGTCAAGATCGCCAAGGAGGAGCACGGCCATATGGTGCTCCTGGCGGCCTTTGACTGCGTTGACGACACCAAATTGGTGGACAGCACGGTGACGGCAGAGCTGCTTCGGGAACCGCTGGAGCTGATGACGAGCGCGAGCGGACAGAAGGTGCTCTCGTACCTGGTGGCTCCAAGGGACCCCCGCGTCTTCCACCCAAGCATCATCGAGATCCTTAAGGAGGGAGATGCCAGTGTCACCAGCAAAAAGGATCCACAGGTGCCAAGCATTCTTTATTTTTTTTTTGTTAAAACTTCTTGTCTTTTTTTTGTTTTTGTGTCAAGGATGGTGGGTTTGGCCAGTGCCAGTGTTTTTGCCTTCGCAGTGAGGCATAATTGGACAGCTATTTGTTTTCTAGGCTTACGGATTATAAGATGGGTGAATGCCATCCATTAAATAATGGTACTATCGTGGACACTGTTAGCTATAACACCGCAGCGACGGCCGTCCCGTACCCCCAGCGCCTCATAGCAGGCGCCATCCGAAACTCCGCGCATGCGCCGTGTGGCGGACTCGCTCTTCCCGTTTGCGAGCACACCCTCGCTTTGTCGTCTGCTAGGCGCAGAGCAGGCGATGCCACAGTGCTGCTCGTCTGGTACCCTGGCCCTAGCGAACTGGTCTCAAACTCATTTTAAACCGGCGATTTTGATTGGGGGAGATTGCAGAGTCGTTAAGGCATTAACCCTGTCAACGTTTTTTGTTTTTTTTTCTTTTTCAGAAACAGGATTTCGCAATCCATCTTTCACAATATGCACTCGCAAACCAGTATGAGCGCAGCAGGTGTGATACAGAAATAGACTTATACTCCGTTTCACCTTAAGTCCGAATGCAGCGTACGCTACAAAACGACATAGCCAATCAAATAGCGGCAAAGGTGCAATGTCACGGAGTGCATCACCGGGGGACACAATAAGGTGCAAAAAGCGAGCTTTTGTCGCTTTTGGTTGGCCCTATCGTCTCGTAGCGTCCGCTGCGCTTAGACCTAAGTGAAACGGAGTATAACTGCCAAATTTGTCCCATAAAAAAAAAAAAAAAAAAAAAGTATTCTACCGTGATATTCCAATTTGTGGCGATGATCATCCTTAGCCAGCGGAGTCAGGGAATCAACCGTGGACACCTCTCACGCGGTGGTTTGCTGAACCGTGTTCAGGGAAAATTGGCAAGCGCTGTGGCGTCGTCTGCTCTGCGCCTAGCAGACGACAAAGCGAGGGTGTGCTCGCAGGCGGGAAGAGCGAGCCCGCCACACGGCGCATGCGCGGGGTTTCGGACGACGCCTGCTATGAGGCGCTGGGGGTACGGGACGGCAGCCGCTGCCGTGTTATAGCTAACAGTGTGCACGATAGTACTTGCCACTGTAGTGTAGTATTGGTGCTGGAGATTTTACTGTGCATCATATAATTTGATTTTTGGGGAAGTCATATGGTACTAAAACCCAATAAAGTGATGCTACTGCAAAATTGTGATTCAAAGCAATTTTTGGAGCACCTGAAAATGAATTTTGGAGCACTTTGAAGCACTTATGAATGGCTTTTGGAGCACTTTGAAGCACCTATGAATGGCTTTTGGAGCACACAAACGTGAAATTTGGAGCCCTTTTGAGTACCTAAATATCACTTTCCAAAGTACTTTTGAGCATGCAGTTATGAACTCTTATGATTACCTAAATTTACATATGGAAATTTTAAAGTCTAAAAATCTCCTACCAAGTTGAGAGGATATCTTTCATAGAAATCCAATGTGAGGGTTTACTAAACAGATATTTCTCATATAAAAAAGTTGACACAACTGTTGATGCAACTTTCTGTGCATTGTTTATTTTGAACACAAAAAACCAGCTTTGTTAAGTTCTCGGAAAGGCTTACATTTGCCTCAGAAAGAAGCACCTGTCCCGGTTGACAGCACTGCCGCTAGCTGTCCTTCGCTTTGCCGCGGCTCAGGTTGCGTGTGGCTATGATAAATGGCGCAAGCCACTGCCTAATTCGGCCAGTCATGCAATTTGGCGCAATATGGCGAATTTTTATCATGGTTGTGCAGGAAATTGCCTTTGGCGCAAAATGGCGCAGGAGTGGAATCACTGCCTAATAGATATCAGGTTGTGGTGGACACAAAAATGTTATAAAAAGAATGGTGCATTTGCTTCGATAATAAGTGGTACCACCTGCCCAAGTATGGCTTCTTGCCGCTAGTAAAATATACCATTCAACCAGCGAGTCTCCTAATTACTGCGATAGCATCCTACAGGGGGTCGTGTTTCTTGTGGCAATGAAAATTGTGAATGAGTGCCCCATTCTGTTTCAACATTCTAGTAGCTGGCATGAAAACTTCTTCATTTTGTACTAATTTAGCCATCAGAGCTTGCAAAGGCAACATTTTCGGCCAAGTTGAAGGGACATTGGGGTAGGAAGCAACCATGTAGTGCCGTCGTACTTTCACTATCGTAAAATACCACGGAAGCGCCCACTTGGTGCAAACGCCCGCTTTTAACATTTCCCAAACTTGAAAATTCTGCAAATTATACGTTAGGCGCCCACCCCTTCCAAAGCGCGGCCACGAGACCGCCAGAGGCAGTGACGGGGATACTGTAAAACCGTTAATGTTCGCGAGCCCTCAATTTTCGCGAATTTCACGAATTGAAGAATTCGCGAAATTTAAGGGCACGTGAAAATTTCGGTCCTTAAGATTTTCAACGCAGGCGTCTGGAATTCGCGAAATTTAGTGGTCGAGATTATGTCATCTGTGACCGATTCGCGAAAAATAGGGGCCGCGAAAATAAAGGGTTTTACAGTATCATGTGAAAATGAAATGTGCTTTCTCCGATTCCGTTCACCCTGCCTTCGAAAGCTCTTTATTGGCCGCCATCTTGGTTTTTGACGATTTGACTGGACAAGCACCCGCACTTAGATTAACCCAGTTTTCAGTGAAAGTGTGGCGGGTGCTTCCCCGGTATTACGGTAAATCACTTCGGTGAATTAGTGTAAGAACGAAAAAGTTTGATCGCTCGAAGAAAATGGCTTTGGCCATATTTATAAAGATCACTTTATCTTTGAACAAGAAACACTGTGTTAAACCAACTCTTCTTTGTTCTCTATTATAAGTTATTAGTTCCATAAAATGGTACACTAGCTTCGATTGGCTCCCGGTTATCTCCCCGGATCCTCGCAAAGCATAGTTACTTTCACACCAAGTTTCAGCATAACATGGCAAAGAGTGAAAGCTATGGCCCTCTTGAGCCAATCGGAGCGAGGCACGCGACAGCTCTCCGCAGGAGGAGCGCACTCCGCCGACACATCGTCTCGCGCCTCACTCCGACGCTCCGACTCGCTCTCTGAAGCCACAATTTCCCCCCATCTGCCAAGTTATGGTGAAACTGAGTAAGTCACTGGCAGAACCAAATGACAGGACATGCGTTTCGAATGCCTGGCCCCCTGCAAGCGCACCGTGCCATTCCATCGCGCTTTGGCTGCAGGCGCATGCTCGAGGTGCATGAGACACCGAAGCATTGTCGAATGTAGGAAGCATGCGCCGGGAGCGGGTCAACTCAACCTCCCTGCCGCTCTCACCTCATCAGCGACTATGCATAAACCAACACGTGGCTTCGATGTCACGCCACCGAGGTGGTGCTGCTGCTGGCAAGGCGCATACGCGTGCGCTTCCCTGCACTCGAATCTGGTGTCAGTGCACGCCGGGTGCCTGCACCCGGCGTGGGCATTGGCCGGTCCATTTGTAATGAGTGCGTTGGTCCGTAGCTGTCCTCGGCGTACTACAAACCTCCCGAATGTCCACCCGCCCCGCAGGTACGAAGAGAAGAGCTGCGCAAGGCTCCAGCCGCCGCGCTCGCCCAGCTGATAGCAGACAACGCCGAGCTGTTCCTGACGCACAACGGCCCCACCGCCGTCGTCGCCTCGGTGATTCTGACGAACCTCCGGGAAGGCGAAGCCACGGAAGCCTTCCGCAGCATCGCCAGGCTCCTGGCGAACTCCCCGTACGAGCCGAGCACAGACCCGGAGAAGGCGCACCTGTTCGACCGCAACCACGCCCGCTTCTTCCTGAAGAAGATGACGCTGCACGACAGGGCGAGCAAGCAGGGGCAGAACTGCTTCAGCGCCATCCTGGTGGACGAGGTGCCCAAGGAAGCGCTGGTGACGTGGATCGGGTGCAACTTCGGGGCCTTCCTCCTTGTGAACTTGCTGGAGACCGGCGTGCCGGAGGTGGTGCGGGTGGTGAAGGAGGCGCTGGCCGGAAAGCAGAGTCTGCTCAAGAAGAGCGAGCTCAAGGGGTGCGAGGCGCTGAGGGAGAAGCTGAAGGAGGTTTAATCGTAAACAGAAAATAAAAAAAAAGAATAAATAAAAAAGTCTTACAAAGGTTTAGGAGCGCTCTGCTGATCTTTGGTGGTCACCATATTGGTTTCTAGGCTAGGTGGTGCAAGATACCGCCCAATACGCCATTCATCTGTCCATCGTGTGAACTCGGGTCCAATTGTGAGAAGCGCACAATTGGACCAGAGTGTACGCCAAATGCCGACCCGTGTTCAATACGGAGTGCGTGCCCAAAATGGGCGACTTCAGATAATTGGTGCAGTAGCTACTAGATGCCGTGTACTCTTGAAGAGTGTCTAATGAAGCAATGACTGGAGAAGATGGTGCATAGCACCGCATTTATGAGGGTAGCGTGATAATACGACTCCCTACTTCGAGGGGGATAGAAGAAAAGAAGATACAGCGCTTCAAGCTGATGGCGATTTTTCTTTTTCTCCATACATGAATCAGCTGCCAGACTTTTTATTGTTACTTCAAGACCCATTTGGCCCTGAGCAATGGAAAACGGTCTGCTTACACACCTCATTAGTGTTGCCATAATGCATTAAAGGAGCTGTGCAACGATTTTAACATTGAAAGAATTGGCATCTTCTGATTTTGATATAGTTCACTTTGTCACAAATGACAGAAAACACACCTCCTTTCATCGAAATGTTGCGATTCCGCCGCGTAATAGCGAGGCAAAACTTAGAATATTCCCCGACATGCAGCCGCGAGCGGCGGCCATGAGAAACGCGCAGCATGACGTCAGTGGGGAATCTTGTAGAAAGATAGCAAGTTGCGCGAATACCTGCTCGATAAAAGGTAGCTTTTCTATAAATCTTGTCGTTCCAACATATATATAAATGCGTCAAAAACCTGGTATCATCGACAAAACTTTTATTATAGTTTTAGTGGCGCCATCTATCCTAGGTCAACAAGACCGTCGGCTCTCTCTGCTACAGCGAACAGAAGCCAAAGGGGGAGGGGGACAGGGCCGGACCCGGATTAGACTTTCCTCCTTTCACCATATTGTTCGCGCAGCCTCCGCCAGCACGTGGTTACGCGGTCGCGAGCGGATGAGTTCTCGCTGCTCACTGATGGCTCTACAGAGAGAACTTTTCCGGAACCTTGCGCCTACCCCATCAACGTCGCTGCACACGTGACCCGGAAGACGACGTAAGAGTTGAGAGGCGGTAAAAACCTGGATCTTTTTCATTTTTTAAAATAAAAACTAGGGTATCCAGGAAAATACTGTTTTCTGTAGTTCACTTCAGAAGTGCCAGGCATCAACTTCCACAATAATTTAAGCAAATCCCTGAAATTGTTGCACAGCTCCTTTAATCTGAACTTTGAGCATCATTCGGCACAAATTGTATGTCCTTTGTGTTTCACATCAACTGATCAATGTTGTATTTTACAAGCAATTTAATACTATATTTGAGGCCAATGCCAAAAATGTTTGTTTGCAAAAAATGGGAAAATTCAATCTATAAGGTTTTGTCATTTTCGCGACTTCAAAATAATAAACGACTTGTCAAACATGGAGTGAATGGAGCAAAGTTTACTCAGTCCTTACACTACAAAGATTTCTTATTTTTCTTTATTTCTTATATTTTTATAAACTTCTAACCTAAAAACAGGTGTGAAAAAAATATCACAGGTCTTCCACAATGTTATTTAGCTGCGACTGCAGCCACTGCAGCTTGGATCTCCTTGACTGGAGGGCACCTTTGTCTTGCTGCCGAAGCTTGCTCACTGCTGCTTCGATGCTCTCAAACAGCTCGTTCAGACTGTCCTGGGGATGTAAAAATGTGTATAGTTTCCCACCTTCCACTCATGAATATAGTATGTCCTTTTTCGTGCTTGCACCCTAGATGCCCACCTCGCACTTTGGCCTCTTTTCGGGATTCGGGTCAGTGTCGTCCGAGCCGCTCGAGGAACAGTCGTAGTCGTCCGTGGCACTGCTTTCTACAACTTGCAGCTGCGTCCTGACCACGGTTACCCAGTCAAACGGTGTCTTCATTTCGTCCTGCATGACATTGAGCGTCGATACAACTTGTTCATAATGACGGCTCTCTGCGTTTGTTTGTCCGGGCATAGAAATCTATGCTTATGGGCAGACGTCTCACTGTTTTTGATCATACTAGATCTAAAAACCTACAATGGGGAAGCAGACAACTTGCGCAACATGTACCCATGGTACGGCACTAGCCGATGCCATGCACATGCTCGTTCACTCCTTCCATGAAGAGTCGCAAAACGATTGGCGATTGGCAAAAAAACAAAAAAAATTAGATTGTGTGTATGTTTATACAGCCTAGAACTTAGTCTGCCTCAACGGACGACTTGTCTCCCAGCTGTAGATGAGCAATCCAGCCAGTGCAGTACAACCGCTATCCTGGAGTCTTTAACGTGCACCACGCAGTAGTGATACACGACCCCCACGCCGGTATGATGCTGATGCAGATCGAAACGGGCAGGGGTGGGGATTGAACCCAGGATCCTGGGTTCTGCAGTGCGAGCTTTCACTCCATATGCTTCGAGCTGGTGTGCGCCAGTGCATTCGGACACTGATGCCCCAGAAGACCGGCTAAGGAAAGGAGAGGGCGCTTGTTAAACAAGTAGTAATGTCTCGTTAATGTGGACACCTCTGTTCCCCCTAAAATCATCCATAACACGAGTCGTTCGTGATAATGAGACAAAAGTGCCTGTATTTACTCAGTTCAGCGGGCTGTCTGCATAATGAAACGTGACCAACTGATGCAAATCAACGCAAAATAACCACCGAAACAAAGTCCCATCCCGTCCTTCTTCGGGAAGGAAAGTTTACGTCTTGTTCAGTGTCTGCGGTTCAATGCTCCGTTGCTGAGACCCCCCCATTCATGTCGTGCGCACATCAGAACCCGGTGACCCTATATGTATAATTCTCATATCTATCAAAGAGATTACCTCAAAACGACAACCAATCTTTGTATACGGTGAACACGGGCCTCCTTTACTAAAGAACGGTCCTAGACACACTTGAAAGACATCCCTGCCCTCCCAGTCACGTCGAAAGTCTCGTTCAAAAAGCCCGCACGAGGCCTCCATTGCCTCCTTCGGACTTCTTGCCAGTCTCGCGTGGATGGATTTTTGGCGAGTGAATCTGTACGGCTTGTGCTAGCTGGCGCCTGCTACCTTTGTCAGGAAGGATGTCACCAGTGCCTTCAGCGTTGGGTGCTCGATGGCGTTGGAAATGACGGCGTCGTACTGGGTCGCTTGAGCAAACTGAGCGAATGCATGCAGTGCCGTCTGCTGCACCACGTAGTTCCCCGACGACAGTGACGACGCAAACAGACGTGAGAGTTTGTGGAGAATCTCCTGTTTCTGTAAGCAAGTGCGAGAAAAAATTTCATGCTGTTTCAACGTCGACACACATTTGAGCATATGCAGTGTTCATGCTTGCCCCGACAGTCCCCCTTTTTCGTGATTTTTTAAAATTTAAGATGAATATACTACTACTTGTTGCTCCGAAAGCTCCTGTGGGAAAACACCAAACGTGAGAGTACCACCGGAACAAGAGCTGCAAATTTCTCGTTTCCACAAAAAATATTAGCTTGCTAGCGATTCCAAAAATGCAGGATCCGCCAGTTAAAATTATGAAACGGTTCAAAGGGCAACAGTGGATACGTCACCAAGAGATCTGAATCTAATTTCCCCAAAGTACCTTCTTTACGATTATTTGGAAGAAACAAACGAAACGCTACAGACGACCAACAAGATTGGACGCAAGCAACCAAATTTCTAAGAGCACCAGATTTCGTCCACCATTTTGGTCTCTGGACTCTAAAATAAAAGACTGCTTTGAACGACGACTCTGACACCATGTTCGCAGTTACCTCCAGACTCTTCTGCCAAAACAAGACAGATATATTATGTAGAGTCACCAACCTGTAGACTGGGCAAGACTCCTAGTTTGCCCCAGGAAATAAGTGACAGAACGATAGAAACCTGGATGAAATCCACACCACTTGCAAATAGCACTTCTAAGGCATTCAGCACCTGGAAGAGAGGACATCCTTGAAATTACCACATCTATGGTTCGACCCAAGTGAAAGACTGAAAGACCTACATACTCTTTGACAGAGCATTGTAACTGAAGAGAACTCAAAAGGGCAGATCACCGCCCCCAATCAGATTATTGACTTGCCTGAACAAGGACACTGCCCTTCATAGATGTGATTTGTGCAGTGAGCAGATCAATGATGGCGTGTGTCAGGTCGCAGCACAGCTGTGACCTGTACGCTGGGACAGACGACAGGGCTTGCAGCAGGGGCTCCGCAGGAAGGCAGTGCTCTTTGTACCTGGAGCTCTCCTTCATCTGACAGAGGAGCCGGACCTGGAAGGATTGGGCTACCTGATGGATAGTGCCAGTGTGCCAGTCTGTTCTCTCGCCGCAAGCGGTTACGATTGGGCACAGCACACCCCGTCACCCTTGAACACAAATTTGTGAGCCAGCCTTTAGTAATCAAGATTTTGGTGCAACAAGCAGGGGGCTCAAATTACTACCCAAAGCAAAAACACTTCTTCTTTGTTGCCAGATTCCTAGTAAAGATGGTGGAACTTGTGAGAAAGCTTGCAAAGATGGCGGTAGCCCTCTTTCCTTTGTCAGCAACTGAAGAGCAGTGGGAATGCCGACACATTTGCATACATCAGAGACTCGAAATGTGCGCACATTCTCTATGTTGCACATACTTAAGGAACAAGGGGAGTCAACAATGCTTATAACCCCCACAAAAGAAAAGTTACAGTGGTTGATCTGCCTTCCTGCAACTGAAATACCGGTCACTTCTGAAACTCGACCAGTTTCGAGGGCATGTTGTTCAGAGGAAACTGAGAAAAATTACTTTTTTTTCTTCAGCATTTTTGTAGCTTTCAATGTACCGCTAGCTATCAGAGTTAGACAAGCTAATAATACACTACAAAATAAAACACATCGTCATCACATCAAGAAATAAGAAAGTTTTGCGCATTATTGATGAGCCGCGCGAAGTAGTTCTTACGAGATTTGGATGTAAAAGGAAAAACCATGGCTTTTGGCATTTGAAATGTGTATGTCTTGACCAACATAAACATACACCTAATCAAAGATGCACACCTGCATATACCTTAATTCAACAAATGAAGAGGGAAATCAATAACACTCCCCGAAAAGTTGGACTTTCCTTGTTTACTACGATTGTTGAGGTGAATGTGACTGTAGTAAGCAGTGACAACTTTCTGATGTGTAAACAATGCTAGAGATTGAGAGATTGCAAAGATATGTACACCTGTAGTTACGACATCACTCACCAGTATCTTTAACTCTGATGTTCCAATTGTCTTGGCACTCAACTTCGTCAAAAGCTGCACTGCTTGAGCTCTTGCTGTTGAAGCAGATTCCGGCAAGCCGACGATACTTCTTACCACCGAATTCGAGGAGAACATCTGATGCAGTTCTGTCTAAAAGAAAGCAGTAAAAAACATCAATACAGAGGAGCCGAACTGGTTCAGTTTCTTTAGATGAAATACAGGGATAAGAAATGCACGATAACATTTGCTAGCTCCAAAGATACCTATACGCCAATTTCGAGGAACCTAGAATCTTAAAAATAGAGGGACGTGAAAACATTTAGCGCGACAAACGAGTTTTGAAAGGTTACTAGTTTGTCAATATGGGACTAGATTCCTACAATGCCATTGAACCATTAAACATAAGGCATCCTTTTGTTAGGTATGAAGCGTACAAGCAACATTATCTAATCTAACATGGTGAACAAATCAGCTGGATAGTGATATATTTGTGTCGGACAACAAACAACTGCGAGGCATTCATGAAAATAATAATAACCAAGTAAATATAATTCTTTCAATGCTGCAAAAACTGGGTTCCTATTTTTTTTTAACCCCAGGAAAACAGTATGAAACCTAGGTAATTATGACAGGACTTTGTGTTGAAATGTAAAAGGCTACTAGGTCCAGAACCAATTTTCACAAGTTGTTCCAGATGTATTTTCTAATAAACATTGGGGCTTGAAACAAAATTTTAGCTGGAGAATTTTTAGCCCAAGTACACAACTCATTTCACTGTCTTTTTGAGGATGCTTTGTTCCTAAACTATCTGTTCCAAGTACCTTGTGTTCTTCAATCAAGAACTGGGAGAGGCGCCGAAGAAGCGACTTCGCGTGGCTGTGCTTATTTCCAGGTGCACTGGACGTCAGATTGACCAAGCGAGCAAGCAACTTGGCATGCTCAAAACAAAGCTGCGGTGATCCGAACCTGAACATTGGAACAATGTATTTTATTAAGCCCCCTTCACCAAAAAATACAAAAGAAACAATTTCACTCCGTTGCTTCAGTAATTCGTTCCACTTGGGCGGACCTTCAAAAGGAGCAAGCTTCGTAAATTCATACAATCCTACATATTGCTCCTGAGGCATTCACTATAGTCCGTTGCAACTCAAGAAAGTAGGGTGAGGGAAAGGAAGGTCGGGGAGGAGGAAGCAGACAGAATGCTGGAAAGAGGAGGAGGTTCCCCCTCTCCTCCTCAGCGTTCCGTCTGCTTCCTCCACCTCGGCCTTTCCTTCCCTCGCCCTACCCTCTTGAGTTGCAACGAACTATAGTGTAAAAGATTGCTAAAGATGGGCGATACTTGGTATACTGTACAACAAAACAAACATGTCCGCAAAAACATTTGTGGAGGTCAGCACTGATTCAGGTATCGCTTTACTGTGGACAGGCAAGGCAGTGAAGAGGGTCTAAATCGTTGGAATGGACATCTTTGCAGCCATAATAGAGGTCTTACGATCCACAGTACATACTCGGCTGTTTCTAGTTCCGAGCGCATTTTCACCGCAGGTTTTTTTAGGAGAAAGCGCTTAAACATGTGCTGCCGTCTTTGCTTTCCGCTACAAGATTTCTTCATACGGATTTGTTCGCAAGATGTTAAACACAATTAACATAATTTATATTCCGCCAGATCGAAAACGTCAACTTTCTCAGAATTATGGCAACCTGCAATCCCCCGACAGTTCCCACATCGAGTCTAGAAAGATGAAATGACCCCGGGCGAGGTGAAGTCCCTTGAGGAAAGCTCATGTGGGCTGCTCAAGTGGGGCCATCTTGTGCCCCAGTTGCAAAACATGTGGGCCCCCTTCTGTTCTACTTGGATATGCAGAGTACCTTGCTACAAAGCACAAGGTGTCGGAGGCCAGGCATGCACTCCAGTGACTTTCACGCAGAACATTCCTGAAAAGTATGGCCTCCTGAAAAGGAGCAGAAGAAAATAAATATACCTACATGAAAATAACTATGCAGCCCACACAAACTGCTCCCTAAATGGTAGCAGCCTCAGTAATCGGGACAAAGGGAAATTTATATTAACATTTATTTAGTTATTTTGTATACCCTCAGGGCCTAAGGCATACAAGAGGGGAGTGATTACAAACTATGTTGATGAAGTAACAAAATGCAATCATTATTAGCAGATCTACCAAAAGATCTATTTTTGGCAAATGATTCCTAAACATCAGTATTGGAAAAATGTGGCAATCTTTCGCTTGCGGACGGAAAAAAAGGGGTCTTTGCAATTGCTTTAGTTGAACCGAATCGTTACTGCCATTTTGCGTCACACTGCACAATGTAAAAACGTAACGAGGAGGTTGAGAAAAAGTTGTGCCAAGGGAAAAGAAGAGAGGGCGATGTTTCAACTTAACGGTCTTTTTCAGTCAGTTAAATTGAAAAGTCGCTCTCCCTTCTTTTTTTCTTGGCACAACCTCCTACTAACAGAACCTGGCAGGACTCCACCTGCCGTAAAACACTGAGCATTTGCCCATTCTACAATAAGTGCCCATCCCTCAATTTTGTAACATTCGGTAAATACACAAAGGACATATCTTTACATATTGTTGCCCTAAGGAGCGCCCATCTCCCAGTTTCACAAGATTATCTCCAAATTTTGAGTGGGCACTTGCTCAGAATTTTATGGTAATACATAACAATTATGATAACAATAAAAAAGATTAATTTTACTGTCATCATGATTATGCATTTAGGTCAGCAGCAAATGCTGACCTACATCAGAAAGTAACAGACTAAAATGAGGGAATCTAAGTACAGTGCAACAACTATACTAGGAATGTAACCTCAGAGACCATACCGCAATTCCGAAGTGTTCCGGTGAGAGTGCTGCCAAGAAGCGGCACGTGCGGGTGCAGAGGTGCTCGTAGAGACCAATGCTCCTGGAAAAAAGCAAGTGACATTGTTGCCGCAACACTGGCAACTGTTTGGTGGGAGGAACTCTAAACAAGGAGTCTGTCGCCCAGAGAGAGATGGAGGGCAGCTTGCAAGAGTGCAAGAGGTTATCGAGAAAGATCTGTCAAGAGGGGTTGGATATGGAACAAACATATATAATGCTGGTAGTACTGGTAATTTAGATACTTATGTTGTAAAAATGCTAATGAAGTCAAGATGTCCTCATGTGCATAAGCTAGCTCTAGCACAAAGACATTCCAGTGTGCTGTAAAGTAAAAAAAAACTCAATCAAAAAGTGTAAAAAACTATAGTATGTAAACCTGGGGTGGAGACCAATTGTTTAAGATTAATTTACTATTACCTCACTAAGCCTCACTACTATGAAAATTAATATCTCCGAAAAATGTTCACAAAGATAACTGTATGGGCCGCCTCAATGCTCAGATGCTGCTTGGTATGTACAAATAAATTCAAACTCGAAAGCTCCTAAAGGCTTCACGCACATTTAATGGATTAAATGGACCTCACACTAATAGCATCTTCGATCAACTCGCACCAGAATTTCCCTGAAACCAATACAGTGCACAGCACTTCTGGGTCGTGCAGCGCAAAGTCAATGCAACATAGAGGACGAACTGCATCGTTCCGTTGCACCGCGGCGAGCGCCACCATGCGTCACCTCGCATTTCGTTAGTTTTTTCTTGCGTAAGTCCGTGCGCGGTGCCCGTCTGCTGTCAATCTCTGCTGGCCTTTGGCTCGCGGATGTTCAAGTCCCACACAAATGAATATCGTGGACGTGACTGTCGACGGGGTCACGAGGCGGGTTACAATTACGCACGTATATTTTCCCCATCATTGTTGGTTCAAGAAAGAGTACTACCAGATAAAAACCACACCTCGGTTGCCTCAATGTCATTGAAATGCCTCACAAGGTTTTCTACAAAGTTCATAACTTTTGGGGGCTCCTTGCCACCACAGCGATCACCGGTAATTGCAACTTTGGTAAGAAGCCCGTTGTCCTCACTGTCAGAAAAGCTGGGGAATTCATCGAGTGCCGCTGCGAGGCATGCTCGTTTTTGCAAGGTCGCCATCTCGATAGACTGCGCATAAGCCAATGCAGGTGTCTGCTATTCTCGCTCCTGGCTGCAATGCCTGATGGAACTGCACCCTGGCACACCGTCGATTTTCTTGCTTTTCATTGGGGCAAAGAAAAGCCGAACCAGGAGGGTGCGCCCCGTTGATCAAGGACGTCCAGTGCACAATGGTGCACTTGATCGAAAACAATGGGGCGCTCTTCAGTACTCCGGTGCGCACCGGCGCGAATGATAGAGGATGCTATAAAAAAGGCAATGGCATGTGCACATTAAAGAACTGATGTCACAGAGAACATAAAAACGGAGGCTATTTACTATGTGTAATAAATCACCTTGCACGAAATGTGTTCAGTAGTGTCAATCTTAGTGAGAACACTTTGCAGCGCTAAAGATCAAGATATGTGCTAACCTCGGCGGCTTCCCGTTTTCCCCGGAAGATTCCAGAGAAACTGGGAGCTGAAATTCTAGGGAACCTACAAAGGTAGAAAGAATTTTAATACCATCAGACCATCAACATATAGAAGAACAAAACATAAAATCAATGGGTTATGATGATGATGCCAAAACAACAATAAAGCTAATCAGGTGAACATTGTACCTGCTGGGATCGAAGGCTAATGCTGAAGGAAAAAAACTGTTATAGCTTTTTTTTTTTTTTTTTTTTTTCAGGTTAGGCTTAATGAAACAGCACAAGCTTGTTTAGGCTTTTGAGCTGATTTCAAATACGTTATATTTTTTTAATTAGTAGGTTGCTTCTCAGGATAATTATAAGTAACCAGACTTTGTTTCCAAAAACAATAAAGAAAAATATTTTTTTTTAAAAAGAATGTTTTAACATATCGTTAGATATTACAAATGATGAAGAATGCAATGTTGGAAGCACTTTTTAAATTGAACCATTATTAGTAACTTTACAACATATTGAAGTTCAGTGCTCAATGTGTGGCTACCAAACAATTGAACATTTCAGTTAAAAATGTTCCTATACCTATATTGAAAAATCTGCTTCCAACGTTGCATGCTTTGCTTATTTAGCTACAGGGTGCCTTTTTGTTTGCCCTAGATGCTGAGATAACCCTTCTGAAAATTTGTAAGGAGTCCAAAATTTGCATTTCGAGAAAGTGTTGTTTTTCTGTCTTCAGTGCAATTTCAGCCTATATAGATATTACAAAGTGATATTATGGCTCAAATATTAATCTTTAAAATAAGGAACTTGGCAGATCAAAAGAAAAACAGCTGTAGATTTTGAGCTCTCCATTTTCCAAAATACAGTTTATGGATTTTTTGGCTCTTTGCTTGACCAAGCACTTTGCTTGACCAAGCAACTCTGGTCGAATGTAAGGTTAATTTCACAGAGCACAAGCATCATCTCTCGTTTTAGTCAGTGTGTCGAACCGAAAAAAATACGGGTTCGGTTACGGTTCAGGTTCAGGTAAATTTATTTTGTTCCGGTTCAGTTCCGGTTCGATTAATTCGATCCACGAACCGGTTCGCGAACCGGTTCGGGGCGCTGAACCGGTTCGCGAACCGGTTCGGAAATTATAAATGACAAATTGCAACATCAAAATAAATTACAAATAAAACATCTGAAATCAGCACATACGAAACGGGATACATCGTAGTGTAAGGCTCAGGGATTTCTACCAGGAATGGTTTCTTTATGTGCACTCAAAGGTTACCTCACCGACGTTTACGCATTCGGACTTCATCTAATTGGGTCCGACGCAGTAGCTGTAAAATCCGCGACCTCCTTACAAACCCACTTACAAGTAGAACTCGCTAACTATCCCGCCACCTCGGCGTGTAAGCAATTGAAGGAACAGTGGGGAGAAAATACAGCTTTCTTTATTTGAACTAGCCTTCGGTAACTCAAATTAGACCCTTAAAGAAGTTTTCATTAAACAAGATACGGAATATGAAAAACACTTCACCGAACGCAACGCCAGAAGGACGTAATAGGATAAATATTAAAATAGAAGAGTTCGCTGTCTCACAAATATGTTAGCTTCTAATTGCCTATACGAAACCGGATGCATTATTATCAAACTCCACAGCCTTTTCTTTTCTCATTCCGATGGAAGCAAGCTTCAAGAACTCGCGCGTTCTAGAAACGTGTTATGAAATGAGCACACAGCAGCATTTAGGATTTACGAGATTGTAGGAAAATGAAATCCCGTGACGCGATTTTTGTTTTTTGCACAGCCTTCCAATTCTCTTTCTTCCGTGCAAGCCGCGACCAGCGCAATACTGGTTCCTATGTCAAGATTCATGGATGCAGCGTTTGTCAAGATTCATGGATGCAGCGTTTATATTCCTAAGACTGAGTGGAGAAGAAAAATATGTAAGCGAGGTGTGTGTCAGTTGACGGCACTTAAAAAAACAAATGGCATTGAGAGCACATTCATTGTCAACAGCGCGTGGCCGAACCGTTTTGACATGAGCCGGTAACCGTTATTTTTTTTCCGGTTCAGTTCCGGTTCGGGTTCATCGCGATAACAATATAACGGTTCGGGTTCAGTTCCGGAAAAAATACCGGTTCGGTTCCGGTTTTCGGTTCGGTTCGGTTCCGGTTCGACACCCTGGTTTTAGTAACCATCAACGCATGTCCTGGCTAAAAGACAACACCCTAAACAACATCCATACTAGCTAGGCCCAGAAAAATATGATGAGAAAAACTGTGGAGGCATTATTTATTTCACGGTGCGAGGAGGGTAGTTGCACCAGTAGTTATTCAACAAACCACTACTGTTCCTCGATGAACTCAACACATTTTGATGAAGAGACGACGTTGCAGATACGTCTTGATTGTCACGGCATGTTTGGTGCAATTCTAATAAAAATCAGTACAGTCAGCCCCCATTGTGTACATCGGTTCAATCTTTGTCCGCCTTTGTGCTTTTTTTTCGGTTTCTTAATCCTAAGCTTACAATGGTCGATGGCGCCGAAGACTGCCTCGAGGATGTTTTTGTCCCCAGAGCCTGGCGTGGGAAGGCAAGCACGCAGCGCATCTAAAAACACGAAACAAAGAAAACGAGCAAGTTAGAAACAGAAACTAAAAAAAAAAGTAGAACGAAGACAATATGTTGATACAGGGACACCCTAGAGGGTCAGGAGTTTCCTGGTCATACCGTCGCAGTCAACGACGTAGTCCATGAGTGTCGTCAACATGAGCTGATAGCCACACCACAAGTCCACAGGCACATCTGAGTAGTGTGAGAAAACAAATGTATAGTATTCTTATGCTCCTAATTTGCACAACTCACGTGCAAGGCTCACCAAGCGTGAGGACCACGATACAGAAGTCCCGGCTCTCGGCCAAGACGCTAACCAGATGTTCAGCCGCAATCCAGATGTGGCGCAGCAGGCCGTCAACCTGAGCTGGACCCAGGTTGAGGAAGTAGTTGGCTGAGATGGGCAGCCTAACAAAAAAAAAGCAGCAACCGCACAGCTTGCAGGTCTTTCTACTCATTGGAGAATCCGCCAATCGTACTTCATATGTACAGGACAAGGGAAATCCCAAGGCTGGCACTAAAATTGGTTGAAGAAACCGACGCCTGCGCATAGCGATGGAAAATTTTCGCCAAGGATGTATTTTAGTGCTGCATTTTAGCTCGTGAAATATCAAAGTGTAGCTGCTCGCTTCCTCTGTGAAATGCTACCAACCAACTTGCCAGGGTCAATGGCAAACGTCGACGCAGATGATTGGGTTAGCGAGAATCGGGCTTGTGGCGCCATCTCTCGATAGGTGCAGAAAGCAGACGACACACTCAAACGAAAGCAGATGACCTGGTTGTGTGCTCGCAGCATTGTCAAGAGATGGCACCACGAGTCCAGTTCTTTCAAACTCTTATCTGCATGGACGTCCACCATTGACCCTAGCAAGTTTGTTGGTCTCATTTTGCACAGGAAGTGAGCGCCATGCCTTGAAATCTCACAAGGTAAAATGTGCCACTAAAATACACCTTTGGTGAAAATTTGGGATAGCTAGGTAGAGGTGCCAATTTTTCCAGGTGATTTTAGAAACCGGCACTGGATCTGGTCCACGAGGAAATATTATGCAGGCCCCAGCACAACACCAAACCTGAAACCCCCCTCAAACACACATTCCAGGACAAGAGCTGTGTTTGGTTGTAAATCCATTATAATCAGATGCATTATCTCCTGGAAAAGTTCAAAAGATTTACCACAGACAGTTTGCTGATCAGCTAATCCGCAAACAAACAATAAGCTGAAGAATGCATTTGCAGTGAACAAATTCGCCAAGTTTTCCGCTGGCCTCCCTGAATTGAAGTTTTTAGATCTACAAAATCTCGCAGCGGCCGTGAACAGTGTTTTTTACAGTATGCATGCATCTGCAAACATACTTTTCAATATGAGGTCGAACGTAGGGCTTGCAAATGACAGATGAGCATCCCCAAGACATTTTACAACTCTCAGTTACGAGTTTCAACGTGCAAGTTCACATCGTGGCAAGCGATATTGAACGCCCAAAATCTTACTGACGGGGGGGGGGGGGGGGCTTGAGTAATCTTATGCATTTTATGCTTGAATGAAGAGAAGGTCTTTGAATATCACTTGAAGTATGTGACAGTTTTTTTGTTTTGTTGTTTACTTTTATGGGCTAAACCCACTCCCTTCCCCCAATATCCGTTTCTCCGTCCGGTCCACTCCGTCTCCGCTTTGCGGCAATTTGGCCTGACGCAGAAAAGAGGTTGCCGAACCTTGGCCCATACAAAGGCACCCATGGGCACAAGGCTCAGCTACAAATGATTTCACTGGATGCAACATCCCATGTTGAGCAGCCTGAAAGGTGGTCAAAAGGATCAATTATCATTTTAACCAAGAGCAGGTCATACATACCCAGACAAAGAGGCGATCATGAGAGCCACCATCTTGAGGCAATTGTCAAAGTATCCGCCATACTTTGAGATGAGGGAATCTAACAGTCGGATGTGGAACGCTGCTGTCTTCATTTCAACCGTGAAGTTGCCGTCCTGCTTGTTTCACCAGTAAGGAGGTATGCATAGTGTCAAGCCACAATCGCACAAATCAACAGTGCAGCCCAAAGCTGCGAGTACGGCCCGATCTCAACATGGTTCATCTTTTTATAATAGAGACGTGAAAAGCCTGCGAGGAAACTAAATTACCAACCCAAAGAGCTGCTCAAGAAAAAGTATTGTGTGCAATCGCCCACCATGAGAAAGTATGTTTATTTCTAATTGGGTTGCCAAAACTTTCATACAAAACTAGCAAAATCTCAATAACAAGAAGTAGACTTGTGTGAATAGCGGTTTTTAGAATTTAATTGAAAATTAGTTGAAGTAACACCATTATAACATCTTTAAATTAAATTAATTTTTTTTGTCCGAATATCTGAATTCTCCAATAGTAGTTTTGAATAATGCACTATTCGATATTCGCTTCGAGATGAACTGTGATATTCGCATCTTTCGAACCGTGAATAGCCCCGTTGAGTAGGCTTCTCACCGAGCACGTGTGCACTGCGGAGAAGCAACACCCGCGGAAGCGAGCTCCGTGGTTGTTGCTTCTCCCCAGTGCATCGATGCTCGGTAAGAAGCGCACTCAACGGGGCTATCTCGCCGTGATCACCGCTTCGAAAAGCACAAATATCGTAGTCACATGCTTAGAAGGAAAGCACATCATCAAAGCGGGATGGTGCGCGCATGCACCTGGTGTATTTAAAAAAGAAACATAAACTTTGTGAATGCTGATATCTACATTACAGTAAAACTTCTGTTCTGAAATGCATTTTTTTAATCAAATATTGTAGCTCAACATATCAGTAATAGGGAGTTTTAGTAGATCATTCCAATACATCAGATAATGATGCTACCTGATACTCCCTGACCCTTTGGCGCATGTGTTGTATTGTCATTGGGCACCATTATCGGAGGTGTCAGAATAATCTACTAGTAAAACTCCCTAATGTTGCTACATAAGATCAATCTTTTTTTATATATTCTTCCAAATGAAAGATAAAAACAGAATTATAAATGCTATGGATCGGATTTAGCTTGAAGGACATTGTTTGGACACCTGTGTGTTAAAAAGTTCTAAATTACTTAAAAGGGGGGACACTACCCAGAAAGAACAATTTCTGGAAAAAAAGTTGATTTTGAAAAAATGTCATATTTACATTTACCAACATCTAGAGAGTATTCCCAGAACGTTGCTTTAGTTTACACTGCATAGTTATTTTTTTTTATAAATTACTTTCGGTCCACCGATGCCAACGAAAGGTAGGGGTTGGAGCACTTTGAATGCATTTTTCTCCGTTCCACTCTTCGGTATAAATTTCACTTTAGGAAAACTATTGTTTTCTTATTACACAATAGAGAACTATTCTTAAATGGTTTTCTGCAATAAAATGTTGTGAGAAACGTGCCTGGCTGGTTAGTTTTCCTACTTTAACATTCCTTTACGCTTAAAAAAACTACATTTGTAAAAAAGTGCAGACATGAAAAAAAATGTAATCTTATGGAGTTATACTTATGAAAAACAATTCAATATAGCAAAATAACTAGCTGGATATGTGCTATGGGTATTCCTATGACTATATTACACATAAAAATCACAAATTTGTATTTTATTTTAAAACAGTAGTTTTCCTAAGCGAACACCTAACTTCCATATAGTAAAATTCGTAACAAGTTTCAGAATTGACATAGGACAATGAAATTTGGCAGGGATGGGCTTGCCACTCATATAAACTTACACTGCAAATTTGATTAAAATCAAGCACGCGGTACAGAAGTTAACTTTTCTAGGTAGTGTCCACCCTTAACAGCCTAGGGAAAGACAAGTCATGACGAAGTTTTCGTCCAAAAATGTAACCTATACTGACGATAAGAATAATGCTTTGTACACTTATAATCAGTGCAGATATCTCCTTTTGGAAACTTCAACAGTGTTTCATTAATGAACCTACTTTTCACTGAAGAATGAAACACTGTTGGCACTTGCATTATACTACAATTGGTCCTTCCTGATATAAACAGTATAGACTACCGTAAAATTCCGAGATGCCCCACCTTTGAAAGGTAGCCCACCCTTATTTTTTACTTGATTTGCTATTTTCTCTCAAACACTGAAAGATAGCCCACCCCTAGTAGTCGTAGTGTTCGGATTAATGATGACCTCGGTGTAAATGCATCTAGTTACAGCTATGGCGGGATTGTTACGAATGACAAATGATGAGGCGGCAAATAACGGGAAAACTAAACGTTTAATAGGGCAAGCTTGTGCCCAAAACAAAAAAAGAATAATAACAGGTGTCATAGATGTCGGCGTAATAGCAAAATCGAGAGCTGGCGAAGAACAGAACTCGTAGAGCCACGTGGAGTGTTTTTTGTAGACACATGGGTTTTGTGAGCGTTCAAACTAGAATGTTCGGCCTTTGAACATTTTAAAGGAGAAGTTTCTCGGGCGTTGTACAAACTATTGTTACAACACCATAATAAAAGTTGCGCGGCCCTCAGGAATTGAACCTGGGGCTTCTGCGTGCAAGTTCGGTCCGTTGCCACTCGGCTTGTATGCGGCAATTTAAGCGAACATTGCTGCCTGAAAAGTACAAACATCTTTGCTTCATTGCCCCTCGCCACGATAACAAGTTTGGCAGAGACACATGATCTAAAAACAGCATTTTTTAACTTTCCTTGATTGAGAAGATGAAAACAGCACTAAAAAACGACGGATCAGATAAAGGAAGTTTTTTTGGGCTGTTTTCATCTTCTGAAGTATGTCGTACCAACTTGCCCAAGCTTCAACTTTAGCAACATTTACTTTCCCTGATTGCACATCGAAAGGTAGCCCACTCCTTTTTTTTCACCCAATTTTCTCTCCATTTTAGGTGGGCTGTCTTTCAAGATATTACGGTAGTCATGAGAATAGACTGAAGAGTTCGAAAGTATTCTTCCGAGAGGTCGCAACTGGAAAAACTGCAGCGGTATGAAAAAGGAAAAACAAGCTAGGTGGAAATACCTTTGCCGGTCCCAACTGCTTCAAGGAAGACAACCACTCAACCACATAGGTGCACAAGTCAGACAAAAGCTGATCAATATCCAGACGGTTTTTGAGGCTGTCACGGTACTGCAGTGAAGTCCTGCAAATACAAGACCGAGCAGTTCTTCAAAGGTAACTCGCCTTTGTAAAAACACCATAATTGAGATCAAACCTCATAGCATTTACAACTATGTATTACTGAGCAAAAGCCAACCTGAAACCCACAAAGATAACTGCGCCAACATAAACAAAGAGTGGTGCTCTGTTTAGGCCAGACTTGAGAAAACTGTATGTTCTCCGTTCCACTCTGAATCCCGAGAAATCCGAAAGGTAAGTAAGTGCATGTCCAATATGTAACAGTGCGTAATAATGACTCTATTCTTTAACAGTCAACTAGACTTGTTACTAATGCAACAGATGCTTCAAATTAAAGTAGGGCAAAAATCGTTGTGGTTACACACAATGTATGCAACATACTAAATAGGGATACTACTATCAAGTAAATGCTCAGGGAAAAAAAGCTTACCAATAACAATAAAAGCGAACAAATTTCTGCACACTATACGAGGTCCCAAATATGTACAGTTTCAATTTAACGATGTGCTAGATTAAAATAATGAATCGAAGAGGTTTCAATCTGCTATTTTTGTTCTCTCACTTCCCAATGCACTTCTCAGTTACAAACGACTTTGTATAGTTTTAGATTATCAAATCAAGTCGAGATTTTGTGGGAGAAAGAAAAAACAAATCATTCCGTACTTGACAAGAAACTTCCGAACCGAGACGAGCATCTTGAGATCCAACCCCTGGAGCGTGATGCCGAGGTCTCGGAGACGACGGCAGATCCCCAGAAGCCACACGACGTGCTTCTCACGAGACACTTCCACTTTCACTTTTTCCAGCATGCCGAGAAGGAGCTAGACGAAAAGGCAAAAGAGCGACTTGAAACCAAAATAATTGTCAGTGACAACACAAAGAAATCCACTCACTCTTCGTTGAGCCTGCATAAAGCAAAAGCAAAGACTATGCAAAATGATCAGTCCTCAAACTCCACAAAGTCAGCATGCAACAGAAATGGCTTAAAAGCTAAACAACAGGAATGCTTTTTAATCAAGGTAGCAAGGAAGACAAATTGACTTTGCTCACAAAATTATGCGAGTATAAAAGAGCACGGAAGAAGCTTATAATTTGTCATAGGCACAATGTGCGTGTGCCAAACTCCTCACCATTTGTAAGTGCATCGTCTCACTGGAAAGCTGTATCAGGCAATGCTCGAGTTGGTCGAAATATGGACCGTAAATCTTCTCACTTTCCTGAACACAGAGAACAAGAAAAAATTAAGTAGTGAATGTTACTAAGATGTAAGGACAGACAAAGGAATCTATTATTATTAAGGTATTATTATTTGTACAATAGTGCAAATAAACGTTTTAAGGACCTCTGACATTTCCACAAAACAATTTTTTTTTTGTGCAATGTAGAAGTTTATTTTGTTTGTATATGCACATCCATCAAGCGAACTAGAGCTGGCATTCGGTCAAAGTTCGCTATTAAATGCCTTTTCAGACGATGTGACGTCAATCTGTACACTCACACACGAAAGAAATTACCACAAATCAACTTAAACTAAGCCATATCTTTCCAGGTAATATGACATTCGTCTACAAGCTCATATGTGGTGAAACATTCCCACCTTGAATAGGAGTAAGATGTACAAACAGGGTCAATGTCACATCAATCTATGAGCTGATATGTGTAAAACAACCCCACCTCAGCTGTCTATGCATCTTTTTATGGAAATATGATTTAAACCTACAAGTTCACATGCAGTAAATAATCCTACCTTGAGATGTCCGTACGATGTCTGAACGATGTCAAGCGAAAGAGGCACGGGTGTCAACACATCTTCCAAGACAATCAGTTCCTCAGAGTTGAGGGACGCGACCAGGCTCCTCACTGACTCTATCATACCAACTGCAACCTGGATCATACATGAAACAAAGTTTAACAACACATCTCGTACAGGATGCCTCACCTTCAAGAAAGCAAGCCAAACCAGCCAAAACCACAAACAGGCAGCTGCGTATTATGACGGAGTCGGCTTTTGCAAGCTCAATTTTTTCCAATAAAAAGCCTTCAGGACAAAAACTTGGCCCCAATTTGTTTTTTTTTATTTTTCCGTCAGAAAAGAACTTTGAGAACTGATAGTTGAGTGTCCAGGTTCTTCGCATAAAGTCACCCAACTATGTTGCCACTTAACCCGAGACTAGGGTATGAATTATAAACTTAAAAGTAGAAGGAACAGAAAAAAGGGGAGAAGAGAATGTCTCAAACGCAGCTAAAAGATTTATTCAGTCCCGCATCCTTATATAGTCAGAGCTTCCAACTATATAAGTAAGCAAGACACCCAATTATATAAGCAAGTTCTTCTTTTGGATTTCTATAGTATGAAAAGGGCGCATTTCTGGTTCGAAAGCAAAAGAGGAGTCGGTAGCACATGCCTACAATATATGATTGACTGCACTCAGCATTGTGGGGATTCCTGTGGTCTCCCTTCCGCAATGAGGCGGAGGGTCCCCTGTCTTGAGGGGCCCTCACCTCATTCCTTCCCGGGGGGGGGGGGGGGGGGGGGGGGCTTTTTTTGTTTCCGTGCTCGGATGCGGCTCACGCCTGACACGCGAGGAGGTTTCCTCGTCCTTTCCCGCTTTCGGGAAGGGGACTCGTCCAGTGACCGCGAAAGGGGTAGGACGTGCGTCGGTGACTTCTCCGATGCTTTCCAACCCTCTGGCTCTCCAGAACCACGCGTTTAGTAGGTAAGGACCTTTTCTTATCTTGGCGGCATGATGGGGCATTTTGGACAAGGACATAGTAGTTCTTTTAAAAGTTTTAATAAATCCTCTTAGTCTCTGTCTTTACTCGGGTACACATACGTCTTCTCTTCCACTATATTTGAGAGAGTGAGACAAGATAGTCGACCATTGGCATCCACAGAGGTATTTATCGAACTGACACGCGGTAATGTAGCCCTAAACGTCGTCTATATTCATACGCCCCAACGACAATGCATGAACGGGACGAAGAAAAAGAAAATAATATTGGTTCGGCAGCAGCGGAGATGGGGGGACCTACGCTACTAGGTTCGACGTCTCCTTTGAAATCGTCGCCGCTGTTGAGATAACCCTTTGGTTACTCTATCGATACCTCTGATGGTAGCTAGCTAATCCCACATAAAATGGCACCCAACGTGGGGCCATGAGTGCTTTTTCGGTTGTGGCTCCTGGCCTCCGTCCCATGTCCAACCTTATTTGCCGACATTCCTTGCCTTTGATCACCCCGTACCACGAGCCTTCTGATGTCACCATTCATGGTTGAGTGGCTCATGCCGAGTTGGCAACCCACAGTCCTACTCCTTTGAGCAAGCACACTGCGTTTCATACGCGCATTCCTGTTTTGAATTTGCAAACCAAGCAACATTCGTTATTGCGGGAGAACCGTTGTTCTCCATGCTTGAGAAGAACCCTTCACCTTTGTAATGAGTATTTGGTTCCCTGCGTACCACCAACAACTTGCCCTGAAGGGAAAGTGTAGTATAAAGAAGTTTCCATGATGTGTTTCATAACTGGGTGGACCTTTCATGTCCGGCAAGAATCGAGGCTTGGCGGAGAAGAGTAGCGAAGGATCAGCAGTGCAATCTGAGAATGTAAATATGCGCGTTGTCTTTGACTCTGAGCAGTCGCGGACTCTCAGCAAGAGTGAAACGGTGTGAAAGTCATTAACATCTAAGTAGCCGGTACTGATACTGACGAGCTCCGGGAGCCAGGTTGAGCAATCGTTGGCATCCAAAAGCAGTTTGCATACTGTGGATGCCTGTGTCGTATTCACTGCAAGTATTACAGTGGGTGCAAAGGGCTTTCTTCGGGAGAGATTTGTACCTGCTTGATGCCAACATACTCTTGCAGCCTGTTATTCTCCATGAACGACGAGTTTTCCGTTCAAGGTGGTGGTGCTATGCGGTCTAAGGCGCAGTGTGATAATATCTGGGTGGACGGGTGACGCCAAGTCTTTCGGAAGTTATGTAGCTCTAAAATCTGGGCGCCATGTAGCCAAAGCACCTTTTGGCTATATGTGTCAGACTCGCATGATCCAGGTGGACGAGTGACTCCAAGACTCTGAGCAGTTATGTTGCTCTAAAACCTGGCTTAGCCCCAAAAGAAGGGCCCACACCGTTGTGAGCGCTTGATCAAGCCAAATCGAGTGAGAGACATGTTTTTCTAGCCTCGGTAAGCTAGCTAGCTCAAAAATTTGCCGAAGCTAGCAGGTTTGAGCAAGCGAGCTGCGACCCCTTTTGTCTTCCTAGTTGGGCAGCGAGATGGCAGCTATTTTGCGCAGGAACTTGCGACTCACTCGCTCGCAGACGCACATGCATGGCAGTTCGTTTTCATCTGCCCCTTCATAGTCCCCACATCAATTTACCTCAACTTCCAAAGGTGGGCCAGCTGCAGATCTCTATATGCTTTGGCCACCTATAGTCAAAGGCCTCTTCCAGGGACTGTAAAACTAGGTAATGTAGGTAACTTCAGATTAAGCTGCCTGCTCGAAGGATCAAGAACTCGGTGCTTTTCCTAGAAGCTCTCTCCCTGGTGTTCACAGTAAGCTAACTCAATTAGTTTGCTTGGTATGTGGACGGGTTTCAAAAGGAGGGGACCCTTTCCGGCTTCTCCTTCCAGTGTCGAAACAGAACCTGGTATGAGTCTTGTAATCGTTCGCTAGGTTCGCTTCCCCCTGGGAGCATCTTCCTGTCACTGTTGACAAACTGGCCTCCTTTTTCGTGGTTTTCTTTGTCGTTTGCCGCCTTTGCGGCCTGGCAGGCGAGCGTTGGTTGAGCGCGTCCCCTCGTTTGGAGGCTGAGGCGCCTTTTTCCCCCCTTTGGGGGGAGCTGCGGCCGGCTTCTGGGCATGTTGTCTGCTGGCATTACAATTTTGCACGTCTGCTCCGGGGTCGTCCACCCCCCTTCACCAACTCACTACGGCCAAGATGGCGCCGAACCACCTATACGGCGCATCTTGAGGACGTTACCAGCAGGTCTCCGTCGAACAGCACCAGTTGTTAGCCTTTAGGTGCTGCCGCCTTTGCCATCCTCCGCTCCAGGCCAGGGGTCGCCGTGGCGACACCGGTGTTCAGCCATTATGCCGCAATGCCTGCGATGCACTGCGGTGCTGTGGCGGCAACAGTCAAGTGTTTGAGTCTTGCTTTCCTGTTTTTCTGCCTTCTGCGCGAGCTGTTGCCAGTGGACACAGTGGAGACGCTTGCTGGGTGTCGCGTGTGGTTGGTGGGGTTGTGCATAGATATCATAGTTATATTTTAGTTGATGAGAGCAGATGGGCCTTCTTTATTCTTTCTTGAGACCCACCTACAATTTTAAGGAGGGGGAATGTAGGGATTCCTGTGGTCTCCCTTCACCGATTGCTGTGAATGAGGCACGGGTTAGTGTTCGGCCTCTTTCGCCTTAAGCTTCGACCTGTACATGAAGCGGTGGGTCCCCTGTCTTGTGGCGCCCTCATCTCACTCTCTCCTAGGGGGACCTTCTTCCGTTCCCCCACCTGGATGCAGCTTACGACCGACAGGCAAGGAGGTTTCGCCCTGCCTTTTCCCGCTTTTGGGAAAGGGGCTCGTTTGGTGACCGCGAAAGAGGTAGGACGTGTACCGGCAACCTCTCCGATGCTTTCCTGCCCTTTGGGTTTCCGGAACCCCACATCTGGCAGGTAAGGTCCTTTTCTTACCTTACCGGCACGGGGGGCATTCTGGATGGGGACATAGTAGTTCTTTTAGGAGTGTTTTAATAAATGTTCTTGGACTCTGTCCTTACTCAGGTATGTGCCTTCTCTTCCGCTATATTTGAGAGAGTGAGACAAGGTAGTCGATTATTGGCACCGACGGAGGTATCTAACCGACTCGCAATAACGTATGTAGCCCTAAATGCAGTCTACATTGCCTTGGAGATATGGGACCCGCGCTACTAGGTTTGGCGTCTTCTTCGACATCGCTGCTGCTTTTAAGATCACCCTTTGGTTACTCTACCTCTGTTGGTAGCCAGGAAATCCCACAGTAGAGAGAAATTAGCATTACATTTTATTTTTTAGAGCGCAGCTCTTAGGGGCCCGTTCCCGGCTCGAGCGGCATCGGCGTCGCCGTCGGCGTCGCCGTAATTAAGGTCATCCCAAGGTCACGTGACCCCTCCCCCAGGGTCACGTGACCCCCAAGGTCACGTGACACTCAAAGTCACGTGACCCCCTGAAGTCACGTGACCCCCAAGGTCACGTGACCCGCCCCCCGAAGTCACGTGACACCCCCAGGTCACGTGACCACCCCCCAGGGTCACGTGACCCCCCGCCGAGGTCACGTGACCTCCCCGATGACGTCATCGGATCCGCATCGTCATCGTCATCATCACTGATGACGTCATCAGTGACGTCACTGATGACGTCATCAGTGATGATGACGATGACGATGCGGATGCCGGTGAGGTCATCAGTGACGTCACTGATGACGTCATCAGTGATGATGACGATGCGGATGCCGGTGACGTCATCAGTGACGTCACTGATGACGATGACGATGCGGATGCCGGTGAGGTCATCAGTGATGATTACGATGACAATGCGGATGCCGGTGACGTCATCAGTGACGATGACGTCATCGGGGAGGTCACGTGACTTCGGCGGGGGTCACGTGACCCTGGGGGTGGTCACGTGACCTGGGGGTGTCACGTGACTTCGGGGGGGGCATCCGCATCGTCATCGTCATCATCACAGATGACGTCATCAGTGACGTCACTGATGACGTTACCAACATCCGCATCGTCATCGTCATCATCGCTGATGACGTCATCGGAGTCCGCATCGTCATCGTCACTGATGACGTCATCAGTGACGTCACTGATGACATCATCGGCATCGTCACGTGACCCCCCAAGGTCACGTGACCCCCCCCCAGGTCACTTCACCCCCCCAGTACCCTTCCCTCCTCCTCCTCAAGAGCTGCGCTCTAATTCGGTGTTACAGGGAGTTGTAAACGGCTTTCACTTTTTTTTAAATGCTCATGGTGACCAAAAAAAGCAGCTTAAGCAACAGTCTGCAGGGTGATTTGGAGGCCTTTTTGAAGGCGAAAAATGTATAGTCACCTCAAGCAGCTTGACCACCTCTTCCAAAGCAACCTCATGAGCAGGCTTTGCTTTATCCACCAAAGTGCTGCAGACACTGGTGAACTTTTTTAGTACCTTTATGAAAAAGAAGTGAATCAATAAGTAATGAACTGTATCGTCGTTTAGGATGTGACCAGCGTAACACGAGCAAGTAGATGAGAAAACAGTTAAAAGGGAGGCACTCACACAAGGCAAAATATTTTCGATGGGAACGTTGTCTGCACCCACCGCTTCGGCACTCATGAAACAAACATCCCTCAAGATGCCTGAACGCATAAAGACAAAACATAGAGCCGGGTTATTTCAATAAGAGAAGGAATGCAAAGCAACATACATCTGAACTGTCACTCAGCCTTTTGCCTCAAATTTGATTACATCATTCAGATGAATGGCTCATCCAGGAAAGAAATGTTTGCAAAAGTGCGCATTTAGAATATAAAAATACACACTCATTCAAAACGGAATGAAAGCAGATAAAGTGGGGGCTTACCTAAATACGATGAATCGGAGCCCGCGCTTTCGGCACATTCCTACACTGCATTAAGGCAGCTTACGCAGATCGCGAGTACTGAGAACATTAAAGTAATTTAACATATACACCTGCAACGGAAAAAAGATTCGCACAAGTGACCAACGACAGGAGTGGCAAAATTGCGACATGCGCGAGAGTCACGTTCCATGTCTCAACGGGGGGGTGGCCGGCAGAAAGCCATAGAGTTATTATAATGTACGCTAGAGGTTCAAGTGGCGCTAGTGTGCCGACGCAAACTGAAGCAGACAGCAACCAGTCGAAAATTGACTTCCGGTAATACATTTCTATGGGAAAAAGTGAGTGAATTTTCTCCCTGTGCTCGGTCATAAGAGCAAATATCCCGAATAATTTGTACGTACTAAGTAGCTTGGAACATTTCTCAGTCAAGCCGACGAAATAATTGGTCAGTTACGGCGTTTTTCTTTCAAATTTACTGCATTCAAAACGGTGCTAAAACGGCTTTGTACGTGTATTTATGTGCACTGTCGGACACTGTTAGCGCAAACACGATGTCGTCGCTCTTCAAGCATGAGGGATATAGATGCGAAACGAACAAAGGACATCTGGAAGCTAAGGGAGACGGCACGAACTGTGCAGTAACACTGGATCAGTAACTCCTCGTGCACGTAAAATAAAAATAAATTGAAGGCCACGTAATATATTCAGATTTTAAATAAGTAAGTACCACTTTATTCTTTCTGCTCTGTGTGAGTTCTACGTTCAAAATATCACCCGCATGCTCGAAATCCTTAAGAACAAGTGCCCGATAAAAGCTGTCCAGCAGAGAAAACAATACGAAGAGACATCTTTCATAGCCGACCTGCTTTATTCTTTATGTTTTTAATGTTTTATTCGCTCATGCATGACGGGGTTATTTCCACATAGTGACAAACTGGCATATTATCAATACATAAGCGTCACCGGAATGCTGGCTAGCCTTGAACACACTGTATATTCCTTTCGATTGTAATTTTGCTTTGAATCGTCGCTTGTTTTTACACACCTGCTGCAGAACACGCGTTTGGAACTGAAATTCAGTGAAATCAAACATTGTTCACTGATGAAGAGAAATCTGCTAACTAAAGCAATTATACTTTTACAATGTTAATTAAGGTGCATACTATTCGGTATGACTCAAATAACCAAAGTGTTCCGTGTTATTTTCCGGCGAGAGACAAAATGCACGCGCGTTTTTACATAGGAATGCACAGGAGCGCCGCCAAAGTAGACTGGTTGCTGTCTGCTTCAATTTGCGTCACAGAGGTCGCATAGGTACTGGCGCCAGTTGAACTTCTAGCGTACATTATAATAACTCTATGCAGAAAGCAGCCCATCCTAAAGCCCGCCGTTTCGAGAGCTCTCTTAACCCGCAATTTTCTGCTGACCATATTCGCGTTGAAACATGGAACGTGTCTGGAAGTTTGCGATTTTGCCACTCCGGTCATCGGTCCCGCGTGCTAATATTTTTCCGCTGCAGCTGTACCCGAGATTCTAAACGTCTTTCAGCTCGCTTGCGCGCAAGTAACTATTAACGCTACTACGTGATTCGTATTTTACTTAGCTGCTGTAATAAAAGTTCAAAATTTATGGCACAAAATCAACAAATGCCGAGATGGCAGCGTAAAATGGATACGATCAAAGCAGACACCTTCTCGCTGAAGCAATCTGGGGAATTCGACATTTTCTTGGCGTGCTCGGCTTCCAACTCCGTCAGTTGTTCACCTGAGTCACTCACGCATTACAAATTAGTAACACAAGTAAACTCAAGTTACAATAACATTAGATTAAAAAAAAAAAAAAACATTTCGGCATCATACGCAGGAGCTACAAGTTTGCTTTGCTTTTTCGGGTCCTCACACCAAACGACTAAACCAACCGCCATTTATTCTGGCTTGACCTGGCTTGGATTTGAATTGATTGGCTTAAAAGTTAAAACTCCAGATACCAGTGGCCAGACCAAAGGCCCTGATCTCTATGCAAAGGCCAGACTGCATTTTCTAGCGCGGACTCCTTGAAAAGCTCGAAAGTCAAGCGAATGAATAAACCCAATACTTATACGTACCGTATGCGCATACATATAAAGCCATGTGTATTATGCAATTTATAATTCAGTAACCATAAATATCCCACAAATATTAATCGCACGTGTTGCTCGTGTTGCCATGGATACAAAAGAGTCGCATGTTTCGGTGTTTCGGCAATTTTTTGTTTGCACACTTGGGTGATCAAAACGAGCTCTTGAAACATTTTTGATTTGTATTGGGAGAACTACAACGGTGGCGAGAGATGCAGATAAGGTTTTTGAAGACGCTGCTGCCTCCGCAGGTGAGCGGTGCCGTAGTCCGCCTTTGTTCGTTGAAAGAAAAGTGTGTGGGGTTGTCGCGATAGTAAGAAAACAGCGAGAAGTGTAGCTGAAGAACTGAACATTGCAAGGAACTGATATCTGCCGTCCCTAGGATCTTTCACATAACTTCCTAAAGTTTATATGTACGCAAACGTGCGGATAACTGCAACGCTGCATGTTCGCAATGACAGGTCAAGAACGAAGTGGAAGCTCCTCCCACCCCTTTCCACTTCAGCGGAGCGAACGGTGGAGAGAAGGTCGCCTCCTCTCCAAAAGAGGTGGGAGGAGCTTCCACTTCGGCTTCCACTTGACCTGTCACTGACTATAGACACTGCGAACAATGCGTAATTTGTTTCACCTTTGTGCGACTGGTACAACAATAAAGACGACTTTAAAAAATAATAATGTGGGATTGAAAATTTTAGCATATTATGCAATCTCTACCACTCACAATGTTCATTTGTTCAGTATGTGCTTAGCCTACTCGCTAAAGCACCGCTTTCTTGCACTCCAGAATTTAGAAGGGTGCTGTCCTCTCCAATAAAAGTGACAACTTTGTTTTATTTTTTGCAAGGTTTTGAGGTTCATGCTGGGGGGCAGGAAGTTTTTGAAACAGAAACATTTTATTCTTTTCCATGAAGCGAACTCGGCAGAAACTTGCTTGGTAAGAACCGAGCCATAAAAGTTGTATGAAAGAACAATATGTCACTGTCCAAAGTCCTCAATCTTTGGCTGCTTCTTGAGAAGAGACCCACTGATAAACAGATTCGTCCACTGTGATGACTTCAAACGCTGGGAAAATGTCTGAATAGACCTTTTCTTTCCGCTTGCTCAACCTTGATTTCCTGGTTAGCATATTCCTCCTGATGTACTTGCATTCATTACAAGCAGTATCTGCAAAAGGACACAATCACCATGAGCATGACAAAACCATTCCTGACAATTCCCTATATATTCACTTATATGCAAAAAAAAAAAAAAAAAAAAAACATAATATAAAAAGTTTTGTTGTTTTATAAAAATGTGCACACTCTAAATGCGAGAAGCATTGCTTTCTTCTCAGACTAGCTATAAGAAAACTTTTTACAGTGGAGCTGTTAAGGGCTAGTTTCCCCAGGATTGTGTCCCCTGCAAAGAAATGAAGACACCGAACTCTGGACACCTACCGCCATCTATGAGCGATGGCGGCAAACCACGTATCTGGTTGCTGCTGTCGCTCATAGATGGCGGCAGCCTTTCCACTCTGGCTTGCTGACTTGCGGCCGGCCATTACTTTTCATTGTACAGCCCCGCTGGTGGAAAGGCTGAAAGTTTTTTTTTTCTTTCTTTTTAGTGGCAAGAGAGACCAGGGGGCTATGTTCGACAATTATGTCATTTCTCCTAAAAAGAAACAGAAGTGGCAATATCGCGTCTGATTGGCTAGAGGTTCAAATAATGAAAGAGGAAACTTTTGTCATATGAGCCTCTAACCAATCAGACGCGATATTGTCACTTCCATTTCTTTTTAGGAGAAACAAAACATTTGTCGAACATAGCCCTCCAGAGTGATCCAAGTGCCGAATGTACCAGTTTGAAATTACTATTTCACAGCCGTATCAGGCCAAGACCACTGAAGAGAATGCAGCAGGCTGTTAGGTTTATGGAAAGTACAGTTGAACCTCGATTTAGCGAAGTCGCCGGGACCCCCTAATTATTTCGTTAAATCGGGAACTTCGTAAAGTCGAGAAAGACATTCTTCGGGATAGGCTGCGCGGGGAATCCGAATTCGTTCGCTAAATCGGGTTTCGTTAAATTGAGGTTCAACTGTACTGCAACAAAAGCAACTGATTATGGAGAGGACCAGAACAAACGTGTTGACACATAAAAGCACAAAACATATAGCAACAAAAACAGATGTGCACAAGACTTTTTTTACCCCAGTGCTGTGCTTTTGTTCCCCGGCAGAGACAGTAAATGATGTTCTGGAATATGCTGCCTAAATTCTGAAGCTGCATTGAATAATTCACAAATCACTTTTGAAAGGTTAAAACAGCTCAGAGTTTGGCAAAGTTCTATTACAGGGTTTCCTCTTTCCCTAGAATAGCATGCAGAGGCCAGGTGTGAACATGCTTTGCACCAACGTCACATCACCAGCCACTGTAGTGGCCTTGCTGCCAAAACATTTCGCTCCACCGATTGTTTTTTTTTTTTTCCTTTTTTGCAAGGACAAGTAGGAATAAGCACGTGGTGCAATGGCGTCATGTGAAATCTATGCATCGACATTTGTGTAGACCTGAGAACACCCGCTCTGTCATACTTTAGCCTCCTGTCAGAGGGCTATGTCATACGTACGTGGCTTTGAAACCGTTGTGCTGCACCCTTTGCTGAAGAACGCACCAGACCCTGGGCGCCCAGGAACAAGACTGTTGCGCAAGTTACTCGTGAGAAGGCTTCGGAGCTCCTTCCATTCAGAGTGACTCGCTGCTCCTTTACACAATTCAGTCTCGCCCGCCATTGCCAGCGCATCTTCAGCCGCCTTCACGGTGGTTACCAGGCGCTCTTGGATGAGTGTTCGCCCGATGTACACCTGGCAGTTCACGTCAGGGTACCTCTGGGGACGGAACACGACAGTCTTTTCTGTGATCACCTCCGAAGACAGGTCGTTGAACCAGGACGACACATACACGGCACCCTTGAAGCTCGGAAACTTGAGGCACGACCAACAACCGGCTGGAGTTTGAAGCTGAAGCAGCATCTCCTGTCTGGATAGCATTTCAGAAGACGAGGTAGCAGGACTGGTCTTCTGGACTGTTGTGTTAGTAGTCTCCAGGAACACGGTGTTGCTGTCCTCTGGGTCTGCGGCGCTAGTGTCTTCTTCTACAGCCCTATCAGCAGTGATAACCTCTTCGCCCTGCTCTACGGAGTCTGACCGTTGCTGCTCGTCTGCCGTGCGCAGTGTCGTCTTCCTCCATTCGCTCAGCTCTTCGGGACTCTTTGGTGACGGAGAAAACGAAGGCGGCGGCCCTAGATGTTCGTCAGGAAAAATTGTCGGAACGGCGTCGGACGTCAATGTCGCTTTGGCCCGAGGTATCCGCACTTCCTTGCCGTCGATGATGTGAACGAAGTCGCGCTGAATGTACCGCGGTTCGAAGTGGAGTTCGCACACATGGGTGGTGTTGCGGAGCTTCTGGACGTCGCGCTGCAGGCTCCGCGCCCATGCTTGTCGCCTCTCGGCGTTCTTGGGCAGTCGGTAGAGTGAAAGTTTTCCCGTCAGAGCCGCGATGTGGCCGGTTTTGCAGCCAGGTACGACGCACTTGCGGATTTTGCGGAACTTTTTTTCTTTCGGGCCCACCGTGTTCTTGCCTCTCGTCGAGCCCATAACTGTGGCCGCTGCCACTCCGATCGTCCAATCCACCGACTAGACTACGGCGTGACTGGGTCACGATGAATACGGCGTAAACGTGTCAGCACAGCAGCGATAACATAACCAAGATTTCATGGAGCAACGTAGTTTTAAAATTTGCGGAACATGAAACAACGTCGTCAGCGGGAAGACACGGGCCGCGTACAACACGCACGCCGTCAAAAATTTCCCGAGCAACCATCAAAACACATCCCAGGGGGCATGGCGGTTCCGGTCGTTCTGGTGCGCACTGAGCATGCGCGTCAGTTGTCCTGTTGCCCTGGTAACCGTCAGATGGCGGCAGTTATGAATTTTTTAAACGTAATTTTTGTTTTTCTCGTTACTAAAAGAAAAAAAAAATGTTTTTCTTCACTTTTTTTAAAGAAAAGACAAGCGCGTGTAATACACATACTTGAGAAACGAGTGCTTCAGTACTCATCAGAGAGAGTTGGTAATATGTTTATTTTTCTCTTTTGTCGGCTTACACTAGAACTTCAACATCTACAAGCACATCACGGCCAGCATGATTGCGCTGGCCGTGATGTGCAGCTTAGAACTTGACAAGTATGTACCAGAGCTGTATCCTTCTGTAGGACGGTGCTGCCAAAGTGACGGCCATTGCGTGGTCACCCAACAATGTCAAGCTGGCTGTTTGCACGGCCGACAGGGTGGTCCTTCTCTTCGATGAAGCTGGAGAGCGCAGAGACAAATTTTCCACCAAGCCAATTGACTCCAAGGTGGGGAGCATGTTTTCTATCATGTCTCGTGTCCTTGGAGACATCCTTATTGTGCTGCTAGCTCCACCGAATATTCTATGCAATCTCTTGCCTGGTCATTATATGTATTTGGTATATAGCTAATTTTCCTCTTTTGTATACATGACTGGTAAGTAATTAAGGGGATAATTGTTCCACTAAACTAATGAAAGCCCTAATGTAATACTAACTCTATTGGACCTAATTTGTTAAAATTAGGGGAAAATCTATCATAGAGCTGTTAACATTTGTTCAAATTTTGTTTGAAGAACTTTGTATTACATGAATCTTTCAACTGTAAATTCTACCAAATAGTTGTTTTGAAAACATAATTTCACTGACTGTTCAAACTTAAGAGGAGGGTATAAACAAATTAAGGTGTGTACCATGCTGACCATGAACATGTCCTGATGTTGAACCTCTGTTGCATGCACAGTATGGCAAGAAGAGTTACTTGGTCAAGGCCATTGCATTCTCACCTGACTCAACCAAGCTGGCCGTAGGTCAGACTGACAACATCATCTATGTCTACAAGCTGGGGGAGGAATGGTGGGTGGCTTGTCTATTTTATTACATTTCACTCCTGTGATTTTCTGACAAGACATTTATCAAGAAATATATTAGTAAATGTACCTTGTCAAACATTATAAAAGAAAGTAGCATAAAAATGGGATGCAGAACGCTGTACATTGCTGCCTCAAGATCCTTACTAATGTTGTTATAGAATGTTTAATTTATTTTTAAAGTTCCTCACAATACATCAGATATGGTACCATGATATCTGTCATATGTTTTAATTAATCACATGTGAAAAATATGCATAGTAGTGTCTGCTTAGATGAATCCATATCGTTTTACAAAATGTGTCTACTCATTCCTTTGAAAAAGCCTGTCTGCTTTCTTGTAAAACCTGTGTGCACTGCAAGGAAGCAGCAGTGTCTGAAATTACTATTTCTGTACATGTAGAAATATAATAAACACTGATACACCCTTACAGAATTCATATAAGCATCAAAATTAGTGCTTTGGTTCAAATTACCCATATCTGGGGACAACTTTTTCTGGCAGTGAAGCAAAAGCTATAAGTACCCATGAATTCATGCATATTGAGTGCCTCTTCTTCTGAAATGCCAAAAAAAGTTGTTTCCGAGTATAGTTTGTACGATCATGCTCTATATTGAACATTTTCTTAACTTCTTTTACAGAGTCCCAAACTTGTAAAAGAAATAAATATGATGTCCTTATATTTTCCCAAAAACTATTATGCTTCATTTGTACTATGGTTACCTAGTTTGGTCATTTGTGAAGTCACTTCAGTTGTATCATTTTGCTTTTATTGATCCTTTCGATTGTTTGTCGTCAATCAGCGTAGGTTGTAAGCTGCACATCCTCAATTCATGCAGGGGCGACAAGAAGGTGATATGCAACAAATTCATCCAGCAGAGTGCAGTTACCTGCATGGTGTGGCCTCATCATGGTCCCATTACGTTCGGCCTTGCGGATGGAAAGGTGCGAAATGGAACCTTTATGAGAGCACTGCTTGGTTCATTCAATATGTCAACCATAACCTAGAAAAAACTCCTTTATTTTTTTCAAAGGAAAGTATTTTGAGAATTGTTATATCTAGGTTTACCAACATCTGACAAGCATTTTAAGTTTAACTCATTTCTGCTTAATATTTAACCCATTACCAATAATTCTCAGTGACTCGGCACTAATTTAACAGTGGAGAGATCTGGACAGTTTGAATGCTTCTTTCTATGCTCCGTATGTTTCATATGAGTTTAGTTCTAGCCCCTCTAACGTGAAAGGATGGAACTGAAATGAAAGCTAATTCTTCATTTTTTTCTGACGTAAATTTTATGAGGATTTTGCTTGTGAAATTTTGTTTTTACTTTATTGATATCTTTAATGAAAAAATGTTAAGATTTTGTCAAAGATACAGAGAGCCTTAAAGTTCCACGTTTCCACTTACAGGTTCGCAGTGCCAATGTGAAGACAAACAAGTCGTCCACACTGTATGCCACAGAATCATATGTTGTTTCGCTGGCCAGCAGGTAGGTGCTTTTGGTTATATGACTTGTTCTGTTCTTTAGCACATGCCAATATTTGTTTCTGTAATTTTTCACAAAATATGTATGGCTGTAACTTTAGCTAGAATATGGGTTTCATCTCCTGTGCCAGGCGTGACTGAAGACGCATTGAAGATTGTAGCCTCGGGGTGTCCGAGGCATCTACAGCTTATGTCATGCTCGTATAAAATCGGTGCATTCTAACCAAATGTTAGCAGAACTTGCTGGTTACAAGTGCATGACCGTCCTCTGCGCAGTGTTTCTGGGAAAGGATTTCTTTCCGGTCATGCGGATGGCAGTGTGGTTCGCTACTTCCACTTTGATGATGGCTCTGGTGACACTCAGGTGAGTCCAGGAGCAAGTTCAAAGCCAGGAAAATAGTGACACTCACTTCAAGTTCAGTCAAAAAACAAAAAAAATTAATTCCATGAAGTATTTTGTTTTGTAGTACATATAGGCAAACTGTACCATAATTAATTAGATAATTAAATAATTTTGGGATTGCATAATGGCAATCCAATTAGTTATTCCCTTTCCTAGCCCTATTTTTTTAGTCATGCTTTTTGTTTGCAGACTAGGTAATTTTGTTTCTGGGTTTCAAATTGTATATATGTACACATCTAAAGTTTTTCATAGTTTGCTGGACCGACGCAGGGTCATCTTGTAGGACCTAGAAAAAAAATCATACTGTATAGTAATTAACTGAATGTAAGTGTGCAAGCAAGCTCGTGTACATTGAGCATGACAAAACCCTGAGACTGCAGGTAAAAAATAAGACCTTTCAAAAAGAGACACATCTAAAGTTTTTCATAGTTTGCTGGACCGACGCAGGGTCATCTTGTAGGACCTAGAAAAAAAATCATACTGTATAGTAATTAACTGAATGTAAGTGTGCAAGCAAGCTCGTGTACATTGAGCATGACAAAACCCTGAGACTGCAGGTAAAAAATAAGACCTTTCAAAAAGAGACCTTTCAGTGTTTGTGGCGTTCTTAACCTGCAGTCACGGTGTTTCAGCATAACCGTAGTCTTTGTTCCTCCTCTGGATGGAGAACAAACATGGTGTGCCTCAACTGTTTTCTGGGTACAGGGCAAGCTGCTGACGCATCCGTGCCCACCATACGCTCTCTCTTGGACGGACCAGTCGATTGCGGTGGCGGGCTGCGACAAGCGCGTCATCTTCTACGCAGCCAGGGACGGGCGTGTGCAGCAGCAGTTTGACTACAGCCGCCAGCAGGACGAGCACGAGTTCACTGTGGCCGTCTGCAGTCCTGGGGGCCATGCCCTTGCTGTGGGAAGCTACGACCGGTAGACAAGTTGACCCCTTTTGATGACATGGTTGTTTTCTGGCCAGAAATCTGTTCTCAGCGAAATCCAACAATTTTTTAAGAATTATTTTCTTGCTTCACATGTCCTCGCAGCTTTTTAACGAGTGAAAATGAGTCATACACAATGCAACACTCTTGGTGCTAACAAGTGATCGCCAGTTTGTTTCTGTTTTTCTCTTAGAACCAAAAGGCTCTCGTGTAAACCACTAGTGCTGTAAGAAGTGCTGATTTGGGGCACTAACCTAGGCAGTGATATGTGGTGCTCGCCAATAGCCTTCCAGGGAAAACTGCAGAAAAGTGCCGATGTCGTGCTCGTGCTAACAGTATCGTGCAGTGTACATTCATAGTTGATGAGTCTTTTCTAAAAACATTTTCAATAGGAAACGAGGTTATTTTCAGTGTCCTGAAAACCGAAATGAATTGGTTGCTGTGGAGGGACATTAGTTTTCAGACTGTTGCAGCTGCGAGGGCTTTTGGAAAGAAATTGTTTCAGTCCTTGCTTTGCTTATGCTCTCAATGATGGAATCAGAAATACTGAAAATGCACAATTGGCATCAACACTTCAAAAGTGTCATACTATAAATTTTATAACAGTCCAGATTCTCAATACCAACCACTTGCAAATTGCGGAGGCCTAGAGACGCTCCTGCTTCATCAGCACTTGTTACCATTTTAGAGGATGTAATACTAGCTGTAAATAACTCTCGTTAAGAGTGAATTTTGAAAAAATTTTGCGTAAACAAAGTTTCACGATTTAGGGAGATACGCTATTATTCGTTACATGGGTTGATATATTTGCACAGTCAATGTTTTGCAATGTTTTTCGAGTTGCTAAACTTGCAAAAATCGGGTCCACGCAAAAAATAAGCAATTTACGGTCGACAACTACCGGTACTCGTCCCTGGATATATTTTATCGCAGCGTTTTCTACCATGGGGTTTCCGTAAGCTGGCAGCAGGAGTCACCTTCTTTCCTTGTTCTCCTGGCAACACAAAGTGTCTTCAAATGCAAGATCTAAATACCACTCGGATGGGGAGTCGCTCATTTCCTTACCGCTTGTCCAGTGTGCGGGTGTTCACGTGGAGCAGCAGCAAGCGTGCCTGGGACGAAAGCAATCCCAAGGAGATACAGAACGCCTACACCATCTCCAGCTTAGCCTGGAAGCGAGACGGCTCCAGGCTCGTCGTGGTACGTTCCTTTCTACCTCGAAGTGATTCAGCGAACGTTCACACGCAGCTTAAAATGTCTCTGGGAATATATCTTCGAGAGAGTAAGGAGTAATTAATTGTTTTTCCGCCTGGAGCGATAGCTTATAACATACTTTACCAACCTGAGGTAGGGTCAGGTGATTGATCATTACTCAAAGTTGTATACCTACCACAAAAATATAGAGCAAGCACCCACCCCAAAGTTGGTGATAATTATTAAAAACGGAGGGTTGGGCACTTATTTTGCTTTTCTGGACCGGCTCGTTTTTGTATGTATTTTCATGTCAGATGAAATAATATTAAAATAATGATGATGAGGATGATGTCCAAGAGTAAAAATGCAGAAGGGGCAAAAGGTGGTGTGGGCTTCACCCCATAGGACCGGCTCCTGCGCGTCAAGCTTCATTATATAGCACCAGCGTGCGTGGAAAAGCGGCTGATGCGTAAGAGCATTCCGGTTAGACAGCTGTGCTCAGAAGTCCGAGTTGAGCACTTAATATACCCTTTGTTCATTATTTAAGCATTTCAAAAAGTAGCCGGTGGGCGCTTATTGTGGGGTGCATGCTCGGTATTTTACGGTAAATGTCTCGGACATCTCTTACTTATGTATACTAATAATAGGATTATTCTGTAAAACCTGGCCTCCCTACCTATAGTTTGTTGCAACCTAAGAACGAAGGGCGAGGGTAAGACAGGCCGGGGAGGAGGAAGCAGACGGAATGCTATAGAGAGAAGGAGGTTTCCCCCTCTCTTCTCCAGCGTTCCGTCTGCTTCCTCCTCCCCGGCCCGTCTCACCCTCGCCCTTCGTTCTTTGATTGCAACGGACTATAGCGAGCGGAGACTTCGTCAAAGATGCATTTTAGGTTAATTTTGCTAAAAAAAAAAATAACCGAGGGACTGCAAATTTGCACACTTGAGATCTGTGATTTCAGATGTAATGCCTTGCTGTTGTTGAATTTGTTTCGGTTTTATTCGGGGATTTCGTGAATCAGTATGGCTTACTTGCACATGAAAATAATAATTGATAGCATTTAATTCAACATCCATGCAATTAAGGAAACACGTAATATATCAAATAACGCCTTATAATTTTGAGCGAGCATACACATTTTACTGCCCTGACATATTTGATTTTTGTTGAAATTATGCTTCTCTGGACGTTTTACTTGCGTTGATTAAAAAAACGAGGATCACACTTTCAGGGAACCCTGTGTGGAGCCATCCTCAACTATGACTGCAGCCTCCGCAAAACACTCTACAACAACAAGTTCGAGATTACATTTGTGGGACCTAGTCAGGTCAGTAAAGAATGTTCCATTTGCATTAGGAGCACTTCGTAATTAAGTGAAGACATAAAGATGTCTCAAATTTTTTATATATATATACATATTTTTTTTTTGTAGTGCTTTGTGAACTTACAGTAAAACCTCGTTATAACAAAACGGGATATAACAAACTAATGGATATAACAAAGCAATTATAATTCCCCTTACTTGCTAATAGTGGGAAGAAATGGACATTGGCTATAACAAACTAATGGTTATAACGAAGTAATTACGACCGCTCCTTCAACTTTGTTATAACGAGGTTTTACTGTATTTGGAAGCCAGTAATGTGAGTTCTGCACTGTACTATATTTCCTACTCTTTTTGCTCATTATTCTTTCTTTATTGGCTCGAAAAACTTTTGTCAGTGTTATAAAAAAAACATTCCTCATAGATAGTACATACAGCTGATCTCGCAAATGTTGAAAAACCTTCGCTTTAGCAAAATGGAGGGGAAAACCTTAGCTCGAGTGAAAAACATACTGGCACCAGCGTGTAAGTGTTCTCTCTTCGTAAGACATTGCAAGAACTCGGTCGTAAGCAAATGCGAGGTGTGTGAACCAGCCTTTTAGTTGCTAATACCCATTAAGTGTACAATGCCACAGATGCTCCTGGATGAATCAATTCCTTTACTGGAAGGGAATTCTTTTGCTGCCATTACCTGCTGTTTATAGCTAATGTAATTTTTGGTAATGAAATTTTTACATTATAAAGCAGTGGACTAAGATGGTAAGCTTTCTTGTTTTCTGCATTTTTACTGTGTCAGGTAATTTTTCAATCGTTTTAGAAGCCAAAAATATAGGTGACCCTTAGATGTTGTACTTTTATTTTGAGGCAAATAGCGGAGGTTTTGAGTATGTTTGTGTATATGCATTATACGCATACATAGACATGTGGCTATTGCTGTTGAAGATCGATGAAGGTGACATGATATTAACTTATGAATGGAAGCTGAAAGCAGGAGGCTGAAAGCCAACAAACTTGTTATCAGAAAGATCTTCTCAGCTTCCTCACAATTCTGGGTCAATCGTTTTAACTTTTGCAATTTGCTGATTATGCTAAACTTTCACTTCTGCAAATTTTACACTCACCATTTGTTCCTTTCATGTATATCTGCATAATATTTTTTCAGATAATTAATATTCTATTTTTGTTACAGAAACCATTGGTGAAGAACCAATTTCTACAGCCATAGATTAGATTTTCATATTATTTGTTTCATTTGTTTATCCATAGGAGTGAAATTTTATATAAACAAAATGTGAATAAGGCACACAATTACCATATTTACTCGATTCTAAGCTCCTCCTTTTTTTCACACCCGCGATGTTCAAAGAGGGGGGGGGGGGTGCTTATATTCGGAACATGCTTACATTCGCATGCAAACTTTTTTTCGGGTGTTCATGTTTGAAAGTCGGGGGGGGGGGGGGGGGGGGGTTTAGAACTAGGCGGTGCTTAGAATCGCGAAAAAACAGTACCTATCTGCACTTGGTAATAAAAATAACAAAATATCACAGACATACGGTGACACCATATTTTGACATTTTTTATGGAGCATATCCCTGCAAAGAATCTGAATTAAAAAAATATATAGCATGAAACAAACGAGTTTATCATGTTCAACATTGGAACCATTACATAATGAGTGAAAACAACTTGCATGTCAAGATTTTATGATGCAGATTAAATACCTTATGAATATTCTGTTCGCATTCGTCAAAACTACCGATCCAAATCATTAAATCAGCTGTTGAACTATAAAGCCTGCAAAACAGTGCCCAATTTTTTAATTTTAAACAAATTTCAGGAACTTTCTACCTATATATTTGAAATTTTTGTTATATGTACATAAGCATATATTCATTCAAACACTCCTAGATGTCACATTTTAAAACTAGCTTCAGGCATTTCTCAAGTTCGAATTTTTTTTATTTTGAAGGGTCTATAGATTGCTGCGTGTGATCCAGCACAAGTCTTATACATTGACACTTTCCTTGGCAGGCCATAGTGGTGAACCTGGCAACCAAGACCCGGAGTGTGCTCAAGTCCCAGTATGGCCACGAAATCCAGGACATCAAGATCCTTGGCAAGGATCGATATCTGATTGCTTACACAGCAGCTACTCTGCTCCTGGGCGATCTGATGCAGGACATATTCTGTGAGGTACTGCATCGAAACTAATTTTTCTTTGTGTGTATTATCATATCTCCTTTGTAGTTTAACTGCCTGAATTGACAAAACTTGACGGCTTGTTTTTTTTTCCCCAAAATTTGTCAGCAGAGGTTTTGAGTATGTTTGTGTATATGCATTAGTATACAGTAAAACCTCGTTATAAAGAAGTTGAAGGAGCAGTCATAATTATTTTGTTATAACCATTAGTTTGTTATAGCCAATGTCCATTTCTTCCAACTATTCAAGCAAGGAGAATTATGATTGCTTTGTTATATCCATTAGTTTGTTATATCCCATTTTGTTATAACGAGGTTTTACTGTATGCATACATAGACATGTGGCTATGGCTGTTGAAGATGAAGGTGACAAGATGTGAACTTATGAATGGAAGCTGAAAACAGGAGGATGAAAGCCATCAAGCTTGTTATCAGAAAGATATTCTCAGCTTCCTCAATTGTTTTAACTTTTGCAATTTGTTCATTATGCTAAACTTTCACTTCTGCAAATTTTCAACTCATTATTTGTTCCTTTCATGTATATTTGGCATAATATTTTTCAGATCAAATTAATATTCTAATTTTGTTACAGAAACCATTTGTGAAGCACCAATTTCTACAGGCAGCTTTTGTTTGAATATATTGGCTTTTGAAGACAGACCTGCATAACCAGAGAAAACCCCTTGACTTCACTTCTTATTTTATCTTTCAGATATTTTGGGAAGGCACATCTCGGAATGAGAAGTTTTATTTCGAAACTGAAAGTGTAAGCTAATGAATTTTTATGTGCTTTAATGGCAACATTTGTTTTCCTGTTCTCCTTCTTTAAGTGAGAATAGTGATTGCTTTTAACTCCCACAGGCCACAAAAAATATAACACAACATATATTCATCATAGACCAGTCATACTGAAGTTTCTTTATGCTTGCACATTTAACGTTTCTTGATGGCGAATAGACATAAATGAGTTTGATCCTATAGGCGAAAGGTTTTCCAGTGACAAGTGATTGACCAAAGCATAGCAGTAACTAGAGATGCTTCTTTACTGCAAAGTCAGACTTTGTTTCTTTGGTGTTGGTCAAAGGCTGCAAAAATATGAGTCATGAAGTTAAGCATTTTTACGTAAAGTACTAGTTTTTTTCTTTTTTACTTTGGCATTTAGTGTTGTGCAGTTTAATAAACAGACAGGTAATGAATTCCACTGAAGCAAGTGTATAATATAAAAATGGTGAAAACCAGATTGTGCAACCTGCAGCTGCCACGTAATGTGGAAGCTGTTACTACTGTAAGTGAATAAGTGAAGACATTACGGGTGGAACCAGCTAAACAATGAAGGATGGTTCCACCCGTAATGTATCATAACCAACTAGCTCAACTCATCCCCATAGTAATTGAAGACAAATCTTTGGTTTCCAGGTGTGTATGATCTTCAACGCTGGCGAACTCTCGCTCGTGGAGTACGGTCAAAACGAAATCCTTGGTTCAGTGCGAACAGAGTTCATGAATCCACATCTGCTCAGGTGAGCCAGCTTCCCTGCAGCAATGCCACTGCTGTATGACCCAAATGATAACTAGACTAGCTGCTGTTTTGAAGCATCCTCTTTTGCAGGAGGCTCATCACACTTGAGAATAGCCATGTGAAACATGGGCCTATAAGACATGTCTAGTATTGTAATGGAATTATCACATCTTGCAGTTGGTCTTGTTTGACAAACATGTTGGAAAGTCATTTAGGCGTATATTTTGTATTGGTGTTCCAACGTTAAAAGGGTAGCTCCCATCATGTCAGATCAGATTATGACCAACCTTTATTTCAGTCAAGGTTGTACACACTAGGACAGTGGCAACCTTTCCAAATTTGACATGAATGAACCCTTACACCTCTACTATGGCTGAAGTTGCATTTCAGTTTGACCCCAATCAAAGATATTTCGTCTGAAAAAGTACTTCAATATGTTCATTAACCTACTTTCATGGTGTTACGATGGATGATTGTGCCAGTGATTCAAACATACAACCTTGGAGCTCTTTTGTTTTTATGCATCATTCACAAACTGGCAAAACTTTTACATATTTATTAAATTTTTTTTATACCATGTTTTAATCTTCCTTAAACTTGCAGGTTCGCTGCTCGGTAAATAAGCTGAACATATAACTATGTGTGCTAGTCTAAATTGATGAGAGTTGTGAACTGTAAAGTCTGCTCATATCCTAACTAAAACATTGTATCGCAGTGTTCGCTTGAATGAGCGGAGACGCCCGGGTGCTCCGGACAATAAGAAATTGGCCTACCTCATAGATCTCAAGACGATTTTTGTTGGTAAGGTTTTTCTCATGTGCCGTTGTAACTGGTTTCCCAAGATGGTATACAGCTTTCAAAGTTATACTCAAGATGATTCATATAGTAACTCTAATCTTGAATTTTAAGCTTTGTAGTTTAAAATATGCAAGCATGTTTTGTGCAGGTTGTCTTTTTTTAAATGGTGTGCACTTGCTTTCTCTTTTGATCGAGTACTTCTCAGTGCATGCATCAGAACAACATGAACTTAAAAAAAAAAAGCCTTCAGACCTATGTTATTTATTACCTGATTACCATCAGTTTAATTTTTGGCACCACACTCAGTGTAAATTTTTTTTACATCGGCATGTTTCGTGATGACAGCAATCATTAACTAAATTTGGCATACCTTAATTATAAACTGTAGTAACCTCTGTCAAGGGTACACAGTTGTGCATGCCGTATTCGCAGGGGCATAGCCAGGAATTCTTTAAGGGGGGGGGGGCTGAAGTGCCTAGGATGTCCATCACTTAGGGAGGGTAGGAGGGGGGGGTGTTCAAAAGTCAAAACACGTGTGTATATCGTAGGGTCGGCTGGATTTTGGGGGCCCCATGAGCCTCCCTGGCTACACCACTGGCTGCGATAATACATACCTAGTTTGTTGTAGTTGACCTGGTCACCGGGGTCACAATGGCTCAAGTACCTCATGACTCCAAGATCGACTGGCTGGAGTTGAACGAAACCGGGCAGAAGTTGCTTTTCAGAGACAAGAGGCAGCGGGTAATATTTCAGTGATGATCATTTTGTTAGTTTATACTATGATCAGTTTGTGAATCGTGCTAAATTGTCGATGCCTCCTTCACAGCTGAGTCTCTTCGATATCGCTTCGCAAGACAAAATAACTCTTCTCAGCAACTGCACATTTGTCCAGGCAAGTGATCTGAATTAAATATACATATGCATCCCCCGAGCCATGTCAAGCAGTTGATCTGAACTGATCAGTATATGTGCTATCAACTGCGTCAGTAATCTTTCACACATTTACAGTAATAACTTTCACGAGGACCTAATTTTGGTGAATTTCATGACTCGAAAAATCACAGAAAATTTATTTTGCTAATATATCACTACATGGTAATGAGAACATGGCATATCACTCTAATTCACAATATTTTGCGACCATGCTCTGGCCAATTTATATGCTCTGTCCTTCATTATCTTATGATACTTTAATTGGTTAGAGGTAGCTACTGAATATACAAGCTAAAACAACATGAAAGCTCGAACTTCGATTACGTTGCAGTGGGTACCGGACAGCGATGTTGTGGTGGCCCAGAGCAGAAACGTGCTCTACGTCTGGTACAATGTTGACGCCCCAGACAGAACCACCAACATCCCAATCAAGGTATGCTCTTCCAATTCTAATCATTCTACAGTGCAATCCACTTTTAACAGTAATGAGAAAACCCGAAAATTCAATTGTTACAACCGATTATCGTTGTATCTGAACTAGAAACTGAGCATTATAAGCATTACATCTCACGTTTTATCGTGCTGTCAAAGGGAGACGTCATAGACATTGAGCGTGAGAACGGCAAGTCTGAGGTGGTCGTGAACGAAGGCCTCACCACCGTCGGATACCCACTCAACGAGGGCCTCATCGAGTTTGGCACAGCCATCACCGATGGAGACTTTGGACGGCAAGTGAATTCGGTTGCCATAATTATACCAAGAAACACACTTTTAATGAGATGATAGTGTAGAGGTGCGTGCCTCTACATCACATATTTTATTTACAATATTTACAGTTTGCTTACGTCGTTGTGAATGTGGTCTCGCTGCTCGCGATCCCGGTTTTCGAGTCCCGTGACCGCTCCTCTTTCTTCTCTTCGTAAGTGGTCACTACAATAGTATATAAAGGAAAAATAAAATCAAATAGACAAAGCAATATATTCTTTGCTAGTAGGGATATAAACTGAACCAATGCTTGCTTCCTCTGTATCTTACTATGTCGCATGCCTAATCACTGTTGTCACTACGCTGATGCGCGATGATATGCGTTAATATTTAGCGTAGGGGTTCCGACTCGGCAGAGGGTGGTCTGTTCTCTAAGGCATTAGGGGTTTTGGATGCAGCCACCACAGTTTCCTGCCTCTCCCGCTGCCACGGCACATCATTGGAAGCTTGCCAGAAGACACTTTCCCTCTTGTAAGAGGGAAAGGGGACGTGCACGAAACCAGTCCGGTCCAAGCCAAACCACGACCGTCCAAACGAAAGACGGCTGCGTTAACCAGGGCAATAAATGCTAGCATGTTTAACAGCTTTTGTAGAAAGGGTGTGCAAGAGGTGTCCAAAAACCTTTTAAATGATTGAGTATTGCAGCTGACAACCTCTAAAATGTGTAATGAGGAAGCCACATTATTGGATCTATTTGAATCAAAGCATATATATATATATTGGTCGTTCATTTTAAATTATGCAAGTCCAAGTGTAATCTTTAGGCGTGGAGGTGAGAGGTTTGACTTTCGTGATATAATTAAGTTTCCCCTTGCTGCATCTGTTGGAAAAGGGGATTTCTAACAGAAAGGACTAGGTTCCTGTTTGCTGGTCCTAATATTTTCCTGTTGTATTGCTGGCTGAAGTCGAATACACTTAACCCTTGTACAGTTATCTGACTGTAGCTCTCTGACAAATCAGGGCAGTGGCATACCTGGAGAGCCTGGAGCTGACCGAGGAAACTGAAACCATGTGGCGCACCCTGGGGCAGATGGCGCTGGAGGAGCGGCTTGTGGCCGTGGCCGAACGCTGCTTCTCCGCACTCGGGGACGTGGCCAAGGCACAGTACCTTGGAGATGTCATGCGGTTGCAAGAGGATGCTTCGCGTGAGACGGTACGTGTCAGACGACCCCAGGTGGCGCCACGCTGCGTCTAGAGGAACTGTTTCTTCTTCTTTTTATGCCCTCGTACGTATCAGATGGAAAAGCTCTGTTTTTACTGTTTCGAAGTTTCAGACTACTTTTATGTCGTGCATTGCAGGGGGGAGAAGGCCAGAACCACTATGAAGTGAGGGCAAGAATGGCCATGTTGGATAAGCAGTTCAAACTGGCCGAGAACATTTACCTCGAACAGGTACTGGTTGGCATGATTTTAGCGTTTTTTAGCGATGTCTAAATGAAACAGAACAGTTTCCTAGATTTGCCTCTGGAGTTTGGCCTCTGGTTTTTGAACTGATGTGTCATTATACCTTATTCGGAATTTTCATCTGATCTAAACAATTGTATGTGATCATTAAGTAGAGATACTTTGCATTTAATGGTTACTTAAAAACATTTTGTGACAGGGGTCTGGATTGGAGATGATCATATATTAATTGATGTATTGTGTCCTGTTATTCATACTCTACATTCAGAACAAAGTGGATGAGGCCATGGACATGTACAGAAAGCTGCACAAATGGGACGAAATGATCCAGCTGGCAGAAACAAAGGTAAATTTGACTTGGCCGTTAGCTTTTTTTTTTATGCATTTGTAAATTTTCAAGATACTAATGCTTAGCCTGCCTGCTTACTTGATTGAATGCTTACTGTTCGTTACTCTACTTCAGGCTTACAGTTTCAGGAGATGCACGTTTGCGACAGACAGACAAAAGGAAACAATAAATGAATAGTATAACTGGAGAAAAGCTAAAGTATACTAAAGGATATACCTCTAAACTTTTAACACAATGTTTAATGCCAGCCAGGCTCAAAAGAAAAAAAATATCATATGATTAGCATTATGACCTTTAGATAATTAATTAAAGGGGCGGTGCAACAATATTCAATGGGAATGTTTTTCACTTTACAAGCTTAATGGCACTAGTGGGACCCAAGCATACTTGCACGCGATGCCACTGACCTAAAAACTCCTTTGTTGCGGTGTAATTTCAAGGAGAAAATCGAGCGTTTTCTTTCAATCTCTCCTTCACAAAACTTAATGACATAGCGTTGGGGCCGCAGTGTCGGCATAGTACCCTCAGAGACGGTATTTGAATGCAGCTCATACATTACCCGAGCATTGAGTACGCACTCGACTTGGGCTCATGGTATTCGATAGCTCGAAAAGCATTCGGGTAGTGGCCCGTGCCCAATTGCTGCAATGGCAACAATAGCCGAACCATAACAATGTCTGGAACTCAGCGCGTGAGCTGTGCCTTACCAAGCTCATTGCGTGGCTATGATCAACATTGGTGGCATATAATCGGCTCCAGATCACGTGGCCGCTTGTTTTGGCTGCGAATTGAGGGTATGAACGCTGCTCCTTTTTCTTTAACTCTTTCTGCGACTTTGATTACGTGTGGTGAAAAACAAATGCATGTTTCAGTGGTCATTAACATCAGCGATTCGTTCTAAGTGGTATTTGCACAAAGTACAAAACTTGTTGCATCGCCCTTTTAAGTGTACCAGCAACATTCATGTGCTGTCCTCGATACATTAACATAATTTTGGAAGAAAGCATGTACCATAAAATACCGAGCAAGGGCCCATTCCAAAGTTAAAGATAATCACAAAAAAATGGGGGTTGGTCCTTGTTAACTTCAAGAGTAGAAGGAGAAAAGGGCCACATGGTATACGGTGGGCCCTTGTTTGACCCAGTGAAACGGTAGAGAAACGGTATTAGGGTCTGGCAAAGCCCCTAATTCTTAAAGCAGAGCATATCGTTTTCATCAAGCCTGCTTCGTGCCAGCACTCTCGCATCAAGCTTTCCTTCTTTGCACGGGCGCATGCACATAAAGCTTTACCACCTTGCATTATCTTCTCAGAGAAGCAGGTGAGGTGGGTTTTCTGGGGTGGGCGCTTGATATGTCCTTGGCTCGCACATATCTCAAATGTTTTCAAAGTAGGAGGGGATGCTTACTGTGACGCAAGCACAATTAAGCTCGGTATTTTATGGTAACCAATATGAAGGGTTAGATTCAGAATCTTCCTCTTGGACCTCCTTGATCAGACTACTGCTTCTTAATATCTCTTTTATAAATAATAAACAGGCACTCTAGCAATAATAAGTGCAACTTTCATGGATCCTATTTGCAGTTGTATTTTGAAATATGCAACTTTTGAATAAAGGTGTTTTTAAATTCTAAGTATAGCACTTGTATAACAAAATTAAAAATTCGACAAAAAAAGATTGAGGGGTGAATATTTGTTGCCCTATTGGATCAATCACAGTATTGCAATACTTCCTTGCAATACCCTCAATTTTGAACTACATACTTTTAGTTTTTTAAACCTTAAATTTGTTTAATTTTATAAGTGCTTTACATTTTACTCACACCTTTCCAAAATGCGTGTACAAGTCACCTGTCTCAGCCTTTTTTTTTTGTAAAATCATATTCGGTTCAGTTTCAAGGATTGCCACTCCTACACTCATCATAACTTGCTTTCAGAACCACCCCAATGTGGAAAAATTAAGGGAGGACTATCTCGATTGGCTGCTGAGCAATGGAATGGAAGGCAAGGCTGCTGAGGTGATGCCAGTTATTCGTGCCCCCTACCTAATTTTAATTTCTTCCTCTCAATTACTTATTGGACCGACCTAAAATGTGCACTGTCTGATCTATATGTCTGGTAATTCTGGCAGTTATTCATATACACCGGTATTTTCAAACACAATGTTGTGTGTTGCATCTTGTGTAGTAAGCAAGCAAGCCCAAAGTCACGTGCAGCTGCAAAGTGAGCTCGCTCACGTTGTTCACAATGTGTGTTATGTTTTCCAGTTCTCCCTCCTCTCTTCTTGCGAAATTTATGAAGCAGTCGGCAGCTGGTTAAAGGTTCAGGGGAAGCTCCTCCCACCTCTTCCCACCTTAGTAGACCGAATGCTGGAGAGCAGGTTGCTCCTCTCCAGCGTTATAGTACCGTATTTTCCGGGCTATAGTCTGCATTTGGTGTACAGTCTGCAGGGGCGAATATGGGGTTAAAAATAAAAGTTCTTACTTAGATGGTCTGCACCCGGTGCATAGTCCACACCTGGTGCTTAGTCAACAGGAAAATCTTCTCATACACGGCGCACCTTGACAAATGTCTGCTTTCTTAGCTCACAAAGAAGCTTGTATTATACATAAATCATCATTAACATACTCTTTCATCCACAAAAACTGTTACTTCTCGTCATAATGAACGAACGTTTGAAAAACAAAATGCCTGTACAGTCAGCACGCATAGATAGTCTGCACAGCCTAAAATTTCAACTTCTAAACATGTATAGCCCGCGGACTATAGCCTCGAAAATATGGTGTAGTAACCTTTTAATTTACCTTTTAGTATATCGGAAAGCTTAACACACACATCGTACAGGACTAATAGTGCCAATGTTGGTGGTTAGTTGAAGATATAAAAAAAAAAAATATTCTTGTTGGTGAATTGTCCTATAGATATGCATGTTTGAGAAAACAAAGTGATTGTGGTTGTGGGTTTTATTAGTTATAGATTATAGTTATTAGTACCTAGCCAAGGGTGAAAAATCATTACAGGCTTTATTGAACCAGCAATTGTGAATATTTTATAATGAACCACTTCATTTTTAAGACACACATACCTTGATAATTTGTAATAAGCATGGTATACCTATAAGAGCCATTTAGTAGATTTTTATGAATTGCTGAAATATTTTGGCAAAAAACATTTTGTGTCTTGAAAAGCATTTGGAGGCATAGTCATGTGGATGAGAACTTCTAGGGTAGCTTGGATATGGGCAAAAACAGACTTACTTTTCACCAGCTGAAGGAGCAGGAGGGAGACGTGGAGGAGGCGGTGACCCTGTACCTTAAGTCAGGGCTACCGGCCAAGGCAGCGCTGCTCCTTAACTCAATGCCAAGGATGACCCAGCAGCACGACCTTGTCGACAAGGTCATCGAAGCCCTCATGAAGTCGGAGCTGTACGAACATGCCGGAAACCTCCACGAGGCAACAGGGGACCATGCAAAGGCACTGCAGTGTTATCGCAGTGGTCGCCTTTATGCCAAAGGTAAAACTCTTCTGCCGTTAACATTTCATTTGACCCTTCATCGCCTGAATGCAGCTGATGAACACGTTTGACAACGCTCGCTAAACTTTTGAAGATGGACTCGAATGTATTTTATTCAACCTTTGAATGTAATATTAGTCCTCGAAAATTTCTGACATTTACTCGTCAATTAGAATACGTATTCGCAAAATGTGTTGCGAGCTTTACCGTTTTAGCCCCGTGGAATGCACTTCTCCCGCATCGCGGGTGCACTGCGGTGTAGCCACATTCATGGCGGCGGTGTTGCGGGTGCTGCTCTCCCACAGTGTGCAAGAACCCAAAGAGAAGAACTTTGCCTCTAGGCATGTTCATGCACATGTTTTGTAAAAGATGTAATTTGTATATCTCTACAATGCTAGGCAGCGCAGATGTCCTATGCATGTCCATAGGACATTCATGAAATGTTAGATCCTCCTACAGAACCATGTGTGGTGTAGGAAAAACACCTCTACTTTTCTCGAAAAGGGAAACTCTGTGTGGAAACAACAAAAACCCTTTCAGGGTATATGTTATTTTTGTTTCTAAACAATGAATGCTTGCAACTCTCTCCAACAATGCATATATAAAATGTTGCTAAAGAGAAAGCAAAGGCTGACTCATGGCGCTTTTTCTTTTCCAGCTGTGGAACTTTCACGCCAGCGCAGTCCCGGTGACGTGGTCCTGTTGGAGGAGGAGTGGGGAGATCACCTGGTGTCACAGCGACAGCTGGATGCTGCCATTAACCATTTCATTGAGGCTGGGTTAGTGCATTAATGCTTTGCGTGGTGTCAGCTTAGTCCTATGCGGCTTCCTCTGCCTCGCATTTTGAATGGATTTTTAAGTTGTACTTGAATTTCTCATCAGCATTTTTATTGCACGAGTTATCTTTTACTATTTCACATGTTGTAACTTGCGGGAAAATCCGTGCCCTGCACACTCACTGACATGGTCAGCTTATTGAAGGACTAACTGTATTTTGTTTTAGCTAATAGCAATACTTGAATTGTAAAATTAAAAAGCTGTCTGCTGTTTGAATAGTAATGATTTAGTTGCAAAAATTATGCCAATAAGGCCCCTTAGAGAGCTAAAGAAATACTGTAAAACCCGTAATGTTCGCGAGCCCCTAATTTTCGCGAATATCGCGACTTGTAAAATTCGCGAACTTTAGTGGGTGCAAATATTTCTATTGTCTGTAGAGGCGAATTTCAGCCTTTAGAATTCGCAAAATTTAGTGGTTGCGAATTTGACCCCGCTGCCCACCTTGCGACAAATCAGGGCCGCGAAAATAAAGGGTTCTACAGTATCCTTACAAGCCTGTTATGGCTACAATATGCTGTCACAGACATAACTAAAGAAGATGACTTTGATGTCTTAGTGGTACCGGGATATGAGGATTTGTTTATGCAATCAGTAACTCCTTCTGTTTCAGAAAAACGCTGAAAGCCCTCGACGCAGCCATCAATGCTAGGCAGTGGAAAAAGGCTGTGCAGATCATTGAAGTGATAGACGATACTCCGGAGCTGAACCCCTACTATGCAAAGCTTGCACACCATTTCCAGTCTGCAGCGGAGTATGAGGTACCATGTTAACTAGCATTTCATAGTTGAATTACGCTGCAGCTTTTTGTAACGGTTGTTGAATGACACATTGTGACAACACCGCTTGTTGCAGATGGCAGAACATTTCTTTTTGGAGGCTGGGATGACGAAGGAAGCTATTGAGATGTATAACAGTGCTGGAAGATGGGAGAAAGCACACAAGGTTTGTCACAATTAGCTTTACAGTTGTGCAAGGTACGGAGAAGAAAGTGGTGATGTCCAGTTGTCATCATAGCACAAGTTTAGGCTTGTGCAAGTATTCGAATAGTAGTTTAAAATACTACGCTATTCGATATTCGTTTTGAGATAAACTGCAATGTTCATACTTTTCAAAGTGTTGAGTGCGGCGGGCCAGTTTCGTTGAGTGCGCTTCTCACCGAGTGGGGAAGCAAAACCCGCGGTGCTCGCGGGTATCGCTTTCCCGCAATGCACGAGTGCTCGGTGGGAAGCGCACTCAACGGGGCCAACCTGCCGCGATTATGCAAAAGGATACGTTAGGCAGGGATGTCTTGACGACCTGCATTCATCATTCATGCTTGTTTTTTTTTTTATGTCAAATTTGAAGTTTAAGAAAAATTATTTGCATATAGCAAGAAGATTTATTAATCTCCTTGATTAGGACAGCTGTGACAAATTTGTTATTTTCATGCCATAGTTCATATAGTTGCATTAAAATTTACTGAGCTTAGAAGTGGACAAGTGGAAGGTTGGGAACAAGCTTCACAAGTTCAGCTGAATCTTTGTTTAAGCATGCTGCACAGTAGTGAAAGGCTTGAAAGAACTATTAGATATTCAATTAAAAGATATTTAGCCGAAACCACTATTCGCTTTGAATTTGCTTCAAACTCAAAATCCACTATTTGCATATTCTTACATAAATTACAACTCACTAATTCAAACAGCTTTATTCTACTGAGCTCAGTATTTCTCAGATTTATCTCAAGTTTGACCTACCCTATTTCATGGAAATATGTGGAAGTGAAGGAACTCGGATGGTAAAACCACTAGCAGTGTTTAATTTACAAGTTTCATTTGTTTTTCCAATCTTATGAGGTGGGTAAAATTTTTAAAGCTTTTATATTTTTGTAAAAATTGACTTTTTGGTATTTGAACATGATGCTATAACTTGTGGAGTTGTCAAAAAGAGTAAACTGTTGATTGCAGCTTGCAAAACTGCATCTGAAGCCAGAGGAAGTAAGAAGAATGTACACAGAACAGGCATCAGAACTGGAGAAGCAAGGCAAGCTCAAGGATGCAGAGAAGTGAGTGCAAACTAATTTTGTATCATGTAAATGCATTTTGTAAGCAGGTGTATGACCCCGTTCTCCTGCACTGGAGCCCTAATCTGGACACTTGACGAAAAAGTCGGCGAGAAATTCAGCGGCTGTCATTGTCAAGTGCGGCTTCGGCCAATCATGGCCGCCGAATTTCTCGCCAACTTTTATGCCGAGTGTCCAGATTAGGGCCCCTGGAGAAACAGCCCAAGTAACAGAATAACCCCAACCACCCCAAGTAACAGAATATAACCTAGCATTGGCAGCAGCTACAGAGACCTCTTCACAAGCTAACATTATCAGAGCAATGAAAGCAGGCATTAGCATGAATCAGACCAACGCCGAAACTCCAGCCCCACAAGGTGAGGTTATGGCCGAGATTCTTGACAAACTAGATGCGCTCCAAAAAGAACTACAGCAGAGAAATTAAATTTTTCAACAGGAGCTCCAAAAGAAAGATATCCTTATGCACAATTTGCAACAGGAATTCCAGAAGAGAGACGTCCTGCTAGCCGAAAAGTTCGCCGGCCTAGAAGCAGGGCAAAGACAACTCGAAAATTTCTATGGAAAACTTGATTAAGTTCTGAGTTTGCTTAGAAAGAGACCCCTAACCTCAAATATGGATCCTATGGAGAGTCCCACTACAGTAACCATCCCAGAAGGCATCACTCAAAGTAACCATCCAGCCATACACCATGAATAATCCAAACCAGTCTATGCAGACCACCCCAAAAAATGTGATATATATCTGGCAAAGGAACTGTCTGAGACTATGTAGGAAAGTCAATCTATTGAATCAGTACATGCAACAAGCCTCCAACAAGCCTGATATTATTCTAACATAGGAGTGTAACGGGTTAGTAGTTAACATATCTGGATATAAGTAACATAAAATGAAAGCCGTTTACAAATCCCTGTAACGCCGAATTGGAGCGCAGCTCTTGAGGAGGAGTAGGGAAGGGTACTGAGGGGGGTCACGTCACCTGCGGGTAGTCACGTGACCTTGGGGGGGGGGGGGGGGGTCATGTGATCTCGGGGGAGGGGGGGTCACGTGACCTCGGGGAAGGCGGGGGGGGGGGGGGGTTATGTGACCCCCCCCCCCGGTTACGCCGACGCCGACGCCGCTCAGGCTGGAAACGGGCCCCTAAGAGCTGCGCTCTAAAATGCATATTGGCTTCCACATAAGGAAAACCAGAAATGCAAGGAGCTAGATCGCTTCATTCAAGAAAACAACAAACGGACCTTAATTATTGACGGGGACTTTAACAGCCCTTACATAGGTTGGGGTTGCTCGTACACGTCTCCTAATGGTTAGAAACCAGAAACGATTATGGCTAATAAGCATATGACTCTTATAAATGACACTACAATTGCTACACGAAAAGGCAACAGCGTAGAAAGAGATAGCACCCCAGACCTAGCTTGGTTTGGAGGAAAACCTAACTGTGGATGGAAGAACCTGTTAGAAGCTCTGGGTAGTGACCATTACATTCTTAAGATGACCATCAGAGTCTGTAAAAGAAGCTGGAAAGAATTTAGATTTATGCAAACCAAAGTCATTAAATGGGATCAAATGAGGTCAGAACTTGGGGCACCCTTGAAAAACAGGATCAAGGCCTAAATATGATCCGCAACAGCTACAAACGTCACATTAAGGAAATCCAGAGCAACGAGAATGCTCCATACATCGATTCCCACCTTCTTAACCTTTGGCATAAAAGAAATAAACTCTGCAAAAAGTGGAAAAGAAATAAAACTAACAGAGGACTTAAGAAAGCTATTTAGAAAACCATGGAAGCCTATGAATACCCGAATCACCTAGCGAATGAGATTTGGCTAATGACATGCGACAAGTTAAACGGCCAATTGCATACTCCCAGAGTATGGCAGATACTCAGAACGCTACTAGGACAGCCTAAAGGAGACAAACGGCCACAAAACTATGCCTTCACTATAAGGAAGAACCCAAAAGAGATAGCCACAAAATTCTTAGACAAATGTTGCCCCCTCGGAGATGCCCCAGCCCGCCCAGATGAAGAACCGGAGGACTACTCCGACAAAGACGCGGAGGGCGTCAATTCCCCCCTTCTCGGGAGGGGAGCTACGGGCAGCCTGTGGTATCAAGCATAGCACAACCCCCGGTGAGGATGGTATAACACACGGGATGCTTAAGAATCTTCCAGAAGAATACCTCTATCTTTTACTAGAGGAAATTATCAGGGTCTGGGATGAGGGCAGCCTATTGCCCCAGTGGAAGGAAGCACTAATTATTTCAATCCCAAAGCCGAGGAAGCAACCCAACTGTGTCAATAACTTTAGGCCTATATCCCTCTCGTTCTGCATAGGAAAAATAATGGATAAAATGGTTCTCACCAGGCTTGAGTGAATGATCTACCAGTAACCGATATTAGCCAAAAAATAAAAATATTAGTTTTTCTCAAGAATGACCTCTAGGAAGGATCTTGAAATTTCGTGGCCATTTGACAGAGTTATTGTCAGCGAGGGGCACATCTGCTAATACATGCTTGTTTCAAAGTCTAGCCACATTGTCCACAAAGTTGAACCTTGTAGAACCTGGTTAAAAGTTTGAAGGTTCGTTGAACCAATAGAACCTTGTTCTACGTAAAAATCCAGTTCGACAAAAGTTCGTGACATCCCTAGTAACAACATATCTGTAGGAGAACCTCCACCTCCAAACCCCGGAGAAAAACAGCACTATTATATAAATGCACAATTTTTCTAGCGTCACAGAATTGGACAGCGAGAAACGTGTGCTTGTATAACCACATGCACTTGCTTGGAAATAGCAAGCATGACGTAGGTGTAACAGCACACAACAACAAAGACTAGAGAAAGGAACAAACAACACAGGACATCTTTTTACAGCTTTGTGTGTTGTTCGTTCCTATCCTTAGTCTTCCTTGTTTTGTGCTATTGCATTTACAAAATAATATATATTAATATTATTTTTTTTTGTGCCTAAAAACGACCATGAGATCTTCACTTTGGTACACGAAATGATTGACTTTCACCAACTAGCCCGGCTCTCAATTGTATTACTTTATTCCACTTAGCAGTATTTTACTATAGAAGGCGATAGTTCTGCTCCTTCCTTCAGTGTGGGCGAAGCCTCTTCTGCATATTTTAGGCTGCAACAAACTACAGGGTGTCTCAAATAGCGGCCAGGCTCTTTAAATTAACCGCAAAAATCGGTTTCTTAACCTATCGTGCCACGACTTTGTGCAGCATTGCCCACAGGTGGGGCATCTTTTCTATAAAATTTGCAAACAGCAAACTTACCTGAGGAGAAAGTGAAAAAAGAAAAGGTCTTAACTCCTATGGAAACGCAGTGAAGCCACCGGTCTTCAAACAATACAGCGCCCTATTGTCTGAAGTCTGGTGGCTTCACTGCATTTCCATAGGAATTAAGCCTTTTTCTTTTTTACTTTTTAATAATGTTTGTCAGGGCACATGGCTAGTGATCCTGAGAGAAGGCCAATTCAGTTTTATTTTTTATCTTGGACTATTGACAAAAGGAAGTTTCCTGTTTGTCTCGTCAAGGTTTGTTCAGTACAGTGAGCCAATGTACATCTGAACCTGGACAATGACAAAACCCACTGTAACAGTTTCTAAGTTGTGTTTTATAGCAGTGAAAGATGTGAAACTATAGATTTCATAGGATGAAGAGGGCAGCTGAAGGTTTTATGCGTGTTTGGCTATTTCAAAGTACCAGTGTTTATTGAAGTAACACTTGTTTTCAAGATTTGTCGCAGGACAGTTAGTAGTGCCTATCGCAATGGTGCCAGTACTAAATGAAGCTGCAAAAATATCTTTCGAAACCGGTGATCTTTTTATGAATTTAGTATAGGTTTTTGTCCAAACATCTTTTTATTTTTATTTTGAAAAAAATTAGAACAGAGCAAAATTAAACTCAGAATTTCGGAGAATTGGGAATCTAACAAAAATAAACTCTGATATTAAATAAAAAGAGAAAGAATAAACATAAAAACGGACAGAACAGCATTGAAAGAGGTGCTGTTCTGTCCGTTCCTATGTTTATTCTTTCTGTTTTTATTTAACTTCACCAATGCGCTCACGTCAAACTAAAAACTCTGATACACCCCAAATTCTCAGCGAAAAAATAAACTCCGAAAAACGCCCTCCAAATTTCAGAAAGTATGCACTCTGAAAATGCAAAATCTTAGTTATAATTCAAGTCGAACCTTAATTTTGCGGTCCATCACCCCAATCAAAGTGATCAACTACAATAACCGATAGAAGCAAGCCTTCACTTGTATAGTAAAGAGACTGCCGAAAGTGGTTGTCAGGAATGATGCGTTCGAACCGCAGGCTATACCTGTTCATCGAAGAGCCTGACTTGGCCATCACCATGTACAAGAAATGGCGCCAGTACGACAACATGATACGCATTGTGAAGGACTACCACCCGGACCTGCTGAACGACACTCATTTGCATCTGGCAAAGGTTTGTGCTCTGCATTTCTTTTAATGCCCCGTTGCTATGGGACAATCATTATTCAAATCTTGGTTCTCTTCTTCGAAATTTTACCTGGCAGTGTAACGGTTTTCATGCATAAAATGCTGCTGCCATAATATGCTCAGAGTTCTGGGGTATACTAAATGTGTTTATCGTAACTTTCCAAGGCTTAAGTCGGAGGCATTTTTTAAACTTTGTGCATGGTAATTATTATCAATGCTTGCTCCTGTGATCCTAACATGATCCTAACGTTTGCAGCAAAGAGATGTTTTGATGTTTTGGTTTATACTTCTCAATAAACCACAATCCTTGCAGGAGCTAGAGAATGAAGGCAACTACCGCCAAGCAGAAACCCACTTCCTGGCTGCCGGTGACTGGAAGGGGGCAGTGAACATGTATCGTACCAGCAACATGTGGGAGGAGGCCTATTCTGTGAGTTCGAGTTTGGTGTTTTTTTTTTTTTTAACAGCTTAAGTTGGACAACATTGAGTTTATAAAGAAGCATAAAATGACCTGAAAATAATTAGTGAAGTACCTGAGAGTCACTGTTGCTACACTAAGTAGTTACGCCATATTTGCACAAATCTATAGGATGACCCTCAAACATAAGGGAACACCAAAAATAGAACTAGGGAGCTCCAAAACAAATTTTCTCTGGTATTTTGGCGCGCTTATACTTATCAACACCTTTTTTTTTTTTAACATAGGGATGCATAGCAAATTTTACGTATGTCATGCTCTTGTTGTTTTAAGATCACAGACTTTTTTTTTTGCCGCGTATTTTAAATCTTTCGGTAGCTCCGGATCACGACCGACTCTAGACGCACGCATCCTCGCATTTAACTTCGTGCTGTCGTAAGCTGTTGCGGTAAAATCGTTCGGCACTCGCTTCGTTTGCAGGTGGCCAAAAGCCAAGGTGGGCCGGTAGCCTGCAAGCAGGTGGCATACTTCTGGGCCAAGAGTCTTGGTGGAGAGTCAGCCGTTAAGCTGCTAACCAAGTTTGGCCTGCTGGAAAACACCATTGACTACGCGGCCGAGAGCTGGTAAAATTCGGCGACAATGCCTATGCCGGGTGTTTCAGCAAAGACTTTAAAAACATTCCCGAACATATAAGGTGGTTGAGAAAAAAAGAAACTCATTTTGGCAACAAAGTTCCAGCCACGGCAGACGTCGGGAGTTGCAAAGAACCATACTAATGAGCGAACTAATGAACTTCTTAATGATTGAAAATAAACAGATGGTGTTCCTGATGTTCATCGTCAAAAAGCGCTAAAGCAGTAAATTGTAGAGAGATTTGAAAGGCGCGTTTAGTTTTTCTGGATCCCAAAAATGCATCTGATGTCGACACGCTCGCTTGGTATTTTACAAATTTAATTATCCGCGTTTTCGCACTCCAGCCTTGCACCTTTTGCATAAGTGGTAACTTTACTGCAGTACTGTGCTTCCCACATGCTCCCAAGTCTTTCTAAAATGTACCGATTTCGTGGTTTGCGAGATGATCAGCAGGTTTCTCATTGGACCCATATGTTTATTTTAGCATTGTGCAAATATACTAATGTTCTAATAGTAGTTTCGAATAATAGTCCATTTGCTATTCGCTTTGAGGAGAACTGCAATATTTATCCTTTTCGAAGTGTCGATCGCTGAGGGTTTTTTCCGTTGAGTGTGCTTCTCACTGAGCACCTGTACAGTGCGGAGAAGCTATACCTGCGGAGTTCGAGGGCTCCGCGGTTATTGCTTCCCCGCATTGCACAGGTGCTCGGTGAGAAGCGCACTCAACAGGGCTAACCCTCCGCGATTATGCAAGGCAGCCCGTGTTCATCATTCGTGCTTGTTTTTTTAGGTCAGATTTGAAATATAAGAAAGAATATTTGCATATAGCAAACAGATTATAAATCCCCTTAATTAGGATAGCTGTTACATGCCTCAGTTCATATAGTTTTTTAAAATGAATTGAGCTTGGAAGCAGATAACTGGAAGGTAGAAAACCTTCACAAATTCAGCTGAATTTTTTTTTAGCATGATGCACAGTAGTGAACTGTTTGGAAGCATTATTTAGTATTCAATTAAAAAATATTAAGCCAAAACCGCTATTCGTTTCTTATTCAAACTCCACTATTCGCACATGACTGCCATAATATCCCGAGAGATAGCCCGCCTAAAATCGAAAGTAAATCAACTGAAAATAAGGGGTAAATTTAACTTTCAATGTGCCATAAAAAAAAAAGAAAGAAGTTTAAGAAATGCAAGTTTTAGATTTTGTGAAATTCTAAATTTGTGATCGCAGGGATGAACCAAAGGCAACCGTCGTTTCCAGTCAGCAATGTTCGCTTATCTCCCGCCGTGGTTAAAACCCGACGACCAAACCCGATATTCTGCAAGGCTTTGCTTTTCTCATGTCTTCAAGCGAGGGGGGGAGGCAAAGGTTGAAAAGAGGGGACCTAAAAAGTCAGGCATGAGTCCACGCACGCCATTCGGATGGTGGGGTGGTTCATTGTGCGAGCACGTGAATGGAGACAAGCCAGCAAAAAGGGTGCCCCCACAATGGACACATCACAATCTGTGCGTCGGACTATTAGCGAAGAAACCTTCCAGGACTGAAGTCGAGGACCAGGAAACGAGAACCAAGTTTGTTTCACGTACTGCGCGGTATGTCTTTCCTGGGTGAATTGATGTATTTTAAATAACTGCTACTCCTGTTGCAAGCCTGGATCGGAATGCATTGGTATGAAAATGTGAGGACCACAAGGAAGGAAGAGGGAAGAAGCTTCTTTTTACGAACTTCAGGGCAAATCATAAGCTGCAGATAAACCACAATGTGTAGAGTGACACTAGTCTATAGACCTATTTCACAAAGGCGTCACCATCTTGAAATATTGTCACTTCCAGTATGGGCGAAAGTATTGTTTTGCCGTTGCCTCGCCAATAAAATACATTTAGGATACAGATGTAACTGTCGCCTATTCTTATTTTGTCACCCCTCTATATTTTTTACTATTTGCACGTTGAAATGTTATTTTTTCGGCACCCATACCGGACGTGCGTACCAAGTGGCTGGGAGCGAGGTTAAGCAAAAAAGGTCTATACTATATGGTGTGCAAGTTATGGTCCGTTCACTCACAGGCCACTGCATCTAGGAAGCAGAATCTAACTCCCCATCTCGGGAGGCACTGGCTTATTTCGCTCGAACACGCAATCACATGTTTTCATACTCACAGCTTTCAAACCATCATCTGTGTGGGGCTGCACATGCACAGACAATATTTTCCAAAATCGCAGATATTCCTTCAATAAAACGAAATGAAGCACCAAAAAACAAAAACAGCTTCCAATTATATTTAGCAACGTCGCTCTTTGCACCCCTCCCCTCCCCTCTTCCTCCCGAGAAAAAAAGAAGAGAAAATCCAAGGGGAACATAAAGAAATACCAGTGCAGGGCACGCTGACTAAAAACCTGCACTGACCCCAACAGCATTGTAACTCACGGACTCAGGGCCGCTTGTCAATCATGTTGGGGTTGCTCTTTTGTTTCGTAATCCCCTTTTTTTCTCTAGTTGGAGTCTATGGCTTAGCTGCCGTGGACTTAGCAGAGCAGGGGTAGGGCTCTGGGACAGGGGGCGAGGGGGAGAGGAAGCAGGCAACGGTGGAAAGGGTAGAAGGAGGGAGAGGAGAGGAAGCGAGGGAAAAGTGGAAAGCCCAAAATGGTCGTCGTCCTTTAAAGACCGACGGCCAGTTCGTGCTTTCCACTTTTCCCCCGCTTCCTCCTCTAATCCATTCTACCCTGTCCACCGTTGCCTCTTTCCTCCTTCCCCATGGTTAGGGGGATATTCTGCTTTGCAAAATCTCGAGTCTCGTCGTCGGCCTTTAAGTAACACCGTTTTTGCCGAGGTCACCATTGGCCAGGGCCCTGCAGTCAGTGTTTCTGAAAAAATGGCAAATCATGCCAAAAATAGGGGTGGGTTATCTTTCAGAGGTGGAGAATCTTTCAGGATATTACGGTAGTTTATTTTCATAAATTAAGAAAACTAATCGATTTTAGCTCATTATTTAGCTAATTAGTATGCTTTTTTGCAATCTCTGATGTCCACTGTAGCTGGCAGTTTGTTCCCAAAAAGATTTTTTTTTCTCACCCACCCTATTTTCAGGAACTTTTTAAAGTCTTTTCTGAAACACCCGGTATATACAGCAGTGCCATTCCAATATGTTAATGTGTCTATATATGGTGTTCTATATTGGTCTAATCCCAAAGACAGTGAAAGTGAAATTTGGATTTTCAGAACTCAAAGTTAGTACCTTTTTCGGTCTAAAACTCATGCTAGGCTCCTGCTGAATGTCGTATGTCTCTTGCAGCGCATTTGACTTTGCGTTCGAACTGGCCCAAGCCTCGGCAAAACACAAGCTTGCAGACGTGCACCTCAAGTATGCCATGTTTCTGGAAGATGAAGGAAAGTTCCACGAGGCAGAGCAGCAATTTATCAAGGCCAACAAGCCGAAGGAAGCAGTCCTCATGTAAGATGCCTCAAATGCAACGTCCCACTGCACAAGTATCAGGACAAAGCCTTTTAGTTACATGGTAAACAAGAGCCTTGCTTAAAATACAAGGTATTCTTTCAAGGACGGAAATATAAAAAAACACAAAGGATACTGGAGATAAATTATTCCTGGAGAATAATGTTATTGACTGTGGCGGACATCAAGGCACGAGTAAAAGGAAACGATTAGTGGCTTGACTAAAATTCTATGATTAACATATTAGCTCTTTTTTTTTTTCTTTTTTTAGCTGGCATATTTAAATTGGACATTTTCAGCCCATTGTTCATATAGGCCAGATGGTAGTTGTTAGAATATAGTAGAAAAAAAAAAATATTCTTCAAGTTACGATATGGCAAATTTTGGTAGCTGTGGCAATGCGAAAAGGAGATTAAGACAGCAAAGAGCACAAAACGGAAGAAAAATACTGCTTCTGAAGTCAGTGCCACACTGCTCAGGCCTTTGGAAGCTGTGTTTTCTTCGAGCATTTAGAGCTTTTGCTTTCCCCATCATCAAGATCCCTAGTCCTCTCCCCCGCCTTGAAAACAAATTCTGGCTATGCCGTTATAGCATGCAAATCTGATTTTTGCAATTTATACAAAATAAAATCGACACGGTGCACTAAAACAAATTAGAAGGGTATACTCGAGACAAGCGCTGGCTCTCAACTGAAGTTTTAATAAAACAAACTAACACTGAAATAAACAACAGCAAACATCATGGCCAATCAACAGGTGTCCAGAGAACTAATCTCCCTGCTATGCAGATGGACCGAAGTTTGACTTACACAATGCTCAGTCCCTTCCTTTTCAATTTTGTATGCCTCTAAAATTTCTCTGGTCATCTGGTCCTCGCCCCTTCCGACTATTGTGACGTGATGGAAGTAGGGGTAGCATCCACAATCTGCACAATGAAGAGGCAAGTGCCCCCGCTCTGTCGACCGCAAAAACCAAGAATGCTCACGCAATCTCTCATTGATACATCTGCCAGTTTAGTCAATGTATATCTCAGATGTACACGTCGTGTACATCTGCTAGTTTGGCCAACGTATATCTTGCCACACGTCAGCGGAATCCTGTACTTGACGCCTATTGTACACTCCACATATTTATTTGTTCTTATGCTTAACCGAACCAATGCGCTTCAGTTCAGTTGAGAGTCGGCACTTGCCTTGTGTACACCGCTCTACTTTGTCTTCGTTTTTTGTGCACTGCTTCGATTTTTATCAAGTACGAACCAACTATAGCCCACGTTGCCACCCTAATTTACACAAAGTGGGTTGGATCCGTCTGGCCCTTGCAGTGCACTAAAAGACATTGATTCCTCCCACAAGGTATGTACACAACCAGGACTGGGAGAGTGCAAGGCGTGTGGCAGAGGCCCACGACCGGGAGTCTGTGGTGGACGTGTCCATAGGCCAGGCCAGGGTGGCCTTTGAGGCTAGCCACTTCCACCAGGCGGAGTCCCTGGCCCTGAGGGCAGAGAGGCCCGACCTGGTCATCAAGCTGTACAAGGTGCGGCCCTCAGAAAACACGCCGTGGGAATTCTCGGCCATCGTGCAAAAATGATGCACATGGCATAGCCCTGGCATTGATATGGCCTAGGTTGTTGGTAAAGAAAAATTACGGGAGGACGCTTAAGCTTCGCCTTTAAGAGTGGAACGCGATAGCTAAATATACCCCCGCTCATTGCCAAGCCATCCAAGTGTGTCTGCGTAGTCTAGTGGGTAGCGCGTCTGGCTCGTAACCGAAGAATCGTGGGCCCCATCCCGTTCGGACTATATTCTTCAAATTTTTTCTTTAAGGCAAATGAATTATGGATCAATCAGGATGTTTCCATCCCACCGGCTCCGACTTAACTACCGCTTTAAATTGCATCCAGTGTGGGAGAGATTACATCAACATTGGGGTCTCTTAAATAGTTTTCTCTGAAAACTTTGGGAGCCCAACCTCCGTTATAAGTGGCAACCATTTTTGCTAAAATAAAGAACTTTGATCCGTTCATTCCAATGCGAGGGAAAGGCCATGCTTGCGGCAGGGGTGTCGGAAGTGTTTTGGGAAATGGGAGGGTGCCAGGAGAGGGATTTCCTTTCCTTTCCCCCAAAAATTGTTCATTAGAAATATCTGGGAAATCAATGTTACCTCCCTATTGGCCCCTTCTGTTTCTACACAGCTGGCTTGCCGAGCACGCATTCTGCATTTCAGAAATTTGTGCGCTCACATTTGAATTGGCTTGCCCGTGCATAACGAAAGACATTTTCTATGTCTTCATTCATATGGCATAGAAGAAATGGCACAGAAACTGCATAGGGGCACCCGACAGAACTCGAAGCTTGGATAAAGGGAATTGAGAAAATTGCACAGTGCATGGCACAGGTTTTGCGACACACGTTGGCGTTCTCTGTCCTGCTTCAGGAAGCGGGGATGTGGAACGATGCCCTGAGGGTGTGCAAAGAGTACACACCGTCGAAACTGCCCGAGCTGCAGGAGGAGTATGAACGCCACATGGACACCAAGGGAACAAGGTCAGATGGCACTTCCGGTATAGAACGGGTGAAGGGGTGAACCAGTCGACAGATTGCTCGTTCCCATCCTGTTGAACGAATAACTGCTGCAAACGAGAGAAATGGAGGAGGAGGAGACCCCACAGAATGCCTTGCAATGCCTTCTCCACCTCTGTCCTTTGTTTTGTTGCCAGTTGTTGTTTGAAGCAGCTTCAAGTACTTCAGTTTGTATCTCTCGGTGTTTAATGTGCCTCGCTGAAATAAGGACGCATTGAAAATGCACCTTTCCACATACTATGTGTTTAGCCTGCATTCAGTTAATTAAGATAATCTTCTTAGACACATTTATACATACGAATAATTTACAATGTGGGCTCGGAACTGGACTTGTTCAATTGAAGGCAGCAACCATTTTCAGATGCTATGTGTCAAAGTAAAATCACGATACCTTTATAAAGGCTTTTCCGACCTGTACTAGCCAACTATAGTAGTAGCAGAATGTTACTTTAAGGATTTAAAGACAGAAGAAATTTCAGTTGCCATACTCTGTGGCAGAGGGCATGATTGTCATTGTTCTTATAGCACTTGGGAAGAAACAGATTCCTAGATCAGGGACATGTGTGTTCACTGTTTCTCCAGTAAACATTCCTTTATAAAGGTGAACATATCCATGAATGAGAAAGATGTTCTGCATCCTCCCCAATCTGGATCTCTATAGCAAACTATAATTCTAAATTGAAACATTGTGCTCGGTATTATTTTTTACTTATTAAGAGTCTACTAGAAAAATATGCTCGTTCAGTTTTCGTATCGTGATGCGTGATAGAAGATGCATGATGAGAAATCTTAGTTTTCCACTGTGACTCAATGTGACAGAGAACTTGCTTGCACCAACAAATTATTTGGCTAAATGTTCCCAAAAACGTTGATGTTACATCACGCTTGCTACTAAAACACCTCATTACCATTCAGAGACTGGTGCCACAGGCACTTCTCTCTTTTATCTGCATTTCCCGGTGCCACTCAGGTACTAGGCACTTGTGTGAAATGTGTTTCAAGGTTGTCGCACTGAGCGGCAGGTTGTTCTAAAGATAAATCTGAGGACCCCAGAATACACATAAAGGAATCTCTTCAGCTTCAACGTACAAACAGTATTTATTTATTTATTTTACCCTCATGGCCATAGCATTACAGAGGGGAGGGGCCTTACAAAAACAATATATAAGAATAAAGACAAGCACACTAAGTAATATACATGAAAGGAACACTTGATTTTGATATGAAAAATATTACACAACATTACTAGCAGCATTGCGAAAGTGATCACCATCCGTGATGCTTACTAAAGAGGCAGGCAAGCGATTCCATTCAAGGCTGGTTTTTGGAATGAAAGAATATGAGTAGGTTACTCTGTTTTCATAAGGTATGTCTACTTTAAGAAAATAGTCGAGACGCTGTGAAGTAAAGAAAGCAGCTAGGTTTTATCAAGCGTGATCTAAGCAATTGATTATGATGGTAAGTAAATATGATGATAAATAAAGTGGGACCCTGCCTACTTTTAATTCACGTTGATTTACATATGCTGCCCAATTCGGAAAAAGATTCAGAGAACTTGAAGGTCCCGGTTAAACTTATCTGCATGCATAATGCTCGCATACATATTTATGAGATCTGTAACTCATGTCTGCTATTTCCGGGTCACAATTGCAGGGACGTGGGTGCACTTCTGGAGCAAGCTCAGGAATGGGAGCGCAACGGTCAATACGACAGGGCGGTCGACTGCTACATGCGCATGTCCGTCGACAGTGTTACCAACGTCGACGTGCTCGAGAAGTGCTGGGTCAAGGTGAGGCTTGCCAAATACCTACCCTGGGGGTATGACAGTTCTGGGGGTTCGCCATTATGCATGCGCTGGCTACATTTTTTATCTGTGGCATATGCCAGTGTCGCCATACTTCAAAGGCAGACCAAACTTGCGCCGTCCAAACACGAACGTCTAATTTGCTTTTTTGGGGGGAGCTCGCCACAACTTGTTCAGAGCATGACAACGACTTTTGCATGAAGGGCCTTATTGAAATGTTCTCATTATAGTCTGCAGACCTGGTGAAGTTGGTGCACTAGGTCTGCACCTAAAGAGAAATTTGAAAACAAAATTACCGAGCAAAATATTTGGTTGTTGAAAAAGGAGGCAGGAGCGTGCCATTCAATTGGAGGTTGGTGTAGGATAAAAAAAAAAAAAAAAAAATGTGAAGAGGTCCATAAAGTCTTTATTAGCATTCTGTAATTTCAAATGAATAAGACAAATAGAGACAGAGAGATAAATAATACACCTGCAGGGATAGCAAAGGACTATGGGTCTGTAGATGGCTGAGAGTGTGTTGGTTTCTAATTTACGATAACCTGTCGTGTCTGTTTGTCTTCAATGCCCCTCTTTCCTTATCGTAAACTATGGATCTCCTTGCAGTTTAAAACGGGGGTTACATTCCGTAGAGAAGCAAAGAGATAAATGCCTTATTAAAACTCGAGCAGAAAACAGCAAAAACTTGAGCCAACATCAGCGTATGGTTCAATTGAGGTGCCCAAAGCTTTTGTCATGCATACTTATTACAGAAAACCATAAAATGCTTCAAGTCCATTACACATATGAATGATGACAGATCTACTACTACACAAAAAAGGCTGTTGGCAAATGCAGCAAATACCTTATTTTGACTCTATAAAACAATGAAACACTGATGTTATATGTTATGTACCTATTTTCATGCAGGCTGCAGATTTAGCACTGAAGTTCCTGGATGAGCAGAGGGCTGACAAAGTTATCAAAAATGCCGCTCGCATGCTCCTCGAGATCCGGAAGCATAGCTCGGTTGGTTGTTTTGACATAAAATAATGACACGTGAGAAATTAAACTTGGCAAAATGTATTTTAAATAACCCCCTTATTATTCAGGCAGCACAGCTATTCCTCAGCATTGACCTGGTTCAAGATGCTGTGGACACCTTGGTCGCTGGTGAGGAATGGAGCAAAGCAAAGAAAGTTGCCAAGGAATTCGATCCCAGGTTTGTGTTTCATTATTGTGGCACATTCCACTTCACCTTCAAATGTGTCATTGCATTAGAAGTATGGTATATTAAAAAAACTCTATGTGTAGCCCTTTTCCTACCATATTAGCGACCACTCAAAAATTAACATGTAGTTTGATACATTTAGGCACTGTTGAAAATAGCTTTCTGCAAGTATTGTATGTGCTTAGCTTTAACAAGTGAAGTGACACACATGTTCTGCTGGAGTACTTGTAACATATAGAAACCTACATGTTTATTTCACTTGAGAAAAAAATAACTGCTATGAATATTGTGATTAGGATCTCCAGAGATTACTTAGCAACGCAACAAAGTAGACAAAGTTGGGATTCCAATTCTTTGCATCATGTGGCCAACAACTACCACAAGGTTTCCAGATTTCAACAGTCCCTTTTGACACTGTTATACATAATAAAATGCAGTTAATTTAACCGAGATTGACCTATACAATCTATAACCATAATCCTGCCACAACTGTATATGTCAAGCGGCAAACAGCAATGCATAAAAGCAAGTGCAAGTACAACAGTACAGAGCATAGGAAATGTACTCTTTCACTTATTACCCAAACTATTTTACGTATATTGGCTTTAATTCTGCAGTGCCAATGTGGGAGCAGACGGGGTACATATTTTTTTTTTCCAACTACCCCTGCTTAAAATTTTGACACCTTTAGAGAGACTAAATCCCCATGACCAACTCATACCTTCATATCGGCTCTATAGTTACTGCATTGCAACCCTGTTGTACCCATAACACAGACTTTTTAGACTTAGGCTAGGTGGCACAAGCTACTGCCCGTTACAAAGGGTATAGCCATTAACATTCATCCATCCGTCCAAATGAGGTAATTCCAACGTCGGTCAACTTTCTCCAAAGCTTCCTTCGATGCGGAGACAATTCCTTGCCACTGTCGCAAGGTGCCCGATCATTTGCATCACGGTGCCGTTCTTTCTGCTTCAGGCTGGAAGAGCACGTGGACCGCAAGTACAAGGAGTTCCTCCGTCACCAGGGCCAAACCGACCAGCTGGCCAATGTGGACGTCATTGCGGCCCTCGACCTCTACGCTGAAAAGCAGCAGTGGAAGAAGTGCCTCGAGACAGCACAGCAGCAGGGGCCCGAGGTACCGCACACATGTATCCTAGACCGGGAACCTCCACCTATACTCCATTTCGTCTTACGGTGCACCGCGGAGGGCACTACAAGCTATCAAAGCTATCGTTCGTTGTCCGCTAGGATCCGCGAGGGCGCCTGTGCCGCCTTTCCCGCTACTTAGGGGCGGGTATGTCGACCGGTTATTCGGGTCGTCACGCATTGTCTCTTGTTTCCATACTTTCTAAAGTGCATTTGTTTCTTTTCTCATTTTAAATACTGAACAAAACTACTTTCATAAATAATTGTAACAGTTTTCGCCACTTATATTTTGTGTTTCGAGTAAAAAAAAAAATTCTTAGCAGCTCTGACCAGTCGTTAGGCTGAAGCTGACCAGGATTGACCACATCACAAATTCGTCACATTCCGCGCGTGTTCGACACTATGGTCTGGTTAAAATATGACGCAATGACATTTAGTGACTCTTTCCATGACCGCTGGGTTACCCGAACCACGATAGATGAGGAAACAGCAAGAGAGGTAGATACAGTAAAACCTCGTTATAACAAAATGGGATATAACAAACTAATGGATATAACAAAGCAATCATAATTCCCCTTGCTTGCTAATAGGGAAGAAATGGACATTGGCTATAACAAACTAATGGTTATAACGAAATAATTACGATCGCTCCTTCAACTTTGTTATAACGAGGTTTTACTGTAGTTAAATAGGATTGCAAAGCCCCTTTAAGCTGTGTCCTGGACTACTGTACAATACCACGAAAGCGGCCCACTTCGTACGAGTGCTTACTATTGACATTTCGCAAACTTGGGAATTCTGCAAGTTTTACATTAAGAACCCACCCCATCCAAAGTGCCTACATCAACTGAAAATATTCACCGCGTTGAGGCAGCCACGAGGCAGTGTTGTACGAAACGGCGTTCCAAGGAACGGCGTTCCTGGAACGCGTTCCTTTTAGGAGGAACGAAGGAACGCCGCCGTTCCATTTTGCATCGCTGGAACTGGAACGGGAACGCGTTACATTTTTACCGGAACGGAAAGAGTAACGGCGTTCCTTTTTTTCGTCCAGTGGGGTCATTTTTATTTTATTTCTAACAGGGAAAGTATGAAAGTACAAAAACAATATATTTACGAAGTGCAGGATCTCGTTAACTTTTTGGCTACTAATCTTATGGATTATTTTGTGTGGTCCTCGCTTGCTAACAGTTTCGGGTGCAGGAGAGCTGGTGGGAATCGATATATTTTTGAGTGCCCGAAACTGCTGCACAAAAAGCAAAACTTTTAGTCGTAGGAAAAGACAAAGAAAGAGGGTTGTTTCAAACTCAGCTACTTTCTTTGGTTCCACGAATCCTCATACACCCAGAAATTTTATTGCGACTACAGCCATTTTTGAACTTCAATAACGAGACCTACAATTACAACAAGATCACAGATTGCCAGATATCGGACTCACCCTTGTATCCCGAACATTATTCACTTAAAAGATACACAAAAAATAGCCTTTATTCCTTCTCTTGTCCCCCACCTTCAAACTGAACAACAAATTTAACCTTCACAACCAAGTATTTGCAGCTTTCAATACTGACTTTCCAGAAGCTTTACCCTCTCCTTCACTTGCTTGTCTTGCGGACAGCAACAATGAGAAGCAACTGTTGTCAAGTTCTAACACGGGACTCTGTTAAATTGAAGCGTGTGAGGTTGTTGTAAAATGCTAGTGAAACCTTGGGTAAAAGTACATTAAATTTGGCTCGTCTGAATTGTCCACTACAAACATGAACATGGTTAATAGCTGGGATTTTTAACATGCATATATCAACAAATAAAACCCTACTTCCGCGTGTTTTCTACTCCTGGTGCCCTTCCATCACGACATACAAACTCGTATGTTGACTATTAATGGGATAGATAAAAAAACTCTGATTGATTTAACTAAATATGGTAATTAGCAAAAAATACAAATGTAACGTATATGTAACGATACGTTCCATTTTTGAAACTGTAACGGGAACGAGTTCCTTTTTCACATATGTAACTTGTAACGGGAACGCGTTCCAAAAATCAGAAGGAACGAGGAACGAGCTTTCGTTCCTTTTTTTGAGGAACGTGTACAACACTGCCACGAGGCAACCAGCGGCGATGACAAAGATATTGAGTGAAAATGAATGTGCTTCCTCCAATTCTGTTCACCCTGCCTTCAAAGCCCTTTATTAACTGCCATCTTGGTTTTTGCTGATTTCACCGGACAAGCGTCCACGTCTACCCCAGTTTTCAGTGAAAGTGGGGTGGGCTGCCCCGGTGTTTTACGGTAATATTCTGGATCAAGCCAATCGGCACCCATATTGGCCGTCAGCCTTAGGAAACAGCATGAGTGCACCGGCACTGAAGTATGTCACCGATCAACGTGCCCCCCTCCACAGTCGTTACTGGTTCCCCGATGCCAGTAACAGTTTCACAGTTCGTTATTGTTTAGTTCTTCTTAGTTCCATTCACCAGTGTAGTAATCTGCTTGAATGCATTGTTACAAGATGGCGCTAATATTTGAGCATGCACATGAAGCGTACACATGAAGCACGGGCCCAGCGTCATCTGAGAATAAAAGGAGCAACATGCGCTACTCGCTCAGTTGTTCTGCTTCGAGAATCGCCATCGCCCGATTACTGCACCCTGGTGCAGCCTTCTGTGGCTCGCTGCCGGTTCCTGTCACTGGATCATCACCATGCCCGGCCGACCCCTGGTCCATTGTGCCTCGGCACAGCCCATCCCCGGACGTTTAGCTACGGTTTCTTTCCTGTTTGCTTTGGCACGGAGCCGACTTTAACCTTAGCCGAGACTTTGGCACTTGGCTATTTCACGACCGTTCCTTCCCAGATCACAACACAAACCCCTAGTAGCTCTTGCAAATGAAAAACTTGAAAACTGCTCAGCAGCTTGGCGGGCGTACGTGTGGAGACTGTGCTGTCCCACCCTCAGGTGCTGCACAAGTATGTGGCCCTGTGTGCCAGTCAGCGCATCCGCGAGGGCAGTCCGCTGGAGGCGCTGCGCCTCTACGTCGATCACGGTGCTCCTGCACTTCCCCAAAACTTCAACATCTACAAGCACATCACGGCCAGCGTGATGGCACACGGGGGACTCCAGGGTGCAGACTCCTACCGGGCTTGGTCCGAGCTCAGAGACGTCCTGCACGACCTCGTGAGTGAGCTTACTTTGCGAGTTGTGCGGAGCTCTTTAGGGTTGAAAGTGGACGTCAATTTCTCGGTGTGAACCCACCGAGCTGCTATAGGATGGAATATCTGTGGTAGAACACGAGCGGAACATGACCAGCCAAGCTGTAACTCTCGAAGCATAATCTTCTGCTTCTGAGCTTTATTTTCTAGGTTAGACCGTTGATGGGCTAGTAAGTGGCAGAGCCATTCAGTGCCTAATTTACTAGCCTTGCTTTTAACTGCCTTGCCTGGGTCCTGCGATCTAGATGAATTTAGGTACAGCCCCAGGATGATTGCGTCCCTTTCGAGATGGGAATGTTGATATTTGCATAGGTGTATAGACCATGTCTGGAGCACGTATCCTTGGGAAGAAAAAGGTGTCTGCCAGCAAAATATACATAACAGGGGAACGAAGAGAGAGAGAGAAAAAAAACTTATTTTGCTAAATGTGGAACCTCCTTTTGTCCCGTTTCTTTGAAGAACTTACAATGCCGGCGCCACTGCTCGCCAATGAAACTAATTCTTAGGACTTATGAGCATGCAGTAAAATCAGTCACATAACAAACTCCCATCTTTTAAAAAAACTTTTTTGTCAGCATTTTTTTTTATAAATAAACTAACAATCAAACATAGCAAACCCAATACAATTTTTTTTTAATGGCTTTGTGCAAACAGAAGTAGTTTTCTGCTCACTTGTTATCAGCAAAAGAGCCGTCATGTTGCCACAGCTCGCCAACGGACGTCGTTTTCACTAACGCAAGAGTTTTAATAAAAACCGCAGGTGAAAAACCTAGAGAAGACTGGCCATTCAGAGTCTGCGGAGTTTGAGAGGCTGCTCCTCATCAGCAGTTACTACGCCACCCGGTCGGCATGCTTGGGGCAAGATGCGCTCAAGGAGCACGCCACCAAGATCTCCGTGTCCCTGCTGCGGTACACCGAGCACATCCCAGCCGACAAGGCCTTCTACGAAGCAGGCCTCGCCTGCAAGGTATACTGTGCGGCCACTTTTGCATTAGTGTAGTACTTCATATGGACCATGGCTATAGCATTAGCTGAAGGTTTGCAGTCACTTTAGCGCTAGCATAGTACATCGTAGGAAGTAGCAAAACCTGAAGTTGGAGGACCAAACAGGACACACTTCAACTCATTATCAGGACCCCAGAGATAACCCGACAGCCTTCGTTCTTCATTTAGGAATTATTTGGTGTTTCTATGCTTAGAGGTGTTATACACATTCAATGCGATTTCCTTCTGTTAAAGATATTGGTCAATTATTTTGGCCCAGAATATTTAAAAAAAAGTGATGTCATGATGATGAACAGGAACATAAATCGATTGCACAATTCTTTGGTAGAAGCAGATAAACAATAATGATAAAATCATGAGCCATTCCACTCTGTTACGGTGAATGACCGGCGACGCTGTTTAGCACACGACACAAACCTCCCCCGAGGAGCCGGGGGAAAGTAGTCACGCGTGACGAGACCGCCACCCTGGGAGAGCGGAAGGAAGCTAGGCACGCAAGCGCTTAGAACGACGACAAAGAGAGGGCGGTGCGAGCGTAGACACGGCCGACGCGGGTCACACAACGGCAAATCTTTGAGAAACCTTAATTATCTACCTGAGAGTCTACTGATCTTGAAAATGGTGCCTATTGGTAACAAATCTACTGAATAGACCTATTGTTAAATTAGCCAAGCATCAAGGAGAATGCAGGATAAGTGTTCCACGTGCCAGCATCTGCAGCGGTTGGTGTTCTAAAGCAAAAGCCTAAAACAAATGGCTTCTTGCACATGCGTTCGTCAGTGCTTTATTTTGGTTATTTACTTCGCATCTTTTATACAGGAAGGGCATGCGCGTGCTGGCGGTGCGAGTGTAGAGTTGTTGGTCACGCGCACGAGAAATCCATAAAACCCTAGCCATAAACAGCTTCGCTGTAAGTGTCCGCAGCTGTCGTTGCAGCCAAGGGCATGGAAACCAAGTTAAATAATACAGAAATGAAGTCATAGTAGCTCTAATGCTTAGCTGAAAGCGAGTTATAATATAGTAAACTTCTTCAGCAATGAGTGGTTGCTTAAAAATCAATACCAAAATATATTGTGTAAATTTTGTTGTTTTTTTGCTTTCCAGAATGCCAACAAGGATAACATGGCATTTGTGTTCTGGAACCACTATCTGGACATTTGTGAGGTACTCATTTTTGTATGTCCCTATATGACACTTGGCAAGCTTTTTTTTCCACTTTTAGTGCACATGGGTGTCCCGCAGACTTTTTGAACTGTTTTTGCCCGTTTGAAATGACTGCTGACAGGCTATTGAAGAGGGATCGCTGGACACGCTGGACCACTCCGACTTCGAGAACACTGATATCCCGTCCGAGATACCGCTCCCCGAGAAGATGTTTCTCAGTGTGAGTTCCACGCGTTTTCCCAGTTAACAAAAAGATGCACAAAATATTCACACAATCATCCTTATAGGCTATGAATTCTCCGAATACTGCCTCGGCATAGAAGTTGTTAGAATAAAAGAAGCTACTTGTGCTCGGGGCAGGTACACCCAGCTGCACCATGTCGCTCTCAAAATACCGTGCTTTAAATTGGAACAACTGCAATGTTACAAAAGTAATGTTCTGCTTATAGACCGAGCAATTCATGTGAGACAGTGGCACCAAGAATCGTGAAGTGAAAAATTTCAAATGAGAATCGAATAACACATAGCACATCTGATGACACCGCCAGGTACCAGCAAAAAGCAAGGAGCACGAGAGATTTACGTTCCCACCAAACGTTGCTCACCGCTCATGTACCGCAAGCGTGCACACATACACGACGTTAAAAGGTGCTCGTGCTGCACGAGCAAGAGCTCGACGGGAACATTCTCAATCGTCACAAGCCAAGAGAGAACGGTGATGTTTACGCGACGACTCGCGCGTTGCCGCAGGAGTCTGAGCACGAGGAGGTGAAGGAGTGGGTGCTGGCCATCTCCATGAACCAGCAGGTGGAGCAGACCCTTCCGGTGGACGAGCAGGGCTACTACGAAGCCTCCCTCGAGGGACCCAGGGGGTTTGTGCGGGCACAGCCCTGCCTCATCACGGGTGAGCGCCACACTGCAAGTCGGTCTTCTCCACACCACCCTGCCTTTCGTGCTGAACGTTCCGACATGAAGCATACTATAAATTTGCGCACAATCCTTTAAATCTTTGCCGTCTAAAATCGGTCCATTCACTGGCAATCCCGTCGACTCATTTTCTCTGGCCTACCTCCACAGCTCTGGTTTAAGACACAATGTGCTTTTTCCATGGCCGTGACTGTGTGGCCGTGTGTACTTGCTTCGTTTCGGTTTAGCCAAACTTGCTAATGGGTAAACGTGTGTGCACTCTTATGTGTAGAAGTGTTACCGTACTGAATGCACAAATGAGACAGCTACATCATTACCATGATTACGGTTCTGGAAGGTGCCTCCAACTGGTATGATTACAGAGTCCTCATTTCATTAAATAAGCCGCTGGCTCCCGCAATATTCTTTTGCCACATTGGAAGCAGTTTGGATGCGTGGGCTGTGTAGGATGCTAAGTGCACCAGTCGAAAACACTTACCAGGCAATGTACCACGATAATGGTGAATGCACATATTTTTGGCTCCACCACTGCCATTGCTCTGCTCTCACACTGTAGCAGCTCTCACATTTCACGGTGGCAGACGCTCGCTACAAATAAAGTCGAGACTTGTACACCTTTCCAGGCTACCCCGTCCTCAAAAATAAGCACACCTTTCTGAAGCCTGGATTCCTATGCAACAAGGATGACTGGAACAAATTTCTCATGGCAACCAAAGTAAGTAGGATGTACTATAACACCAACAAGCTATAAATATCTCATTCTTTATCCAGTGTCAGTTCTTCTGTCCCAACTAAAAAAAAAATACCCCTACAACTGCATGCAAGGAAGCAAAAGTTTGGCCTCGTGTCGGAGACCCGGGAAAACTTTCATTTGCCCCAACAACTACAAGTACCGAAGTGTGATTGAGCTCATCAACTCCCTACTTGTGGTAGTCAGCGACAATACGAGTTGGCCCAGTTCAGCACCGACCGAAAGTTTCCACTGTGCTAAGCTATGAACCGGACTGTCGCGTGGTGACAATACAAAAAGCGGCAGTCCATTCCAACCTCTTTTTTAAGTTTAGTGGACCCAGTGCTCTTCACACTGCTGCTGCTGTGCTGCCCCAGCCAAAATACCGCCGAGCCAGCTCAAATTTCTGTGCCTTGTATATAAGCCAAAACAGTTTTTGGATTGGACGCGGCCATACAGCAATTGAATTCGGATTGGGTTGTTTCGGCAAATTTCATTGTCACTGTGTAAACAATTGACCCCAAACTCTGCAAACATGTTCTTTGTTCCCTTTCCGTCGAAGCTCTCCCACAGCACCGATTGCCAGGATGTGCTCAAGTTCATCACTGAATGGGCGGGAGGGACGCCGAGCCTCAGCTACTCTTTCCAGTGAATGTTTGGAGATGTTATTTGTAACTGCACCTGGCAACAGAAGAGTCAATGTGTTTTTTTTGTCCAATAAATATGGTAGTTCACCCACAGAGACGTCGGTGCATTTAATTTTGCTGTGTCATAGTCATACTCAGGAGGACTGTTTGCTAACCACTTTATGAAAATGCTAAGCACTTCGTCAAATACAAAAAGGAATTGCGCCGTTTTTATTTTTCAGGAACGGGAGACTGCAAATATATTACATGTGCGCACCAATAAAATGTACAGCAGAACAGGGCTGAAATGAGGCGTACCGAGAAACATTTTTATAGCAGCACTTTCCCGACACAATTTTCACGGAGATATGTTTTTACGTGCTCAGACAGAATCCAACAGTAGTCACTTTGCATATCCTGGCTAAACCCTCCCCTCCCCCCCCACCCCCACCTCCCCGAAGGAAATTTTTGCCAATTATCAATGCTAAATCTCGTCGCAGTATTTACCACTACATTCCTACCCAAGCAAAAAAAAATAAATAAAAAAAAGTTAATTGCCACCTTGTTTACTACCTTTCATGCTCTCAATAACGTTACATTTAAATCCACGGGAGAAAGTTCCCGAAAAAAATACCTTAAAAACTCGCACGCGAAACAATACTGAACCATGGCAGCAAAATTTAGAATGCCGTATGGCAGAGCGCTTCTCCATGTGGAGGAGTGGTCGAACGTGGCATTCTCCCTTTCTAACAAATGCAGAATCTCCTTTCCCCTTCCCCACTTATAAAACATACAACTCTCGGGAGAAAAAAAAAACAAAAAAACATTGACCGAATCGCCAGAACACGGAAGCAGGGAAAAAAAAATTAATCATGTTCAATGCCGGCAATAACTTGGTAGCAGTCCGTTCCGACCGCTACAAAAAGTATGGCGTGGTGTTCCGGGGCGGTATCACTCTTTCGGTGTCCGGCACTGCATGGAACAGCTTCGCGGTTCGTGTGTTAACGTCCGTAAAAGCCAGGACGGCCGCAATGTTACCGCACCGGTAGCAGTAGTTGGGCGCCGACCAAACCGTGACGAGCTTGTCGTCGAACATGTACTTGTAGCCTGGAAGTGGGATTGAGGAGCCGCATCAGCTATCGTCCTGCACTCGTCGTCAAGCAAGGTGGAAATGGGACCGAAACTTACCTTCGTGCACTAGCTGGTGTGCTCTGCATATAAGCTTCAGGTTGTTGAGATGCATGAACTGGGGGTACGACAACAAACAGTCGTTAGACCTCTACCTCTTCCAAACGATGCAGCACCAAGATTCTCTCTCCAGCGGTCCGATTTTAGTCCCCGCAAGAGCGAAAATCTAATTTTCTTCTCGTGAAGAAAGCCAAGATATTGTTTGCAGACGGTTTGTTCGCTAACGCGAGTGAAGAACAGAGCTTGTCTAATGCAAAGTGTCATTTGCAGACAAAAATGAAACGAGAAAACAGTATGCTACAAAGCGAGTGCTGCGGCGAAGCGAGATCAAACGCAGGCTAAATGGCGATTGTCCGCTATTTTATGTTGGAGGCGATCAACGACCCGAGCAAACTTTTTCGTTAATGCTCGTCCAGAAGAAAGTTGCGACATCACAGGCAATCAGCAGACGGTAAAGTTCTCACTCTCGTTGGGACCGAAACAACAGATTTTCTTTAGAGGGTTCTAAGCGCCATCTTACCTCGTGGGTCACCTTGGCCCCAAACAGCCAGCCCGCCCCCCGCGGACTCACGGACCAGGTCTCGACGTCTTCTGGATCGGACCACACGAGATGTGCAAGTCGTCAAGGGATTCAACATTGACCAACCGTCGCGCCGTCGGGGTGCCATCTTTGGAGCCCGCAAGGAACATCACTCAAACGGAAGACTTCGAAATAAAGCTCTCTCAATGTTTCAGTTCAATGAAAATTCGGGTCAGGTCCTCGGAACACTTCATCTAGGTACCGTACGGAGTCGCAGGTGTACAAAACAAAACTACCAAAACTTTGCACGGAACTGATGAAGCATTTGTCTCAAATCAAAATACTGTAAATTTTGTTTTCGTGGGTTCAATATTTCGCTAACTTCACGAAAGGTGGCAGCAAAGCAACAAAAATTCTCTGCTCCAGAATAAACCACAAACATTGGCATGACGCTATTGACACGAGATGTGCTAAAAGGCATGACAAGAAAAAACACAGCTAGTGGCGACAACATTGCTGTGGCTTGTGAAGTGCCTGTGAATTTTGGGGGGATTTAATCTGTTGTTGGCCAATGGTTAGAAACTTCACCAGCTGTGCCTACGATTATCTAGAAAGCTACGATACCGTAAAATACCGAGCTAGCACTCACTCAAAATTTGAAGATAATCGCGAAAAAAATAGGAGATGGGTGCATGTGAGGTCATCAATTTTACAGTACTGTGCATATTTTTTCAGATGTTACAAACATTAGGGGTGGGCGCTCAGTCAGAATGGGCGGATGCAGGGTAATCTACGGTAGGTATGTAAGGCTGTCCCAGGACAAAGGATATCACAGAAGGCACCCTTGTGAGGTATCTCCTGATTCCTCTCAATTGTTCGCACTTGGTCTAGGGTCTTGATCTGGGGAGACAGCCCGCCGTGTACACAGAGCACTTGTTCATCGATGATCTGTTGGGTCAAAGCAGAAGGCATACAATGGGGAATCCTTTGCAACTCTCGTGGCATCAAACAGTAAACAAATTTTTTTTTGAATATGCCTAGATTAGAGCTAAAGTGCACAAGCACCTGCAGGTGGAAAGGAGCCATAGCCTCAAGCAAGTAAACAAAATTGAGAACTCTGTAGAGGCCCTAGATATGAGAAATGCTTTCTTCTTTTTGTCAGAGAAGACCAAAGTTTCTAGTTGTAAAATTCAACATGTGAGTAGAAATGGGCAAATAGTGGTTCGAATCGAAACGCACTGCATCATTCATAGCCTTCACAGTGCTGGGGAAACCGATGCCATACGGGCTCTCTTTGCAGCGTTGAAACTGATAATGATGACCTGCTATTTGCCCACCCCTACATATAAGACAACCATATTATGTTACTAGTCAGAATAGTAATTTTCAAAATATGATCAATTATGGTAAAATTATTCGCATTGCAGAGCTAGCTGTAGCAAGATTAACTATCCCTAAAACAAAGAGCTTTTTCTTTTTTTTTTTTTTTTCAAAACTGCAACCTTTTCACATAATGCCCTCGGGCAATGTGAGATGATCTTTGAACAAACAATGATTTAGGTAGAAAGCTACGCTTTGCAAATTAAGTTTGGCATCAAACATCTCTAAAAAGAAATTTTGGAAGATGCAGCCAATCTTTTTAAACAAGGGCTCACTGAGGCAGTAGTAGTAGTAGAAGTTTCATGCCCCAGTTCTCATTCCCCAATGATTCGCAAACGTCCTCCTACATCTTTTGCCTAAAAATGCCTCCGAGAATGGATCACACAAGAGTGCACTCACCGCTGCCACTGTGAGCAGGTCAAACACTTTGCAGCAGTACTTCCAGGCATTTGCATTGCCATACTTTGTCTGGCACTCATCTAGTTAAGGAAGAAACGTCAAAATGCATTGTCCAGATTCACAACAGAGGTTTGCAGACAATGCTACGAGAACACACAGTCAGACTTCACAAAATGAACCAGCATGACTATGTACCAAATATTCTAATAAATAAAGTTTCTTTAACCTTTTCAGCACCATACAAGGTTTATCTACCCCGAATTCCATTCGGTTGTCTGTTCGAAGATATAAAAGAACGTGTCGCTGCGCACAAGCTCAGTAGATATGCCAAGTTAGTCTGCAAAAGGGTTTAGGGAGTATGCGGATTGACACCGGAAGAAATACTAATCCAAATAGCCACTCCACAAAACAATGTGGATGCAGCATCGTAAATAATCTGTTTTGTTTGAATGTAGATGAAACAATTTAAGAAAAAAAAATGACAATTTCTGCTTGCCGTCCAGGAGACTGGGACGAGCTTGCAGATATACGGCAACAACACAAAAGTATGTTTATCGCACACTGAACAGCACACTGTGGGTGTGTAGCAGCCAACTGTTAGCTTTGGGCGATCCTCTCACCCAAAGTTTTAAATGGCAAATGGCCGTGCATACCGTAAAAGCCGTACACTTGGGTGATCTGCCTACTTTCGTGGTTGCCACGCAAGAGAGTGATCCTGTCTGGCCACCTGGGAGAAAGAAAAACATAAAACATGAGCAGTGAACCGTTTGTTCTCACCTGAAAACAGACAATTTAGTAAACTGCAAGAGTGCAGAGAACAGAAGTTTCTAATTAAGAAGCCGTTTGCAATATTGAGCCATGTTTAACATTCGTGATTTGAGAGAAAAGTATAAATTTTTGGTGCTGGACCATGCTATTTCAGTGCTTCACTAAGTAATGTCTACACATCTGCTCATGTTGTGAATGGCAAAGAATTATATGTATATAGGACACATAAAAAGGAGCGTGCATATCTATACCGACGACTACAATGTACCGAAGGTGTTTGTTGGTTTGGGACAGCGTTATTACATCTTGTCCACGTGCCCTACTTTGGATGAGCAATGTTATTGGTACCTACAGGTATGCGCTGGGCGTTTTCATAAACCTGAACCGGTGTCTGCTGGTGCGTGTGACCTTACAAAACTATTCACATTGCTTAACTCACAATGCCACGTTTCCTTCGGTAAGTTTACTTTGACATCGGCAGGAACACAGGTTTGAAGTGTGCTTCCAGTTATAGGTGCCTCTGTACATTTACTGGAAGCGCTTTTTGTAAACATGAGCTCGTGGACATTGCCTTATTAAGTTGAAATGAAGTGCAGGCATCAAAGCTTAATCGCTAATAAACCACTAAAATAAGAAAAAAAAAAAAAAGCCCTTCAAAAATTATTTTATTTTTGTTTGGCACAAAGTCACTTACTTGGCCTTCAGGGTTAGAAGACGAGTAAAGGTTTCCAAGCTATAGTAGCCCCGGTCAACAAAGTCCCCCTGAAAGGCAACAGGACGAAATATTATAACTTTATTGCATAAAACTATAAGTTAAGTTGTTTCTTTTTTGTTCAGAACATATCTACCGGCTATTTAAGGTGCAAGACATGTTCCATGGGCACACGATAACAACATCGGAAGCACATGATAGACGGGTTAGCCCAGTGCACCTACAACCACTCGACAACCATGCTAGAGTATCGGCACTCTTCTACTCAACGTCCGACACTGTCACAACGCAAATCCATTTGTTCGTGCCAAGCAAGGTGTTTATGAATCAGCTGCTCATAGGCACCGTCATTTTTCTGCCTAAAGCCACACATGCGATGGTGTCGATAATTATAAAGGCCCGTTCACACTCTTGCGACCGAGTACGACTGAGAGAGACAAGATCTCTTACAACTTCTTAAATGTTTCTAGAATGAGGGAACACACTGACATTGTGGCGCCATCTATGCGGTGACCCTAGAACTGCATTTCACAAAAGCGAAGGTTTTGCGGGATTTCCGAGGTCAAATGTGCGTAATACCCATAGAAAGGCTCGTTTATAACATTGACAAAAGCTTTTCGAGCCAAAAAAGAAAGGATATTGCGCGAGAAATAAAAAACAAATATGCCGGACCGCCGAGTTTACACTGCTTCCCAATAGATGGCGCTAGTGTGTTCTCTGGTTTAAGAAGTTTTAAGGAACCCAGGTTTAAGAGGTCGCAAGCAGTCGCAAGAGTGTGAACGGGCCTTAACTCTAAAATTTAGGCTCAATGAGCTTTAGGTGAGAGGATATGCTGGAGATGTCATCTTGCTATGTTGCAAGTTATTTCCGAAAGCAGGGTGGAAGGCTCAAGAGAGGCACGACTGCAAGTCAGTGGCCACTGGCAACAGTGATTCTACCTAACAAGATGACTGAAGTGACCCGACTTTGCTCTAGCTATACCCGCACAAAAAGTGGAACGGTGATACATATTGGGACTTCTCACACAAACCTGTATATCTATTCACGCTGCACAAGTACTATACCGTTTTCGAGACAATGCAGAGCTCCTGTACATTTTAGATTCTGTACGGCAAAAGCAAACACACCAGAAAAATGTAGTTCGTCTCTGGAACCTGGCCACCAGTCCGAAAGAGCTCCTCGAGGTCGTAGAACTGCGAGAAACGAGCGACACGTTTATTCACACCAGGGTTCAAATGCAGGTGACTCGGCACTCCTTAAACGCTCCAACCACAGTACACCTGGGCAAAGCGGTAATAACTTTACAGAGAATGTGACATCTTCTCGTTTTAGGGACTTTAACTTAACTCGCGGAATCTGCAGAAACTGAACTGCGGTTTTTAAAAAGAGGCATATGAATAAGTCATTCAATCAACAGCATAACTTATAAAATGACCCGAGAAGTCGGACGAGATACTTTAAGGGTGGAGTAGTTACCTCCTTACCCGACTGCACATGGCTGCTGTTTGTACACGTGAAAGGCAACACCCAAAACTTTCTGAGTGCAGAAGACTTAAAACAGAGGAAGGGTGTACAATGCAACAAGGAACAGATGCCAATGTCTTTTCTACGCTTTCAAGACAAGGGTGCAACTGATCATGGCAGCACTTAAACAACACAAAAAATGTGAAAGAAGGCCTCGGCACTGCAACTAATACGAGCAAGCTAGAGCAGCGGTTTGTGAGGGCACCATTGCACATTCGTGCCTGTAATTTAGGAGACATCACGGTAGCAAGGAAAGAAAGGTGGCGCCCACCTGGCCGTGGATGTCCCCGCAGACGGTGACTGGTGTGGACACGGGCTGGATGTTGCACTCCTCCAGGAGGAGCCGACATACCATGCTGCATAGTTTCTGGAAGTGCAAGCAGAGATCAACACTTAAGACGATAACACCATCACCATCTAATACCGACAACTTCGGTGAAACCTGCCAGATTCCTATGTCACATCAGTCTTTCCATGGGGTGTATCCCATACTTGTGCCCCCAAGAACAAGAAAGAGCTGTCTTGGAATGTAGCCATAGGGACAGTGCACTCGAGTCTAGCCACACAGATGGCACCATCTAGCACAAAATTCTTACAACTTTGGGAAGTTTGATAGATTCATTCAACCAGATCTCGAGTGCCCTTCCCAGCCCAGGTTTCAGACCATCAGCCACACTGACCAGGAGCTGATCGTGGCACCTCTTGCTCACAGTCCTGAGCCTTTAGGAAAGGCTGGTTACTCAAACCACAGCCTACAGATCTTGACCCCACTAGTACTGACCCAATTTAGTTCAGCCAGGGTGTCTAGCAAATTATTATTTTGCAATTTCCTGACTTTTCCATGTTTTCCCTGAAAATTTCAGGTGAAATTCCCTGACCACTGTAGAGGCGGTTAAATATATAAGACCATTACAACACAAGCCATTCAGCATTGTAAGGATAATTTTGTATGGGCTTTATCCAACTTGCATATTCCAAAATATCTGGGTTCGTCCAATCCGGATTAAACAAGCACTTTCTTGTTGCCAACATTGTCAGTGAAGAGAGGACACTTCCAGAAACATGATAAAAACACGACACCCAACCACACACGTCAATAACCGAATGACAACATGACCGCAAGATGCACACTTTCGGATACTTCCAGCTTAAGGCATGGACTGGATTGGGGTCTGCGGCTTTCCCATTTGTTACTAAATCTAGTAGCTCTAACTCAATCTAACTTAGTTGTCATGCTATCAATCCAATCCAATCCTTGGACTGGACTTGTCAGCTGTTCTCTTTGCATCGGGTAGCACACCCTACACTCTAAGCACACACACACTCTAAGCAGAATTTATTGCCTATTTTTCTGCTCCCAAGTCCTCAAGTCTTTGCTCAGGGCACTCAATGGCGTTTAAGGCTTATGTTCCCTGACTGAGCTCGCTTTTTTGACAATATCCCTGACAATTCCCCGATTTTTTCCGGTAATTAAAATTTCCCTGACATTTCCCGGTTTTCCCAGTCACAAGACACCCTGGTTCAGCACAACATCAATGTGTCCAACAGCAAAAATGGGTCATGGAAAAACTGCCCTCCCACCTTCAGTAAACAAAACTGCCAGTAAGTGAATGCTACACATGAGCTGCATTTAAGTCACACCTGAGCATCTCGCAACAACAATTTCTTGGCAAGAGCTGCCGAGCATCAAAATATGGTCATTCAACTCGATACCTAATCAAATAAATAAACTACAATACTGCAGAGTGCAAACTTGGAAAACATTTGTAGAACAAATCTTTGTTCGGTGCTGTTTGTCAAACATGTACCTCTGCTCTTCTCACTTCTGATGGAGCAATGCAACTTATGAGCTTCACCAAAGGTTAAGCTTGAGTTAAATGTGTTACAGTGAGCTATAACAAAGCCAACAAACAGAAACAGCCTGTACACATTTGAAATGCCCATTTGCAATCGACATTACATGGGGTCTCCTCCCTCACTGTCCATGGGCCCGTCAAAGGGTTTCAATAAACAAATTGCCGCAGCTGTAAGGTTCAAGAACACATGAAAAAAAATCTGGGCAGTCATCTTTATGAATGACTTGATTATACAAAACTAATATAAATAGACAAGTAATCTTATATATTTCCCCAGGTTTGACTGTTGAAGATTTGTATAGATTAAAATGACGTTAAATTCCCCTAAAACAACCTCGAAGTTATGAATGCTTTCGACGGAAGAGATCTTTTGGGGGATTTCTGCGATTCCCACCACCGAGAATGACTAGAGCCTTTGTTCTTTGACCGAGCAGAAACTTTGGTAGAAAACATACTTGCAGATCACCTATAAGTCAACTTCATTCGAGCACCCTGCTAACCTTGAAAACTTCAGTAACGTCAAGCGCAAACCATCAACAACGCTCTCATTAGATCTCCATAAACTAATCTAAGACTTGATAACGACGTCGTGTTTTATCGTAGGTCTCAACATGTGCGAAACGCATCTGACTCACGGAGCTGTCCTTCCCAAAATCGTGCATCTTTCCGAAGCTGTTAGGAATCGCGATGGGGACACGACAGTTAGGGCGCAATCGTAAGAACTGATATTAAAGAATCTCCTGGCGCATTTCCACAACTGCAGGGTCAACTGTCACTCGTACCCTAGACAGCGTGACTAACGATTAAAATCCCTCGGACGCGAAGTTTTGGACGAATTGACTTCTCTTGGGCGCTGACTCGGAAAGCGGAGCGGTCGACAGCACCTCGCAGGCTCGCGGCCGTTCATATCTCACGTCCACCCACTTGCAAAACCAAACGCATCCATTCCCGGGAAGCAAAACACGATCCCGTTTCACAAAGTTCACAACTTGGCGAGGGAGCAACGCGCTCTCGTGAAGTGACCATACCTTCAAATCATTTTCCGGTAAGTACTTGCATTCCTTCGCGATTTCTATCCATTTATCCACATCAAGCATTGCTTAAACACTTTAAATTAAGTTTCTCGTTTCACACATTTACCGCAAAGCAAGAACGACGGAAACCATGTAAAGCTACTCCGCACCAAAATGAATACAACGAAAATAACAACCACTTTAATTGGGGCCAAACAAAAATATATAAGCTGTGTACACAATATATTATTTTACTGAGCTCTATTTCATTTACTTTGTAACTACAGTGAGACAATGAAAGTAATATTTTTGTTGACAAAGCGGTTGACCGCGTTCTGGAGAGCTGGCTCGCAGCAACAGAAGCGAGGCAAAAATGGCGTCGCTCCAGACGCTGCTCCCAGCTCCGACGCAATCAGTTTTCGACCGAGGCGATGAAGAACGCGCGAGGAAACACGCCGCCCCTTCGACGCACCTCGCACTCACAACTCGAAGCGCACCACCGTACGGTCTCCGCAAAGGTTGGGTCCCCAGGAACCTCGAAGACTACGGCGATGGCGGTGCCTTCCCCGAGATCCCGGTCGCGCAGTACCCGATGGACATGGGCAAAAAGAAAGAAAAACAGACCTCGAACGCTCTGCCCGTCCAGATCGACGCTCAGGGAAAGATCAAGTACGACGTCATAGTGCGACAGGGCCAGTCAAAGGACAAGGTGATCTACCATCGCTTCCAGGACCTGCTCCCCTCGGAGATCACCACCGATGACGACCCCACGCTACAGAAGCCCGACGAAGAAGAAATCGAGAAGACAACCGAGGAGACCCGTCTTGCTCTCGAGAAGCTGACTCAGTCCAAGATATCGGCGGCAATGCCGGTCCGCGCCGCTGAGAAGACGGCTCCTGCCCAGTATATCAGGTACACGCCTTCCCAGCAGGGCATGTCCTTCAACTCCGGTGCCAAACAGCGCATCATCCGGATGGTCGAAGTCCAGAAGGACCCCATGGAACCTCCGCGCTTCAAGATCAACAAAAAGATTCCGCGCGGGCCGCCGTCTCCGCCGGCGCCCGTAATGCACTCGCCGACCCGTAAGGTAACCGTCAAGGAACAGCAAGAGTGGCGCATTCCGCCCTGTATCTCCAACTGGAAGAACGCCAAGGGCTACACCGTTCCCCTGGACAAGAGGCTGGCGGCCGACGGCCGCGGCCTGCAGCAGGTCCACATCAACGAGAACTTTGCAAAGCTCGCGGAGGCCCTCTACATAGCGGACAGGAAGGCCCGCGAAGCGGTCGAGATGCGGTCCCAGCTGGAGAAAAAGCTAGCCCAGAAGGAGAAAGAGAAGAAGGAGGAGCACCTGAGGCAGTTGGCGCAAAGGGCCCGCGAGGAGCGCGCCGGCATCCGGACCCAGGCGGCCGTGGCCGACGAAGACGTGCGGGAACGAGACCAGCTCCGCTACGAGCGCCACAAGGACCGCCAGCGGGAGCGCAACATCGCCCGGGCGGCCCCGGACAAGAGGTCCAAGCTGGAGAAGCAGCGGGAGAGGGACATCAGCGAGCAGATCGCCCTGGGCATGCCCGGGGCGCGGCCTTCGGAGGTCCAATTCGACCAGCGGCTCTTCAACCAGAGCAAGGGCCTGAGCAGCGGGTTCGGCCACGACGACGCATACGACGTGTACGACAAGCCGTGGCGCAACGCGCAGACCAACGTGTACCGACCCAAGAACACGGGGGACAAGGAGGTGTACGGCGAGGACCTGGAGAAGCTGATGAAAACGTCGCGCTTCGTGCCGGACAAGGAGTTCTCTGGCACGGATCGGTCGGCCAAGCGGGACGGCCCCGTCCAGTTCGAAAGGAGGATCGAGGAGGAGGATCCCTTTGGGCTGGACAAGTTCTTGACAGAGGCCAAGAAGGCCAGCAAGAGACCGTCAGACGACCAAGATCACCACAGGGACAAAGGGAAGCGGCGGAAGGACTAGTGGCAGGGACAGGGACGGATGTCCTATGGACATCCCATGGGACTTTCGCATTTGCATGGACGGCTTGGAGTGTGGCCCACGCTGTCAGAGCTGCTGTGTGTCACATGATCCTTTGTTTTGTATCCTGCAATGTGTGCTTGAAAGGCTCCTGTTTATGGCATTGATCGTTGTTCCTTTTTTTTTTTTTTTTTTTTCCGATCATGTAAAGAGTTGAGTGATGCTTGAGAGGCTTCTGTCTATATCGTCAATGTTTTCTTTCGTCAGGTCGTGCGAGGACGGTTGAATATCGATCTTGTCTTTTGTCCACGGTATCCTTCATTCAACCTTTTTTTTTGCACCTTGTACAGTACCATAAGCATGTATAATGTCATGCATGGTTTGCACAATAAACAATTAAGAGGATGTCACATCCTGTAGGATCATGTCGTGCATTATACAAGTGCAACCAATGTTTGGGCATGCATGTGCAGATTGTAGCTGCCAACAGCCAGATATAATTATTGCTAAACAAGTGACAGACAGCCCATCAACCTCTTATTATGGCAATATTTACTGTATTGTCAGTAAGAATTGGCATGCGTATAAAACTTTATCACATTGTTGTTTGATGTTAGTTCAAAATTGCATCGCTGTCCGCTCCCCTTGGAACTTAAATCACATTCTTATGAAATCACCTTTGAATGACTGTGGTATTTATCCAGTAACATGACTTCTATAACTTGCCTTAACTATGTTGGCATTTCCTTAACAACTATGTACTTATTTACGTGCTAAGGACTTTTTGTTTTTCATTTTTAATGTATATATAGTTTTTTTTCTTAACTACTCTCTAATGCCTTTTGGGTTTTTCGGGAACATGAGCCTGCGGGGCATTCGACACTCATTACCATTCCCTTTCCGAATGCCCCGCAGACCCATACCCCCCTCTTCCCTCCCCTCACCTCTGGGAGCAGATGTTGCGCGACCTGGAGGAGTCAGCCCAAGTCCTGACCACCTCCCGGGCCCTGGCGATCGCGGCGGCCCTCTGGGCCTCCGCCACCCCCAATACCTGATCCCGGAAGAATAATAAAGTTTCCTCCTCCTCCTAAATAAATTGCAGGACACGAGAAAGTGAGGGGAGGATTTGCCACATTAAATTCTGCAAATCATATTAATATCAGAAATGTAAACCTGGAATTTTTTCGCGACAAGATGACTAAACTGACTGTCCTCTATGCATCAGGGAGGTGACCACTACAAATACATGGCACATATTCTTCCATCTCGAGAATTCTGTGCAGTATTGTGCGAGTTAAGGGCATGAACACATGGCAAGCTGTCATGCAAACTTTTCTATATTCACACAAGCTGTAAGATTGAGCATAGGTAGTGCGAGACAATGACAGCTGGTCAAGGGGGTGCTCGCTTCGCCCGAATAACATGCTCGTCCACACATTGCCGAAGGTAAGCAGTGTTTTGCATCATAAAGAATGCAGTAGGTGCTTACCCATCGCCCACCCTAATGCCGTCAGGCGTTGAGGGTAAGTGAATCGAAAGGTAAACAGTTAATACAAAGGGGTTGCTGTGAACTGCTGAATGTCCGAACGGTGTCCACTAGCAAGTAGCTGTTCTTAGGTTATATATTTTACTTTAAACGCAAAAGGCCCGAAAATTTGATTAAATATAACCATATATGTTGGTGGAAATTTTATCACATTAAAACATAGTATAAAAAAAAAAATAAACATGCTTATTAATTGTAGGAAACCACAGAAGGGGCAGAGCAGAAACGCCATCATTGATCATTGTGTCGTTCTTATGTGGTCAATATCCCATTTAATTGGCCGGTTACAACATCGGGGCAGTTGCTCTTCAAGGCGTCAAGGTCGAATCAGCCACTTGGGTCAACCGCATCGGCACGTCCGCAGGCTGGCGCAGACGCCGCAGCCAGAGACTAGTGTATTCCCTTTCCTCCCTTCTCCCTTTTCTCTTTCGCTCCTCTCTCTCCAGACGCCAGCAAGCAGCTGGCCTTTCGCTTTGGAGCCGTGCATGGGACTGATGCTCTACGGGCAAGTCGGGCTAGTGCATTCGGTCACTCAAAACAACATTATTTTTCTTGCACCACCCTCTCCGATAACCTGTGTTGCGTAAAGCACGTAAGTACGAGCGTACGAGCTGCTTTTCTTGCACGCAGTCATTCCTTCCCGAAGGGTCTGCTTCGTTCGACAGTGTTCGGTGGTTCGGTACGCGAAGTCTCCACGATCTTTAGACCAAACAAGCGTTAATATATGTAGTGATGCTAAGTGATGAGACGCGAATTTGTGATATTATATGCCTAATTTTGTGCGTTTGTTTTTGAAAGCAACGCGCCACGGCGAAAAAATAACCCCAATTTGACGCAAGAGCTAGGCCTATTTCGATTGGGACCGATGTCGCAGATCGAACGTGTATTGCTTGCTATCGATGTGATTATAGAAATATTGTGTGTGTGCATTTTTATTTTTTGTTTTGTTTTTAGTGAGCGGTGCGTGGTGCGATGGTCAGTCCGTTTGCGTTACAGGTGCCGGCAAAACCGGACGGGCGAAGTCTATTTTAGGAGAACTATGGAGTTCGGCGAAGTTGTGGAACGCAAGATCTTCGAAGCCGAGTCATTGATCAGGGAAATACAAGGATGCCGGAGAAGTCTAGAAGAGAATGCTGCCACTGTAAGTTTTTCCGAGGTCCAAAGTTTCATTCGTTTTGTTCGCGATAACACTGCGTAAGTTGAAGTCGATGCCCAAACAGAACTTGTCCCATAGCTTTTTTGTGGTGACCTTTCTGTTTCTTGTGGAATATAAGAAAGAAATAATGTTTGTTGCACCTTGTGGTCGACTTTGACAAGCCAGTTACAAAGTAAACACCCGTTTTCTGGGTACTTCTGATGAGTCTTCAGCCGATCCACCTAGTTTTCCTATCTTGTTCCGAGATTCCCAGAGAACTCTGCTGATGTCAAAAGCAAAACAGTTGAAGTAAGGAAAGACTTAGGAAGAACGCCGAGGATTAAGAATGACGTACCCAGGATACTTTTTGCGTGCTTTTCTCGCCCTGAGGAGGAAACAGGAATTGACATCGTGGCGTTATTTCGGCACCGTTTCTTTATTTTATTTTTTATACGGAGTGGCTGAAGATCGTCCAGATGGAACATTAGCAGATGCAATAGAATTCCGGCCAGACAGAGCGAAAGCAAGCCCAGCAGAGTTCCGTCCAGACGGAACAATAGCAAGTGCAGAAGACGCAAGAGACTTCCGTCCATACAGAACAGTTAGCAGGCCCAGTAGAGTTCCATTCAGACAGAACAACAGCAGCCCCATGGAGCTCTTTGTCAATTTTTCGGGGATGCTAAGGGTGTTTTTTCTTGTGATTTATTTACAAGGTGGAGCCACAATACCAGGTTCTTGCAATGCGAACCTAATTACAAAATTATGCACTGAAATCAAGGAGTAACGTCGCGGAAAGTTGAGAAGGAAGTGCTCCTCCATTACGACAATGCTCCCAGGCTCTCAGGTCTTGCATTACAATGGTCACCATTCCTAAAAAAAGCTGAAAAATGATATCCTCTGTATTCACTGTATCTGGCTCCCAGTGACTTAAAAAAAAATATATATATATATATAAAAGAAACATTTGCATGGGAGGAGATTTTTAATGGTTGCTGATGTAATAGAGGCTGGACGCGCGGGGTTTGCAGTGGTTGGACAAGCTTTTTTCCAGGAAGCTGTAGACATGTTCTAGGATTGCTCGGACAAGTGCATTTAACCTAAAGAAGACTACATTAAAAATAACAGGAATATTGCCAGTTGTTACTCCGGAAATGGGTCAGGGGTGAAGCATAGGTATCAAACCTCATGTATGATGGACGGAGCCTCTGTGGTGTGTTTTTCTCCCGTCTGGAGAGAACATTAGCGGTGGCTATTGTTTCATCTGGACTGAACCCTAGACACAGCCTTCTTTTATATTGAAACACTGGCAAGCATCTCATGCATAGTGCAAACAAAACAGTTTTCAAGTTCTTTTTTTTTTGTTGTTGAGATGTTTGAAGCTGCAGTGAACAGGTACGCTTGTTCGGTATAACTTCAAAACGCTAAAATACGTTACTAACATGCTCTTAACGACGCCTGGACGAGTGATGCAACAAGTGTTCGGAAAGAGGGTTGCAGCTTCAAATTCCTTTTGTTCCGCTTTGTAGGCTTTGGATGTTCAATTTACCACCATGGCACTCAAAAGATTGCCACTGTGTCAGTCCGAAATTTAAATATTCTGTGTGCACAGGCAGCAAGAGATTAAAGCTGCCACCTTCCACGACAGGTTGACGACATTGCAGTCAAGCTTGAACTCTGCCTACTTGCAGCTGTGGAAGATAACTTTTCTAAGATTTAAATGCGTGGCAGGCTTGTGTTTGTCTGTAGTTGTGTTTGTGTATGTGTGTTTAGGCATTGAGAAGTGAGGCAGCCCCAATGCACATCTAGTGTCTCCACTGTAGATGAGAGATTCTGTCAGCACAGCACGACCGTTATATTTCATAACACCTTACGACGGACGGCAGTGGACGCTACGAGCCAACCCAGTCAGTCTAAGCATAGTTATTGTGTCACGTGACTATGCGTCGCTTCGCCCAATCCAAAAATCATGTGACAGTCGCGCAGCACTGGATTAGCTTTGACGACTCGTGGTGTCCTCTACAGTTCGTCCTGGGGTCTAATGTGCATCTGCTGTAGTGATACATGACTGTACACTAGTAGACTGCTGATCCAGATAAAATCGGGCAGGGACCCAGAACCCCCGGGTTCTGGGTCCCTGCCTGCGCAAACTTTTGCTCCATGTGCTCCTAGCTACGACGCGTTAGCACGCTCGACCACCGATCACCCTGCTTGTTTACTTTAAGCACATAGCACCCAAGTTTTGACTTCGCTCACTTGCAAGCTGTAGAAAATGGCTTTTTGTAAGCTTTAGTAATATGGAGTGCCACCAGCTTTCACCGCCAGTCAGTTTCTCAGCATGTGTCTTCCTCTCCTCCACGCCTCAGGTGAAGAAGGAGATAGAGACGTCGTTTGAGCAGCAGGCCGTGTACCTGCGCCAGCGCGGCGTGCAGCTGTGTCGTCAGGTGGAGGTGCTGGCGTCCCACCAGGAGAGCCGCTTCCAGCTGGACCTGGCCAAGCTCCACCAGTTCATGGGCAGCATGCGCTCCCTGCTGCAGCTGCATGCAAGCGGAAGGCTCACGGACGCTGACCCCACAAAGCTGGCCTACCAGATCAGCATGTGAGCGCCATCAGCAACCTGCATTCTCGATCGTGCCTGTCGACCCGTTGCCCATTAGCAGCGCCTAAACTATAGTGCCTGGAAAGCATGCCCGACTGGTCTGCTTACCACATCCTAAAAAGTGGTCCCTCGGCCGCTGCCCGAGGACGTCGCGGAAGAGTCACGCCGTCGCCAGTCGCAATCCTGGCCGGCGTCGCAGCGGCAACAAATGTGGCAGATGCCTGTCCTGCTGCGAATCGCTCTCCAGCCGTGTAATCCACAGAAGCTTTGGGAGTCAGGATGCCGCAACCACAACAACTGCAATCTCTCACCTTTTTTTTTTTTATTTTATGTTTAATTGCTAGGGTTGCAGCATACGACAGCGTGACGCTCCGGCTTTTGCGACGTTATCTGTCGCCACTCCGGGACCATGTTTGACGCACGTGTGGAATGGGACGCTAAGCGCGCGAGTCGGCGACGTGTGCCAAGTACCGTACCTAAATGGAGAGCTTCTCTCTGTTCCACCGCAGGCCGCAGGTGAGCCTGACGATGCAGCGGGTGCAGTTTGCCAACAGCGGGGAGCTGCAGCTTGCGGAGGCCGTCAGGAACTTTGGGGGCGCGGAGCTGCAGTGCGGGCGGCTGCCCAGCCTGGACGTGGCGGAGGAAGATTATGGGGACATCAGCCACCATGTCCTGCACAAGGACCTCCACAACGTGCTCCAGAGGGACCTCAAGCACGCCGGCAGGCCGGGCTTTCTGCAGGGGCTTCACTCGGGATCGACGCCTCTGCTACCCTCGTCCGATCGGCGCTGGCTGCTTGGCTACGTGGTGGGTCAGGGTTTCGGCCCGGTGGACCGTAGTCCGTACACTAGTAGACCTTTTTCTAGATGACCCAAGCTTCAAGGAGCATACTGCGAGTGTAGTTGCGTGTACAGCTGTCTGAAAATTGTTGCGTGTATATTTAGCTAGAGGAAAGTTAGTCATCCTCAATGGTCGTCTCCTCTGTGGATGATAAATTTAGCCAGTCTAGTACGACCGCCAGCCCAGGGTCTTTAACGTGCATGATGCACTAGCAATGCACGACCATATGCCGGTACGATGCTCATCTGGGTCAAAACGGGAAGGGGTCGGGATTGAATATAGAATCCCTGGATTCTGTAGCGTGAGTTTTCGCTCCACATGCTTCGAGCTGTGGTGCCTTAAAACACCCGGCCACCGATCCCCCCTGCCGCTGTCCACAGCAGTAACTAATCCGAAGCAGAAACCTAAAAACACATTGCATGTGCATGCGTTTGCATGTGTGTATACTGATAAAGCGAGCGTGTGCAGTGCGTGTGCCTACATTCCCAGCGTTCTGCTTGTTGTAGCTTATTAGGGCATCTAAGATGGCTGTCTGTCAAAGAAGTAAGCATTCTTTGATCGGTTTAGTAACCAAGCATTCCAGCTTGGAGCGACTTGGCAGAGATTTTCACGAGGAAACATTTTACCATTTTTATTCGTAATTTAGTGCCATATTTAGAATTGTGAAATTTCCCAGTACATTGACACCAAAACACACATTTGTATGGCAGGATATTCCTCTAATCTAATGTTGAGAACAACTGAGCCTGCGAATGCACATTAACCCATTCTTAGTGAAATACTCACCTTCTGAGAGCTTGTCCTCTATGGAGCTCCTTTGCAAAGTATGAAAAACTATTTCAATTTACTGTTTTGTAGCTTTTCTCTTTTGCTCAAAATTCTTGGTTTTGGTTGTTGTACATTTTGGTCTTTGAGTCCCCAATGCTTCTTTGAAGGTACTGGAAAGACTAGAGTTAGGGTGCTCTGGAAGTAATGGCAACCATTAAATAGTACTAGTGTTGCAACATGTTTACATTGCATATTTTTGCAGGACAGCGACAGTACCGAAGACGACTTTGAGCTGGTGTCAGCCCACATTCCCAAATCGTCATCGGCGGCGTCAAGTTCCATCGAGGCCGTGTCCATTGACGAGGCTGTCGACGATGTTGTTGTTATGGGATACGGGGAAATACAAGGAGGAGTCGACAAACTGGTAAGCGAGCTGGGATGCCTTCAATTGCAGCAAGTCAAGAGTGTTGTCAGTTGCACTACATTTGTGTTCTCAAACGTTTCAATCTGGAAAATCCTGAGCTATTTTGATTTGGTGCTGAAGACCCTCTCGGACATAAACAATAATGCACTTCAGAAGTTAAAAAAAAAATTTAGTGGCATTAACACAGACTAAGAAGTTAGTTGGGTAAACCTTTTCCATAGTTGTGTATCATAGTTGCACATCAATTTTGCTAGAACTACCCCTAATAAGGTTCTTGAGAAGTTGGAAGCTTGAGGAAACACTGTGTGCCTTGAAAGTCGGTTTGGGAAGCCATGCACTGCGCAATGCCTTTAGCCTAGGTACCTACTGTGCCTAGACTGGTTTGTTCAATGTCCCATTCTTGCCATACATTGGAGTATCCAAAGACAATGCATGGACCTAGAAGAGTCCCGCACAAGCAGGCAATCACGACACATCAGTAGAAGGCCACTTTAGCACCGCCAAAGCGGCATGCCAAAAGCCGTCCACAAAACATGAATTTCTTCTTGGTGCCGAGAACTCTTTTAGGTGCATCGAGTTGGCACCGTTGGATTATCGTGGTGCGAGCGGTCTCGTCGCTAAAACAGATGCTGTCAAACCACTGCAGAGATGCCTTATGGCGAGCGACAAATTCTCTACATTTTTATTGCAGACCTTGGAAGACAACAAGGAAGACATGTCAAAATGGCTCTGTCCTACAGTTGCCAGGGGTCCAACTGTGGAATCAAAGAAGGAATCGGTATCTGCACTGACTAGAGACTTTGAGGAACTGTGCACCGACCGCCCGGCGAGCAATTTCGGGGACTCGTGCTGGCTGCTTGTACCAAAAGGCTCGGCGGCGTGGGTGGAACCTCGGCCGTCCAAGCCGGCTTCGAAGGACCAGTCTGCATGGCTGCTCGACGGAAAGTGCAAGCCAGTGGCCGTCAGCAGCCTGCTTGCAATGTCCATCAAGGAAATGTTCAGGCCCTACTTTGTTCACACAGACAATAGTACATGGATTGCCAAGGGGAAGGACCTGGCTTGATGTAGAATTTTCTTTTTACAATGTGCAACATATTTCAAAGTATAAAAGATTTGCTACGATAGCAATCGACGGATGCTGGGTGGGTGGCCGATATTAAATACGTGCTCTACTAAATCCTGCGTTTTGTTTTTGGTTCTCGAAGTAAAGTGCCTGAAACCAGACTTGCAAAGCTGGGCTACAAATGTTACAATAATGTCTGTTTGGAAAGCAGGCGTAGGAGTTTGGTCGAGAGTCTTTCAGAAAGTGTACTTGCTGCGTCTCGCATGTAACCTCATGCTAGGGGCCTCTCTGCTTTCAAAGATTTGCCATGCATGAATTGGAAAGTCCTTCTTTGGTAGCTGGAACAGTTCTTTTTGGGTTCGGTGCTTTGCAACGTTGGTGTCATCGTGGCAGTTCGTATCCGTATCCTACCGGTTTTTTTTCAGATTTGTTATGTATTACAAGTAGGGTTCAGTCTTTTCAGATTAATCCGATAAACTCGGAAAAACACTCGCCGGTAAAATTTTCTGCAGTTAGGATTTATGCGAAAAACTCAGAATTTTAAAGTCGATGGCAAAACAAAAAAAAATGGCATTTTACGAATAAAGTTTGTCGGAGCAGAGGGCTGGTAATTCTAAGCAAAAACAAATTCAACTTTTTTTTTTTTTTTTATTTAGGAAGTTTCCCGTTTATTTTGTTGAGGTTCATTAAGTTCAGCGAGCGAATGTACTTCCGAACCTCTGAACCACGACAAAAACCACCATTTCGGTTTCCAGTTTGGACTATGGATGGGGAGGGCGGACGGCGGAGAAAAGCTTGCCTGCCTTTTGACAGATGGGGTGGAGGGCTCACCTGTGAAGTGAGCCTTGACTCAACTGAAATACATTTAACTGAAGTATGAATTTATTGCACACTTTACATGACATTGCAAGTATAGTTTTTCTAAACGGTAAATAGAGGATTGCCTGGGAAAATATAACCAGTGTAGTCAACTTAAGTTGTTCCTGGATTGCTTTATGTTGCATTACTTTTTAAGTAGTAGGCAAATGAAAGTCCCAAAGCTTCGTATTTGACCATTTATTTAAGGTAGTATACGCTTTCAATTCTAAGCTATTTTGATAAGCAAATCAAGTTGATATTTCCTGCAACCATGCTACTTCAAGATTAAATAGGGCAAAAGTTGGGAGGAAACTGACGAGATGAAAGTGAGACGAGGGCTGAATCAGCTAGAGCTCCCATAGAATTGTCTGCGTGCAGCTGTAGTCGCATGTAGCATTTTAGCTGTTCCAAACCAGCTTTAGCATCTAAGCAGCCCGGAACCTTGTACAAAAATTTAATTCAAGGTGAGCTTTTCTCCTGGATTCGGGGAGGGCAGCTGAAGGTTATATGCGCGGGGGCTGCGGTGACGTCTGAACGACGCTGAGTTCCGTTTGGCTTTGCTTGAAAGGATAATGGGTAGACCTCAATGCTAGATGCCTTGAGGTCTACTCACTGTTCTTTTTAATTCAGGCAAAAACTCGGTGTTCCAACATCAAGACTCCCGTGCAAGAAGCAAACAAACTTGAGCTGTATACTGATGTCAAATGCAGCTGCAGAAATATCTTTCGATAATGGTGATTGTTTTATGAGTTTGGTGTATGTTTCTGTCCAAACACTTTTGTATACTGAAAAAAAATAACAGTAAAATTAATCTTTATATTTCTGAGAATTGGCAATCTAACAAAGAATAAACTCTGATAAACCCCGAATTTCCAGCGAAAAATAAGCTCCAAAAAATCGCCCTCTGAATTTATCGAAAAATAAACTCTGAAAACACGCAATTCTAATCAGAAGTTTAATGTATCAAGCATTGGTTTTAATGCAAGGTAGACCTATTATACATACATTTACCAGAGAAAGGGTCCCCTCTCAGAAGCAGCATGCAGCAGTTTTGGGAAATTTACTTTTACTTTACCTGGACTTTAGTCTTCATGGTATCCTATTTATTTTCTCGAAATTCAAGAGCAATTGAGAAAATTGTAAATGAGGATGTGCTGAAACCAACATTCAAATTTCCGCATGCTCTCCAGTGGTGCGATGCCACAAATGGTAAACTTTCAGGTTGTGCAAATAATCTTCAAGAGAGTATGCATAGAGCATTTCTTGTGTGCTTTTCAATGAATCAGCTTCCAAGCATTTTTTGCCCACCTTTAAAAGTCTTTCGATAAGTTGGAAACCTGATTTACTGCTCTCTGTACCATTTCTGTCGTCGCACTTCTGTTGGTAGTACGGGTTTTCAGCTTGCGAAACACGATGAAAACATAATTCGAAAATTCAATAACTTTGCAAAATGTTTTTCTTTTCACACAATACTTGGGGAACTGTTACAGCCATGTCTATCAGTGTGTTGAGCCAATTTCGAGACAATTCAGCGACCATGAAAAAATCGCTGGAGTACCCCTTTAAGTTAGTTACAGCAACTTAAAAGTAAAAGTAATGTTTGATTTACTTAGTAGTCATAGTAACTTGATTACTTTCAAGATACTTTATTTTCTATTTTGCTATGTAGATATTGATGACAACACACAACGACTACAATTTATATTTATTACCTTCCTCTTTCTCTTAAGAGCTCTCTTATTACCCTTTCTCAGCCAAGAGGAGAGGGAGATCCCAGTAACAGACAGGTACATTACAATAGGGAGGGGAAGGCTAAACCATTTGGAACTGTATAAAGTTGTCTCGGAATGTGTAGCGCTTTTCTTTTAAATTTCTTCTATGCAACGCAGAACAAAAGACTCGACCGTGGATTATGGGCTTGCGGCCCTTGGCAAAGGGCAAGTTGACCAGTTGAAACATCAGGCCGGGCAGCGTCTACTGGCAGTCACTCGCTTTCGCAAAGAAAGCTGTCACCGCGAATGCTGCGGCACCGACGACAGAGGCTCTCGTTCAGCGTTAAACAGTTCACTGTTTAACGCTGAATGCTCTTTCACTTGGCTGAAGAGGCGGGAGTGTTCGATGAGGCCGGAAAGGGTGACCGAGAGAGCCACGCACGGAAAAGTTAGAATAAAGCAAATGCTAAATGTGCTTTTCTGCGTGTAGAAAAAAAAAAAAAGTGGAAAAACATTTGCTTTCTGCGCCGGCATCTTGCTTTGACGAAAAAAGTTTTGAGTTTGTTTTATTTTGTTGCGTCTTAATGTGGGACACAACCTCCGCACATAGTTGAGCCCACTCTAGTGTTCACAAAATAGGGTAATGTTTTCCCTAAAAGTATCTCTTTGCAGATACTACTTAGTTAATCTTTCAAAAAAGTATTAAAGGTATCGTTAGTTATTAGAAAAAGAAAATGCACCAAACTATGGTTAAAAGTTAGTATTGCGATACTACCCATGACTGGTGTGCAGTCACGCAGTGGCAAGGCCACATACCCAGAATGGTGGTTCTTTCCGGGCAGCATTTATGCAGTGCACTACAGTCTAAGCTCATTACAACGGACGTTTGGATAACATACCGATTTCTAAAGTTCGGTTGGTTTTCCTCTACATACCACTGACTCAACTTCATATCCGCATACAAACTACTCCTTTTACAACAGACCAAAATTTTGACCAGAATCAAGGTCTGTTATAATCAGCTCAGACTGTAGCGCCTAATAAGAAGCACACTCGGAGCAGCCAACTAACTGCCCGAAAGACAAATAAGAAGCACACTCGGAGCAGCCAACTAACTGCCCAAAAGACACCTAGCAGCGAGATGGAGCAAAACTAACTGGTTTCAGAGTTAAATTGAGGAGTGTGGCATTTCAAAACTTTGCACAGACCTAATGCAACGACCTGGCAGTGCAGTGGGGCATGTAGTTATGTCCACAAAGTTCTCACGTTTCGGTTAAACAAATTTATTATGAAAGCAGATATACTCGCCAAAGTATAAAAAGAGGTGATTTATTCACAGGGTTAACATTTCATTATCAAATTTCCTATTAAAGAATGTTTTAGCGAAGTAACCTAGTCCCCGTCCTTTGCAACAAAGAAATTGCTTAGCCTAGTCCAGCGGCTTATAACAAGGAAACAGTGTCCCAGTCCAGCCGCTAACAAGGAAACTGCACGTCGGAATTATACAACATGGACACTTTCCCGGTCCGGTAGGGTGCAACCGGACTTTTTGATTACTTCCACAGAAACTGTGATGCCACAACGGACGCATGTCTCGATCGGTTTTCCCAGCAGGTACATGGCCAGAAAACCTGGCAAATAAAGAAAAGACGACAGTTGGAAGACAAATGCAAAGTAAATGATTTGAATGAGTGGTTTCCACCTACTATACAATGTATCATCTTACAATGGACTGCAACGAACGTTACGAGCCATCCCACCCAATCCAGAACTGTAAATGTGTGATGTGCCCCATTTGTCACTACACCCCTCTTGCAGATTGCGTGACACTCCCACAGCCTTGGACTGGCTCCGATCTCACATCACATCCGCTGCAGTCCGTTGCAAAGTGAAATGCCGTATAGTCACTCTTCAGCCACTAAAAGCAAAAACGACAAAAGGACCTCACCTCCAACAAAGGCATCACCGGCGCCATTGGTGTCGACAATGTCTTCAGTCTTGAGCTTCGGCACAGAAAAGGTTTGTGTATCATTACCTGCAAGAAGAAATAGAACCCAACATTTAAAGCTGTGCCAGACTTTTAATGGCAACGTTTTGCAGAGGAGAATCTAGATATTCATGCCCATAGCACCTAACGTTAGGACAAAAAGCTCTGTAAACTTGGGACAGCAGTAAAACCGGAAAAGAGAACAAAAGGTTCTTTCACACTGACAGCCATTGCAGTTGTAGTGTACAGTGTTGGACAAAGCCAATGATGGGAGCATGCGGCCTAGAGGTACACAGTGCACGTCATCATGCCTATGGGGGCAAAAGAAACGAATCTCGCCTAGCTGAATGTACCTCTATCGAACATGGAAAGGTCGGACAGCCGAATGTCGGTAGCCGCCATCTCTCAACCAGCAAGCATCAACACACTAATTCCTCACACACTGGTTCCTCTGGCCGTCTGACACTTTTCTTGTTTGGTTAACTGATCACATAATTAGTGAAGGTATCTTCCACTGCTACACGCCCCAGCATTTAACACGCTTGTGCGGGGCATAAATATACCTTGGGCAACTATCACGTCCTCCGCTCCCTGGGTGATGACGACCATCCTCTCGAAGTGGCCGCTCTCCTTGGGAAACTTGCTGATCAGCTTGGCAATCTCGACCGTGTCGGTGGTCTGAGGGGACAAGAGTGTGGGCTTGTGACTTCCAGAAACACTGACTTGTATTCTGTGCATAGCAGCTTAAAAAGTGGCCAAAATGTTGCAAGTAAAAAAAAGCAGGTATAACTTACTCCCAAGTTGTGCACATTTGCAAACTCACGGGCTTCCTGTAATGTAAAAGAAAGGAAGAGGACAGAAGGGTCAAATAGACAAAAGTGCTGACTTTGCGCAATCTCAATGCTCTGATGAATGTGACCATAGCTTTTTTTTTTGCTTATACACACAATCCAGCACTAACTCGGCACTTGGTCAGTGCTCACCGTCTCGTTGCCAAAGAGGATGTCGATGTAGGGGAAGGCCTGCATCATCTGTTCCTTGAAGATGCTGCAGAGGAAGGGGGCACTCAGGTTCATGCAGAACGTCTTGCCCTTGCTGCACGCATGCTTGGCTACCGTCAGGATGCTGTCCAGGCTGACACTCAGGAAGAATCCCTGCGGGGAAAGACAAACGGCCCAACTTGTGACGGCACAAAAAACGTCGCCTGGCTTAGACGTTCCGCCAAATGCAAAGAATGTGAAATACTGTGAGATAATCGAAATGTGAAATAACCGGAATTACGGTATATGCGATGCGACACAAAGCGAAAGAATTGTGGATGCGATGCAAGAAAGACTTCACTCCCTCTTAGAGACACTTTCCTAAAAGATTTGGAATTGAATGGCATGACACGGATGCTGCCGTGCAAACTTGACAATGTAATGCCTCTGTGCCTGCTATTAGATTATTCTATGAATCCGCAACCCCTGTTCCTATGCAGCATGGGGCGCGGGGCGGAAGGGTCTCTTAGCCTACCCCTACTGCAGTGCAATGTTGTTACGATCCGACAACAAACCAACAGCTGCGCTCCGTCGTTGACACCTCTCTCGTAGCCTTGCTACAGTGCAACTGACACCAGCATGAGCAAGTACGGTCCATGCAGGCTTCCCATATAAAGCTATCGCTGCAAAAAGAGATGCTACGACTTCCTCAGTTGTGCGTTTAAAACCGTGATGAGGGACAGAGGATGTTGGTGACATACTGAAATGTAGTAATAGGAGGCTTCCTCCATCAAAGCCTTGTTGTCGGGCTTGCAAAGGTGCTCCGAAGAGTAGAGCTGCGCTGCAGCCAGGTTGGCACACAGAGACCTGCAAACAATGTGTCGTTTAATCGAGAGAGTTAAAGCCAGGAAAATCAGACGACGACTAAGTGCGTCGTCCGGTACAGCAAGTACACCAAGTGTTCCAGCACACGTCACTGGCACGTCGTAACGCAAGAAGGGGCACGCCAATCGAAGGGCAATGCAAAGAATGCACAGTCGTCGTTGGGCCGAAATTGAGGCAACACCTTTGGGGCCATGTTTAATGCATCGGTTTGAGACGTGCTCCACGCGCCAGGGTGTCTGCTCACCTGCTTCGGCCCTGCTGGGTGAGGAGCACCGCGCAAGTTCCAGTGGCCTCCTTGTCGCTGTACTGGTAGCGCACGTTCACGCCGGCCTCCTTGGCCTTCTGCTCCAGGATGCCGCCAAACTTGTCGTGGCCGATGCATCCCATGAAAGTCGTCACTTCGGGAACCTGGACCACCCACTGGCGTCGAAAGAAGAGACTGGGACGCTCAAATCAACTGTGCCTGTCTATTGAAGAGACTGCGAAATGAAAGCTGGCAGTCTGATTAACGAGTTGCTCAATGACCCTCGATTCTCTCATTAGGGCAACGTCGAGCTTGTGCATTGAAGCGGTGCATACGCTGCAAGTTTTTACAGCGATTGCCGACGCTTCCGCATGTAAAAATGCGGAAGTGTGCGTACAAGACGTGGAAGCACACAAAGTGTGCGAAAAAGCTGCATAATTTTTTTAGTTAACCAAACTGCCTGAATTTTCTGAATGACCGGGCTTTCCTCTGCGCAGCATGCTACAATCTGATAACTCTAAATTGGGAACAGCTATTGATGCAAGATGACGCTAAGACCAACATTCAAGTTTCTCCGTGTATTTCAGAGGCATGTCGCTGGAAGGCAGATTTGCAGGTTAAGCAGGCAGTCTTGATAACATAGTATGTTGCACAATTTTGTTGCACCTGCCAAGTGAGTGTTTTTTTATTAAAAGAAGAAAAGGTGAACAAAACGAGGACAATGAAGACACAAAGACAACAGGACAGGCGCCTGTCCTGTCGTCTTTATTGTTCTCGCTTTGTTCATGCTTTTATCCTTCCAAAAAAAAGTTGACATATTATTTGGATTATTAATTCACTCATCCATATTGGTGTACTGAGCCAATATCAGGGCAATCAAAAACCATGAAAAAACTGGTAAAGCATCCTTTCAAAGATAAGAGCAGCTAACGGCTGAAACATTTTTCTTCAGTGCTGCTACTTCTGAGGATTTCTCAACTTCTGTCAAGTCCAACTACCCTGAGCAATTTTTGGTCAACGAATTTAAAGGCTCTGAAACCAAAAATCCTACTGACTGCTTGGCTGCAAACTAGGTTGCATTATTGCAAAGTTACAAAAAACAAAAAAATTTGGATTCCACTTTTCACTATATGCTTTAACAAACAAAGCAACCACGCTAAAATTCTATCATTCTAAAGGCCAGGAATGTATTGTTTTCCACGTCATAAAGACTCGACAATAAGAGTTCTGCGATGGGACTGATTTCCTGCCAGCAAATTTTGTGACAGTTGCCATTACCTTTATATTGCGTGCGAGCTAATGCCAATCTCCAGCAACGAGAATCAACTCGGGCCACACTCAAGAGCATCTCAAAGATAAGCCCGAAGATAAGCAAGGAGCGCAGGGAGCCATCGAGGCAATAGTGCTAGCTATTAGCCAGAGAAAAGTGAACGCCAAGAAAACACAGAATCAAAAAAAAAAAAAAAAAAAAAGTTGTAACAGTTGTGTAGCTGTTTCCATTTAAAAGTTGAGGGGGGAAGGTTTTTTTATCTATCTCAGAAATTGAGATTTATCCAAGTTGCATGTTTTGTTCAAAGTAAAACAAAACCTCCATTTAAACATAATGACTAGGGAGAAAGACGACAATGAAGGAGAGGAAGAACAAGAGTCTCAAACACAACTGAAATTTATTGACAAAAAATCCTGCTTATATAGACTTCAGGCACCTCCACAAACATAAAAAAAGAACACAAAGAAGGAAACAACCTTTTTTGCAAACATATGTATGCAAACACTGATAGGAGCGAATAACCACAACAGGTCTAAAAAAAAGGGGGGACGGGCCTAACTTATCAGTGAACTTCACTATAAGACAAGACGGAAATATAGAAAGACAAATTCATAAAAAAATAGAACAGTTTAAAAGGATCAAGTTGCCGGCTGAGATTTGAAACAGCTAGGATTGGTGAATCGCACCTCAAATTATTTATTCCGTTTTCTTTTTTTCAAATCTTAATAATGTACACATACATTTTTATGTATGAAAGGAGGACGACGACAAGACCGACTGGAGTCCCACAGCTCCAGTCCCAATTCTTCATGCACACCTGTGACATGGATTGACTTTTTTATAGTACAGCACATATGTACCTGACCCAGAGAATATGTCCTGTACATCAAACTAGCTCTACAAAAGCTCCGACGACAGATGACAGAAGGAAACGAGAGACCAAGACACATGAAAATGAAATCGGAAGGCAAAACGAAGTCGTAACTGATCGTGCCTCTCTCAAAAAAGAGGTTGGAGAAAGAGACCATGGCTTTCCAGTTACTAGGAAGATTAGCCCACAGACCAGCAATATTTGGGCAAGATTGCAAGGAATGGAGAAAAGGGAACATTTGCAGCTATTTCGAGGTGAGCGTGTTGGTACAGACTAAAAGCTCTCAGCAGAATTACACACACAGGGACAGAACACGGGCAGTACATCTTTTGTGTGCTGTCCTTTTATGTGCAACTCTTTCATGAATTCTCAGCTAGGCTCCCAGAGATCTTGTAGTCTCAAATCTCCGACCATTGGATTACAACTAAGCGACCATATTGCTATGGATACGACACAAATGGAAGTGTCATATTGACATACATACTATGAGTGCGAAGTGACCAAACGGTCGAAATGGCCTTCAGGAAAGATATTCAGTATGCAAATTTTGCAAAAAATTGGAATGAACAAAAGAAAAATTGTAAAGCATAAACTGATTGGGTTGATAGTACGAGAGGGTCTCATCACCCTGAAGAATCCTAGTGACCACATACAGTTGTGATATTTTGTATGTGTAGACCTACCCTCTTGACATCGCCTAAGCGTGACACTATGAAGCAAAATTCCATACTATTTGCAACAGAATGTTGTGAATAGAGAAAACCTAATCATTGCCAACAACATCTTCAGAATTGCCATCATTAGCCATTTTTATGCTGAACAATAACCCGTTTGTTACTTTGTTATGGCAACCTACCCTTCCCCTACTTTTGCTTTTTAAAAATTCACAGTATACTAAAAAAAAAAAAAAAAGTGCTTGTACCAGATGCTAAATCAGCATGATCCATAAGCAATCTATCAAAAACTAAAGCTACCTTTGCAGAGGTATAGTCTTCACCTTGATTTAAAATGAGCGAATGACAGGATGTGCAGAGGTACATTCCCCTCGATTTAAAAAGAGCGAACGACAGGATGTGCAGAGGTACATTTACCTCGATTTAAAATAAGCAAACGACAGGAAGCAAAAAAATAAAACTTGATACATTGAACATGAATTTTACAACGGCTCCACGACATTGTGCTCGATGACTCAATGATTCCTTTTAACGAGGGCAGCGAGGCAGAATTTGTGCCGTACCTGAAACACCCGCAGAGTGTTTTGCGTCGCACCACCTGCAATATAGCTGCAGTCATATTTTCCCACAAGCTCCGTGTACCTGTAGAAAAAAATATGACAGCATCTTGATTAAAAGTACAATGGAAAAAGGGATGCACAATGTGGCTTAACCACCAAGAACCGGACGGCATTTTTGCGACCATCAGAACAGCACATGCAGTCATCATCTTGTATGTTAAATCATCACATAACCTACATTACTAGAGGCAGCACCGTGGCTGCCCTGAGTCAATAAAGATTACTATTATTATTACTAATGATGTAGCAGTCACTCGAGCCTGCATGCACGAAAGCCCCGACAGCTATGGCCTAATTTGAAGTGGAATATAGGCACTTTTCCCCCTCATCAAACAGCTCAATCCCAATTGATTTAAGAAAAAAAAAAAAAAAGAAGCCTAGTATTTTAATTTATTACTTCAAAGTAATAACACAAAACAGAGGAGCCACATGCCGTCGCCGCCGCTTGCGCGCTCCCCAAAAGGAAAGACGTTGGAATGAACCATCTAATAAATTGTTACTTACAAAGCCGCATGTTTCTCGTCGGCAAGAATGGCGTCGTTGGGTTTCAATGAGTATCTGAGGGAAAAGAAATTGTGGCGTGTTGTGGGATGTGGGACATGTTCCAACCATATTGTAAGGCAAGAATTTAACAGTGCGCTGCTACATGCATGTTATTTAAATTATCAAGTGTCTAGAGTTTCGTCCGGACAGAACAATATCAGATGCAGTAGAGTTCTGTCCTGAAGGAACGATAGCGGGCCTAGAAGAGTTCCTTCCAGATGAGAAGACAGCAGGTGCAGTAGGGGTAGCACTCAGTTGGTCGACAGACTGTTTAGCGTTAGACTGTTTAGAAAAGTCAAGGGCGAAACAAAGTTTCGCCCTTGACTTTTCATCGAAAGACACTTTAGCGAATTTGGCCGCCACGAAGCGGCATGTACGGGTGGGCCAGGTGGGTTAGTATTTTTGTAATGAGCCACCGCAGACTGTCGCCTCGAGGCTGTGTGAACAGGGGGGCCAGATGGGTTAACACGCGCGATACACATCATTAGCTAAAACATTGATTTACTCAAATGGCCGCTGTTCACTGAAACATCATTTAAACGGAGCTCAACCTAATGATGACTATCGTTCCATCTGGATGAAACTCTAAAGGGTTTGCTAACTTTCGGTCTGGACGGAACCTTAGCCACAACCTCTAAATTAAGCAGTGGATGATGAAACCGAAACTGGAAGAAATATTAAAATGCAGTGCACTACGTTGTTCAGCAAACTGCTATCATAAACAAACCTAAAACTGCTGTGCCGCGAGCTAGTCCCCGCAGAGTCGCATCTGCGCCCTGTTTATTAATTTGTTTTGTGATTCTCTGCATCGCATATAATCCTCGTTAATTCTGGGCGACAGGCTCAGACTTTCCGGAATACTATCTTACGCACAAATGAAGATTACTAACTGTTATTGATCGGAACTCACTTCGTCAAGAAATCATCTTCGACAGTAGCCGATATGTCGAGCAGCGGGTTGCCCATGCCAAAGAGCATTCCTTTTCTGAAAAAGAAATAGTAATATGAGCGCATCTCGTAAACAAAAGTCACCAAAACCCATCTTGTGCACTTGCGAAAGTTCCGCAGTAGTCGTAGTTCAGAAGGCGAGAATCAACGACTACTTAAGCGAAATCTTTTGTAATCTGCGTGCGGTATCGACACTAACTTTTAGCAACGGCAGCAAGAGACGTGCGCCGCAAACAAGACGGGCCGTTTTTCGCGCTTTTAATCGCGGTCGACGATTTTGGTCAATAATGAACACATATTACAGTGTCCACTTTGTTTTAGGCACAGGCAGCCGGTACCATCGACACGAGAAGAAACGTTATCGGCGTTACATTCTGTCGGGGGTTGGGTCAATTCGAGATGTTTGGCGCCCAATGGAGACAGAACACGTGGTTTTATTTTTCTTGGGATACGGGGAATAAGTTAAATTCACCTGAGTGTGGAGCTCATCGTGGCGTGGTACGTGTAGGAGACGTAGTGGACGAGATGATAAGAAGCACACGGGCTGGCAGGACCGGAAAGCTCAGGTGTTCAGGGCTGTGTGTTTGTGACACCGCGGCAACTGCCAGCGACTGCGGTTAAACAGGATGTACTGGATCACGTTGGCTGGATGACTTCGCAGAATGATTGGTCGGAGCTGACGGATTGTGTTGCCGTTGCCAAGCAACATAATATAAGCTTTTTAGCTAAACACCGAGATAAACTTAAAGGCACCTACTTTCCTCGTAAGTTATTAAAAACATCTAAATAACGAAAACATTATCACTTGTAAAAAAACAGAAAATAAAAAGTTACTTAAGTATTTTATGCGTTTAAATAGGCTTTCTATTTCGGCCCTAATGTACCGCCCGGCTAGCTCAGTCGGTAGAGCACGAGACTCTTAATCTCGGGGTCGTGGGTTCGAGCCCCACGTTGGGCGCATTTTTTATTCTTTGATACGTTTTTTTATTGTTGTTAAATCGGGGGTTGGTAACATGTGACATTGTTGTAACATTAAAAATGTATTTAATGTTACAACAATTTCATAAAAAAAAAAAGAAAACTCGCATTGGTCCCTCTTCTTTCAGGTGATTTTTCAGAAAACTGTTGACAGGCAAGTTTCTTTTATTTACTGCTATTATACTACAGCGGATCATTATTCCCGATTTTAACGGGTCTCTCCTCAACAACGTCGTCCCGGTAGGCATCTAGCGCTAAGAGTTCTTCCATTGCAGCGTCCACAGCTTCATCGCCTCCCACGAAATGGACCGCTACTGGAATCAATTTTTCCGCCGGTTGTTGCGTTGCTAGTGGCACTTCTTCATGGTTATACTGCTCTTCTGTTGATGGGAGCTGATCTGGCGTTTCGCTGTCCGCACAGTAACAACGGCTATTTAGGAAGCCGCCACAGTAGCCTGGAACGCCACGTGTCACCATGCACTCCTTGAGGCACTGCGTCGGGTTCGTTGGGCACATGAAATACTGGGTTGTGGTTCCTGGAGCACATTGGGGATGCATACTCTCAGGATAACTGCTCACTTGCACTCGGTGCCACAATTCACTTTTCTGCACCGGTGCAGGATGGTGCAGATAAATAGAATAAATCCACCACAGCCTACTGTGGTCGATTTGCCATCAGCTTTGCAATGCCACCCAAAAATGCTCACAAAAAGACCTACTTTGCATATATTCACAGAACAAAAAGCAAGCAGCTAGATGGTGAAGGTTCAAAATGGTGGAAATTTTTACCTTAGACCGGGTTTCCTCAAGGACAACACAGGCACAAAGATGTGTCGGCTTTTTCCCTCAGGCTAGCCCCAGTCTTGGGTACTCTTCATTCAGCATTGCAGCTTTCCACGTATCATGTATCGAGAGGCGTTTTGCCGAAGGGAGAATGGTCATGCCTACATTTTGCTCAATTGACAATAGGGATTACCTCTTAGCTGCACAAAATAAATAGAACCAACCCAAATTGGGTTGTGCTGTGCCTTGCAAAAACTCCGACAACTGCAATACATGGCTATAGCATCGACATCACACGAGCAGACATTGTGGTGGTCTTGCTGCCAAGTGCATACCTTCTACAGCCAACATTTTGCACCACCAAACATCCATTTATTATCGCCAAAAATTGCAAATGACCACCAGCATGGTGCGACGCATTTTCACGCCAGACTAGAAACGACACGGCATCTGTCCTGGTCGCTCGGCCTTGCAGTGCATTCTCGACCAAGACCGTGGTCCTTAAAAGGCAACAAACGGAAGCTCATTCCAATCATGCGCTCAGCAAGCACAGAATCAACCGTGGCTCCATGACAAATTGTCTCCTTCGCAAAAAGCCCACTTAACGGTTCTTTGAATTTGGAGATACTTACCGGTATAAAACAGGAGCAAGAAACTCAACGTCTCCAAGGGATGACGAAGAGCCATTCTCCCGTTGTTGGTTCACTGGGGAACCACCTCACACCAACCAGCCCTGATCCAGCCGTACTAGAGCATACTTCTTTTTCTTCCATGCCATTGCTTGCAACTTCTTGTGGGATATCCTCTTTCTCCTCCACCAACTATTACAGCTCCAACTTCTTTCAGTAAACCTGTTCAGATATTTGTGGAGCGCAAGTTCGTCTGCTTCTTGGACGGGGGTTGCGATGATGCCCAAACGCTTATTGGCCGATTGAAAAAGATAGTGGGTAGATGTCTCAAGGCATCTAGCATAGAGGTCTACCCAATATCTTTTTATTCAAAGCCGACTGGAGCTCGGCGTTGTTTTGACGTCACCACAACTCCTGCGCAAGCAGCAGACGACTTGCTCTCTGCAGGGCATTCCATCTTGAAGATATGATGCAGTCACAGAAGTGGTTTGGATTGATTTCCCATTTTAGCAGTTAGTTCCTAGATATCTTAAATTGCTGAACGGTTAAGTTTTTGCACAGTCAGGTCGCAGAAATGAGCTGGCACGGGGTGTCATTTCCAATATCCCGTACGGAGCACACCAATGACAAAAACGTGCAATCAATTTTCCTAGTTTTACTGTAGTAGCTGAAAGGCTATTGTCATAACCACTACTACAATTTAGTGGAATGTGCTTATGTGTGGCACCAATGCAGGAGGTAAACCCTATTGTTCGACACGAAACTGGCCAGTATACTAAAAATGCAAACGTCACGTTTGGACCAGGCGCCCAGCACCGTCTACACGGGCAGGCGATTACTGGTTGGCCTTTCCTATTTTTCTCGAAATAAGAAGGTCGTCATACACTTTCTTGAAGTCAAAATAACCTCGCACCAGAAAGAGTTCCAATTGTGGCACTGAAGGAGTTTGTTAGTAAGGTGATTTTGGAAGTACAGAGATGTCAGCCACAAAAAACTAGGTAGTTTCATACACTACAAAAACAAACTATGCGTTGTCGAACGCCCATTCTCTGCTCAAATGCAGCACTAGTGCTCCGAACCAAATGCCAAATTTTCAGAACTGACTGTTATCCTGTTAGAAAGTTATACGCGATATTCAGAAAATCGCAACGGGAAAACGGGGACCGTTGTTCCCAAATTGGTGCCATACAGCTTCATGTATATTCGAATGCTCCGTCGGCTGCTGGTTTCCCATTCAAAATTTCAGAAAATTGCGCAACTTTTGAATAATACAATGGTTAATTTCCAAACTTGTTTTTTGCAATAAGGAAGGAAAAAAAAAAAAAAAAAAAACAATCTTTGAACTATTTTTGGTACACCCTGTACGAAAAGTACTACATCTGTTCAGAGACCAGTTTGCAATGTATACTGTCCAGACCGGTTGCAACGAAATAGCGGCTACAGCGAAGCGACCACGATTTCCGATTCCCTTTTCCACATCGTTATAACCAAAGTCGGTTATAACGAAATAGCGGATATAGCGAAGCGATTTCCGATTCCCGTTGACTTCGTTATAACCGGTTTCGACAGTAATTGCAAAACTTTGCAATGACAGGAAATTCTATCAATTTTCATTAATAGTACATTCCGGGATTCCAGCAGATTGCAAGTTGCAAATGCATTTTGTTTTACCTTTATTTCGGTCAAACTGTAGTAGCTTTTTCATTACAGCAAAACCCTGGTAAGAAACGTACTACATAACATTTCAGTTTCTTCTTAAAGGTCTGGGTGGGGGCAATGGGTACGTCTCTAAAAGATAAGGTGCAAGAGCCAGGAGGAGAGAGATCCGAGCGGAAACAGATAAATATGAAGCACATCACTGAAAGAGCTCGACTCGACAAGTTCGCACACTATCTCTAGCTTCGTCTTCAAGCGACTCGGGGCAATAAAATAATACTCGACGACACCCTACGGCATTGTATAACGTTGAAAGTAGCAAAGAAAAAGACGAACAAGCTAAAACCATTAAATTAACCGTAAAAAAGCATATCAAAAACATCACATGCTCACTGCAAGCCAAGTAAGTGCTCCTTGATAATAGTTAAACAATTTAGCTAAATAAATAACTCACAAAATAGCTTCAGATACTCAATTTCTGCTCTATTGTAGTACAAGCACGCAGGAAAAATACATGGGAAACCTGCACACATTCCATACGAGGACCAACCATCTGCAATGCGTCGTTTTGGCTTACTACATTGTCATAAATGCCAAGTTTTGCACGGAACTCAATTCTCAGTGCGAGGGGCAGCTCATACAGGTGGTAAGCAGTTTGTGTTTTGACATTGTTTTTTGTGCATTTCACTGGTTTAGAATGAAATGCTGCTTTTGTGTTTTTCTTAAGCCCAAAGGATCCTTACATTCTCAATGTGTCAAGGCCAAACGCAATGTCAGTCTTAAAGGTGCACTAAAGACGTTACTGAGATTGCCTGTTCATAGTGATAACTTATCTTACAGGCCCCAAGCATCCTAGAAATCCAAAAATTAGGGTCGTGTGACGTCTATTTCCCTACTAAAAATGTGAAAGAAGGTCGGTCATGCCATATCCCTTTCCAAGCGGAAAAATCTGGAGCACAGAACTCAGCGGAGGCGCTGGCGGCGTGATGATTGGCACGCACAAGCCAGTCGCAAGCCGCCTCTCTCGGAAAGGGGGCTTACGATTGGCTATTGTGCGCCCATCGTCATGTCGCCGGCGCCTCCGCTGAATTCTGAGCTCCAGATTTTTCCGGTTAGAATGCGGCGTGGCACAAACTTCAATCACATTTTCAGTGGGAAAATAGATGTTGCAAGAGCATAATTTTTCGATTTCTGGAATGCTAAAATCCCATAGAATGAGTTATCACCAAGAACAGACAATCTCAGAAAAGTTTTTAGTGCACCCTTAAGAGTGTAGCGATCCACTGAGTAAGGTCGAACACACGCAGAAAGAAAATCTCACCACCCGGGGGACGCCAATACTTAACTGGAAAACAGCAGCACTGCAGAAATTACGGTACAAGTAAAACATGCTGCGGCGCTAGCGGAGGGTTATGACTTTTGGAGGCAACAAAGTTCAGGGTATATTTTGTACACAGCTAATGCATGTCGGTAAATATTATGGAACATTTTTGCTTACTCTATACCCAAGGGGGCCGTGTCGGCCCTTCCCATTTTTATATAGATTTCTTAGGTTATGCAAGACGGCAAAGTTGCTTCGAGGACAGAGTACTTGCCAGACACGCCAATGCACAAACAGCACTGAACAAAAGATCAACCGACCTCTGAACATAGCTATGGAGTGCTACATGCATCTAGGTTGTTAACGCGTACAGCTGCAAAATTAACAAGGCACTTGTGGTATACTTTAGAGAATTAGTAATTGCTCGTTTTGAAATCACTCCTGTTTTGAATGAAACGCTAAATTCCAAGGAATGTGTCGGCAGCAGTCTGCAATACAGGCGCCCAGAGGACAATCCTCATTTGCCCGACGACACTTGGAGGTAGATACATTTGTTACAGGGAAGCTGAGAAATCTGATGGGTTCATTGTCCTCTACACATATAGGGGCCACACTGAACAACTGCTAACCAGAATGCTAAGTACACCCACCTTCAAGCAAGTGCCTAAAGAAGAAAAAAAAAAAGTGCAGTTTTGTACGAGTGCTGGTACAAAATGATGTAATTAATGTAACAAATGGTGAATTTGCAAAAAAAAACAAAAAAACAATGGCACGCATTTGCTTTAAGTAATCAAAAACGACGAAATGCAAGTGCCAGAATAGCGGCCGAAACGTGCAAGGTTAAGCCAGAGTCGCCAGATAAATTCCCAGAATAACAGGATGATTTTCCATGTTGTATCCACTGACAGATTAAGAATAGATGCACCCCATCGATCATGAGCTTTCTGCCTTTGGTAACACTTCACATGCACGCAAAATTGGAAACACCCGAACCAGACACAAATTCGAACTCCCAACAAAGTCCGAAGCAACGAGAGAGAGAGACAGAGAGAGAAAATGAATGGTGACAGCAACTGGCACGTGGACAAGCACGGTTGGCAAAGGACGACGGATACGCAGAAAGTATCCAGCGACTCCAGGTTACGCGGAAAACCAAGACGCAGAATAACACAATGCAACGGAGCTAAAGACTTGGAGACTGTTGACAACGGGCTGTCCCGTCCGACCTAAACACAGGGAGCCCTTCGCAACGCACTTCTCCTTGCCACTAGACGGCCCACTCCATTCACCGACGCTCGCACCCGCAGGAGCGGAAACCTCGCGGCCAACGACAGCATCCACCAAAAAACACACAGAGGAGGTGGTTGGTCCATTGGAAACGCGGCCCGCTCGTCCGACCGGCATTAATCCCACCCGACGCACGCAACAACTACGCTATGTACAACGAACCCAGGCTCGCACTGTCGACACAAAGAGGGGTACGAGGAGGACGGGAAACGGAAAAACAGAAAAATCACAGGTCTTTTCTTTCCTTAACGGCAATATGTACAAAACGAGGAGACACTACTCCCGCAAAAACGCGAAAGGGCGGCTCGGCGGAGAGCCGCAAGAGACGGATCCCACGGGGAGTTCGAAAGGGGAGGGGGGGATGGACGACAAGCCGGGAGTCCTCATTACCGCCGCATCATGGAATTCAGAGTCTGTGGGGGGAGACTTCCGCCGAGGTAGCCGTAGGCGTACAGGGGGTTTTGGGCGGGCGTCTGTTCCTGATACTGCGGCTGCATGTTCATCATCTGCATCGGAGCTGCCTGCTGAAAGTAAGGCGCCGACTGCGCCGCTGCCGCCGCCGCCTGCCGGTACCCGTTGAGGTTCTGGTAGCCCGCAATCAGGTTGGGGTTGATGGGACTGCGCGGGTAGCGGTGGCTGCCCGAGCCGTACTTGGGAGAGGCGTTGCTGGTTCCGTAGTGCTGCGCCATCGCGGCGCTCGCCATGGAACGTGCCGAACTGGACGTCGCCGATGAGGGCGGCGGCGTCATGGCACAGGCTGCGGCGGCTGCTGCGGCAGCAGCACTCTGCCCCGGGGAGCCCGGGGCTATGTCCATGATGCCGTTGGTCAGCTGCTGCAGCTTGGCGAGGCTGCACGAGGCCGCGTTGGAGGCCGCGCCGTAAGCCGCATACCCGTGCGCGCCGGCAAACCCGCGCTGGGAGGCCGCCGAGGCGGCCGAGGGCATCATGCCGCCCATGGGCATGCCCATGACGTACGAGGGAGGGCCACCACCGCCCGAGATGCTCATGTAGTTGGAGGCTGGTGGCATGAGCACCATGCCCTGCATCATGCCGGGCACCGGCGAGCCCGGGCAGGAGGTCATGGGGCTGGCAGCCTGCGCCTGGGCCTGGGCCACCGCCGCCTGCGCGGCCACGAAGGCCCCTTGGGACAGCGAGGCAGACGTGGCCGCCGCCGACTGGTGCAGGGGCCGGCAGTAGCTCTGCTGCGCCTGTCGGTGGTGGTGGTGCTGGCTCGAGTGGTGATGGTGGCCGGCGTGCGACACGTGCGATGCGTGCGACGTGTGAGAGGACGCGTGGTGCGCCTGGGGCGGCCGTGCGTGCGAGCAGTCCGCGTAGGGACTCGACAGGTGGTCCAGCGCGCTCGAATTGTCGCTTGCGCTGCTTCCCATCGAAGCAGGCGACTCGAGTCGGAGCTGGTTCACGTCCAGCTCCATGGAGCCGTAGCCGCCGCTCGACAGGATGCTGCTGCTCGAGGAGTCCGGCGTGTACACCCCCATGCAGCTCAGGTCCGGCTTTCCCACCGACATGCGCCCGCGCATCATCTCCATCCGCACAGACTCCATGGGGTCGCGGGGCACACTCCGCGAGGTCACCGGGGCCTCCCGCGCAGGTTCCTGGTAGCGCATGACGGGAGGGGCTTGCTGCCGGGGCGGCGGTTGCTGCTGCTGCTCGGGGGGAGGGGGGGCCGCCTTGAGGCTGCTGGTGTCCATCGTGAGGTCGTGCGGGGAGCAGCCCATCATCCCTGCTGGGCTATGGCCCAGCATTGAGTCGTAGCTGGACACCGACTGGTTCGACAGGCACGTGTGGTGCGACGGGGGGTTCGAGCCGGGGGTCTGCGGGGTGATGGGCGTCGGCGGCAACTGCACCACGGGGGACAGGTTGTTGTCCACCACAATGTCCTGGCTCTCCTGCGAGCTTGTGCTGATCACCGACGCGTTGTTGGCCATGCAGTCGGCTGGGAGCAGAACCGCCGGCAGCCGCGCTGTCTCCGGCTGCCCGTCACCTTCAGCAAAGTCCTGGCTGCCGTGCTCTTCCTCCCAGACGCGTGCCTCTTCGCGACGCTCTTCGTAGCAACGGGGGTCCTCGACGGGACTTGGGCGCCCGTCTTCTTCTGTCGTCGGGAGGTCGCGTTCCCGGCGCTCCTCCGACTCTTCCGGTGACTCCGTAGCACCGTAAGCGCCCTCGCCGCCGTTTGCGGCCCTCTGGCTGTTCTCCACCACCACCGACTCTCGTTCCTTCTGCGGCGGCGGGGAATCCACTTTCGGTGACTCTGGCGGCGCAACGTCTTTTTGCTCCTCCGGCTGCGCTTCCTCTTCTTCAGCGGGTGTCTCGGGAGCATGTTCTGACGACGCGGGCGCACCGACATCTCTGGCATTCGGCTCCGCTTCCTCCGGAGCGGGCCTTTTCGGCTGGAGCTCGGGGATCGGTGATCTTTGAGGTGCTTCGACTTCCGGCTCTTTACTCTCGTCGACCGAAGCGGCTGCGTCTGGTTCCTTCTCAGGCGACTTGGGAGACGCCGGGTGCGACGGTGCTTGTGGCTGCTCTGGCGGCGGTTGTTCCGGTTCTGCCGTTTTGACGTCTTCCTTTTCCGGACTCCTGGCGGGAGTGTCTTGGGGCCGTTCTGGAGCAGGCTCAGGCTCTGGGGCGGCCTCTTTGCCGTCGGGGCTCGAGGCCTCCTCCGGCTTGGGAGATTCCACGGGAATGTACTGCTTCTGCAGAAAGTAGAACGCAGAGAACCGGTTGCTGAGGCACAATTGTCATGTATTTGTAATCATTATCAATGACAATGCAGTTATTTATCCTATGTTTGAAAAGTGCCAAAAATCAGAGACTGAAACAAGCTCCATGTAATGTAGCCGGTCTCTCTAGTAACGAAGGCCTTTTGTGTGCGATCCCATTTTTTAAATGAAAATACGAAAAACTCGATTGATTTTATGCTGCTTGCTTTAAAATTAATTTGAACGAAATGACGCTCAGAAAATGAGCTATAAAATTACCTTAATGTCCTGAAAGAACATATACCTCCAGATAAAAAAGAGAAGCATCTATGAAATATGGGGCAGCTTGTCAGATGACAGACTTGTTGCACCATTTCAGCACAACTCGGCAAGTTGTGAAGGACCTCATCACTACCACAGCAAAAAGTGCCATCCACACCAAGAAGTAATCCTGACATGGTTTTTCCTTATAAGGCCACTGAACACATAATCAAACTTTTAATTCATGGACTAAAACAGAAAAAATGCGTAAATCTTAACATACTGTAAACCTGGCACGTATTTAGGATTTTGCTTGGGTGGGGTGGGGGGGCCTGTGACAAAATGCTGTATGAGGGGGAGGGGGGAGAGGAGGTGCCAGCAAAATAGAAGATTTCGGGGGGGGGGGGACTGGCCCGCTTGCCCGTGCCCCCCCCCCACCTACGTGCCTGCTGTAAACAACTATTTTCAAGGGCACAGTATTTCTCTAATTTTGCTAAGCGTGGCTTTCAAGAATATTTTAAGGCCACAAAACTTTACGACTGTAAGTGGCACGCTATAAACTCATTACGATGGCGTCGCGTTTTCATATAATCAATACATACTTTGCAATATTTTTAAAGTCTCAAAAATTTGTTTTTTGCAAAAATTGGGTCGCCCATGGCATTTTCAAGTCTACATTTACGACAAGTAAAAATAAAAAAGTTCCATCCGCACTCACTAACCCAGCTGTTCGGCAAGCTGCGACGGATGCAGCAGCTGTCGCATTGCAGATGCCCTTCCATTTTTCCTTTCGCTCAGCAAACAAGGCTGTCACCTTATTCGCTAAACATGAACTTTCCCAAACGCAGCTTTACGCAAAGGAAACAGATGTCCTTCCTTTCATACTCGTTTCATTTCCGCTCAGACCTGCTTGGATGGCAAAATTACTTTTGAGCCATCGAAGCGGGGCAATCGGAACCAGTTCAGAAATATTTCCTGGCACGAGTCCCCAATGCAGGTTTGTAAAACGACCAATCATACTGTACATGCATCAACTAGTGTCACTACACAGGCGGTACTTTAGCAGAGGTAGACACCCTTTCCAAGTTTGTTGGTTTTGAAGCAGACGACCCTTGTCCAGCAGAAGAGAGCTGGCTCTCTATACCCATGCACGACAGACATGCTATCCAATGAAGTGCTGCTGTCTGCCTGTGGCTTCCATGGTTTGCTAAGTGACTATGAAATGAAGTATGGTTGCTTGTTACCCAATCTACTTCAGGCAAGCCTTTTGGGCCATGCCGGTCAACTGTTCTTGTCATTTACCCTATTTGCTTGCATCGAAGCAATTTATTAGTCTTATTTTCGCGGGGCGACATATTTTGGAAGCACGCTAGTAACCATGTTGACGACTGAACTTAAAAAACGCTATGTTTACGTCGCAGGAACTCTCCGTGTTTTTCTCCTCCAAAGTTGCCTCAGCGTCTTTAGCACCGTAGCTGATGACAGGTTACGAGTAGAGGGGAAGCTCCTCCCACCTCTTTCCACCGTAGCAGAGCAAACACTGGAAAGGAGGCGACCTCCTCTCCAGCGTTCGCTCTGCTAAAGTGGAAAGAGGTGATGGAGCTTGCCCTCATCTCACCGGCTCCAAATAACAACCTACATTTGCAAAACCCGAAAACAGACCGAGGCCAATTTATGCCACCAACCAAACGAGCCGTCACGATTGACTGCAAAGCAAAGGGACTCGTCTCCTTCGGGGCTGGTGCCGCACTCACCTTGGGTGGTCTGCCCCTGCGCTTGGGGATCTTCTTGGGAGGGGGCGCCTTCCTCCCGGGGCTGCCGTTCTCAAACGCCTCCAGCACGGGAGGGGCCTCCGAGGCGACCCCCAAAGCGGGGACGTCTTTGGGGGCCAGCACGGGAGGGGGCTGTTCCGGGGACGGCTTCTGGACCTGCCGACAAAGACGAGCGCTCACACGACCTCGCCGCGACGCAAAAGTGCTCGAAACACAACGGCTACGCTCCGTTTCACGTTGCGACTTAACGCGAGAGACGATACGAGCCCCCGAAGTCAATCTATAGCTCGAAACGCGTCACATGAATTTCCGGTTACCCGGAGCGCAAATTCGCATAGCACACGACTGGGGGGAAGGGGGGCGGGGGCCGGATCGGAAGATGCGACACATAACATCCATCGCGGTACTCGCTAAGGTGAAACGCAGCCTAAAAGTCTGGACTCTCGCAAAGACGCTGAAATTTTTAATGTCAAACGAACCTGCGAGCATCGCCATCCAACTTGGAATTATGCCAAGCAGGATTAGACAATTAAAGACAAGCTCGAAGTTCGGCCAGACACGCGCACACTCGGCTGAAACATTCTTTACCAGAGGCTGCAAACTTGCACTTTGGGCAGGGCTGCCAACACGAAAAAAGTCAAAATTTTCCTAGTTAACGCCTGAAAATTTTCTATTTCTGCATAAACTTTTCTCACTCGCCGAAATAATGACATAACTCTAAACATTCACTGTTTTTTTGCGTCACTTACATTTTTACGATGAAAGATATATATTATGTAGCCTTTACGCCTTGCATACGTTTCGCAAAAATGAGCTCAATGGGCCAAAACCGCGACCAAAGCAAGTCTGACTAGGGGAAGTGTTACCGGGAGATTAAAACTGACAAATGAAACCCCATCTTCACCTTAGATGTTATGCCACCATCAGAACATGGTACTGCATAGTAACTTCTATAGTTTTTATAATACTCAGTCCGAAACAAAAGGTGTAACACAAGCGAGAGTTCTCGAACTCAAACAGAGGGAACACGACACATAGTAACAGCTATTTCGTGCACGGCACTTCGCGAAATATTCTTAGTCGTGGTAAGTCTGTATCTCCAGACATTGGAGTATTTCTTCTTGTACTCAGGCTTCCTTTTCGTGAAGGCAAAGCGGTGCTTTCTTCCACTTGGCAGATCAATTCCTCCATAACTTTCACAAGGGCAATGAAAACAGATGAAAATTGATTTTGCCGAAAGAAGTTGTTCGAGTGCTCCTCAGTGTTTCCAGACGGTTGCACAACAAACTGCCAAACGGCTGGAGGCAATAGCCTAAATGTAGCCAAACCCGCTAAAATTTGATGTTCTCTCAAAATAAAATAACTGACCTATAAAATTTCAGGTATATACGGTGCCCAAAATTTTCCTCAAACTAGCGAGATTTCTCTTATTTCCACATAGACCCGAATATTACCCCAATCTGGGAAATTTCCCTCGGGTTGGCAACCCCGACTGGGGGGGGGGGAGGGGCACAACGACCGAAAGATCCCCGCCGCCATTCTGAAGCTGCCGGAGACAGTGGCCAACATCCGGCCCAGCACAAAACCCTCGGATTTCCACCGTTTGCGCGAGCAGAGACCATCTCGAAAACGAGAAAAGGACGGCTCACCTCGACGCTCCGCATCCGCCGAGGCCTCAGTTGCGGCTGACTCTCCGAAACTCTGGTGCTTCGCCGACGTGTCGCGGGCGCGTGCGGCTGCGTCTGCTCCGCCGGTGGAGGGGCCGCAACCGGCGCCGCCTCTCGGGGGCTCCTGGCAGCGTTGCCGGCTCCCGGGGACTCCTCGGGTGCGGCCCCCGGATCCGGGGGCTGCGCCGTCGTTGCCTCCGGGGGCTCGCTCACGTCCATGCCGATGAGACGCACGCCACGGCGCGACTTCTTGGGCGGGAGCACCATGCCGCCGTGGGCATGGCGCTTGGGTTGACCTCCCGAAGAATCTGAAGACGGACGAGAGAAGAGTCAGTGGCGGCCAGCCCCGTACGTACTGGGGCCGCCGCTTCCGAAGGGGTGTCGGGTGTATTTATTAGCGGGAGTGACCTACCGTATTTACTCGCATAATGAACACACTTCTTTTCCCAAAAAATTGACACATACCGTATTTGCACGAATGTAACGTGACCACGTATATAACGTGAGGGCAAGTTTCAATGACCTCAAAAAGAAAAAAAATATTACTACAGGCGGTGTAAATTTACGGCACTCCGGGGGCATAGCAGAAGTGAAAAGGAAATATCAGTTTGTTTTGACGGCACTCCTCCTCACTGCTCAGGTCTTTCCATTTATAATCCACTTGGTGACTTTGCAGATATGCAGGTGCTGCTTGTCTGGTAGTTCCTTTTTCTTCGGCCTGAGCTCCCCGGCAGCCAAGCAAAGCAAGGCAACAAGCAGAAGCACCAACACACCAAAACCAGACCACTCTGGAGCATAAACTAAGAAATGCGCAGGCATAAAAAAGATTGCTGGACCCAATACAGTTGAACCTCGATGTAACGAAGTCGGTAAAATTCGCAATTTACTTCGTTACATTGAAATTTCGCTAAATCGAAATTTGGCTTTAGCATGCGAAAAAAAAAAATTCCGAAACATTTTACGGGTATGAAAACTCACCGAAAATGACATTTATTTAGGGGCAAAGTAGTCCGCGAGTTTTGCTTGCGCCTTGTCCGACAGTAGCAGCGGCGTCGGTGGCGTCATAGGGCATTCGAGCGCCCAGAGCGCTTGCACGGCATCTTGCTGCCCATGCGACGCCGTGTACCTCCTCAGTACGTCCATTGCGTCGAACACTTCCCGAGTGCTCGTGATCTCGGCAGTTTCTTCAGGATGGCGTCCAAAACGTTTGCTTTCTCATCCAAAGAAAGAACTTTACGTTTCCTTATGGCAGCAAGCACGTAAGTGAACCGCCCGGTTAAAAAATAAAGCTGTTTAGTTTAGGCGGTGCCAATGTTTCCAACCTACACAGCACTCTTGACCGCACAGTTTACTTGCCCCCTTGCGCCCACAGTGTGCTTGCGCCTTTGCTTTACATCACGCTCGCAAGACGATAATCGGTCTTTTCGGTCTTCTCCTAGATGGCACTGCCCGTGCGGTCGCGCGGTCGCGCCATCACGTCGCTCGCCCGCTGAAGTTGGCTCCCGCGCTACCCGCGGTACAGTGGACTATGATGATCAGTGAATGTCAGTGGTGATGCTGTTATGCCGTGTTAACTTTTTGCTCGGCATTTTCTGGCCAGCCTCGCGGAATCCGCTTTGCCGCATGCCTCGCCGGCGCTACCGGCGCCGCATCCTCGGGCAGCCTAGAACGTTGGAAGGCCTGTCCCCGTGAAGTAACCTAACAAGCGCTCGCGTTTGCGCATAATTTTTTTTTTTTTAACCACAATTTTTTTGCGAGGTTGTTTTTTAGAGTTGATTTATTTATTGCCTTCTATGGCAATGGCGCTTCGTTATATTGAAATAGCAGCAAAATAGACTTCGTTATATAGGGACTAAAAATACATCGGGTCTATGGGCAAGAAATTATGAAAAATAAAATACTTCGTTAAATCGAGGATTTCGTTACATTGAAGTTCGTTATATTGAGGTTCGACTGTACACGACCACAGTCATGCTTGTTCTGGTCCCTCCGCATAAACAAATACCTCACGTTGAGATTGCGTGAACATGGCCGGTGGTCTTAGCTTGGTTTGTGTTGACTTGACTTGGCCTGGCTAGACTAGGCTTGAATTGGCCAGTGCCTGCATTCTCGCCTGGCATGCCACATTTTTAGCAGTGTTTTCTGGCTGGCGTGCGTTCTACAAACACAAAAAGCGATAAAAATGCTTTTTACGTTTTCCATTTCCCCCTTCCTGTGGCCCAATAGCTTATAAATTCCCTCCCGCACCCCCACTTCTTTCCCCACCCAATCCCCTGCATCGAGCCAGAAGAATGGCTTTCTCCCGTCTGGTGCGCCTCGTGGCTGAACTCGACTCGAAATATAACGCAAGGTGTGTTTTGGAGCACGTAATTTCGAAAAAAATAAACTCGCATTATATTTGTGCAAATACGTTATTTGGGGGGCGCATTCATTACGCGGGGTAAAATGCTTGCGTTTACACACTTCGTGGAAATGTCATACTAGGTGCCAATATGACATGTCAAGGTACTGTGGCACGTCTCCACTGACGGAGACCCACCCATGGCTGGTTGGGGGTGCACCGCAGTAACCATGCTTTATAAATTGCAAACCTCTTTCAGGCGCTTTCGGTGGGCCTTTTGCCGAAGGAAAAGCGCCCTACAAAGCTCACTCAGCTCCGAGAGCAGTGCAACCATTCTTAGGCCTAACCACTTTCATGATTTCACTGTCCGCAAGCGAACCACAGACAACAGCGTGTTTGTTTACATCAATGCATCCGATAGGCGAAGAATGTCCGGGGCTGGGCAATTCCTCTTCAAGCTTCGTCAAGTGTGCGCGCCGATCGGTTTCACGGTTGATCACTTCTTCAACTACGCACTTGCAGCCATTACGAGGGTGGCTTGGCTTGGCTCGACTTGGCCTGACCGCTTGGTGGCAAATGAAAATTGGCTTGGTAAGCTCGCGGAGCCAAAAGTTGAAGGTGGATTTCATTACGCGAGGGAAAAATAAAAAAGTCCAAATGTTGGTACCCGTTGTGGGGGGTGCGTTCATTATGCAAGTAAATACAATACTTTGGTATATTTAAGCTTAAAAAAGAATTGTTCAAATTTGTTACCTTTTCCACATAAATTTAGGAAGATGCAAGTTTGGAGGAGACAACTTCCGCACGCGAGGTGGTACATTTGGCGAAATTTTTTTCAATCTAGTCGTAAAAAGCCATGCCCATAGCGATACACTGCACTTCGACGGATAAGATTGCGATGCGCATAAATTCGTCACGGCACCTACTAGCTTTAGAGAAACAGAAGGCCAAAAGTTCGCCGTCCGACCAAGGCCCGCAGACACGGCCAAACTAGAACGATTAATTTTCTCTACAGTTTTAACAAACGGGGAAGACCCCAGCTCACCCGTCGAACGTGCGCTCTCGTTCGCAACGGCCGCCGCATGAGCCGACGCTTCCTTGGTCCTCAGCCTCCGGGGGGTCTCCTCCTCCGTTGTCACAGACTCCGGCTCCGTCGCCACCTTGGCCGCCGCCTCCGACAGTCGTCTCAGCTTCCTCGGCGGCGGAGTGGCCACCTCCTGAGGCTTCTCCTCCGCCGGTTCCTCGGGGCGCCCGTTGGCGAGGGGCGCGGGGGCTTCTTCCGCCGACGCCTCCGCAGCCCTCTCCGCCGCGGCGGCCCTTGCCATGCGGGTCGCCCTGGCCAGCTGGGCCATGCGGCGCCTGCGGCTGCGTCGGCTGGGCTTCTTAACGGGGGACGGCTGCTTCTGGCTGCGCTGCTCGGCCGCCACCGAGGCCGTCGGGGAGATCACCTTGGGCCTCTTCACGTCCTCGGACGCGTCTTTGCCCTCCTTCTTCCCGTCATCCTCCTGCCGTGCAAAGAGGTAGGATTCCAATAAGAGCAAAAATGATAATGTTAACAAAATACTCGCGCAGTACGCTGGCATGCATGCATGCACAAGTGATGGTGCGACACGCATCATCGGCGGTGCACGGCGTGTTACGTTCCAGACAAATTGGAAAGAACCACCGGGCAGAGGATGAAGTAAAAGATGAGAGGGTGTTCTCGGACGAGTTAGGCCGACCGTGACTGGTGACCTTTTTTATTTACGATAGAAAAATTTAATTTAGTTAACTCAATGCCTATAAAACAGAAAGCAACTTCTGTTTTGAGAAATATTTTTATATTTTTGCAGAAAAAATTTAGAATCACCCTCTTAGTCCGACGCACTTTCGCAGGATTGCGCAAAGTTGACATTTCGGGCATCTCCCCCAAACAACTGCTATTCTGCGCCTACGGGCCAAAAAATATTTACTGACAAAATACCGTACGGAAGATCAATCCCAAGTATTTACTACAGAGTAATGACGTCGTTAGTTTGCGAAGAAAAATGGCAAACATGGCACTTTGCGCAATAATCCTGAACTTTGATTCATTTTTTTTTTTTTTCGCATCTATATACGCAAGGACTTTCAAACTTTCCTTGCATGGTGCCGTATTTTGTTCACTTTTGCGCAAAATATTCTTGCCCTGGTTAGTGAGACGAATTTACAAGAAACGCTCAAATGGGGCCATTTTACTAAATACAAATTATATTGAAAATAAATTTAGAAAAAGCACCATCTTCATGTACATTTTGTCAGTAAATGTTTTTAGATCCGTAGGCGCAGTGACGCGGCCGTTTTTTCCGTCAAAATAAAAAATGGTCACAGGACATGGTCTGCCAAACTTATCTGAAAACACCCAAGAACGAACTTTCACTGTGTTTATACGCGGCAATCAAAAAGACTTACGAAAGTAATTTAGATGTGTCTTCATCCTACAAGGTAGGGAGACTTCGTTCAGAAATAAGGGTGATTGAGGTGGTGAGCTGGTAAGAGATCATACTTAAAGGGGTCATGAAACGCTTTTCCAACTTTTTCCTGTTTAGCTTTCCTCCTCAACTCATACATCGCGCATTCCACCAAACAGTTCAAGAAGACGAAAAGAGGGGAGGCCCCTCTTGCTCGGAATCTGGTTTATGTACCTGGACAGAGCCATTTTCCCCCTAGAAGATTAGCCCGTCGCTCAAAATTCAGACAAAAGTTGCTTTCCCCAACCCATTCACCCCGGAGCTGACAGTGCTGTGGAAGCTATGTGCTCGTTGGGCCAGCCACACTTGCCACATGATCACGCTCCTCCGCGCATACCCACGCGCAGATTGAGGTCAGGTGATAAAGGGAGGCGGCTGATTGGTTCGGCAAGCGCATAGTTTCTACCACAATGTCAGCTTAGGGGTGAAAGGACTAAGTAAGGTCCGGTTCTGTGTGACGTCAGTTTGGACCCGATGACGCGCTTTTGGGACCGCGGATGTATTACAGTGAAAAGGCAGAGTGCTTACAAACGGGAGGAGGTACGAAATACTCCGCTGTGTTTTCAAATTTTCGCACTGAAAGTCAGGCTTTTGTCTTTCTACCTTTTTTCTTTTGGCCCACTGAACGATGTGCTATTAGTAACATCCCAATCGAAAATGATTTATCCCAACCCAAAATCCGTTTCATGGGCCCTTTAAAAACCCCGGAAACGAGGGGACACACACATTCTGAGGACACCTAAACACTTCTCACGAGTTGTGAATGCGAAAGCATTCTTGGCGCCGAGAGGAGCAGAAGTGGCCGCAGCGCCAGCAAGGAGTGCGGTGGAGTGCCGTGCAGACAGCCCTTGGCTCGCTGGTCACTGCTGTGCCGCGCGCAGCGCACCACCTCTTCCTTTTGCACATGGTGCTCCGGCGGCGACAACACGCTCTCACACTACGCAGGTGCGGCAAACTCCGCCGGCTCCAAAGCTTCCGCGACGAGGCATCTGTGTTACTGTGCTTTTCTTCGTGTTTTGCTTCTAAGGCACATCTGCTTTGACCTTGAGTGCCCTGCCGGCTTCCATGACGAAGTATCGGTGTTGCTGTGCTTTTGGCCAATAAGAATTTAACTGGTGTTCCGCTACTACAGACGGTTACAGACAACGCCGGCTTCGCTCCATTGGACAGTTAACACTTTCGCATTAAAAAATTATTGCATCTCCACATGGGGAATGATATTGATTGGGGCAAAGCTCTGGTGGTGCTGATGATACTGATTTTATTGTTCATAGGTAGTGCCGAGTTCCGGGTTGCGTTTCGACTTCATTATTACTGCTTTATGGTCGGTGAAATGCAGACCCAGTGGTTTTTCTAGCGGATCAGCCTTGATCCGCTAGAAGCCGTGGGAACGTATCTCCACCACTTAAGTGAACGGTCCATGTGAGAAAGAAAATGTGTGATATGGAATGTGGTTATAAACGCATTTGAGCGTTTGACCGCAGCGCCCCCTCCTGTATAGACGTTGAGCGGCTACATGCAATGTTTCATCCATGACAGAAACCCCAGCTCTCGAGTTACCACCACATCTCGGAGCCCCCTACTCGTCCCGCAGTCGTGGCCGAGTGGTTAAAGGGAAGCTACAGAGCTTCTTGAAAAAAATGAGTTAGAAGTGAATTCTAGTGTATTTTACCTCGTGAACCCGAATACCAAAACCATTTGCCGCGCAAGTATTTTTAAACGCGAGAAAAACGCGAAAGACAGTCGCTGTCCGTGACGTCATCGACGGATCTTTTGGCTTGCCAAGGCTAGGGAGGCGGGGCTTCAGCCCTATTTTCAAATTGCTCTTATGGCTCTCCGGCGCGTCGCATTGAAATATAATTGTGATATCTGTTATTCTAAAGGCCAAATGAACGCAATTCAAGTATTTTTTCTCAAATGTAGAAGTGCCCCATCTTCCCTTTAAGGCGATGGACTAGAAATCCATTGGGGTCTCCCCGCACAGGTTCGAATCCTGTCGACTGCGCAAATATATTTTTTTTTTATGTGAGCACGGACGGACAGACAAAGCGAGACCCTAAGGAGCTTCGCCCGTAAAAGAGGGGACAAACACAGTGGATTGTTCCCTTTGTTTCTGTCCCTACGCCTCCGCGTTTTTGAAAGGGCCGGTGTAACAATGCATGCAGTCACAACTTTGCATGCAGTTGAAATGTTTTTCACTTTACACACAAGCTTAGGAGCACTAGTGGAACCCCAGTTTACTCGCAACTGACCAAGAAACCTATTTTGTTGCAGTGCGATTTCAAGAAGAAAAACTAGTGTTTTCTTTCTATTTCTCCTTTGCAAAACTTGATGGTATAGTTTGGAGGTCGTAGTGTTGGCACAGTCCCCCAGTCACAATATTTTAATGTCGCTCATAAATTGGACCCAAGCATTGCGCGAGCACTCGATTCGGGCTCACGACAATAGCTCAACAAGCATTTGGTACTGACTCGCGCCCGATCCACGCAATGACACGACAGCCAAACCCCAAAATGCCTAAAACTCGGCGCATATGCTGTGCCTGACAAAACCCCAGCGTGCAGCTACTATAAGCAATGGCGGCATATAATCGACTCCAGATCACGTGGCCGCTCTCGTTATGGCAGCAAATCGAAAACAAAAATGCTGCTCGTTTTTCTTTAATTTCTTTTTGCAACTACCACTGCAAGAAGAAAAGCTAGCGTGTTCCATATTTTATAAACGTCCGGTATTTATCCCAAGTGGTATTTGTGCAAAGTGCAAAAATCGTTGCACCCGCCCCTTCAAGTATGAGGCTTTGTTCGTAGGGTTTTAGGGAACTGAAAGACCTCTCTGCCATTCTAATCCTGTCAGAGACTATAATGTGCAGCTTAAAAGGCAGGCATGGCCACACAAACGCTCCTTTCTGGACATGTACCGCGTGGCAAGGGTGGCGGAGAGAGTACAAGCACTCGCCTCGGCCTCCTCGTCCCTGAACTGCGGCTGGGTGACCAGCGGAGTCCAGCGGAGACACTCTGGGTCCAGGACAATCCTGCGGTCCTTGCCGGAGTTCACCTTGGCCATGTGCTCGCCCAGGACTCGCTTGTCGATTCGAATCATCAGCCTGGACAGCGCGAAAAAGCCACGGCGGTTCGAGACACTTCATGCTAATCTCCATACTGTTTCAATAAAAAATACAGGAGGACATGCAAGACTGCTTACGTCTAGGAAGGCGAAAGCATTATAATCCCGCGTGAGAAATGTGTTCGAGTTATGTTTTTACACAAATTAAAGTTTAGAATGACGTATAGGACAACGTCTTAGAGATCGCCGCCAAGTATGGCATCTACAGGGTGCGGCCGTAAAAACTTTCACATTTGGCACGCCTAGCAAAAATCGAATTTCAAACATACATATCTGAAATTGGGCACACGAACGTCGTTTATTCCAAAGTTTTTTGCCTATTTTTTTCGGACGTCAACTCGGGAGTAGTGAATTATTAGAAATATAACAAAAATGGCAGACGTGCATTTCCTATGGCCTATACCTGCTATACCCGCCTGTTCGCAGTCTGCTATCTGGTTCGCGACGCCGCTCCCAGGTGGCGCACTGAACGCAAAATCGCGGGAAACGCCGCACGAAAGGCTGGTTTCGGGCGAGACAATCGCGATAAAAAGTGATTTGAACGAAATATATGAACGATTGGTGAAATTACCTCTTTCAAGTCAAGTTTTGACAGATCGTCATGCAAGCAAGAAGACACCATGATGCGAAGATATCATTTATTTACAGCTGCTCGTCTTGTTGACAATTGCGGGTCGCTCCCGAAGACAGCAAGCACCGCTTCAATGAGCTCCTCATTTTTCAGCAGGCTCTCACGTTCACTGACTGGATTCTTCTTTTTAAAGTCTTCTCCACTCACAAAACGATCCGCCCAAGTCAAAACAGTCGGGCGTGAAGGCCGGCGTTTATGAAATGCAGTGCGAAATTTTCGTTGTGCTGTGGCCACCGAGTTCCGCTCCACGTACCACTTGACTGCCTGGGCACACTCACTTGCCGAGTATTGCGGCATCGCAGGGCGGCGCGTAAAATATTTTGATAATAACTGCAGACGATAGTGCAACAAAAACAATAAATAGGAACAATCAAGATGCCTCAGCAGCGGCACTCTTGATTTCAAAGTTGAGCTTTCACCGGGAACGGACCCGTCAACAGATAAGCAGACGACAAATGAAGACACACGTTCGTCTGCTTTAGAACATATTTTTATTAAACGAGGGCGTCCGCCAGTTTCTAAATTTCAAGTAAAAGGGCATAATCGTTCAAATATTTCGGTAAAATCACTTTTTATCGCGATTATCTCGCCCGACAACAGCCTTTCGTGCGGCGTTTCCCGCGTTTTCGCGTTCAGTACGCCATCTGGGAGCGGCGTCGCGAATTAGATAGCAGACGGCGAACGGGCGGGTATAGGCCATAGGAAATGCACGTCTGCCATTTTTGTTATCTTTCTAATAATTCGCTACTCCAGAGTTGACGCTTGAAAAAAATAGGCAAAAAACTCTGGAATAAACGACGTTCGTGTGCCCAATTTCAGGTATGTACATGTGAAATTCGTTTTTTGCTAGGCGTGCCAAATGTGAAAGTTTTTACGGCCGCACCCTGTAGGACGACCTCTAGGACGGCGCCGAGGATGGTGTCTAGGATGACGCTGAGGCTGATCTCTCGAATGACCTCAAGAATGGAGTCTAGGATGATGTCCTAGAAGATAATGTCAAGAGCGACGTCTAGGACGACCTCTAGGACGACGGTGAGAATGATGCCTAGAAGATGACACTTAAAAAGTCTGTGGTGTACTTGCGCGGGGGGCCACACGTTAAATCTGGAAATTCGTTGGAACTTGGTTTTTGTTGTTTAGCATTGCAATCGGCTTCCCAGGCTCCCAAAACCTTCCAATTGCCTCACATCTTGCAAAAGAGTGTTTACAAATAAGAGGTCGATAGAAAATGTGGCGGTAATAGAAGAATGCAGTTCGTGGACCCTCATTTTGTACGGTTATGGGAGTAGTGCCTAGCCCCGCAGGAGAGCGTGCAGTCGGGAAGGCAACAACTGGCACTTACGGCAGTCATAATGGTGTCTTGCAACTTCAAAATCGTCCAAAAGCGAACTTCACAAAATTTCATACTTCTCGGCAACAGTCTTTCTTTTCGCCGTTCGTCACTTCAGCGATTATTCTCGCCCTGATGTTGAGCGACAGAACTTACCTGTCGCGCGGTGCACCACTCATTGTTCCAAGAACAGAACCACGTCCAGCACAACACTCGAGGCACGAAACAATTTTTGTTGTTGCAGGCGCGCAAAAGAGCTCTTATTCGTTGGGCGAGAATGCATACAACGGCGGACCTTTTCTTTTTTTCTTCCACGAGACAGAGGTTACGAGATTACTCATCACAATCATTACAGCCACCACCACCGGTGTTTACTTCTTCCTATTTTGTGAAAAAGATAATGACCGCAGATTTTTATGCTTAGTTTTCAACAATAAAACTTGCTCCGGCTATTTTTTTTTTTTTTTTTTATGGAGGTTGTTGATTTGTGCACATGCGAATTCAAAAACCGTTAAATTGAAACTGTGGCGCAAAAGTATTCCGTTATGAGTCTGTGATTCGCAGAGTCAGGCGCCCTTAGCGGCGGCCCTGCTACCTCCCCTTCCCCCCGTCCGGAGATCAAGAATGGCCTTCATGCGATTGACTAGTTGAAACGGCTGCCACCAGGATAGCGCCGCTCCACAAAAGTCTGGCCTTCGAGTGGCGGCGTTAAGTTTGGGGTGCACTGTACATTCGAGTTATAGGTTTGCGTCAAATCACTGCAGAGACGAAAAGAGTGAAGCCCAAGCAATCTCTGAAACACGTGTGCTCAAGAGCCCTGTAGTCACTCGTTCCGGTTAGCTTCACGTGGCAAGAACAAATAAAAGTGCACTACGAACATCATGAGTTCATCCTGAACAGGACTTAGATCAAGCAGAAATGTTTTGCACAGCCCTTTTGGATTAAAAGCTTGACAGCAAGCTTCACAAGACACTGAGATGAGCTTCAAACAGCCCTTGCCTCGAGCACAAGCCCTTACCCACTGTAGGTGGAAACTTACCGCTTCTTTTCTGTTGGATGCTTCTTGAACATGTTGAGGTGCTGCAACGTCGTTGCAATGTCATGGATGTTCAAGCCAGTTGATGTGGATAAGCCTGAAATGAAAAAGCAAAGTGCTACATTCGGTGCAACCAGCAAATATATGCCCACTGTGGGCAACCTAGGACAGGCGGGCCAGGCTGCCCGCCTTTCAAATCGTCAGTGGTCATTTCCACTGCGAGGGGGCCAAGGGCAATCGGTCAAGTAAGCGGGGCTATGCTGCTGATAAAAGGCCGTCGCAGCGGATGCGCAAGGGCCCCGGGATCGCGATGCAGGTGACGACAGCGAATGAATGACTAAATGTTGTTACCAGTACGTCATGTCAATCCCACGCCACAAACACTGTTTAGGTTACACGTCATTGCCACTGTGAGTGCGGGAACGACTCGACTCTGTGCCACGCACGTTAAGCTAGGAAGAATTGAGTCTCTCTTGCAGCACACTACTACGTCAGCACTCTTCGAAGCTTTCGTGCACTGTCAAGCTTGACAGCAACAGTGCTGCGAAGCTCGATACCGTAACAGTGGCAAGGGTGCCTCCAACACCACGTCACGTACGATCGAAGCGAAAGGTGCGAGCCGTTTACTCGGGGTGCCTGCTGCCAGCCCGGTCGGGACGCCGGGAGGACGCGCGGGACACCAAATGATAGGGGCACTCACACTGGATGGATATCTGGTTGTCCTTGTAGCTGTCAAGAAACTCGAGAAGGATGCTCTTCCAGTAGGACACGTAGCTGATGCGGCCCAGGTCAGACAGGGGCTTCTCGGGGGTGCCCGCCAGCCCTTCCTTCCGAGACAGCAGGTAGCCTGCAGAAGTATCGGCGCTCGAAAACGGCCTGTCGCCGGCTCGGTGGTATCCGCGACCCGAGGCGCTCCGGAATTTTGAGATTCGAGGCTTAGTTCAAGGTTGCTCTACATCCTTGGCGAGACTGGGGCGAGGGACGAGAGAATTCCCAAGACGCTACTCACTGAAGTCAATGAGGAACCGTCCAAATCCCTGCCTCTGGTATTGTGGCATTGTCATGATGCAGGAAACGTTGTACCTCTGTTGACAGTGTTTCTCCTGCAAAAAAACAGCCAAGACTTAGCACGAACAACTGAAAATAAAAAGCAGCTGCAACGCTCGCAAACAATGGCTCAATGGTCCCTATACCAAACAAAATCGAACAGAGCCATAATCGCGATCTCCGTCCCTTCGAAGAGCAAGAACTGTTGGCCGCCGTCTCAACGGATCTAAATCGAACGAGGCGTCACGTTATTAAACGCCGTTTCACCTTGCAACGAACCGCAGGGGACGCCACAAGCCATCCCGGCCAATGCAGCGCTGCAAATGCATCGCGTGCCGCTACGCTCCTCCCAAAGGTTGCACGACACTCTCACGGCGTCGGATTGGCTGGGGCATCTCGTAACGACCGTTCTAATCCATCACCAAGTGAAATAAAGTATAGCCGGTCTCGTTTCGTGCAAGTCGTCGTCGGACACAAAACTTGCACCGGCTTTGCGAGCAGGGTTGCACCGGCTACCTTGGAGAAGTATCCGACCAGGTGACAGCCCTTGGAGTCGTTGCGGGTGAGGACATAGAAGAGGAAGGGCTCCACGTCATAGTACAGGGTCTTGTGGTCCAGGAACAGCTTAGCCAGCAGGCACAGGTTCTGGCAGTAGATCTTGCTCACATTGCCGTCCACCTCGAACACCGACACCTCGCCCTTGCGGTAGATCTCTGTGGCCGGGGGGTGCACCCAGGTGCACTTGTGCTGCGGGAGGGAGCACGTCCATTTGACAACGTGCACAATAGAGTACCGTTCCCGCAATTCTGCCGGTGACGGTTTGATCAATAAATCTAAATAACAAATGTCAATGTTTTTTTCCTGAACACAACCCCTAATTACATATTTTTGGTAAAAAAATTGATTTTTAAAGTTGCACAATTTTGGCATGTACGACTAATAATGAACACCCAGGCAAAGTTTTATCAAAGTGCGTTGACAAACAACGGCAGAAATAATCATTATTGACGTGTCGATGACGCGCGAGAGGAGTGCTGTGCTTGGCTGAGCACAAACCATGATAAGCATCAGTTTCGAAACACGATTGCTCCGCGGCTCCTAGGCTAGCGTGGTGCGGGTATTCAGTTTGTTCGCTGGATTTAGCGAGAAATTGGATTGATGTATAGGTCTGTGACGTCCCACAATGCAACGCGCGCGGTTACGCTGACCGCGATGTTGCGAAACACGTGAACGAGCACCTGAGAGCTACGCTCTAACAACAAATTTTGGCGATCTTCAGCCGCCTGTGGCGGTTACGGGAACTACGGTGAAATGTCTTCTGGGGGATACACGGAAGTCAACAAAGCCTCTCCACCTCCGCTGCTACACTTTCTGTCGTTCCGTGGCGAACCGTCTTTAGTGTCGATCGCTTGCCGCGACCTTCCGCGACGCTAATCCTGGAAAAGTCGACAATTACGAAGGAAGCGGCTGGGGGATTTGAAAATAGAACCCAACGGGAAACCAGGTAGTCCCCAAGAGTAGGTCACTCAAAAGAAGACGCGAAAGTTCCGCGACCTTCAATTTACCGTATTTACTGGAATCTAACACGCACCTTTTTTCCGGGAAAATAGGTCCAAAAATCGCGTGCGCGCTAGAATCGAGTGCGACCCAAAACTGTGCTACCATATCGCCATCGACATTTCAGAATGGCTGCTCCATTACGCGCTGAGAAGCGCATCAGCATAGAAGTTCCCACTGCAAAAACACGCCGCGCTCACCATGATGCTGGATTCAAAAGAAAAGTGATATTGTGCGCAGAGAGCGATGGAGATCGGGCTGCATCACGTGCATTTAGTGTTCCGGAAGCTTGCGTCGCTGCAGGACTTTGCCGGATGGGCGAAAGATGCGTGGTGCACAACTTGTCTGCCATGGTTATCAAGGCCTTTAAAAGAAGTGCCTAACACTATGGACGGCACCGAAGATGAAATGCTTTGAGCCGTTGACAGCAATAAGGAGTCGTCTGACAGCGATGACGAGTGATGCATACCGCCCCACAGGCGCTGCCCCGGACCAACTTCGTGATGACGACCTTGCCGGCGAGAGACAGCGCCGTTCATTTCACCGCAAGATTGAAGCACTTGGAATAAACCTTCGTTGTTCCAAGTGAGAAAAAGTTTCATTTCTGTATCCAACCTACAAAATCTGGTGTGCGTAACAATCGAGGTCATTGCATTTTTGTTTTTTTTCGGACCTCGAAAAATGGGTGCACGTTACAATCGAGGGCGCGTTAGATTCGAGTAAATACAGTATTCAATTTTTAACAAAACAAAAAAACTAGCGGGTGCAAGAAAACAGGGTTTTCTGTTCTTTGTTCCATAAGTGACACAGATTAATTCCTGCAGTTAATTGGCCAAAGCCCGAAAATTGTTGCACTGTCCCTTAAAACATGGGTCATACCAGTGAAAGAAAAAGAACCGTTAATTCTCGAGCACGACACTCCCTCAAACCGACCTCCCTCCCCCCTTCCCAATTAGGTTGTTACAACAAGCGGGGTGCCGGGCGCTCACCATGTGCCTGGACAAGATGCTTCGACTCTTCATGTACTTGAGGCAGAACTCACACAGAAAGAGCTTGGGAAGCCTGGTGCAAAAACGGGACAACAAAGGAGTGTAAGGCAACGGATCCAAAAGGACACGCAGCATGGCGCCGGGAGAGTACCGGGGGAGCGGGAACCCACCTGGCGTACTCCTGGGGGTAAGGGGACGAGTACCACGTCTGGATCTCGTACTGGCCAAACTCGATGGCTGCGGGACACCTCGTCTGGTGGTCCGGCACCACCAGCTCCTGTCCCATCGTCTGCAAAACAACAAGAGGCTTTTGCTGGACCCAGACCTGCACGATGTATACACGCGGGGGACAAAGCGTACAGTGTGTACAGGACACCGCTTGACCGTGCTTTGTCTATGTCCTACCCCGAATGCTTGGTCTCATGTGTGCGTTATATTGACTCCATCTCATTATGCCTTCGCGGTGCCTCACATCAAACAATTAGATTAAAAAAAAAAAAAAGCAGGAATAGGTTAGTAGATGTTTAAAAAATTATACTTAACTTTCCAGACTATAAGTCGCACATCCGTATATTGAGCCATTTTCATAAAAAAAAGTTGGTATATAGGGTGCACCTTTGTATAAGCACAATTCACGCAATGAGTTCTTTAGTTTATGTGCGTTGGTATCGCGAAATCGGAAATTCGCACCATCGCTAGATCGCACATACAGTTTGACACGCGTTTCGACTCGCGAGAGATGCCCATAGTATGGTGCTGGCTGGCGGGGGCAATGGAGTGTTTTGCAGCAAAAGTATGTAAAATGTGCAAAATGAGAGGGTAGTCGACTTTATTCTAGCGAATGCACGCCGAGGAAACAAAAGTTTAAGGAGCTAGACACTCGCGAACCAAGCTTTGGAGCACTAGGCTTAGCCTAGGCCAAGACCTGGAGACGACGTGAGCATCGATGTGCAGGCATAAAGAAACCTTGACATACTTTTTTTTTTTTGCACCTCTAGAAGGTTGGCTACCCACAATCCTTCCTTTTACACGTAGCAACATGGCTAGAGCATGGCACAAAAAAACTGCTCATCAAACAGAAACCAAGAAAGACGTGAGAAAATATTCTAAGATGCGTGTATACCAGCCCATTTACTTTTCAATCTTACTGGACTGAAGCAAAAGAATACGGAACCATGGCTGAATTAAGCAATATATAAATAACATGCTGTAAAAACTTTATCCTCGCTGTCTTGCCTATCCACATTGAGCCGCTTCGGGGAAACCATAGAAATTAAAATATCTCACATTCAGAGTCAGACAGCAGTGCCTCCCAGAGGGGGCACTGCTGTCTGACTATGGCTACATAGTTAAGGTGCTCTACAAAAGATGGCGCACGGCATATAAGAAAAACCGCGACTTATACACCGGAAAATACAGTACATGCACCTAAGAGCTGCTACAGGCTGTACGCTGTATGCTCGAGACAACAGCAGCTTTGAAGACACATTATTCAGAACCGAAACACAGAGCACCACTTAGCTGCGCGACTACTCAATTTTCACGCATATACACACCTGCAAGTACAGCCTCGGGGTACCACCATCTTCCCGAGTTGGGCCGCACTTGGGCACGGCCATAATCCGATTATGACGCCTTAGCAAGGCTTCGTACTCAGATTATGACGCGTCCCAGCACACCCCAACTGAGCAAGATGGCAATGCCCCGAAGTCGAACTTGCAAACGTGTACAAGATGTATGTAGTAAGAAGTCACAAAAAATAAAACGCAAGAACAAATCTTTCCATTCTGACGGGTTTGTGCACTCATGGACCAGCTCATCCCCGATTGTGAATCATCCCTCCCCCAAAGTGCTGGGGATACAGCAACTTTGAAGAATTTGCGAGGTCGCAAAGTCAGTAATTTACAGCACTATCCAGGGTGTTACATGGCTATTGTCTTACCTTCAACGCTATCTCCTGCGCTTTCTTGAACGTCTTGAGATCCTTCTCCGAGACGGCAGGCGGCAATTCCGAAGAGCTGTCGCGAGCACCACCTGTTGGAGACAAAAACAGACGACCGTGCTTTAGAAACAAAAAAGTATGCGCAAAAGCCAGGGTCAAGAACCCCAAAGTTTCACATGATCCATGTTTACTTGGGAGAATGTTTTCAGGAGACCGGGAAATAAGCTCCTATTTAACCGATAAAGTGCACTTTAACAAGGAAGATACAGAAGGGTAGACTGGCAATACCACGAGCACATTCTTTCCTACTTAGTCAGCTCAACACCGAAAAGATAAAAGGGAGCATGCTCACGAGTGGGAGATTTCCGATGTTCGTTCTTGAGGGACGACCGCGAGGTTGCAAAGCAGTTCCTAGGTGGCCGGCCCCTCGCAGCTGGCGCCTGCTTTTTACCCTTTCTGTTGGCGTGAGAAGCAACGAGGGCAAAGAGTTCAGTCCCCACGTCTTACTGTGCTTTGCAGTCAACGCTCGCGGGGAAGGCAGCATTCGCACTCACAGTGTGGTCGCCCCTTGCTTCAGCATCATGCCGTTCCGAAACCGCTTGTTGCGCTGCTTGATTTTGGATGCCAGGTTATTTACAAACTTTATGCTCTTCAGCCTTCTGCTCGAGCAGGACGAACACTTCCAGGGGCCTGCGTACAAGACACGACGGGTATCTTAATCAAGAGGGCCCTTGACGAGGCATTTGCGAGCGCCTACCTTTCGGCACCCTGTGCAGTGGGGGCTTCAAACAGCCAGGGTGGAAATGAGAATCACAGACATCACAACATAATAAATGCTCCTGCAAAGAGAGAAAAATGAAAGTCAGCTTTCATTGCTTATTTTATACTTCGTTTCACTTCCAAGATGTACCGCAGCGAAGGCCAGAGGCTCATGGCGACAGCTTTCGAAGTTACACCCTGCTGCGCAAGAGTTTGTGCAGCGCTTCCTACCTCCGGTAACACTTTGTCGTCTATTGAGCTTTGGGCATGCAAGCATGGCCAAAACTCTGTGGAAGGCTACAGGATTGTGCTGGAGGCCGGGTGTTTTTTTCAAGCACTCGGCCGTTCTCGTTCTGTGGGTAACTCTAGCCACCGGCACAGTCACAAAGCTGCTGCGCCACATTGCCGTCAAGAGGTTGCACCTTGAGCCTTCCCTTCCAATAGATTCCGGGACGAAAACACGTGGGGTCATGCCAACAACTCGTACAAGTTGGTTTCCAAACCGAAGGGATTTCCTAAAAAGGCCACAAGCTGGTGATAGCAGTGCCCAATCACTAAACCAAAAGCGTGGCAAATTCAAAATGCAAATACAGTAGAACCTTGTCGATATGTTCTCGGTTGTTAAGTTTTCCCGGCTCTTACGTTCAAAAACGTCCAGTCTCGTTTTACTTCCTTAGAGATACATGTATTACAGTCAAACCCGTTTATAACGAACAGCAGAAAACTCTCCGATGAGTTCGATATAGCAAGTAGTTCGACATAGCAAAAAAGATTTACAACAAACTTCCACGATACATTCGTTGTAAGGCAAGAGCTTCTTTTTCTTTCTCATCTCTTCGCTTCCACCTTGTAAGAAAGTGCAAAAATGTTTTCTTTTTTTTTCTTTTTTTGCATGCTTGCAGGGTTTGTTGATCATGATGTTGTTGTTTTTGCTTATCTCTCCTTCTGAATCACTGTTCCTTGTAGGCGACCGCTTTGGGATGACATTCTTTTTTCTCTTTAAGTGCGTGCAGTGTTTTTTCTTTTTTTGTAGCTTTCTCCTCTACTGAATCGCTGCTCCTTGTTACTTCGTTTGCGGCTTGAGCTTTTAGAATTTTCTTTCTTTCCTGGATTTCTTGGGGGGGAGAGGGGGGGGGGGGGGAAGGGACAGGCTAGAAGACTGTTGTTTGCACGTTTCTGTAAGCCTTCCTGGGGGGGGGGGGGGGGGGGGGGGGGGGAAGTTCGATATAGCCAATATGTTCGTTATAAAAAGTACTTTTTACATGCATTTCTGTTTAAATTTTTCGTGAGTTCGATATCAACAATAATTCGCTGTACGTGGGTTCGTTCTAAACGGGTTTCACTGTAGTTTCCTGCCTGTTATGTTTGCTTTCCTGGTTGTTACATCCAAAAGTGTCAACATCATGGCGCCTCGGCGAGCCGGGCGCCAGGCTGCCACGCTGGCTTTGAAGCGAAGCTAAGCCGAACCATGCAATGTGGGTCGCATGGCACGCGTGGACACGGGAACGCCCGTCTTCCCTTTACTCCATTCCCCTCTTTTCCGTCCCTCTGTCTCCTCGCTGTGCTTTGCTGAGCTCTGCCACAGCTTCCCATCTTGCCGGGTGTGACCTTGGAACACTGCTCGGACAAGGAGCAAGGATGGTGAAGCGGCAAACGCTCATTCTCTCTCTTTTACCTGTGCTTCTCTTTTTTTTGCACAAGGTGCACATGCATGCATGCTAGGCTTCTAGTTTCTGTTCTGCTCGATTGCGTGAACCGTGGTGTTTCGGAGTATGTGCGGTTTGTGCCCATTGACGATGGTCATGGCATCGCAAAAAACAAGGCACTCTCTTTTAAAGAGAAGTTTGATATACTTCAGACGGTGGACCGCAATCCCAGCCGGAAGAGATCTGACATCGCAAGATACCTTGGACTCGTGCCGTCAACTTTGAACAGCATCGTCGTCAAACGGAAGGAGATTGGGGCAAAAGCTCCTTTTTATCAACCAGGCTTTAAACAGGCTCGGGGGGGGGGCAATACACGCAAAGTTGGAGTGTCTCAGTCCTCAACAGTTCTGTAAGTACACATAAAATAAACCAATGTATAAGAGGTGCTTTCTATTTCATGTAGAGTCCCCCTAATAGCCTCGTCCCACTAGAACGACAAACACCGATTTTTGTCCGACGACACCACAAAGTTCCGTGTCGCCGATGCTGTCCCACTGCAACGACCGTCACCCGCGACAATCGCCGACACGCGCCGACAAACGATCGACGACGGACGAGTTCTTGTCTGTCGTTGGACTTGAAGCGCAGCAAGCAGTCCCACTGAGAAACATGTCTCGGAGACAAACTTATCCTCCTCGCCCGCTTGTGCCTTCTGTTGCCTCCCCTCCCACCCTTCTACCCTTCCTCCCGGAACGAGAAGCCCTTGGCGGCCACTCCTCGTTCCCGGCCCCGCAGTTCCGGTCTCCCGATTGCACGTAGTGGTCGCGGGCGCGGCTTGCTTGCTGGCGCCAGACGGTCGTGTTGCGAAAGGGAATTTGCTGTCATGCTGTGGCTGGTTTTGCTCGCGAAAACTTGGTGCGCGAGATGGTGCTTCAAGACGCCGAGGTCTACGCCCCTGCATCAGGATGGATACACTCATGTTCGAGAACTGACCAAAGTAAGACCGCTCACCACGAAGTAGGACACGACGTTCCGAGGCAAGCCATTCCGGTAGAGGAGAGACTTGTCATCGCGTTCTGTGATAATCGGGATGCCGTACTGTCCTCCGAAAAACGCCTGCCCTCGATCATTCGAATATGAGGTTATAAACATCCTCAAAATAGGCGTGAAATTCCGTGGCGCTCACCTAAAATTCCTCGAGCGACCCAAAAAAAGGACCGATTCGGGTATTCTAGTTCGGAAAAAGTTTGGCGTCGATTGTCACGACTGTTTACTGAAAGTCGCCAACGGCGAATGAAGAGAAGCGGAAGCTTCAATCAAGAAATAAAGTAATCGTCTCCACTTTCACCGTGTCTGTCGGCGCGTTTTATGCCCAAAGAGCGAAACACGAAAACCGTGTCGCCAGACTCAGTTTGTCTGTGTATTTTGAGGTGTTTTGTTGACAACTCCAGTCCCACTAGGAAACAAGTTTTATTGTCCCCGTGTTCTGTGTCGTGTCCGCCAAGTGGGACGGCGGACTCCGACAAACAGGCTGTCTGTCGGTGTCGTCTGTCGCTCATTGTCGTGTGTCGCTGTCGTTTGTTGCTGTCTGTCGCTCTAGTGGGACGCGGCTATAAGTGCGTTATCGGTTGTTACGTTTTCCCGGATGATACATTGTTTTTTTTCGGCGGTCCCATGGAAAACTATCAAAGGAGTTCTACTGTATCTTGTGGAGACTGTTATACGCTGATTCGGGTATCAAATCAGTATCTTCACTATAATACACACACACAATTGTTATCAGATTTCCACCACTCTCCATTCTAATGTACCGTATTTACTCGCATAATCCTCACACTTTTTTTTGCGGAAAATCGATGGAAAGCTGGGGGTGCGAGAATTACGCGGGGAAAATTTTTTCCCGAAAACATAGAGCTCTAAAAAAATAAAAATAAAAAACCGAAGCGCCAGCAAATTGGGGTTTTCGCGCCGGCAGCTACCTAAAAGTTTTTAGAAGTAGCAATACAGGGCTTACCTTAGCAATAAAACCACAGGTTTAAGACAAAGTAAGATTTAATTTGGAAACACTCGAGCCTCAGTCCGAATCAGTGGTAGCATAGCATCGCTGGTCGTTGTCTCATCGTCACCTCCCGATTTCTCGTCGGCTTCGGACGCCTCGTCTTCTTCCCACACCAAGTGGTCTTCAGTAGCATCCAAGGCATTTGATATGCCAGTCTTTTTGAAGCTCTTCACGACGATGTCTGTTCCGATCATCCCCCACGCTTCCGCTATCCAGCTGCACAGCTGCTCCACCGATGGTCTCTTTATCTTGCCGGCCGGCGTCAGATCGTGTTGGCCTTCGGCCATCCACTCTGCATACAACCTTCGAACATTATCTTTGAATGGTTTGTTCAAAGACACGTCCAAAGGCTGCAGCACGGACGTTAGGCCACCTGGAATGACAGCCAGGTCTGTGCGCAGTTCCTTCAACTTTGTGCGAACCGGTTCCACAAGATGGCCCCGAAAGCTATCGAGAACGAGGAGCGACGGAAAAAGAAGTGCTCCCGGTCGCCGCCCCCACACAGTCTTAAGCCAGTCGACCATGAGGTCAGCACTCATCCAGCCTTTTTCTTGCACCCGTACGTGCACACCAGGGGGAAACTTTCCTTTGGGGAGAGTCTTTCGTTTGAAGATGATGTACGGTGGCAGCTTCCGACCGTCCGCCGTCACAGCTAGCATTACCGTGCATCGCTGCTTCTCCGCGCCAGACGTGCGTACGTGGACGGTGCGTGCGCCTTTCTGCTCCAAAGTAGTGCTGCTGGGCATGTCGAAATTGATAGGCGTTTGGTCCGCGTTCCCAATCTGCGACAGCAAAAAATTGTTCTGCTGCCGAATCCCAATGACGAACCGGTGGAAGTCCACGATCTTATCCTCGTAGGCTTCGGGCAGGCGTTGGCAAAGCGTTGTACGCCTCCTCAAAGAGAGACCATTGCGCCGCATGAAACGCGTGGCCCACCCGTTACTGGCGCGGAAGTCTTGTGCCGGGACGCCTTCCTTTCTGGCAATTGCGCGCGCCTTGTTGCACAAAAGCTCAATGGACACGGCGCACCCATCGGAGCGTAGAGCCTTGACGTAGTCCATGAGCAGCGTCTCAATTCGGGGAAACTTGCCAGTCTTTGGACCACGGAAAGCCCGGCGTGTCCTGTTGGTCGCCTGCAGCTCCCCGTGCTGCCGCCTCCAGTAGCGCACGTTGAACTCGTTGACGCCGAAGTGTCTGCTTGCGGCGCGGTTGCCGTGCTCAATAGCGTAGTTTATCGCTTTCAGCTTGAAAGCAGCCGTGTAGTTGGCGTATCGCCTCATGGCGAAGTGGCAACCAGCACCGAACAAAGAGGTTGGCTCAAAGCAGTCGACCTGGTTCGACGTTCGACCAGTTCGACAACTGATTGCGACGCGACGACCGGGGGCTGCGCTAACGCCGTCTACCGTTGCGGTCGCGAGACCGGCTCAACGACAGTATGACTAGAGTCTGACAGATGGCGCTAGGACTGCTAGCACTCTGGCCATACGGAGCGGCGCGGTGCCGGAAAATGCGGGCGGTGGAGAGTGCGTGCACCATATGCGGGTTTCACGAGCAGGCGACTTTCGCCGCTGCAGTTTTGGGGGTGCGAGGATTACGCGAGGAAAAGAAAAATTCTATTTTTGGTGGCCCACATTAGGGGTGCGAGGATTACGCGAGTGCGAGGATTACGCGAGTAAATACGGTATATATTATTATTACAGTCGTCGACCTATTTTTCGGATGCCAATAATTCGGACTTGGTTAGATATTTTGGGCTAAAAGAAGGAACCATGACCTACCCGATAGAAATAGCGCATATTCACGACCAATGTCTCGGACAACTCGAGGCTTGAAAGTTCAGATTTTTAGGACAAAATTGTCACAAGCTATCAGTGGGAACCACCACCGAGAAGCGGCCATTTCATATTCTTTGTTGGCTGCACATGAATTGGCTTGGTTTGGCAGTGCTACTTGAGTACTTACTGTTAAGTTCTACCACTAGGTAATGCTGTACTGCTTTCTTTTCTCTAGAATCGCGTCACAATCATCATCATGGTTGTTACCATTTTGCTTTGTTCATTTAGAGGTGCAGTCGTGGACTTGTGCCTTTCATCTAAATCTCGTCTCGGTGAGTCGTGTTTTCGGACTACGCTGACTTGAACATCCTTGCCATATCTGTTCTTCCGCTGAGTACAGGTCTTGTCTACTTCGCTGGCAGATGGCAGAGCTTCAAGCTACTCACGTCATCGTCCCTGCTGCCACAGAGTGCGCACGTCTTGCACTGGGAGCACAGCCACTTGGTGTTGAGGAGGACCAGGGCCAGCTCTCGGGAGTACTTCAGGCAGGACGGGTGGGCTACGGAGCAAGAAGACTTCCGTTTCACTACATGGGAATGCCAAACTTCTATACGTAACCTACCTAAAATATGACGATAGTAACATTATGGTTGTCAATTAAGGCATAAACTAGGAACAGACTGCCATGCACAGGCCACTGGTCACAGAGGCGTGTGGGAACACGGGATAGGAAACGTGACAGGCACTATCTCAATCCTCCAGCCAACAAAAAGTAGTCCCTGCGATTGCGAGAAATTATTCATATTCACTTAAAACATTCTCACGGCGTGGGCACCGGAAACACTCCAGCATTCCCCTTTAATCGACTTTCCCGGCCCCTAACTCTTCCTGTTCAAGCGTTATTTTAGAAGATTTGAGCCGTCCACTGATGCATAACTATGTGCAAGGTTCACCCCACGATGGGCGGCAGTGGCTCTGCCGCCCAACGCTCCGACTGACCGCCTACCGCTCCGACTGACTGCCCACCGCTCGATTATGCCACAGGATGACGATGTGATTTTGCCTGCGCACATGGCCACAGACCGTCGAACTCAGCAGGCCTGCACGCCGCTACGTTATTCCACCTTATCGGAAGTGCCGCCACTCTTTCAAGCAAGGAGAGCAGAGCTGCAGAGCGCTGCTGGCAGTGCGGGGAGGATGAGGAGGGGGGGGGGGAAGGAGGGTCGCTTGGCCGAGGAGGAACCCAAAAGAAACAGATGCCACGAACGCGCACCGCAAAGGAGTTCTTTCCGGCAGGCTGCGAGTGGCAAAGAGCAGAAAATCGGGAGGGGTTTTCTTTCACTGCTCAATGCTTGCTCGCACCCTGGCTTTCTTTGTCCTCGCCTCTTCGGGTGCTCCCCACCTTTCCTTCCCCACTTTTTTTTTTTTCCAGGGCAATTTGGTTTTGTTTTATTATTGCAGCATGACACCACTCACAGGGCCGCAAAGTTAGAGAGCATATGCAAAGTGCGTTCTGTCGGCAAGCCCAGATCGTGCCGTATTGCAGCCTACCAACCTACCTAACCCCCCCCCCCCCCCCCCGGTCATGTCCACCCCTCAGAAATTCCTGGGGAGAACCCTGACCATGTGCCAAACGTTCAATAGTATGCATATTACTACGGGTGCAGAAATAAATTGCCTTATAAGACGGGGATTTCAAATGAACAGTCGTGACCTCATCACGCTAAAAACTTTTGTTTATTAAATTACTCAACTGTTTTTGGAAGACCCGGAAAGGGCATTTCCGAGGGGGGGGGGGGGGGGGGGGGGGAAGGGGGGGGGGGGGGGGGGGGGGGGGGGGGGCATATATTGTGGCACAGCACAAGTATTAAAAAAGTTTGTGGGGTAGGGCAGGGGTTCTCAAACTGGGTTCCGGAGAACACCGGGGTTCCACGAGCTGGTCTCATGGGTTCCGCGAACACCCAAAACCCCTCCCTCCCCCCATGCCACTGCGCGGCAGGACCATTAAAAGCACCTTCGTCTCACATTGTACTGACATTGCGATTGATATGGTGGGGATATATGGGGAGCAACACAAGCAAAATTGCCTGCAATTGTGCATCTGTTGCTTCTCGGTCAGCAAATATGGAGGGGGGGTTCCGCGGCAGTTTTTGAGGTTTCCTGGGGTTCCGTGAGGCCATAAAGTTTGAGAACCCCTGGGGTAGGGAACGAGCATGAGAGCACGCCAAAGGAAACTTGAGATTAAAGAAAGAATAAACACTTTAGACAAAGACAACACAATCACATGAAAGATGTGGTTGTTTCCTTTGTGCTACATATTTATTCTTTCTTTAATACTGACCTGTGCCAACACCCTCTTCGTTCATCAATACAAAGAAAACTCACCCAGGTAGTTGCAGGAGTAGCAGCAGAGGATTTCCTCGGCCACGCCGTTCTTGTTGTTCCTTGGCGTACCGTGGCACAGGCTACATCGCCCGTGCAACACGGATCTCCGCTGAAACGCGAAGTAGAAAACCCATCACCACCGACTGCCACCAGTCGGCAACGCTTAGCAACGGAAGATCAGCTCGCTAATTTGCCTTTTTTCACCAACAAGCACCAAGCACACTTGGTAGAGGTAAAGGTGCCCCACTGCGCTTATTCAACAGAGCACAAACATAAAAAAAAAAAATGCTGGTAGAAGGAACACAAAAACGAACCTTCCGGAAACCTCAGAACGGCAACTGACAATTCGCTAGGACACTTAGAAGCCTCATAGCGAAACACTGGTGGCCATTGCGAGGCTTTTGGGAAGTTGCATTTCGAAGCGCATAAAGCTCCTTTCTAGACATGCTGGACAGCTAACCACACGTTACAGAGAGTAATGGCTACGTTAGCAATACAAATAATTAAATCAGGAACGCAGATAGTCTTACGCCAATGGGTTCGAGCTCATTGAAAGGCGTTATTCACGACGGGTCAGCTGAAGGCATTATCCAATGGATAACGGCGCCGATAACACAATCTTCGGGAACAATGCTGATAAGACCCTGATAAGACCCCTACGACGCAGAAAGGGAACGACGAACGCAGCAGACTGTTGTGAATGACTCGAGGGGCAATGTAAGTAGCGTCTGAAGGGATGTCCCGGTGGCATTGCATCCAAAAACGTTTGAGCTGCAGAAATTTCGGAAGCACAAAAAGAAGCGGTCGCTGGCAGCTCCACGTATTCCTTGCTTAGCAATCTTATCAGCCCGCGCTGTTGAGGGCTACGAGAGAAGTGGGTGGAATGCCTGACGATTTTCAAATCTCTTCGGTGTGTTCCATGGTTCCTCGATTAGGGGCCGTCCAAACAGGACACCTTAAGAACGCATGAAGCGACACGTCTTCGCCATATAAAGTGCAAAGGCAAGAAAAAGAGCTGCCTAGTGGATGTCCAAGCAGAAGACAAACTGCCAGACTTAAACTTTCACCTCATATGATGGAGAAATGTCACTTTATGTATTCTGAAGTATAATGTTTCGACACCCCTTTCATACATTTTGTTGAGCACCCAGCCCAACCTCTGCGAGCAATAGACAACTTCCTTTTCAAAGTGTCTGAAAATGATGTGCAAACATGAAATTATCTCCGATTTCCCAAATGCTTTTGCCCACAGCAGATCTGCCAGGCTGCGTCGTGTTTAGAAGAGATGTCTTGCCTCTGCTAGTGTCAGCTTTTCAACACTTCTATAAATGTGTGTCTGTTGGGCGGTTATGCAAGGAATATCATTAATACACATCAACGTCACAGTCCCATCAGGCTGTTGCTCGCAATATCCAATTGCACCAGGGGCCTCGCTATGGAATACATGTTTTGTCAACAATGTGGTACACTGTGGCGGCGACATACACCCAGGCTTAAAATTTTACAAATTTTCTAAAGTTTGATTTGTCGAAATATTTCGAGGCAACTAAATTATGCAATCTACACATATACCACACCACTCCACAAACCCTACATTAATTATTGCGAGTACCAAATTGTTTCCAAATGCTTAAACTTTATGACACAAACGCAAAACGCCGCTCTATGCCGCATGTACACGGTACAACACTGCTGCCACCAACGAGCGATTGCCGGCATTTCTAGGTTTCTCTTACAATCCAAAACTTGTTGTCAAAGGGCTAGTTCGGTAAAAGCGTGCATGTGGCGGCGACAAACAAGCGTCGTCCTGGTAACAACCCAAGCGGTAAACTCGGGTACCTGCCAGTACCCCTTGGAAGTAGAACCCAAGGAAGCGTCGACGTAGTATTCGTGCGCTTAAGACCAAAATCAACGCAGCACCAACGAGACAGGACGACAAAGCAACCCAAACGACGCGGCAACAGAAACATTACCTCGTCTGGTTTTAAAAAGCCGTGCAAAGGCACGGACAGAGTGAAAAAAGATCGGCAGAAAACGGTACCGCCTGCGCTGTCGCCACCGTTCACGCTCTCAAGAGACGAGCCACCAACCGGCAAGACGGTTGACGTCGCTTACCTTGTTCGGACTGCCCCTGCCGCCCACCTCCCCGTTCTGGGTGGCCGCCAGGCGTCCCCCGCAGTCCTCGTCCGAGTCGCTGTCGGACTCGTCGCTCTCATCGTCGTCTCCTGGCAGGCGGTACAAGCGTCCCACACGCACCAGCCGCCCCGCCGACACCGCGCGCTTCACCGCCAGCCGCACGCCGGGGGGCTCCAGGCCCAGAGTCTGGCGCACAAACTTGTGGATGGCGCGCAGGGTCGAGCCCTCCCGTTCCCCGAGCCTGCGCACGGCCTCGATCACGTACAGAGTAAGGTCCTGCCGCCGGTGGTGGCTGCCCGAGGCACCGATGGCCGCCGCTGCCGCCACAGCCGCCGCCCGCGTCTTGTGGTTGGTGGTTGCCGACGGTGCGCCGTGTTGGTGGTGGTGGTGCTGGTGGTGCCCCGCAACCACCTTCTTCTTCAGCGCCTGCTTCAGGGTCTCTGCGTCCTTGTAGGAGCACTGGCCCTTGCTCATCAGCTGTGGGAGAAAAAGAAAAAGAATGAAGGGGTCGGAGAACGGAAAGTTTGATGCTAGACGAGAAAAAAAGATGTGTGTGTGGTGCACGATGTAAAAAAAAAAAAAAGAGTCAAAAAGGGCATTGGCAAGCCTCAGCGGAGGACTGAGGATTATTTTTGACCACCTAGGGATCTTTTATAGACGTGCAACAAAATCTCAGTTACAATGCATCTTTTATCAGTAAGCCTCGGTCATTTGTGATGTACCAGGGAGATGCAAAAATAAATAGCCCTCCTTGCAACACTTCACACATAAAAAAAAAAAAGAAGAGCTAAGTTAGTTATTTGATAACCATACTTTACCAAAATATTTTCTTAATTGAAAGAACTTTGATTCTTTGCAAAAGTAAGAGAATACAAAATATGTGTTATATTTGGGAGTTCTTGAATTTCCCGGAGACCCAAGTTACTTTACAAAAATAAAAGTACTCACGCAGTTTATGTTACCATTTACACAATAAAGGAACAACAACACACATAGGAAAGTGACAATAGCAATCATTACCGCAGCAGTTGGAAAGCTGCAAGGGGAGGAGGCAACAAAGCCCCATGTTGGGGTATATAATGAGAACACTAAAAAGAGAGCACTGCCTTCTACTTTCGCATACAAGATGAATCTTGCTTGAAAGCAGAGACTTTTGAGTGACGTCAGGTATGAACGGTGCAGTTAACCACAAAGAGCAAAAAACTGATATATCAAACCTTTACTTGATGTGTTCAGTTTACAAATGCACTGTAAATCCAATTCCAACTTCAATCAGCAGCTCCAAAGGAGAATGAATGTACCCCACACTTTTTTCCTGGCTCAATTCGCTTTGTAATCCATTATTCACATTCTACAGGCAGAGGACAAAGTAGTTTCTATGAATGAGAAACAACTACTCTTTGTATTTTTAGAACTATTCCCGTCACATCCCACGCAAAACGAAACTAACTCTAATTGTTTCTCTAAAGGTGTTTGGTAATGGAGTCCAAACATCCAATACAAGGTGTCCGCTTGCCAAGTCATTAAAAGAAAGAATGAGGTGACAATAACTTTTTGACCCAAACTCCACCGTCAGCTATCAGCAACATCCTCCGTAAAACAAAATTTGATCTATTGTATGAAGGTCCAGATAGGAAAAAGGTAATCTGCATCAGGTTCATTCTATTACCTGGAGTGTAGTGTAATTCAGACAAATCTAACAAGACTTCTTGTTCACAGATTTTTATGAATTTTTGTGATGCGAAAAGCAAACAGTGTTGCTTCTTGCATCAAATAAGAGAGCATGAATAGAACCTCAGTGAAGAGAAGCGCAAACACCATTCAAGAAAAGTTGCCATCCCCTTTGACATGGGAAAGCTTCCACCCCTTCCTGTCGGCTGCAATTCAGAAATACATGCAGCACTGCACGCCCATGACCAAGGTCTGAACCGCAAACTCGCAATTCCCCGATTCCATAATTCTGCCACGAGGAAAAGATAAAAGGCCTTTTGCTCCCAAGTACCGCTACTGTTAAAACGACGGCCTAATGGGTAAGTCGCAAATTGACACCCCTGCACCGTCCCACCAGCTTCTCAGACAGCCCCTGCCCGGAAGCTTCCTGGCGAGCATGCCAACAGACAGAGCCGGCAAGACACCATTGGACCTTTCCTTGCCGATATTAAAAATAGCAACCGCAGGAGCCCCAGGAAGGACACAACAAAAACAGTGGAGTGAGCCAAGTACTTCGCATGCAAAACTAAACATTTTTCGACCGAAAAAGTTCCAGGGACGCGGTAGACGCAGCTGTGACGGAAACATCAAACCAAACTTGCGGTGTCCCCCGTCTCCGAGGTAAAAAGGGCCGAGTTTATCTTCCGCAAGGGTTTTGAAGCACAAGGCAGGGCATTGTTTTCTCGACGTCGATCCACTTAGCAAACAAGTATGCAGAATGTTTCGGACGATTATGTTCCATTCTCACTCGATTCAACGATTGCCTGTACGGCACAACAGCCCGATATTCGACCAAACAACAAATTTTCCGACAAACAAAAAGAGTCGCCTCTTGGCGGCATGCACCGTGTGCTGCTGATAGCGCCTGCAGATTAGTTTTGCATTGCATTTAATAGACCTATTGCTAAGTTACCCAAGCATCAAGGAGAACGCAGGGATTGGTGTTCTACGCACCACTCGCACACGCCTTCCCCGTATAAAGGATTCAAAGTAAATAACCAAAATAAAGAGGTGACGAACGCGCATGCAAGGTGCAATTTATTTTAGGCATTTGCTTTAGAAATGTTACTACTGCCGAGGCCAGCATGTGCGGCACGTGGAACACCAATCCCTGCATTCTCCTTGAGACTTTGGTAATTTAGCAATAGGTCTATTGCCATTCGTTACCTATTTAGGAATGACTGCCAAGATGGCTGAATTCTCGTACCATTTGTTGTATGACGGCGGGGAGCGAGCGACCGCCAAGCGCAGCAGTTCTCTCTTCTGACTCTCTTGCGACTGCCCCGTGAAAATGATGCCAACAGAACTGCTGTCGCTAAACCGTTTGGACAGGAAGTGCCGTAGCCCACAGCAAGCAGAGTACCTCAATATTCGTGCCACACTTTTGGACCGAGGGTTTCGCTTTGCCGAAAATCCTTCGTCGGAAAAATGCCCCGAACCTGCAAAGCTAGCGTTTTTCCCCCCCTTTCTGCACAACAGACTAAGGATCGAGACATTTGAATCGAACTCTATGCCAAAACCTAGCAAGGAACCTAGATTTAGCTAAATGACATCAAATTTGGTCTCTCTGTGTTGCTAAAGCTACGACTCGAAAGAACAGAAAGTCGGGGTAAAAAGAAAGTCGTCAGGAGCACAGTTCGAGGACACTCCTACATCTTCCGCAGGCACGAGTACACACAGACAAGCGTGATATCAAGCTAGCCTAAGCGCCTTGCGAGCCTAGAGCCTCGAGCATGTACCTGCAGTCAAGGCACGCAGCAAAAGGCAACGAGCACATGCTGGAGGCTGGGCATTTGAAACGATATGTTTCTCCCCCTGCCAGTGACCATAGTTCCTAGCAGGAGAAAAGTGGGAGATCTCCGGGGCACTGACCTTGAGCACAAAGCCCCGTGCCACGGCCTGGTCGAGGGCGCGCTCCACGGGGTCGCGCCCGAGGCGGTGCGCCAGCGCCACGACGTGACAGATGCGGTCCAGGGAGGGTCGCTGCTTCTGCGCCTTGATCTTGCGGATGGCCTCCAGCACCCACTTGGCGTGCGTCATCGACAGACTCCCCTGGGGGGACCATGCCGGATGGCCCCCCCCCCTCGCCATGGTGGTGGTGCTGCTCCCTCATGGTTGCTGGAGTGCACGGGACCCCCTTTGCCCCGCTCGGGGGGACAACATGGCGGCCCAATTCAGACGAAGCGCTCCTCTATCCCGCAGTGCCCCCCAACCCCCCTAACCGAACTCCATCCCCTTGGGGTGCCACAGAAACCGTGAGAAAAGGTGGACTTGCGGCTGCAAGTAGAAAATAAACAAAAAAAAAAGTTGCTCTCATTTTTTTCTTTCTCGACTGTACAGCATGATTACTAGGTGCTAAAGACATGAGCGCGAAATATGAGATAAACAAAAGGAACAGTGACACAACTGAAACAAAATGATTGGAGCTCCTCAGGGCACAATGAGCCAGCACTTGTTATAATGGGTACACCTCACGAGCATTCTATTCGTACCGTCCTCACGCAGATAAGTTCAGATGCCGAAAGTGAAATCTGCACTTCCCTACCTGCGAAAGTGTTTCTATCAAATGTATGTCTGCCACGAATTATGTAGAATACATAATTGGTAATCTGGTAACTACAGCTTATCACCAAACCTATCCAATGAATCAAATTAACCCTTTTCAGAATTGAGCTGCCCCATTCATTTCATCGTCATATTCCCATCTCCACGGTTTATTGCTAACAAAACAAAATGATTCCATTTGTTTGGTGGAAATGCAAAGCACAATTTTCCTTGAATGTTTAATCCACAGGATACGCAAGAGCCCCTCTGAAATGGCCACTTCATTTCTACAACCCCTTAATAAAGAATTTTGAACACCAAGAGCTGCAAGTACATCTGTAGGGTTGGTCTACTGGAACAATGTTCCCAGATTGTTACTATCTCCAATTCCAATTGTTTTCACATAGAATTAACAACCATATACAAAAATATGTGATAGTATAAAATCTGGTGTTTTTCTTATGACTTTAATGTTTTGGGTTCTATTTTGGAATATTTGAGATATGAACATTTTCTGTGCAAGTGATTGCTTGATCCATGTTTGTGTAAAAAGTTTGTATTCAGTAAATATTGAGAATGTTGAGTTAATTTGCCACACATCTATAGCTTTCACCACTTTGTTTATAATCAAATTGTGTAGTAGCCCCTCCCCCTCTCTCTAATGTATTGCCAATAGGCTTTAGAGGAACAAAATAAATAACAGTAAAGGATAACAGCACAAAGCACGCTTCTGCTTTTAACAAACATACAGAAACAAGGTTAATGACTGCAAGGGGAATCTATTCCTTTCAAAGAAATGGTTGTCTATGATGTAACACTAAATAAAGCAAAAACTGCACAAAAAAAAATGTATATATATATATATAAAATGCAAAGTAAAAGCAGAGATGAAACAATCTATTGGCATGTGTTGTGCTCTACCTAATGAGAAATTGGGTTAGATTGTAAAAGGCTTGTCCTCCTAAAGAACTGAACCAACTTTAAAAATGCCATGCTAGATGATCCACACACTGCCTAGTTCATGACTGTAGACAACCAGAAGCTTGTCAGAAGGAAGGGAGTGCAGGTAAGTTGGTCAAAAAACGACATTCTTGAAAGCCTCGAGACATGAAAGATAGATTAAAAAAAAAAAAACAGGTAGAACAACGCAGTTTGTGTCATTATGTCCATTTTATTTTTGTCATCCCCATCTCAGGGTTCACTATCTGCCAGAAATGTAATTCCAAGAACACCTTTAGTTAACAAGAGATGCAATTGCCCTGAAAGAGTACCTTCAACATGACTTCTAACACATCTGATCATTTACGAGCACACACAAATTCATTGCCGTGGAAGATGGGCGTGCTACACAACGAAAACAAAAAGTGCATTCACAGTTGCAACATGCCTATATCGTTTGGACAACCGCAAATGTAGCAAGCCCGACCAGTTAGCTCTGAAAGGCAGTCTTTCTGAGCGAGTGTTTAGGCCCCTTCAAAAGCTATGAACTTGCCAGCGGAGGAGCGGGTAGCAACTTTGTCGAACGGACCATTGGAGGGCACTGATAAGGCATTTCAGCATGCCTAGGTTTTTACAGGAACACAAACCATAAGGGCTCAACAAAGCTCAGGATATTTGAAAAGTAATAGGTTGTTTGTGGCACATTTCTGTTAATAAATATAATATAATCCATAATACATAACATTAGCAACCATTTAAACGCCTAAAACGAGTTCTTTCGAGGAGACAAAGAACACATAGCTGAGGGGGATTGAGTAAAATAATGTAAGTGATTCCTGGCAACTCTCAGAATCTTGGACGTCACAATCCCCTTCTCTGGTCCTGTGGTTTCGGTTTGATTCATTAGGTTTGAATGGTGCAAGGGTCTCTTAGGTCATACAGCACTTGGCTTCTAAACGGAAATGAGAATTCACAGCAAAAATTAATTATAAGGGGGGGGGGGGGGGACATTTTTACAACATTGTTTCATGCAAAATAATTTTCTTTTTCTTCTGATGTGTCAGTGCTATTTAAGAACTTAAATGAAACCCTCATGCTCCCAGTTTTCAGCGAATGATGCTTCCTCCGCCCCCCATAACAAGTATCCTCCTTACTTCCCAAAATACATGAAGGGAGAACCCATTTTTATTGTTAACTGTGCACACTACTGACAAGCTGATGTCACAGATGTAGTACACATACTAGGCTAACCTGCAACAAAGAGCTATGCAAGATTTAATGACTTTAAGTGAAACAATGAAACAAACAAGAGAATGTGGCACCAAGTTGTCCACCTTACAGGTTGCGAGGCATAATCACTGTAGGGGCAGACAGCTCAGCAAATGCATTCTTGTAAATCTGATACACCAACTGTAGAATACCGCACATCCGCCTATTCCACTAAGCGCCCATTCCCAAATTTGTAAGATCTGAGAAAATATGTGCAGTACATTTACGCGTAAAAATTGATGACTGGATAAGCGCCCATCACCCCATTCTCTCGCGATTATTTCTAAATTTTTAATGGGCACTTGCCCGATATTTTAGGGCTTCTGTTTGTGTAACTAACTTCTTATGTTTATTGCACATCTCAAGACAGAAAGAAGCTGCTCTTCAGTAATATACATTTTTTTTATTTAGTCAATTAAGATGACTCAATAATGAATGTCTTAGGGAAGCTCTGAAACCTGTTAAAAAAGTTAAACTAAAGCATCGTTGCTCAAAGTCCTGCAGGACAGAATGAGGTTATGCGTTCCTTACTAATGTATGATTGAGTCTTCTAAACATTCGAGAGAGGCAAAGACCTGCAGCAGACTTGCATAAGTAAAAAGCAAAGGCAAGGAGGCAGGGGCACTTTTTTGTTATTGACACGATCCTCAATCATAGTCAAATTCACTCAACTCCATCAAGACAAGTCGAATTTCTAGTACATGGAGTTAGTTTTGTGCAAGGTAAGTCTCACTGAGATATGAAACCTGATGTTGTAGAGACTGCTGCCACGAGCTGTGCTGCCACAACACATGCCCACCGACTGAAAATACAGAACTGGGTGACCAACTTTAACCCCTGAGCCCCAATACATCCTTCACCACAGCAATACCCAGCATGGCAACTAACCTCACCAGCTCATCTGGTTTGGTGACCATAAGCCCTGCATAGCCCTAGTGGTAAATAAGCTCTCTAGATAACGTTGAGTGCATTAGGTGCGCTAGAACACGCCTAGGTAAGTGGAGAAACCCAGTTTGCTGGTGCACAAAAACGGGTGAATCACTGTTACGTGACGACAACGTCTCGGCAACAAGAGATTTACCGACGGCTTCACGAGTTGCGGCACAGGTGACAATGCCCTTTTCCCCGCGGTTCACTGAACTGCGTAGACTACATAAAAAAAAAAAAATTAAAGAAAAACAAAAACCGAATGGTCTGATTCGCTGGAACCGGCAAAGGCTTGCCTCCGATACCGAGACGCGACCGAGTCGCCGAAAGGAGGCACAGAAAGCATAAGAGAAACCCGACCAACCGCCAATGAGGATGTGCCGAAATTGAATAATTAGAAATATCTGCGTGTCTCAACGTTGGCACGTTAGAAAGACTGCCCAATCGCTCGACTTCCGAGAATTCTGGTCAGCTCACCGGCTCACCTCTTTCTTGTGCCGCTCGACGCAGCGACGGCGGCGGCTCAGATAGCGAGATATCTGCGTCGATAAACGGTCGCCCGCGGCCCAAGGTCCACCTTCGGGAAAAAAAGAAAAAGAGCGACTCCCTGTCTCTTTCTTTTCCTGTTCAAATGCGTCGGAAAGAAACTCGCGGACCGGATTTTAAAGCGCAAACAAGCCAAAGGGAGTGCCACTCAAAACTCGCTGCGACCGACACGGCAGCTACTTCGTCAACCCCAAAAAGGGACAGCCAAACGAGAAGAAAAATTACGCAGCCACCGTATTCTCCCGTCGGCTGAAACCTGAAACAAAAGAGCGAGCGGCGTCGCGTTTCACTCTCAATTTGTTATACTACGTTCCGAAACCGCCACTGACAAATCGATCTCGGCACGAAGAACGGATCTGCCGTCAGCGACGCACTCGCTTGACCGCGAGCCGCCGCCAAAAGGGAGGTCGGAATGCCGACGCGTAGAAGCGACTACGAGAACTCCCCGGACCGAAAAGGTCCCCGCTCGATCGTCAAGCTCGTCAGCGCTTGCACCTGCCCGCATAAATAACGTCCCCCACCGGTTTTTGGCATTCGGCGAAAAGGAGATTTCGAAAGCGCTAACGCGACCGTCCCGAGTGCCGGAACCCGTCTCGATCACAGCACTTTTCTGATCGACTCGACGCTGCTCATGAGGCAGACATGATCGCGGATCGAGTCCGCACGTCCTAGCCGATTCATAGACGACACACTGCCGTCGGTTTCAGTAGCATTTTCGAGCCCGTCCCGGCGCGCGTCGAAAAAAAAGGGAGGCAGCTGAACGAGAACTAGGCTTAATTCGACAAACGACAAGAGAAAGCGGGGGGGCAACTGCCGACCATCTTTTGGCTGGCGCGGCGGGCGCCGCGGCGCTTATGACATCACCCCGTCATGTTCGCTTTAGGCGTGGAATGACTGTGCTTACTTGGATCGGTACCTACGAGTTCTTCGTTCCTCTGAAGTACCTGCGGTATCCTACTGTCATTTACGCACGATTTCCAGTTAAAACGAGAAAAATGGCGGACAAAGAAGAGACAGTGTTGAGGATATCTCTCGGAACCGTCCGAATGTTACACGATTCCCCGACGGGAAAAAGCGTTTAAAGTCGATTTTCGAGGATTACCTGAGTAACAGGACTAAACCTTGCTCGGGTCAACGGAATCACGCGCTTGTTGAACAACAAATCAGCCCGGCAGCCTGCCGAACACCGACCCGAGGGAGCACAGACGGGAGCAAGCCGCTTGCACTCGCCAGTTATTTTTAGGCGGTCTCTCGCACGTACTGGGTGTAACGAAGTTACGAGTACAGGTAACTTACCTTGAGCGATTCCCGGGTCAGTACGAAAATCCGATAGCTCAGAGGGTTGTATGGCACAGAAATACTTACTATAAAAACACAGCTAATGTAAATATGGCTGTCCAGAAATCAAAACGAGGCCATTGATGGTGTCTTCTCTAGACGCCAGGGGGAATGCTAGCGCTAGCGTAGAGCCAAAAAAGAAAGGGAAGGGATGCAATGAGCAACAATAAGGAACAAACATCCGGTGACCGTTTCATTGATTTCATTGGGCAGATACCGAGAAACGCGAAATAAATGCTTTCTGTCTGAAGCGGAGCTACAACTATTATAATCACCTAGTAGAACAAACAGTTTCGGTTTTATTTGCACTTTGGGACGTCGGGAAGCTTTCTGAGCATTCAGAGACATAATGTTACAAAAAACAAATTAATAAAAATACAATTTTTTTCTTGCCTCTTTAGTTTAGACCAAAAAGGGAAGTGGTTTCAGCCTCCAAAAACAGATAGCGGCAGAATTCAGTAGTGTGAAAACACAGCCGGCTTTTGGTGCAACAAAAGCGGAAGAAGAAGAAAATAAATGGTGCAACAAAAGCGGACTTTTCCGCTCATCTACTCTTGAAAACACCTGCTCATATCACCTCTAAAACCTCGGCGTGAAATAAAATACATATTAAGACTAGCCACAAGTAATTAAGTATTATATATTAATAAGTTTGCCTTAAACTGGCCAGCAAGGGAATTCACTCGGGCAAGATCGAGCATGAGCATGGGCGTACCTAGCCGGAGGTGGTGGTAGTGGTAGTAAGGCGCGCCCCCCCCCCCCCTTTTTTTCCAGTTTTCAGAGGGGGGATGGAGGGAGAGACAAGGCAAGGGGGGAGGGGTCTGGTTTGCCTTTGCCCCCCCTCAAAACAAGTTGGTACGCCACTGAGCATGAGTCGTCGCATATACATACTTCTTGTGCAAATAAATTACAATTACAATTTCCGAAAGAGAAACAAAAACCGTCATTGCCGTCATCTGGAAGAAGTGGGAAGCAGACCTTTTGTGCAAACTTGGGACGTCACAGGATGCAGCATTATTTAGCCGATTTAGATTTGCTGCTCAAGATCTTTACACTCACTTGCGCCAAACCCACACAGATCCATACTAAAAACTCTCAAATTAAAAAAACCTGGTAAATTTTTTTTTTTTTTTTCACCTAATCCTTGGACTTGGGTGTGTTGTAAAAGCGAGTGAGATGTTGCTCTTGCAGGAGATTGCAGAACTGTTTCTCTACACGCAAACGTTCCCACGTCCAAATTCTTGGGCCCGAAAAAAAAAAAAACCGCATTACATTCAAATTTCTTCAAAAGAACCAAAGCAAAAATGTACACTTTACAGAAAACAAGAAGCAGACCAAACCATTTCCCACACTGTCTCTAAAAAAGGAAAAAACAACAAAAAAAAAAAAAAAACAAAAAAAAGTAGTGTTTTTTGTTTGTATTTTTACCGCAAAGATAAACTATGCATTGTTGAACAGTCAGTCTCTGCTAGGGGTTCCAACCAGATGCCAAAATTTCAGAGATTGCCGCTATAGTGATTGCTTTTCGGAAATTTTAACTAAAAAGATATAAGTTGGCTACTGGGAGTGGATCCCATTTTCTCATTTAAAATTTCAGAGAATAGGCTTTAACATTTGAATCGGATAACGGCAAGGGAAACTTCGGCATTTGGTTTTCAAACTGCAACCCTGTAGTGCAGCCATCTCCGAGCACTCTGTTACAGACAAGCCCCGCGCATGACGTTGTCAGTGGATCCCCCACCGCCCCAAGCGGTTACAGCCATTACCACCATTTCAGAACAAACAAATTTATTTCGGCACAGCGTTCTTTCTACGGAGCACTCAAAACTCTACAAGCACCGGCTCAACATTTTTCAGCAAGCAGTCTACGAGGTTACTGTAACCTAGCACGAAGCTTCAAAAGTCGGCGGTCGTGCCGAAACTCCCAGAGACAGAGAGATGGGAGTCGTTTGCCAAGGAAGTTCAAATATCAAGCAGCACAGGTTTCTTGAGCTTCGCACATTTCACGGCCGAATTGATGAGCTTCACAAATCCAGTGTCCTTTGGCTTCTCCAGCCCCCGGTGAAGCCTTTCCTTCATCACAGACACAAACTCTTTGTTGCTCAGTTGTCCGTCCACTGTAAAAATAAAAAGGAAGAAAACGGTGAGCTGCTAAGCTCAAGAAACTTCCATACGCAAATCAGCACAAATGTATAAAAATAGTCCTCCACAGAAAGCGTATTGGGCAAATTGACACCCAAACAAGATTGTTCAAATTAAGAGCCCCTGACACTAAAAATAATATAGATACAGTTTTTTTTTTTTTACGCTTAATAGATTGGTTTAAAAAAAGCCGTCAAAGTTACACTTATGCCGCTTGTGGAGGTGAGTTATACGGCCAGGGGGACATATTATAGGGGGCTAATCGTAACGATCAGTCGAATAATTAATTAAAATTCGTTAATTAACTTTTTAATTAATAAAAATATACATATGGTACCAATTGGAAACTTGCTCAGCGTCATCGAAAACCACTAAATCAGTCATTTTCAGAAAGACTTTCGGCGCGTGAGAAGCGTAGTATTGTACTAAAGTTAACACTCGTGGAGCAGGTACAAGGCTGGGGCTAGATAAGAGATGGAAAAATCGCGCCGGCGCCATATCGCAACCGCTAGCTTTGTACCTGCTCCACGAGAGGTAACTTTAGTGCACCAATACGCTTCTCATGCGCTAAAAGTCTTTCTGAAAATGACTGATTTAGTGGCTTTCGATGACGCTGAGCAAGTTTCCAATTGGAACCATATGTCTATTTTCATTAATTAAAAAGTTAATTAACAAATTTTAATTAATTAGCCGACTGATCGTTACGATTAGCCCCCTATAATATGTCCCCCTGGCCGTATAACGCACCTCCACAAGCGGCATAAGAGCAGCTTTCACGGCTTTTTTTAAACAAACCTGTTAAGCTTAAAAAAAACAAAAACACCTTGTATATATATATATTAGGAAAAGTTTTCTTGGCATCATTGTCAAGATCTGAAATTGGAGACAAGGCATATTTGTGAGGGAAAAGATTGTAAAAGAACCAATAATGTAATTCTAAATTTAATGTTCAAACAGCCTCATCGCACTTTTGGAGAAGTGACACATTCCTTCAAGGGTTTTTCCTTTTCTTTGCCATTCTTTCATAGATTTCCCTTTTCTTTTACAAAAACTTGGAAGCTTTAAAAAAAAAAAAAGTTACACGGGACTTGCTTTGTTTTGGAATGTGTTAAGAAAATACCCAAAGAATTTCATTCAAATGCAACCAAGCAATAACTTTTTTTCTTAAAAAGAGGTTGAAGAAGGCATTAGATATACAAATACCTTTCATGTATATGATTATTAGACTCAATAGCAAAATGATAAAAAAATTTCTTAACATTCAGAGAGTCAGTTATATTATGATGCACTGATACTGACACAACATTGTCAAAATTGTCAGACAGGGGAAAGCAAAAAGAAAGGACATGACACGGGATGGATTTCACGTGGAAGACATCTTTTTCTCCGAGTAAAAATTAAGATTTCTGAAATCCAAAACCCACTGAAAAAAATTTCTTAATATTCAGGGAGTCAGTTATTTTATTATGCACTGATATTGACACAACATTGTTAAAATCATCAGACAGGGGGAAAGCAAAGAGAAAGGACATGACACGGGATGGATTTGAAGAGGAAGACATCTTTTTCTCCGAGTAAAAAATAAGATTTCTGAAATCCAAGACCCACTAAGAGTGTGAAGAAGAAAAAAGAAGAAATTGACATGTAAAAATGCTTTTAAAGGTTAACCTGCAGTTGAAAAGAGGAAAAAAGTGACTTTCCTCCTTTTCCAGCAGTCAAAGGTAAGGAATCCAACAGGCACCACCCTCCCCCTCGTACATCGATCCTGTGACCACTGATCTTATCACATGAAGTTCATACACAATTTGCTCCTTCCCTCTCACACCGACAATTGTGAAGAGAGAAAAAAAAAAAGATTCTCAGCTCTCCTGAAAACATTTTGCAGGTCAGCCTCTGAGCAGAAATTTGGTCCACAGAGAGTTGGTCACAAGGCACAAGGCCGTAGGCCAAACTTTCAGCAAATAAATGTTTGCTCTTCCGATGGCACGGCGAATTCCTATACGAGCTTGGCATGTCGTATAAGGGTTGACCATCTATGCTACTATATCACCCTCTCACTAATGCACTAAAGCACTGACACCCCCCAAAACTTTTGTAAATGTTTTGCCAGGCAATTTAATATGAAGTCAGGAGACTACACAATAAATATTTTGCTGCAGAGTCAAGTATAGTTTCAATAAAACCAAAAAACTCAACTGCTCGAAACCGAAACGAGACCATGGAAGCTTATCGCCGGAAGTCACCTGTCTACAACCGACCACAATTTTTTTAGAGCACAGCTCTTAAGCATCCATTTCCGCATTAAGCGGCGTCGGTGTCGGTGTCAGCACCGCCGTCGGCGTAATCTCGCGTTGCATTATGGGACGTCACAGACCTATACACCAGTTGAATCCCCCGCTAAATTTAGCGAAGAAACGTAATTGGCGTGCAGGTCTGTGATGTCCCATAATGCAACACTGAGCATTCAGTTTTCCCGATAAATTTAGCAGGAAAACTGACGTCACATGACCTGAACTCCGATTCAGTTTCCCCGCTAAATTTAACGATGAAATGAATTGGCGTTGAGGTCATGTGGCGTCAGTCCTCCCGCTAAATTTTGTGAGGGAACCGACTTTCTGACTAAGTCATGTGACATGAAGTCGTGTGACATTGTTTTCCCCCGCTAAATTCAGAGGGGAAACTGAAATGGTGTTGAGGCCTTGTGACATCAATCTTCCCGTTAAATCTAGCGGGGAAACTGAATTTGTTCATAAGTGACGTGACACAAAGTCATGTGATGCCATTTTCCACGCTAAATTTAGCGGGGAAACTGAATTGGTGTTGAGGTCACGTGGCGTCAATTTTTCAGCTAATTTTAGGGGGGAAACTGCGATGTCATGCGACGTCACAGGCCACGGCTTCAGGAAATCCAGAGCAACTAGCAAAAAACGTTTCACGTTAAAACAAACGCTGCGCGCGTTGCATTATGGGGATCCCACCGCACCTTCCTCGTCGTCCCTTGCCTAACCTCAAAAAAAAATCAAATATATATTTCCTTTTTAAATTCTCTACCATGGTATATCACAAAATCAACATACCCCAAGAGCTGCGCTCTAATTTCGCATTACAGAGAAGCGTAAACGTCTGCAATTTTTGTTTTTCTCCACTTCTCCGGTGTATGGGGCACACGACGACAAGGTTGCGTGCACCATATGTCGTGCGATTATTTCGCACTAACATCCGTTCCGCTCAATACTTTGCACTTGAAGATCGATTGGTCGGTACCCCGAACGACAGTTCCGAAGTAGCACCCCACGTCCGCCGCAATGTTGGTCTGTCGTGTGCTGCCATCACGTCGTCCAGCCCGTGGTACGTCGCCATACTAAGAATGAACAGCCCGTGGTACGTTGCCATACGACAATGACACATTGATTGAACATGTACATGTACATGTGTTTCCTGTGATCTGTGCAACATTATATATTTTTCAATCAATGTATTTGCCGTTTTTTGGAGTCCACAAAAATAAGGTTCATATTCTTTTTTATTTTTAAGACTGAATGTGTGCCTTAGATGGCTCACGACTTTGAATATGGTTGGTACACATAGTTTGAACACCACGTGACCTTGGAAAAGAGAGTGAGCGCGACTGGAACCAACCAATTCTCAACCGGCTGTTTTCGGGCAGAAAGAAAGCAAATTTCGAGCCGCAAACTACATTCTAGGTAGTTGGGTTCTTATAGATCATGTTCAAATAAAAACCTCAGCAAGCATAAATACCCCGTCAGTGTTCCTTTAAAGCAGTGAATGAGATCCCAGTGATACGAGCGGCTCCAAACAAGCATGAAAGTGTGTGGCTGATCTGCTTACTGTTCTCGTCGAACAAGGTGAAAATGACATCGATGACGTAGTCCCTGAGATCAACATGGGCTACGGTCTTTGCAACATGCTTCAAGGTGGCTGAAAGAAGAAAACAATATAACTTGTCAGCACAGAATGCATTATTTTTAAGAGAGCGTCGAAAACTCGAGAACGCTGGAAATAAAGTAGCACCTTCGTCGATGGAGGCCCCCGCAATATGATAAAAAGTGAGCGCTGTGTCCACCTCCGTGATGTTGTTCAGAAAGTGAAAAAACTGCAAGTAGTCTTCCAAACTGATCCCCTGCAGAGGTCGTAAAAACAAATTAAAGTGGGTTGCCAAGGGATAGTGTTACGCTTATCAATAAAAGGCGAATAATATATAAATACTGGGAGTACACCTCTGTAGTATGCACACCCTCGTTCGCACCGTCATCCTGTTGGCACATTACACACATAGTATTTGTTAGCCTGGCAAACTGAATAACCGTACGCTCGGTAGCATATTAACATCATACACGGGTTTTAAATTTAGTGAGAATCTTTACAATGTTTAATATAAGCTTCTAGAGAAAAATGTTAGCAAAGAGTGTTTGTTTCGGGAAAAATAGCAGCCAAAGTGAAGAAACACCTGATAGCCTGAATGCATTCGGTACGGCATTTAGTGTAGGGAACGGTACTATACACCAACACGTGGCCCCAACGTCATGCTGCAGTGGCGGCGCACTTGTTGGCACGGCGCACACGTGGACACCTTTCTTCACGCAAATCTGGTGTCTGCACATACACAGTGCACAGACTGGGTGTGGACAAACAGGCAAATGCTGACTTGCTAGTAGACACACCATGTTGCTCTCTACAGCATTCAATATTGCCCATCTAGGTGCTTTGGGCAAAACCGGAGATGTGGACCTTTTCCTAAAAAAGGTCGACTCATGGTTGAGCAAGTGGCACAGCGTGATAGGCACATGCAACACGCACCTCTGACTGTCCCTTGAACTTCTTCTTAACACGCTTGACCATGCGGGACCTCTTCTTGTCGGTCAGGCCGGCGTACGTCAGGAGCAAGTCGGCAAAGTCCCACTCCCGGATAAGACCCTGATCGTTCGGCTCCTTCCTCATAAACTGCGAAAAAGAAGCGGGTATAGCATGGGTCAACATTTTGGATTCAAGTCACTCGATGACGTCTCACAAACTTCGAGTGATATCAGGAAGTCACTTAATATCATCTCACTAACTCAAAAGAGTCACTCAATATCCTCTCGCACACTCAACGGTGTCACTAAATATTGCCTCACGAACTTAACAGACTCACTCAATATCACCTCACAAACTCAATGGAGTCACTAAATATCAACTCCCAAACTCAACGAAGTAACTCAATATCATCTCACAACTCAACAGAGTCACTCAAAATTGTCTCACAAACTGAACGGGCTCATTCAATATCACCTCACAAACTCAACGAGTCACTCTATATCACCTCACAAGCTCAACGGAGTCACTCAATATCATTTCACAAACTCAACGAAGTCACTCAACACTACCACCTCTCCAACTCAATGGAGTTACCCAACATCATCTTATAAACTCAATGGAGTTGCTCAATATTAACTCACGAATTCCGAGTCATATCATAGACTCACTTATTACCTATCATCTCACAATCACGTGGTGAACATGAGTGACCGAGTGAATCTGCCGAGGTATGGGGCACTGCACCGCTGCTGCAACCTTCCCTAGGGATACAACTGCATCAACAGCCAACCTCGAGTGTGAGGATCTCTGACTGCAGCTCGCGCTGGAAGTTGAGGAACCTCTCGACGGTGAGCTTCTTGTCCAGCTTAGGCCCGAAGAAGTAGTTGCACAGGGCACTGCTCACGCCCCGGTAGATGTTGCCCGTGTTCTGATGGTCGCGATGACGCATGCCAAAGCTCGTCTGGTTCCTTATGACCATCTGCACCTGAAGGAACAGGTTAAAAGAGTCGGAAAAATAACTTCTCTCCGCTTCCTCCCATTTTTCGAGTATTCATCTACAAACTGAAACTGAATGCTCATGTATTACAATACCACAAGTGTGGACGGTAAACTGGTGCTCAATCATATTTTATTTCTGTGTTACAAGCGAGTACCAAAGTCATTATCCAAAATTAATGCTGCACACTCAGTACTCGAAATTATTTAGCACCTATCGTGGCTGTGGCTGGCTATGCATAACACTCTAGATGAGCCCATATGTATGTCATTTATAGAGATGGCACTTTTCTTTCTAAGTGTGGTTCTAAGACTTAGGCCAAACAATACCAGGAAGGTGGTTACAGCTAGTGTTTTTATTCTTTCTTTGACTCCTGGTTACAGCTAGTGGAAAGAACTCGGACAGGGGACTGCTGGAAACTTTAGAATCACAACCGACATTTCACTATGAGAAGCAGCTTCTGCAGAATTAGTCCCTGAAGGGAAATAAGTTGTTTATACTTGGGGACAGTCTCACCTCTTACTTGTTTACGCAAGTTAGAAAGATAACAAGCTCCTCTCAATTGGGACAGAGTTTTTATCACACATCTTAATTTGGACAGGTAATAAAATATCTACACCTAAGGTGCCTTCATGTTCCGCTACACCTTGTCTCATTTCAACGCTGGGATGAGGAGAGAGGGATTACTGTACAGTGATCCCTTTCTTAAAAAGTAACCGAAAGAAAAAAAAAATGTTTTTTTTTAACAGTCTGGCTGGACACGCATGTAAAAAAAAGTAATTTTATGCAAAAAGAATAAAAAAACTTTAAAGCAATATTGATGGCGCAAGACACGATTTAGCTGGCAGTCACCCCCTATTCACCTGTTTTCTCTCTCGGCATTTGGGGCGCGTGGAGAAGAGGTGGATCGGCTTCGCCTTCAAGACCAAGATGGTCATACCGGAATGACCCGTGATGTCATGTACTTCGCGCCAAGAATTTCAAATAAATCTCTTGCCGTCAATATTGCTCAAAAAAAAGTTTCAGGGGCGAAGCTCCTTAGGGTCTAGCCTTGTCCGTCCGGCGTCCGTGCTCACATAAAAAGAAAAAATGTTTGCACAGTCAACAGGATTCGAACCTGTTTAGGGAGACCCCAATGGATTTCTAGTCCATCGCCTTAACCACTCGTCCACGACTGTGGGACGAGTAGGGGGCTCCGAGATGTGGTAGCAACTCAAGAGCTGGGGTTTCTGTCATGAATGAAATGTTGCATGTAGCTGCTCAACGTCTATACAGGAGAGGGCGCTGCGGTCAAATGCGTATATAATCGCATTAAACTTTGCATGCATTGGCTCAACGTTTATAGACGAGAGGGCGCTGCAGTCAAATGCTCAACTGCGTATATAACACATTCTCTTTCTGGCATGGACCGTTGACTTAAGCAGTGGAGATGCGTTCTCACAACTTCTAGCGGATCCAAGCAGATCCGCTAGAAGAACCACTGGCTCTGCATTTCACCGACCATAAAGTAGTAATAATGAAGTCGAAACACAACCCAGAACTCGGCACTACCTATGAGCAATAAAACAAAATGAGCACTATCAGTGTTACCTATGAACAATAAAATCAGTATCATCAGCACCACCAGAGCTTCGCCCCGATCAACATCATTCACCACATGGAGATACGGTCATTTTTTTTTTTTTTTGCGTAAAATATATTTCTTGGCAGGCATGTCCCAATTAGACTGTTTAAAAACACCTTTTATTTTTATTTTTCAGGGGCCTTTTAAACATAACTGAGTGGTAGCTCTTGTTAACAGCATGGGCAACATCTACACACAAAAGTTAGAAAAAAAAAGCAATTCAGACAACATTAAAGAATAAATAAATCGCCGACAAGTAAAACACATTCTTAACCCTGTGACGGTCAAGTCTTTTTTCCCCACTCAATGTTTCCCAGTGGTCCAGTTTGTTTAAAAAAAAAATTATAAAGAAAAAGTAAATTCACAGGTCTCTTCTTAATTATCCAACGGGAGCATGTAAAGTGATTGCAAGCTGTTCAGGTTTAGAAGCATCGAATGGAACTATTGAAGGCGAAAATTTTGCCACCTTTTTTCCATTCAGTTTTATTCTGGCGCGTTCGCTACCGCTGGCATTCCAGCAGTTTCATATTTCGAACCAAAGGTACTTTACGGAGCTTCTCTATCGGATGGTAAGCTTCCCTCATACGACTTCATTCTGAGAAGCAGACGAAGCTTAAATTGGAAAAGCTGGAGCTCCAATTGCCACTACCACCAGAGCAGCAGACATTCGAAGCAACCATCTCACACGTATCACTTGTGCAGAGCGTCCAATTTAAAAAAAAAATTATAAATAGCGCCAGCAAAGCGAGACAGAATGTGAATATAATGTCTATAGTTTGCCAAAGACATGACAAATAGTAACACCCCTCCCCCAGTGCGCACAGTTTTGCGTTTAAGTGGCCACATTCAAATGAGTAATCGCTGCCGTACATGAAAGGCAATAGCCACCAAAGGGTTAAACCGAATTTCATTTTCGAGTAATGATGTGCAAGAAAAGACAATTCAAGAAGTAAGAACCAAGCATGCTCACGAAAATCCACTTTCCACAGAGCACACATGTCTAGCTATACCTGCCTATGTGATGCTTCCCATAAAATCTGGACAAATCTTTTTCGGGTGTGTTGTTGACCTAGTTTACCGGGACAGGTATGAAAAAATATTATGCGCACAATTGAACACCGACAAAGCATCAAAGCAGGCTGAAGGGAGCAAAAAGAAACTTACTTTCTCGAACTCGTCGTAGTCAACATTCCCGTCTCCATTCAGGTCAAACATGCGAAAGGCTATCTCAAAGTGACGTTTGGAAGCTAGAAAAAATAAGCAGTATAGTTGACGGCAACGGTTCCGCACACAACACTTTTTATGGGCACATGACTCGCTAGTGTTTACCACATGCTGTTCAATATCCCACTGTAAAAACGTGAGCAAGGACTACCTGATAAAATTGTCAGCAGAAAGATGTAATCGGAGAAGCTGATCAGTCCAGATGAGCTCAGCTTGTAGAAGATGCTGTCTTTGCTGAGGCCCACAAATGCCTTTTCGTCCTAGCAGTGATGACAATGCCAGTGAGAAACACCACTACCTCATAAACAAAGCAAATTGAGCAAGATAAAAGTGGTTTTAGAGCGACGGTAAACATTCAGACATTCTAATTGGTAGCACAGATATTTCCAAATTTGAGTGGATTCCATTCGTAAAATTCAATCTTACAAGCTCACATCTAATTGGAAGGATGCAACTTGAAAGCGAGAGTTAATCAACCAGAAGTATTTCATACCTCTGGTTAATTCAAACAAATTTCAAAATTTTGGTTATCCCACCATGCTTTTTATGTATTCATGAGCCGCTTAATTCGAACGGCGTTTTTGTTTAATTCATACTTTTTGTAGTCGCGGCCCCCTTGAGCGCGCTTCTTTCCGAGCACCGGTGCACTGCAGAGAAGCGACACCCGTGGAGCGTGCTTTCGCAGGTGTTGCTTCTCCGCAGTGCACCGGTGCTCGATGAGAAGCGCACTCAACGGGGTTCAAACAGCACATGCATGAGTTATGAAAATGGGCACCACGCGGAAATTTCCACAGCAACTTGCGCGGACGCTTTAACGTGGCGGCATGGCGTAAATCAACGTCACAGCGTACGCGCAGGTTACTACGAAAACTGTTGCGCGGTGCCGGTTTTCATCACTCGTGTGTCCCCTGCTAAATAGTTCAGAAACCATAATCGTGAGCATTTCAGCACTTCGCCCGTCACCTATGTAATCGTAAGAGAAATGTTATGTCTCTCTAAGGCTTCTCTAGTAGGCAAGAAGAAGGGCTATAGAAAAGAGACGTCGAGGAAGGCAGGCATTCTGTGAAGTTATAGCTTCTGTTCAATATGAAAAAGTCCCAACCTCTCGGACTAATTTCGTAATGACGGCTTCATTATCTTCGTCTGAAACCATTGCAATTAACTTCATTTCAGTTCGGCAAAACTTCCACAGCGCTGCAATGTTGGAGCAGGCATATTTTCTGAGTGGAATATGGCCCGCCATCAAGTGTTTGAACCGGCAAAAAAAAAAACACATTACATAAAAAAAAGAGGGCATAAAACAACTTTGGCTTGACTTTAGAATCCCAACAACGAGAAAGCTAGCTCTCGACTTGTCCAATGGTTGCATGTAAATAATTGTCTTTCTTTTAAGCTGCACCAGCTCTAGTAGGGGCACAGTGATTTGACTAGTCTGTCAGCTGATCGTTCAGGTGCGGCCAAAGCGCTACTGAGGGTAAGGCGCTTTCGCAGCGGACGAGGCAACTGAACAACGCGTTTAACCGATACCGCACCTATCCACCCAAATGCGAGCAAGTGTAAGCCTCTAAGACACGTGGACACAGGCAGAGGGTAAATGCAGTCGAGAAGAAAAACCAAGCCAATGACAGTGAGTCCCTACAAGAGGTTAGTGTGGACAGGGAAAGGCACACACCATGTCAGCCGAGACCTTGTACCCACTTCCAGAAAGGTTATCGGTCTAAGCAGCACGCAAGGAGAGAACAGCACAAACAGTTAGTCACAAGTGCTACACACCACTGTGCGAGGCAAGCTGCGAGTAAGCGGGCAGGCTCAATAGAAAAGTAACAAAGCATGCTATGTCCGACGAACGTGTCGGAAGTGGAAGCTCACCCTGATATCGATCCTCTTGTACTGATCGAGGCCAAAACCTAAGATTGGTACAGAAAAGTTCATTCAGGTTAGTCGTCGCCAGCAAGGCGAAAGGCCCGTTTGGAACGAGTGGCCCAGGTAGTGGCCGGCTCTGGTTCTGCGTGGAACTCGGTTAGATTCGATTTAAAAGGAGACGCAGGTAAAAAAAACAGCAATATTATGCAAAAAAAAAAAAAATGGTTTTGGGTTTTATGGTGTTTAATTATCTTTGGTTCCCATTTTCTGTGTAAAAACAATGAGTACCGGTTGTGGTCGCGCAATTAGTCGAATACGCATTTGAAGACCTTTCGGCTACCTAGAACAGTATGAATTTCAGCAATTTTTGTGTGTGCAGTTCTTCAAATTATGACCTCGGCCGCCATCACATTTATGTTGGGAAGTAGGCTTAGCCGTCTCCTCTCCATCGCAGTCTTCTGTAGCCTTAATTTCTCACGAAAAATTATTTATAATATATATTCTTTTTCCCGCCGCAAAAGAGTGTCGCTACATGTCCATCATAATATTCAAATGTATTTTTCTCCTTATATAATTTTGGGGCGTCTTTGCAGTTCCCACAGAAGAATATTTGTTCTTAACATTGTCTTATCACAACCAAATTTGACATGCACACACTTTAGAATAGGTAGAATGCAACTATCAAGGTGTTGGTCAGAATGTATAATTTTTGTATTTACAATTGAAGAACTTTTTGTTAGCCCCTTGAAAATTACATTTTTGTGATTTTTCAATGACTTTAAAATAAAATTAGGTCTCATACCCATTAATCTTGTTGTTCATCGCAATCAGTGGTTCAAAAGGAGTGAATTAGCCTATTTTACTAAGTTCTTTTAGGTGTGCTGCTATGTATGCCCCACGTGTGTGCAAGGACATGCTTTTTTTTCTGCATGTTCATTGCATCCAGAACATAAAAAAACAAGCTATATCAAAACGCACACCAGATTTATCAAGCACTATAAACTGTGCAAACTTCATACAGTTATTGTCAATAACAAACAAAAAAAAATGTTTTCCCCTTAGGAGGCACAACCAAGACGAGAAAAGGCTGAAGCGAAAATTGATCAGTGCATTCTGGCTGTGTGCATTCCCCTCAGCAAAGAACAAAATGGGGCTTCATGAAGCACAAATCCTGCCACCTGCAACAATCTGGCTTTTTCAGTAGACTTCTGAAAAGATCACGTGTTGTCCAGAAAGGAAGTAACAAATAAACAAGTTCTCGTGAGAGATATTTCTCCAATGAGGTCCAAAGATTTCCTTCCTCGAAAACCAGCACAACCCATCATTTTTGTATGCGCACACGGCAGAATCTGAAATTTCCGGTGGACCAAACGCATTGCTATTCAGAAGGTATACTATTCACAAAAAAGAAGGAACAGGGATACCTTTGAAACAGGTGAAGACTGTAACCCTAGAACAGTTCCGACCCGTGCATATTTCCTGAACTAGCGTGAAAGTTTCACAGCATTTGCTAGATAAAACCCATATGCATTACCCATGGGAAATCGTAGCTTGTAACATCGTCAGAATTATTTCGAGCCCCTCCTGACAGAAAGATGAATAAAAAATGAGAAAACATATCCCAATCGAAAGTGTTTCAGGGCTCACTGACAGATGGTATCAGTGTGCTCTCTTGTCATAAACAGTCATAGGCGGTTGCAACGCACTCAGGCATGCTCAAACGAAAAGGTGTGAGCCAGCCTTGACAAGTCACAACTTGAGTAACTTGAGTAGCTTGCATAGGGCAGAAAAATCGATTCTTTAGCAAAAACATACATAGCATGCAGACGTTTGTGCCACATCACCTTCAGGTTGTTTGGTTCCGGGAGTGATGGAACGGAGGAAATCTTGGGGGGACATGAAAATCTCGGAGTCCCCGTTTTCGTTGTAAACTCGCATCGTAGCGAAGTACCGGAATATCTTGTCCGGAGTCGAATAAGCCCGAACGCGATTCTCATATTCGATTATCTGTTGGAAAAAAAAATAAAAATTAAAAAAAATAAAGAAACATCAGTCAGCCAGACCGCCACCAGGAGCAGTTTATGTTTGTGCGAGATGCACCAGCAATGAGAGCATTTTCTTTAGTAGGGTACGTTGTTGGGCTAGTTGGTTCATCTTAGTAAAACATATAAAATAGCACAACAGAAAGACAAGGACAAGACAAGGATAGCACCTGTCCTGTATACTTCTTGTCCTTGTCTTTCTGTTGCGCTATTTTATATGTTTTACTAAGAGCATTTTCTTTTCTTTCAGCCTATGTTTGTACCCTCACTTCAAAGTTGCATACCCTACAGGTGAAGGTGATACTTTCCGTCAAAAACTCTCACGAACACTGTCGTTTGAATCAGTTCTTGAAATAAAATAAAATAAACAAAATATGCCTCTACTGATTCGGAAGAGCCCATGTACAGCCCAAATAAATTAGTAATCTATTTAAAAGCCTAAACTGTGTGTGCTTAGGTAACTCTCCAAAAATACTTTTAAGTTGGATGAGCGTGTGCACATCTCAAAATAAACGCTTTATTTACTTGGAAGCCTACATTTTGTACTTATTTTGTACTCCACCCCCCCAAACACTTGGGCAAAGCTGTGGAAAAGTGAAGCTGTGAATAACTAAGTTATCACGTATATGCTCAGCTATACATGGGCAATAATGTTTCTTGGTGCATACAGCTGGTGGCTATCTTTCCCAAATGAGGCAACAAGTAAGCCAACAATTGGATGCACTTTGAAAGAATGTTTGCGCATGTGCACGCAGCCTCAAAAGCTTTCCTAAATGTGCAAGAATGCTCAAACAAACTATCTCGCTGGAGCCAGTAATAATGCCGCACTAGGTACATGCCGTTACATACAGATCTCCATGGGACTGCACACACGTGCACAAATGTTCTTTCAAAGCTCAATTGAGTGTTGGCTCACTGGCTGCCACACACGGGAAAGACAACTGTGAGTTGAGGGTATTAAAAAGACAATGGAGAGTGAACTTTTGAGTTTGCAGCTAACAATAAATATTACAACAGTCCCAGCAAGTACAGAAAAGTGTACGGGAAACTGCCCCGATGAAATTGTCAAAACACAAAGACAAAGAGAGGGAATAGCTCGAGCACACTTCTGACAAACACACATGCATGAGCTGACAGCTCTGAGAAGATCTTTGACTGCACATATTGCACCGAATTTCACCGCCTGCTGCTAGAGAATGTTCTAAAATGATCATCGGCCTTCCTGAGTATCCAGTGAAGAGAAAAATGACGCGAGCATTTAATCAAATACTTTACGAAAGGAATACATCTCACTTTGCGAAAACAGCCTCGGCGCAAACAAATTTTGCATAGTTTGAACTGCTGGACGCGCTGTACTCTCGGGGTTCTCTCTATGAATCGGGAAGGGTGGCTGGCACCATCTATTGTCGGGGGCTTCCTCAGTGCCAGTCTGGACGGCCGTCTCGGCAAACCTGGTAACTTGGTGTGCAGGCGGTAACCCTCTTCCGCGAAGTGTGGACAGCGCAAGCTGATGCTTTCTCTCCGACATGAGGCGCCCAAACCGCTAGGGGAAGGTTTTACACTCTAGGTGCACTGTACAATGCAAATGAGCGAAGTAGAATGCATTCTCCCTAGAAAAGTATTTGATTTCAATTATCTTTCAGGCTTTTTGAGACATCTTTTCAGGAAGAACACGATTGGACTACACTTAGAAAGTTGGGTGTAAGGCGTACGACGGCACTTGCCTTTCTGTCCCGGAAACCAGGTTTGTCCCTCTTTTTCTTCCCCTTCCCCTTTCCCTTGGTCTCTTCCACGTCGGACTCCTTGTCCTCCTCTTCACTGTCCGGGTGTTGGACACTGCTGTCGGCAGATACCCTGAAGAACTTCAGGACAGCTTTTGCGCCCTGCAAGGTTTTATCCCAGCACCTACAATCGGGTGAAGACACAGAGGTCACATTGGCAGGAAGGACGTTCCCGGAGGTGTCCTGTTCGGAAAACTTTGAGCTTAAGGCATACTATGAGATCGCTCCAATTCAGAACCTCAAAACTTATACCAACGAAACTCCAATAATTGTGGAAGAAAGAAAAAGGTAAGGAATATCTGTCTCTCTTTATAAAGTGCTTGAAAAAATAAGTAAAAAAAATATGGGGAGTTACTGGTCCAACTGGAACTGGGTTATGAAATTGGCCACAGCTGGATCAAGTCTCATTCCCAGTTGGATACAGCTCCATAATCCAGCTAGACTGATTTTCATTTGTAACTAGGACATCCCTAACTATACTCACTGACGAAGTGAGAACGGCAGGGTGCGTCTTTCAAACGCCCGGCCTCCTCCAGCAAGCGCTCCACATTCCCGCCGTACTTTCGCTGCGAGCGCGCGCTCAGAGTGCACGAGACGTTGAAACGTCGGTGACGGTAGGAAGCTAGATCGCGCTGGAGACAAGGCACCTGAAGCTCCTCCCTGGAGTTCTCACCTTATCATAGGCTACAGCACAATGTCGTGCTGTTTATTGACGCTATGTGCGAGTCGTTCGCTGCTTCCTTGATTCTCGAAACCTCGGCTTCAAGAAAACTGCAAGGCGAGTTCCACCAGCCCTCTTTTCGCGCTCGACACTTCTATTTGTGTACCCCCAACGGAGTAACCACTCTGGCGGCCTGCAACCCCTGCTTACCCGAGCACTCCGCCATTCGCAGTCTTTTGCGGGTGACGGTAAAGCTCTGGAAGCTCCTCCCCACATCAATCACCGGGCCAGCATCACCAGACCACGCTTCCCTTTGCGCGGTCGGCAAGATTGTTGCAGTTCACTTGGGGAACTGTTGAGAGTGTGACTCACGTGTAACTTAGTTTGCCCCCTTTCCCCTCTTTCTCTATTTAACTTACTTATTATTATGCCTTTTTTTTTCTTTTTTCTATAGAGACACTGCGTGGTTCCAGGTACGGGCGTAATGCCTCACTGCAGCCGCTTTACTTTTCCGAGTTGAGTCAATGAAGAAACAAAGACACTCCTAGTTTTTTTATACCCACAATAATCCTGAACTTTTTCGTTTTGTTTCGGGCGAGTGAAAATTCCACCGCGATCCGAAATCCACTTTTGTCTGACGCCTAGGATTTGCTTTAAAAAAATTGCATGCGTTTCTAGAAAGAATAAAGCTATACGCGCTCCGGAGTGCATTTCGGTCGAAATGGCTATATGCACTCCGCTAAACTCGTATAGGTTGTTTGCACATGACGACAATCCGCCATTTTGTTGTTAGCTTGTTTTTTCAAACAAATTTACTACATTGAAGGATTACATCGTAACCAGTTGAGATGATGTCAGCGGTGCTCTACGCATTTGAGGAGTCAAGTAAATCCTTGGAATGCTCGAGTTTGGCACACGCCATACAGCTCACAACAGCAAAATGATGGACGAAATTACGTCAGTGAAAACACCCTATAAAACGAATGGTCACAACGAATTTTCTAAGCAATGGCATAACATAGGGCAATAAAGAAAAAAAAAAAAAAGGCATAGCATAGGGGTTCAGGTGTCCGCTTTGTATGCAAGTGGACGCGAATTCGATCCGCGGTCGGCGTACGTGTTTTTTTTTTTTTTTTCAAAACATTTTGTTTTGTCAAGGCATTGGCGACATTTCTTTTTTGCGATGATGTTGGCGACGAAACTTCGCAGAATTAAATGGTATGGGACTCCCTTCCCGGAGGTGCGATCGGGGACAGCGGGGCTTGGGTTGCCGGCTCGACGCCGCGAAGCGGCGTGTACTGATTACGTTTTGTAATTAGCAGCCGATACTGTCGCCGCGAAGCGGCGTGAACGCAGGCGGGGGGCTGTGTTAACGAGCTCCCCAGTGATACACGCGCCGTTCGAAAAGGGTGGCCCGACCGGCATGAACTCTGCGCGGAGTGCGTATAGCTTTACTTTTCTAGAAATGGGATACTGCGAAGAAGTGCACTTCTTGGTCCGAATTTCACTCATGGTGAGAGTGGATGGTATGTCGCTCAGTCGTGCTCACCACTCGAAATCGATGAAGAGAGCGCTGCCCCCGAAACACATCAGTACTGTGTGGAAGATGTCAAACTTCGTCGACGGCTTCGGCTTCTTGTGACCAAAGTTGTAGTGCTGCCATCTCGTCTGAAGGATGGGACCCGCAGCCAGACCTCCGCGAGCGTGTGTGATGGCTGGAAACCGGACGGGGTGACGACTAGCCGTCCTGGCGACCGCCCAGGCGCTACGATATATTGCTGACATTGCTAGCGGCAGCCCGGATAACGGGCTCATTCACTGCATTCTGCGAAGAAACACCACGCCAAGTGCGACACTCGATGCGCCAAAACAGAGATCCGACGCTGCTCACTGCGGAGACGACCGAAATGGACCGAAGCCCGAAGTGCCCGAAGCCAGCCGAAGCGAAAGACGGAACTGGATTGGATCGGATTGTTCACTACAAAAACAAAAAGCCAAAAACTAAATATAATAAAAATGGTTACCTTTTCTTTAGAAAAGTTTAAAAAAAAAACGGCGTGTTTTAGAAATTATAGTTTATCAGATTGTAAACGTTATTTATTTTTAACTTTCGGGGGTGATTTAGATGGATAGATGAATGATTAAAAAAATATTGGCTCTTTCCTTTATACCGGGCGGTAGCTTGCGCTACCTAGCCTTAAGCTAATTAGAGAAAGAAAGACTGTTTCGTTTTTTGTTTTATTCTTTTTCTCATATACTCAATAGTTTCTTCCCTTCACCTCTCCAACTATCGCCGAACAGGTAGAATACTTTCCAGAAAAAACCTTTAAGAATCTGGCAAAAAAAAAATAACACCGCGCATTCTTGCTTGTTCGCTGCTTGCATGACGTTTTTTCGCGTTTTGCTAGCGTTGCAGAGGCCGGCGGCAGCGTGCTAAAGGCCTGTTTTCTACTCGTTCGTCGTCATTCGCTGAAGACGTTCTCTAAGATCCTGTGTGAGGCGTGATACTTGCCGCTGAGAACACGTGGAAATTTTTACGAAAGCGCAGTGCTGCAAGAAAAAGGCACAACTCGTCGAAAGCAAGTTTCGCCGGTCTGGCGGCATGTTCAAAGCTTCCTTGGCACGCCGAAGTGCTGTGTGTCTGTGCCTTCGCAGTGGCACTGATATTTAGTTACTCTCTCCGTGCCCGCTGGCTTGCCCGAACACCAAGAGATGTGGAAACCGCAGAAAAGGTAGACGATAAAGTATGATCGCAGGTCCCCTTTAAGCTTACGTGCAGCAATTCAAGTATTCTACAGTTTTTACCATGGGTCGTTCTATTTGGTCTGACCTTTCAAAAGCTCGCAATGAGCTATAATTTTTTTTCTGGCTTTGAAATTATTTACATGCTTGATCACATATGTTTTTGCGGGACTGTCACTCACTCTATAAAGTTATTGCGATCATGAAACGACAGAAAAGGAAACTAACGCAAAAGGGGAGGGAGTTATAAACATGATGTTTGTTTTAAACTTTTGAAAATAAGAGTGTACTTTTTGAAATGGTCACTGCAACAAAATTTTATGACTTATTTTATTGTCTAAATGTCAACCACATTCTGGCCACACCACGGAGACACCGATTTTTTCTCTCAAAAAGACTCCAGGACATTATTTAAAACGAATAAGACAAATACTGTTACATCACACTCCACATGAAAGCAGCACTAGCAGCACGCTCCACGGAAACATGGCGGTGAGCTGAGTACGCACGAGCCCTGCCTAACTTGGCTGAACCGATTTCTTCTCTCCCATGCCTATTCAACCCCTGTGGAGAGCAAGGAGGGACAACGCGAACGGTCAGGTTGTAATACATTGATCGATCGAACGATCGATACCAGCCCCCATGCAGTCTTCACTGTAAAGGAGAACCAGGTGTCATAAATTCGATGCGTCTCGGGAGGTCTACAGAGACAAACTCATTTTAAATAATGTTTTTGTGTCCTTTCGACCACAAAATTGGTGTCTCCGTGGTGTGGCCAGAACAGGGTGTAAGATAGACAGGTAGGGAAACGAGAGCCAAATGAGCGACCGAATTGTGTCCCCCTTGGTTTTCTTAGGGAGGCTCTAGTGAGGGTGGGTGCAACTCAAAACCTGGAGAGCGTTTGCAATTTAATGGCGGCGCCTGAGGGAGAGAATTCGGGTAAGGATATGGTCCAATGTTGCCTGCACGAGAGCAAACGCCCGCTCTGTTGCAACTCTGTTGCTCCATGCGCCTTTCCTCCTCTCGCCTCCCATTGCAAGCAACGAACGCCTTGGCGCAGCCTCTCTCGCTTCCTCCTCACTCCGGGAATTGCAAACGTCGAGAGGAGAAAGCAGGGTTGCCAGACAAGCAGCAACGTCCAAGATGGCGGAATTTAACATTTTTCGCGTTAAAAAAATACTTAAAGGGCAACTCCGCTCAATTCCGAAGATTTCGGGATAATGGTTGATTTCGAATTAAAAAGCCCTAGTAAAACACACTATGTCGTTTGCTTCGCGAAAAATGGGATATATATTTTTAAATCTCATTTTAAACACGAGCGGAAATCGAAACCGAAACTTCGGCTGCGCCCGGCAACATTGGCCTCGGGTCGCCAAGTACATGGTCATCACGTGGTACGAGATGTCACGTGATCCTCGGCCCAACGACGGTCCGCACTCTTCGCCACGTTTTGGTGTCTACAATGCGCAGCGACGCGGCCGAAAAACTGGGGAGAACTACAGGTACCAGGATGCACCGCGGCAGCGGTGCATCCTGGTACCTGTAGTTCTCGTACCTGTAGTTCCATTCGACGATGTCTGCACAACTGCGGCATAAGTCTGCGCACGTGGTGTCCGTAGTGTGGACGATAATCACAATCGGTGAGACGACGACGGCGGTTGTGACGCGGAAGACGGCGGTAACGGCGGGACCACGGCGGGCGGCCGAACGGCTCCCAAGAAACGCGCTGCGCAGGCGCGTTACACCAATCACGTGCACACCGCTGAGCGCCGAGAGGCAACGTTGCTGACGTCATGCGCTACGCTCACCCGGAGAAGTGAAAACAAGCAAAAGGGGGCCATGATAATGACGTTTAGCTCAATGTTGGCTCCGCCCATGCCGTAGCCTTGACTGCGCTGTTGGTTGCGCCTGAATTCGCCCGCTCAAGTCAGCCGATTTCGGCAACTTGGCGAGTTGCAAAGTTTGCCGGACCGTTTAAGAAACATTTAGACAGAACTGCGTCGTAACATTTCACGTGTGGTCTTCCTAGGCGATAAGAGGACTGCATTGTTTTTTCAAAACCAAAAATGAAGCGGAGTTGCCCTTTAACCTATCGCAACAAAACTGGTGGCTATGGAAAAGTAATCATTTATACCTTGTGTAAATTATTCAAGCACCTTAATGGGCTCTAATGACCTGAGTTAGGAAATAAAACGACACTTTGCCCCATAGACTCCCAGCAAAATTTAGCAATTAAATGGCGTCCATGTCCCATGATCCCCGATCTAGCAGTTGCACCTAGAGCACTATATAGCTATATAGTAGCTATATAGTGCTATATAGGAGCTTTATAGGAGCTATATAGTGCTCTAGTTGCACCCTCTGGTTGCACCCACCCTCACCTGACCCTCACTTGAGCCTCCCTAGGTTTTCTCTTTTTCTGTGGCGCCATCTATGTGGAGCACCGCGAACTCTCACTCCGGGTGGGCGACCGGTGGCGACCGGCTAAACTGACGGAGATGGTTTCTCGTGGATTTTCAATGGAGGACTGTCGTGCTCTCGGTTTATTTTGCGCACTCTCCCGTAGAGTTCCACACAAATCCGATTCTGATTTTTTTCCTCTCGCCGCAGCGCCATCTGTCCCAAATCGGGGGTACCCGCAAGCAGATGAGTACACAATCCGGCCACGGCGCTGCGGTATGCTTCTTTGGGCCGTTTCGCCACCTGTCTATCTTACACCCTGGGCCAGAACGTGGTTGCCATTTAGACAATAAAATAGGCACTACAATTTCGTTGCACGATCCCTTTAAAGGGGTACTCCACCGATTTTTTGAGCTACCTCAACTAACTACATTTTCTGACTCCCCGGCCTTTAGCCTTTCCGGTATGCTATTTAGCATCGCGAAATTCATAATAGGTATTGTGAAATCGGCAAATGAAAATGGTGCAAAAACCAATATTCAAATATTCGCGCACTTTTCAGTGCCGTGACGTCAGTGGCAGGCAGGCTTGCCAGTCGAGCAAGTAGTCTAAAAATAGAATATGCCAATCATTTGTTCCGTGCTGGAGCGCGGATACGGGAGCGAGCTTCCCAAGCATTCATTTGACACCATGAAACTGCTTCGAATCTGTTTAAAACAAAATCTACAGCCCAAAGAGTGAACCCCCGCCTTCCCCTGACGTCACTTTTCCATTGTTGCCAGTAGAGACTTCGAGCTTGAAAAACACGGTGAGGACAAAAACTGTAAATTCAATAACTTCGCGAAAAAACAATATTTTGACCTAATATTTGGGATACTATTTTCGCGATGTTTGTTGGTTAGTTTAGCAAAATTTCAAGCAAATCGGAGACCATGAAAAAACCTGTGGAGTACCCCTTTAAAAGTATTCTGCCCTTTTATCATATTTGCAATATCAATAGTATTCGCATTGCTTTGAAGGAACTGTCTTCAATTACTTCTCGAGGAAAGTACACTCCCCCACCTGGTTTGTAAGGTATACATATGATGACATCGGCAACATTTTTTTGTTGATGGCCGCGGCACATTTAAACTTGCGCTTGTGCTTTTCTGGTTACAGGCCCCTTCCAGCACAATGCAGGGCAGAGAACGGACAACAGCAGACTGACTGCAGAAAGTGTAATTGGATTTGCCGCTACCACAGAGATTACGAGCGAGCTGCGACTTCTAAGAAAGAACAGTCGGAGTGTTTAGCATAAATAAGCGATGAAAAATCTGACTCTCATATTTTGTCTTATCAAATTCTGCAAAATTTGAATAATTTATTTTAATATATTACAGTAATGGCAGAACTTCGAACTTGTGGTACGGCTCCATTAGGGTGTGGTGTGCCTTCTTGCCGCCTACTACAGTCGGTTACAGGTTAAGAAGGTAGCAGCAAATGCCCCTCAAAGGGAATCATATATCCCTCCGCCACCTCCGCATCCAACGCATCCAATAGGGTCCCATCGTTTCGGTGACGTCGCGGCCAACGCGCGAGGAGGGTCTTGCCTTTCTGTACATATTTGCTTTATCTTTCGATTTTGACTTAGTATTGTGGAAGCCATGAGAGGGAGATTAGTGTTTTCCCCCTCCGATGGAAACAAATACGACTTTCGGGGATTAGCTTCCCCCTCCGATGGATACAAAGGCTGCTTTCAGGGGCTCGGTTGCCCCTCCAATGAATACAAAGGTCGCTTTGTTAAAGAGTGGGGTCGGAGACAAGTTGGAATTCATTGAAGCG